AATCGGCACCCGATTCTCGAACTTATAGGTACAGCGCCTTTTAGAATAGGGTCCCATTCTGAAACGGCAAGTTCCGTGCAGGGGTGATTTTGTATAGGAATCGGCACCCGATTCTCGAACCTATAGGTACAGGGCTAGCTTACTAGTAGAGTTACAAGCCTTAGCAAGCTACGCGATATCTACTATACTATAGCTATATAGATAGTAGGGCTGCTAGATTATCTTAAGCTAAAGAAATACCTCTATTCTAGCGGAACTCTTCTAGATTATACTATTTTCAATCTTAGTATTAGTAAGGCCTCTTACTAGCTTCTAGTCTATCTAGACCTTAATTAAATCTACTAGAGAGATTACCTAAGTCTTCTACTACCTATACTAGATATCTATCTTCTTATTATTCTTCTACTACTACTACTAGGTGGGCGATACTATAGTAAAGTAGCCGCTACTATAGCTAGCTGTAAAGAGATGCTAATAGTAGATAGAGTATAGTAGGAGCTTAGTAACTATATTCTTAATATATACTAGGAGCCGGCCTCTACGGCCGAAGCCTACTATATACTAGATATAGAGGTGCTTTTGAGTAGAGTTCTTAGTACGCACTATATAGTGGTATTCTAGGTATAGTAAGCTATTCTTAAAAATTAGAATATCTAGAATAGTAAGAGAGAAGAAAGCTAAAAGCTAAAAGAAAGCTAACTTAAAATTAGTAAGAGAATACTATACTTAGAGGATTACTAGTAGCATGTTAATAGTAGTAGTAGGCTATAGCTATAATACTATATAGCGGCGATAATACTTAAGTCAGTGAGCCTTAATAGTTTTTAGAGTAATAGCGCGGCGATATAGATAATAGATAAGAACCTTAAAGTCTAGTATATAGTTAAATAGATCTATAGTACTATTAATAGGAAGTTAAGGAAAGATATAGGTAATAGGTTATAGATAGAATATATAGAGATAGAAGGACGCGTAGAGTAGTCTAGTAATATATAGCTATTACTAGATGCGTCTAGGTTCGTATTCGCGTTAGTATAGTTATAATTAATTTAGTTAGTTAGTTAGAAGGGTTAGTAGACGAAGGCTTCTACGGATAGTCCTAGTAGTATAGAAATCCGGAGGCAGGAGATTGTGTTATTACGCGGGGGGCGAGTAGTTAGTGTTAGTGTTAGTATAGACGCAGGTAGTTAGTGCGAGTAGGGTGATAGTAGAAAGTAGCTAATAGGAGGGTCGGTTAATTGAGTTAAACCCTTAAATGAAATCGGCATGGAAGTGTTAGTTAGTTAGTTAGTTAGTTAGTTAGTTGGTTAGTTAGTTAGTTAGTCAGTTAGTTAGTTAGTTATATAGTACTAGTTAGACGACTCGTCCCGAGTCTTTCCTCTAGTCTACTCGCTCTTTATTCCTTCACAGACTACTTTGTTATCCCCGCCGCATATAGTACTATTCCCCCTCTAACTCGAGAAGCTTATCTTGGAGTAGCTATATAACGCCGTGAAGCCGCAATTGAGGAAAATAGTGTGCGTATATATAATCCTAGGCAGCTCTTACTACAAGCGACACTATAGTAAGGGAGATACCGATTAATTAGAATGCGAGCTATGCTTCATCTACGGCGTATGGAGTCGTTATGCGACTTATGTCTGTCTGCAAGCCCCTCGAGCTATATAGCCTAGGAGCGGTCCTACGATCCCGATCGATACAGCCCGTCTTAATAAAGGATGGAATATAGAATCTAGAGACGTTAGAAGGCTTCTGCTACATTAAAACGTGCGACTATAGCACTTAGTGGTGGACCCTTTAGTAGAGAAGCTGTTTGAGTTTAAGCTAGAGAGTGGATAGTTCGGCGAAGCTTATCATCTCTTAATCTGTTAACTCCTTCTGGATCGCACTACTCTCCAGGATCGCACTTCTCTCCAGGATCGCACTTCTCTCCAGGTCCGAGTCACTTACAAATCTTACCCAAATGATGCCAGCAAGCAAAGATGGATCCAGGACACAAAAGATCTTTTTGCCTGGTACCCGAGTAATCCGCGTTCCCAGGAGCAGAACTTTAACTATCAACAAACCAGCAAAGGAAAAGGGACTGACCCCAAAAAAAGAGCGACTCGTATCATCGCTGCTGCTTTTAGAGCAGCAAATAACCAAACACACAACAAAGATGGAGCTTACCATGACCAACCTAGTCTCTTCTGTCTGATTAGGGCGTCCCTGGGACTGCAAGTGGAAGAGCATGTCAAGCCTTGGGAGTCTAAGCTGGCACCCGGCACGCCCTACCTCTGCCCCGCATATGCAGCGAAGTACTGGCTGAATCGATACTTCCGCCTCACGAAACAATTTGGGAAACCCAAGACCCAGAGGGAGGAAGGTCATCCATACAATGGTATGCCGAAGCGAGATGAGGTCGGAATAGTGGCTGTCATACATGTTCGTCGCACCCCGGTCACGGGGAGCCTAAATGGACGTGTAATAGACAGCGATAACTTGGGCCATGTCTTGGATTCTCTAAGAGAGGCGAACAGACTCTGCCTCTCATCCGATGGTCGCGTTGAGTGTCGACCTCGTCGGTTTACGCATGTCATCGTATGTCTTGCCAAAGAAACTCGACCCCTTTAAAAGCATCTCCGTTTCTAACTGACAAGCAGCTGTACGGAGATTTCAACCACTCTGAGGGTCTCAAACTAAGAGACCAGGCTAGAAAACGTCTCCATCCGCACGCTAAAGCTGATCAAGGTGCCGAGGAAGACCTGGAAGCCGCTCAGGCTGCAAACAGAGACCGTGATCGGGAGCACAAAAGCTACAGTCATTTGAAAAATGCGGCACGTGCGGTACTTGTCAAAAGATTGTCTATTCGCTCCAAGAAAGTGGATAATCATACCAAAAACAGAAGTCCGGCAGATTTTCACGTGTCTTTCATATCTCGTCCCTGGGAAGCTCCCCCCAAGGACTCCGACAGCGCTGAGCCCTCCTCCAAAGAAGTCTTCGAATTTTGGGAAAACTTTCGTGACTTCCAGGTCGACCAGCTTCCTGTACAAGTCAAGATACTTAGTATATGGACGGCCCTGTGCGAAAGGTATGGCGACCAAATTTGCGTCATCGGCCACCGCTCCGGCTTTATAGAGGGCGCCGGACTGAACGGGATCCCTGTATTCTATTTGAACGATGAGCGCGAATCCATGGGAGCCGATCTTGAACAACGGAGCCGACTCCTTTTTGATGCCTCTGCAGTCCCCAAAGTAGAGACCGACAGGCTGCGCGAGCTTTCGGACATGATGAACACATTCATTCCAGTGGAGGCACTCAAGGAACGGCACCCTAAATCAAACAAACCCCTTCGAGTGCCAAAGGGGCTTGAGAAAGAGCTGAAAGCGGCAATCTTCATGTACATGTGCTGCCGGCTGGAGTCGGGATTGCCGGCGTGGACCGCAAGAGTGAAGATGATGCATCAAGAGGTGGGAAAACGGTGGCTGGAGGAAAGATACAGCTTTGCGACGAAAGCGGACAACCCGCCTAAGTATACAAGCCTCACTACCGAGTCTGGCTTGTCTCCGTGACGAGTGGGAGGAGCGGGAGCCAGACTGCCCCCGATTGGCATGTAGGATGCAAGTTAGGAGTTGCTCTCCCGTTGAATCATGTAGTAGACTCTTTCGAATACTTAAGCACCAAGTAGTTAGACTCCTTCTCCTTAGTTTTTTCCCTCTAGTTTTTACCTCTTCCAGTTCAAAAACCCGCAAACCTAGTGCAAATTTGCTTGTTCTCCGCAGAAACGAATCTTGTCATAGCCCTTCTTACTCTTGCCCGGTCCCCTTTTCACGTCCTGAAACGTGGATTCATCTTTACCACGTAGCTAAGTATGAGACAGCATTGCGTAGGGGACGGTTTTGTGGTCGATATTCGGATATGATCGGTCAAGGTGAATTCGCCGCATCCATCGGCTTTGAGAAGGCGTATCCTTAGTGCCACGAAGATACCTAATCGTGAAGCTAGAAGGACTCGGCGCTGCTTTACAGCCTTCGAGCTATTTACACTCAAGCGAGTGCCGATATGAAGTTCACGAGGGTATTAGCATCTTCATGTCTACTGCAGGGTCTTTTGCATAGGTGTAAACAAGCACACGCAGGTAGCGCCGGGAGGAACATTAAGTTTAAACTGTAATAATATAAGTGCTAAAACCGAGTTCACGATAACAAAAGGTCGATGATATGCAAATGTCTCGCCTGTAGCTTCGCACTTGTTTGCAAGAGAAGAGATGGCACACGCTAATAGATAGAATACCGCGTAATTCCGATATCTCTACAAGTCCGCCGATGTAGTGTATAATCACGCTAGGTGAAGGCCTAGTACCCCGAGTCCTCCGATCTCTGCCTCCTCGGGCGTAAGCAGCGCGAAGTATTAGATACACATTTATGGCCGGCCGTGGAGCAATGTGTGCGACCGATATTTAAATTTAGTTCTAAAACTCAGAACCTTAAAGACACTCCATGCGCTATGCGTAGTATAAAAACAATATGCGAGCTAGATAAATTCCGAAAATGCAACACATAACCGCCAGCCCGTCGCTTTAAAACTCCCGCAATTCCTCATTGCGATGAATGACAACCAAGCAGACACACAACCTACCCATAAGTTTCGATGCTCAATCCGCTTCCCCTTCCACTCGTCCACCCAATGTTGACACTAGGACGAGCGATCATCTCAAAACTATACTCACCCGCCTCACAAGTAAACGTAGGCGCAGCTCCCATTTCCGGGATCATCGTATCGGCGCTCATATCCACGCTCCGCTAGTCCGCAGCGGCACCCTTCACCGGCGTCAAAATCCCCGCATGGGCACCACGGAGCACCTTGTTGTTCCAGCTGTACTTGTCATTGAGGCACCCATTGAGCCGGTAAAGGTCGAACTGCGGTGGGGTAACGGGCGACTGGCTGATTGCCCAGTCGTCCATCGACAGGCGGAAGACTAGTCTGCAGGTCTTCCCTAGCCTGGCTTGCTCCGAGGAGAGGTTGAAGTAGACGGCTGTGTGGACTTTTTCATTAGGGTTGTTGAGGAGGTGGCCGCCGCGGTCGTTGGAGGCGAATTTGGAGCCGTCCCTGGATTTCCAGCGGACTTGGAGCGACGGTGCGATTGTTTCTGTCGGTGAAGAAGTGAATGCTGCCGTTCTGTTTAGGTCGGAACGGGGAAGGAAAACCCGGGTAGCGGCAGGGGCACTGAGGACTGAGACCGCGAGAAGGAGAATTGAGATGAAGATTGTGGACTTCATGGTTAAAATCCGGAAACTTGCGACGGAAAGGGAGAAAGAGAATGAAGGAGATGCTGATTTGAGGGCTTGATGTGAACTCAGTATTGAATGCCGAGAAAGGGTGCTGGAAGCAACAGAAGAATGAAATTGAATCAAGAGCAAAGGAAGCGCTCTAATGCTTTCACGTCTGAATGATTGCTTTTGTTGCTGTTGTCTTCTGTTGAGATTATACACTTGATATTTATACATGCTGTCTACTGCATACAATGAGTGTTAATCTGATATGGCAGTGCTAGAGGCTGAAGTGGCAGTAGCCTCCACGAGACTGGCTAAGCACACCGACTTGGGAACCTCAAAAGTGATGTCCGATACAAGCACTCAAAATGCCCGCACGGACCGGACATCACTTCCGAACCCGCGCCTTGAAGGCGTTCGTGCTGGTTGATGCAAGTGTAAACAGTCGCTAGTGATCGACAGATGCCTTGTCGATAAAGACTGCGGGCCTAGGTCGTCGATTGCTGCCCATGCTAGATTGATTGGCCGATGTGCAGAGAGCGCAGGAAGCTGAAGCTGAAGGCGTTTCAGGCGCCTGGGCTGAACGGTGCATCGCCGATGGATCTCAGCGCATGGCGTTCGTCGTTCGTTTTCAGGACTCCGATAGTTCCTCAAGAACAATCGAGCGTACAGCTCTCAAAGACGTGATCATACGCTAAATGCTTCACAACGTGGGAATGTAAGTTCGAGATCTCTTAGCTTTATTCTATCTCTTGACCTATACTACTACAATGTATCTAATAGTTAATAGCTACTGTGCCTAGTAATTCCTAATGTGCTAAGAGTAAGTTCTTTCCCTTAGCTTGGAGCGTGAGCTGAGATTGTCTTCAGAAAGCTTCGGATGGCTTATTGGGTTGTGCTGACGAGGGCTATCAACATCCCGTCCAGCGCAGCCTGTTGTGTGTCAAGCTGTGACCTTGATTGGCCGACCCGTTCCGGCTATCCTCCCTACATATGGTGGCTATATTAGATGGCAAATCATTCCAAACAGCTAGGAACTTGTTGTAGGCAGGAGCGGGGTTGCGGCTGAGATGTGCAGCCACCTTTAACTTCAGCCTACAGTGTGTGTGTTTTCTATTATGGCTATGCACCCTATGGGTATGGGCTGTTACGATGCGCCAGCTGACTACATCCTTTTCAGCCTATAGCACCTCAGCCGGCTTTAGAGTCGGGAAGTTCCATGTCGACGACCACCCAAATCGGGCAAGATTCACTCGTTCATTGATCACGCCATCAGCTTTACGCATGCATGAGAGGAGCTGAGTTTTGGTAGCAGCCTTAGCGTTGTACTGTATTGTTGAGCGCTCAGCCTGGTTGTTACCACCGCTCAGGTTCCACGTTATTCGCTGACCATCCACCACTGATGACCGGTTACGGCGTCATTGGAAGGGAGTGCTGGAGGAGCTTATGCTGGAAATTCCTGGGCGTTTATCACGAGCCTACTTCAACTGCCTTGTTACCCCGTTTTTTGTCTTCCTAAATATTCACACTTGAGCTCACCCGGCTCATGGCAACTCCCGTTTCGTTCGCACATAATCTTTTGATTGTTCATGATGTCTCACACAGACCTCATGGCTCAAAGCACCCTTCGACCAAATTTTCAGATCATCAAACTCTGCGCTCGCCTAGCGAAGTTTGCCTACACTTCGGGGAACCCAGCATTGAAACTATCATCGAGGAAGAACAATGACGAAGTAGCAAAAACGAAACTGCTCGAAGAACTTCATACCCAGGTTACCGCGCTTGGACCCATCCTTGACTTCCAGAGGTATTACAGTCACTCTTGGTTTATACCCAAGTCAAGTCAACCCAAATGGTTTCGATCGTACGCGTATTTCTGTCATATTAAGGGGAAACCAGAGACAGGGGTAGGACGGGCTGACGGCAATAAAGAAACGGGGACAGTAGGAGGAGAGGAGGTAGACCGAGAGGCGGCGAATGTAAAAGCAGTGCAAAGAGAGGCATTGGAAGGCGATGCAATAGAACGCCCCGTGGTGGGAGAGGAGAGGTCAGGAGTGGAAGTAGAAGAAGTCATTGATAGGATAATCATGGGGTTCAGAGGAACCTGGAATGATTCAACCGGTTCTGGTAGATGGTTTCACGAGAATGGTACGTATTCTAGACCACGCCGATAGATTCTAGACTGTGTGCGCATCAGACTAACATGAAGTGCTGAAGAGGCCTTGCAAGAATCTTTGGTTTCGAGATTTCCCACATGGATCACAAACAAATTGACACCATCATCCAAGTATGGATTCTCTGACTTCTATTACGATGCAATGGTCATACGAATCCCTTACCGAAAGGGTACAGTCTGGAAGTGGTACGCGTACTGGGGTTCTTTGATCTTGGAGAGGACTGGGTGGGCTCGCCGGTTCTTTACGTGGCCTCGAACCGTCGCTGGGGACTGGATGACTAGGCCCAACGAACCCCCAAACGAGCTAAATGGTGGTCATGTCCACCTTGGGTTCTGGTCTCTCTGGGCCTCACCAGAGGGCTTTGCAGGATATAATCGAGAAGGATGTGTTTCGAGCAAAGAAAGCGTCTTGCACAGTGTTAGGAAAGCGCTTAAAGAAACAAACGGCAGAAAGACGGACGTCTACGTGGTGGGACATTCTCTTGGAGGGGCCGTGTCGAGGTATAGTTCGGTTCTGTTTTGGAGTCTACTATCTTGGCCTCGGCTGATTTGATTCCCAGTTTCGCCGCGCTCGATATCGCTGAAGAGCTGAAGGAATACCCGAACGCGACAATGTACCATGTTACCTTCGGCTCACCTCCCGTTGGAACGGCCGCTTTCGCAAGTTATTTCAGTACAAAGATGGATCGTCATCAGTCATGGAGTATATCTCACGAACGAGATATGATTCCCCAGTGCTTTTCTTGGTGTGCTTCGAAATGGTACCTGAGACCGCTGAACTGGTGGGGTGACTGGAGCTGCGTCGGAGAGAAGAGATTCATCACGAAGCTCGGAAGCCGAGAACCATCTGTCACCACCGAAGAAAACGGTAAAGTTGGCATCATCGAGAAGTGCAAGTGGGGCACAGCTGGGCTAGGAGCCTTGGGAATGCTCTATGGTTTAAGTATATTTGCCATTCCTATAAGTGGAGTGTGGTACTTCTGCAGATTGCCTTATTACAAGAGCAAGAAGAACCCGCCAAAAGGCCCAAAAAACACCTACGGGAAGTGTGTTACTCCTCTTGGGGAGAATGTTGGACTGGAGTATCACAGCCTACAGAGATACATTGACCTCATGGAGAACGAGAATGATTTGGAAAATTCAATCTATGGGGGAACAAGTGGGCCTACAGGGGTTGTTGGCGTAGGCTCCTAACCAGAGCTTCGCGTCGCGTAAAACACCATGCGTTCGACCGACGTCGAATCGAGTTCAATTCGTACGGGGTTCGATTTTTTGTTGCTGTTTTGGTCATTTTATTTGTTGACAACGCGTCGCGAAGCTGAGGTATCAGATCATGAACGTGTTGATAGGGTTCGCCCGCAATTAGTATCTTCTCACATCTTTTTCTCCTTCATCAAATCGTCTGTATGAGTGTAGAGTCAACGGAAGCGATCAGCAACTCACCTTGGTAATCCTGGCTGTGGGGAAGGAACACTGTTGTGCTACAGAAGAAGGCTCTTTGTAAATCAGGCGTGAAGGCGACGATGCGAGCGTAATTTTTAGGTAGGAGGCGTCCTGGATGTTTAAGAGTAGCTACAGCACACGACTTCTATAGAATTATAATAAATATTAACGCGCGCACAGATTTCGAGTTGCTTGAAGTCAAAGTACCCCTTATATTTCTCGGCACGGTGGGCTTCTCGCCACGTAGGGAGGGACTTTATATGTGTTCCACAGTACTTATTCGCTTTTCTGGCTGCTCGATTAACGTTGTGTGCGTTTCTTCTTCGCTAAGTGCATCAACGTGTTGCCTCTCCTCTTGCCAACACTGGAGGCATTGTAGAGAATACTTCGTATTCCAGCACTTTACTGCCATGTCCCAAGCGGCCTTGTTGCTACCATTCACTTGCTTTGTATTCCAGTAACTCTTCCTCGTGGGACAATACCGCATGCAATCGACACAGAGGCCCCAGCTCCTCTTCGGCTTTCCACGCGCGTCTACAGGCTTGACACGCTTCAGCACCTCTTCTATTAGTGGGCAGGAACCTGGAGGGCGACGCTTAGGTTGCGAGGGGACCTTTAGAGATGCGAAGGCGGAGATGCGTAGGAGAGTTTGGCACGAAAGGGCGAGGCAGAGCTTGTCTAATAAGCCTGCGTGGTAGAACACTATGAGGAGTTCGGCAGGAAGGCGGAGAAGAAAGGACGAAATAGGGGGGTTGTTGATGTTCACTCCAGACGGCCGCTCCGCCCGCGAAGCATGTGCTAGCCAAGCACGCGGGTGACAATAATGCGCGGACTCTATAGACAGCAAACCCAGAAGCTGCTGCAAAATGAAATCGATAACTAGGTTATATCAATCCTGAGTAGCGTGCGCATGTTCTTAGATATAAAATACTAAGACGAGAAGCTATAATAGCCCCCAATTGACATGTCGAAAGCTATATAACTGATTATTTACGTTGTGGTTTACTGCTTCGCGGTTATGGAGTCCGCGCATTCTTGTCACACGCGTGCCAAGCTGCGGAGCTTCCTCACCTCCGAGCTGCTTTCAACATGGGAAGCTCCCCACCATCGCCGGCAGCTCTCTCATTAGTGGTGAGTGGGGTTATGCCATCCTTCATAAGGTAGAGTAAGGGCTTCCGCGACAGCTTCAGATATCCATTATAGCGTCAGAGAGCCCCCGACTTCCGAAATCAAGACTTTAAACATGGCAGCCCTGACCGCGAAACCTACGATCGTCTTCGTCCCTGGCGCGTGGCACGGTACTTCTCTCCCCTCTATCCTTTACTATAATCACACACTAATACCGTCCCCTACAGGCCCCGAGGGCTTCAGAGAAGTTGCCGCCCACCTCCAGTCTGCGGGCTATCAAACCGTGCTCATCAGCCTCCCTTCCGTAGGCACCGATCCGCCGCCAGACTCATTTGGTCCCGACGTCGCCGTCATTCGCAAGGCTGTCGAGGATGCGCTCAATCAGGAGACGGATGTGATCATGGTCTTCCACTCGTACGGCGGCTTTCCCGGCAACGAAGCCATGCGCGGCCTGACCAAGTCCGCCCGCAGCGCCGCCGACGAGAAGACCGGCGTCGTCAAGCTCGTCCACATGTGCAGCTTCGTCGCGGCGGAGGGCAAGAACCTGATGGACATGCTGGGCGGAGAGCTGCCGCCGTGGATACGGGCGGAAGGAGACGTTCTATACCCGGACACTGCGGAAGAGAGGTTTTATAACGACCTTCCCGCCAACGCTGCTCTAGGGTGGACGGAGAAGTTGAAGCCACATGCGAAGGGAACCTTTCATAGTAGGTTGACGTACGCGGCGTGGAAGGATGTGGAGAACACATATATCTTGTGTGAGAAAGATAACGCGATTCCGCTGGCAGCCCAGGAGAAGATGGTGCACGATGCGAAGCTGGAAGGCGCGGTGTTTGAGGTCGAGAGGTTGGATGCCAGTCACAGTCCTTTCTTGAGTATGCCAGAACGGACGGCGGAGTGTATTCAGAGGGCGGCGGCGGGGAGGGGGATAGTGGCCCAGGTAGTGGAGGCGGTCAAGCAGGCTGGTGATGCGATGCTAGGTTGAGAGACTGCCTGCTGGGCAAAACAGAGTAGTGTTCCTCTACTTCGCGATAGTGACGTGAATCGTAGCGTTTGTGCCCAGTATTCCACAGCGCGAAAAGCAGCAGTCGCTCAAGTCAAATTTTGTCTTCGACTAGTGCAATCAGCATCAGCATTCTGTTGTCGCCCAGCTTGCGGTTATCAACACCTCAACTTCACTGTAACATGGCATCGAGAGAGGCTCACAGCTCCACGAGTAGCAGGACGTAGTCTCGAAGCCGATGAGGCTACTGGACGACGCTACTGAATACAATACAATGAGACGGGCTCCCAATCTCACCGCGCCTTCAGTGTTGCATTTCAGAATCACAAGCGAGGCACATGGAACGTGAGTGTTTTGAAAGAGTTTGGGGAGTAGTATTTGGTTTGCCATCGATACTGGACCGTCTTCTCAAGGGAAGGCAAGCTGAAGACTCCTGTCGCTCTCACTTTGGTAAGAGCGGAAGACCACGACCGCCCGCTCCCGGTCATCCTGTACATGCGACTACCATTCCAATCGATCATCATTGACAAGCTTGACGTCGTATCTCCCATCCCCTTTCCACACCTTCCCCGCAGAGTTGCAAGCCGCAACCGCATTTCGAAGATCAGAAACCATGCCTCCTGGTCCACTGGCAAAGACACGAGTGGGCCCGCGGACAGTGCTAGAGACGAAGCCTTTAACCAAAGCCGCGATGTCAGGACGACTGGTCGATGGGTTAGAAACCGCTGGAACACGAGCATGGTGGATAGCGAAAGATGAAGAGCGCGAGGCGTCTTCGTTGATGTGGTCAGGAGATGAGACTGAGGAGGATGGAGGTGATGCAACCTCAATTTCAGTGTTTTGACCATGAGATGAGGTGTCCGATTGCGACTTCCTCTCCTCAATCGTCACGAACTCGTTCTTCAAGGCATCGACTGAATCAGCAGCTTTGTTGTTCTTACCATGGGTGTCATCTTCCCGTGTTACAAAGATAGAGATCTTCAGATTCGAGGTCTTAGTGGCCAGTTCCAGGGTATTAAGCTCATCCTGGATCCAAAGCATGTCGTTCTTCCTTCGTATTGCCCATATGAACTCGATCGTCCTACCAGACGGAGGATGAGCCCCAGAGACGAGGCTCATCAGTACCGGAAGAACGAACGTCACGCCCGTACCGCCCGCAACGCAGAGAACGTTGATTTCAGAAGCTGCGGCCAGACCACCAACAAGGGACTGTCCGTAAGGTCCGGCAAGAATCACAGACGTCGTGGCTGGTGTATCAGTTGTGGCCTCTTTCTCCGTCCCCTCCAGTTTTCTCCGAGCCAATTCCGCCAGTTTCCGAGTCGCGCCTTTCTTGCTGCGGAGAATATACGAATGCCGTTGGCCTTTAGTGCTCGTCCCAGGCACGCTGCATGGAGTGAAAGGATGCGATTGTGATATGGTCAACTCGGGAAAGCAAACGAAGAAGTGCTGTCCAATATTCCAGGCGTCGTGGTTGTGATTGAAGTCCAGTCGAACAACATCGCCATGGCTGTCATCGGGGAATAGAGTGACAGCCGCGGTTGCGCTGCGAAAGCCCATAACGGAGGTACTTCCAGGAAGATAGTCGTAATGGATCAATGCGGTGCGCACAAGTCGGATTCCACGGTCGAGAAACCACACCGCGAGTGATGCAATCATCCAGCAGTTAAGCTGGACCCAGTGACCCCAGCATGCGCCGAGGTACAACATGGCCACGATGTAATGAGCCTTCCGGAAGAACTCGTAACCGGTGAATCTAATAGCCCACCGAGTGCTGAAGACGAAGAGGAAGCACAAGAAGATCATGGCGATGACGCCCCAGATCATGTACAGCTGCGAGATGAATCCGTCCCAGATCTTCGGTTGGGGTTGGTAGAGCCTAGCTTCTATGATGGTCCAGCCGAGCGTGTGGAAGGCTGATTGCAGGAAAATGATGTAGCCAAGCCAGCGGTGCAGGAAGTTGAAGTGCTGGTATGGGATCCCAGTGATAAGGGAAAGAAGCGACTCCCGGCTCGAAAGCATAACGGACAAGGGCGTCAGAGCGAATGCCAAGACTCCCACTCGGTTTGACCACGGTCCAAGACCGCTGCGGGTGTTGTAGACGCCAGGCATGTTCTTCACTGGGGTGATCCATCTCTTGTAGACGATACCAATGAAGGAAAAGATAAGGAGATAGCCGGCCAGTATCGCCAAGACCAGGATTTGGAGGCGGGTTGTGCGGCCGAAAATTCTTACCATGCTCTCCGGAAGGAGATAATGGCGGGCTGTAACCTTGGCTGATCTCGTGAGACGGTATAGCCCGGTCTGCCGTACCGTTGGCCGTTCGCTCTCCCCCCCAAGGGCTGTTGCGTCTGACCGTCTAGATGGGATAAAGTGTCTTCCAAGGCACCAGACGAATAGTATGCCGCCGATGACCGCCCATAGTATGAACGAGTACAGCATTGAGACATCGTGGCTCCAGTAGACGCTGTCGAGGTATTCGCAAGATCCTGCGTCGTTGGTGCATGGTACCACGCGGAAAGCGTAGCCCCAGTGCGGCTCCAAAGATCCTGCGTCGCTGAAGTTTTGGATGTGCGCCCGATCAACCAGCATCTTCGAGGCTGCAAAAGAGGATGACATCTCAAGGAAACCAGAAGGACTGCTTGTATACTGAGGTGGGGATGGGGCACTGATTAAAGGAGTATGTAGGACCAAAGATGCAATGGAGATACCTTAGAGTAAATAAGACCTGCAGTGCGCTTTGCCTATCTCACCTTCCTTGTAGTCAAGTCGATACGCGGGTTCGAGAAAGTTTCCATTGGCTCGATACAGAAAGAAACCAGCTCATGCAAGATCTTCACCGTTTTCTGGACGTGGTTTGATCTTCCATGCCCGCTTGCCGGGTATTTATGCAAGCCCTGCGGCGGCTTGCCGCAACGCCAAGAAGCATGAGCCTGAATGAGCAAGTTTTCTCTCAACTCTCTGGACCCAACACCGTTTGCACATGTCGTACGACAAGCGGAATGGCTGCAGCCAAAAAGAAGCTGTGGCTTTCCCGCTCATATGCAGGCGCCCTCGAACTCATGACCGTCGACTTTCGCGTGAACTACGAGAAGGTGTTTCTCTGCAAAACCTGCTCGAGGTTATCTACCGCATAGTTCTTGTGACGGGACTTTTCACAAGCTGCCACCTCTTCTTCTTTGACCACAGCCAACGACTTCATCTTTGCGTTTGAGAGACGCTCAGCAAACTCCACTTGACACACGTCTTACGCTCTCACTGTCTCTTGGCTCTGCTTTTTCCGGCACCCTCACCAACTTCATCTGCCACGTCTCACCTGGATTCTCCACCATGAGCGCTTCAATGAGTATGTCCATGGCTCCATCGACTACAATTGCAACTGCTGCTGCTGCTACGACATCAGCCGCCGGTCATTCGATGGGTAGCATGTCAATGAGCGGCGGTGCGTCAACGTGCAAGATCTCGGTACGTGCTTTGTCGCACCGTAGGCGTTCCTATTTGATGCTAGCAAGCTGATGAGTCTCTCTTTAGATGCTGTGGAATTGGTATACCATCGACGCGTGTAAGTAGTTGTGCTCCAGCCACTCTCCTTTGGCTTTCACGTCCTCCACCTCTCTTCCCACCACGCTTCCGTTCCTTACATTCCTACACAGGCTTTATCTCTCGCACCTGGCATATCACCTCCAATGGCATGTTCGCCGTGTCTTGCATTGGAGTCGCCTTCCTTGTCGTCGCTCTCGAACTCTTGCGCCGCCTTGGAAAGGAATACGACGCCGCGATGCTTCGTCAATTCCAACGACACGTGGCCGCCCGAACCGCAGAATCCAAGACTCCGGGCTCTCCAGAGACCTGCACCAGAGAGCCGACGTACGTGGTCTTCCGGCCAACTCCATTGCAGCAAGTTATACGTTCGCTCATCCATATGGCTCAATTCGGCGTAGCCTACATCATCATGCTGTTGGCCATGTACTACAACGGCTACATCATCATCTCGATCTTTCTCGGGGCGTTTTTGGGCAAGTTCCTGTGCGATTGGGGAGTGCAAAAGGTGGCTCTAGGCGAGATTATCAACGGTAACGACGCGAACGGAGTCAATGAGGCCACCGTCTGTTGTGGCTAAGGTGTGGAGCTAGGCGGAGCCTCCGGTTTAGCTCGAGTAACCCCAGATGGTTATGGAGGGATTGCTGCGGCATCAGCACAGGCTTGATCAATGGATGCATCTTGAGTTGACAAATATGACTCTTACAGCAATGCTAATAAGTCCCAAGTCATTTTGTGTCTTACTGGGAGCATTCACTAGTTCTTGAAAGACATCCATCTGACACGGGAGATTTCAGCTGCCGGAACATCTAAGCTCCTCGTGATTTGAGCACCTGACTCCTGATCGCCGAGCCAGTGACGTGACCTAGACATCCTTACGGAATCTGCAGTAAAGGCGGTAGACTCTCTGTACGCTACGAGCGAGCTTCGAGGCGTGATAAGCACCGTGATGAGGATGCTAGAGCTTCAAGGGTTCCGGAAAGTCGTGAAGGCTCCGCTCTACCGAAAATCAACCGGCGGAAGCTCCAGCTCCAGAAATCAGCATCAACAAAGCTCTGACTACTGACTGCCATCGATCGACTCGACTCGCGACGCGCTCTTGCACCCCGACGATCACCAATATGTTCTCGCCCGATGCCGCTCTCCCAAGCGTGCAAAATGCCTCCTCACGAAATCCTCGAAGGCGCCAGCGGCAGTACGATTCGGACAGCACCAGACAGCAGCGCCAGAGGAAACGGAGCAAGCTCTCAGATGACCTTTTCGATGCGCCCACAACGGCGAACGGCAGCCATGGAATGAACGGGCATGCTAGCCATGGCGCAAAAGATGCGGTCCCTACGCTGCGGTCTCACAGCATCCCTGTGCGGGAGAAGAGGATATCAAGTCTGGTCAAGAGGGGAGAGAAAGGCGACGGCGGCACCACCTTCGTATGCGCCTTTGCTCTACTGGGCTCCTACCGATCGTGATGCGCTGGCTTGCTGATGATCTGTAGACCAAGACTGCCAACTATACCGTAAAACAGCTGCCAGGGGTGCCAGAGCGCCTCCGCGGTCTCAAGTCTGGTTGGTCTCCACAAGGATCGATCTTCGCATTTATGCTAACATCTGAATCCAGAGAGCTTTCGAGCATCTTCCTTGCCTTCTACGCCCTACGCGCTTGCACTAACGCACGAACATGCCTTCGTCTGGGACTACACCTCCCCCGTTCCATCACCCACTCCTCACATCCTGACACTCCCTCATCCCTCCAAGCGTACCGATCCGCTACCGCTAGGCTCTGTCGTCACCACCGGCCCACCCCGCGATGTAGGACTAGTTGTAGTTATGCCGGTCTCTGGCAGGATCACCTACTGGGAAAATGTGGACAGCGCAGAATCGCTCAGCCTGTTCCAGCAGCGGCGTCCGGGCATTGAAGGCTCCGCAGCGCTGATGAACCGGAACGAGACCGTCACCGAGATTGTTGACGCGGACCGAGCGGGCTTCGTCCTGCTATACAGCAGCGGGCGGATTGCGCAACTCACACTTCGAGACTCGCAAGGTCGGCCCCACATCAACGTACAATTCTTGTCCGGTCAAGGAACAAACGGAGGAGGCTGGCTCGGTGGTTGGTTCTCTGGCTCAACCTTTCAAGGCGATGTTGCGGCGGTCCGAGTGCGACCGTCACCGACAAAAGGGCAGATGGAGGTAGTTTCGGCTACTGGGACTGGATCTTTCGAACTGTGGGAACTAAGCTGGTCCGGCCAGCCCGTGTACAAGGGCAAAGTCAATGCCCGCAGCGTGATCACCGACTCTCTGAAGCAAGGCACCGTGCCGGAAATGGGCGGCCAACTTGAAAACACCAAAATTCTTGACTTCACCATGCTGCTTGGCCCGACGAGTAAAAGCACGGAGGTCGCCCTGGTCAACGCTCGCCAAAGTCTTGGAGTGATCGCGCTCGTTGCGACTCCTGGCGGCGCAAAGGCAGACTACGCACTGGTTGAAGTGGTATTCACAGGAGACACGGCCAACGTAGAGCGAGTTATCCCTCTTCATACATACAAACAGCATGGCGGCGAAGGTTCCGGTTGGAAGCCGAGACTTCTGGTACCGCACCCTGGGCATACCGCTTTAGTGCTCTTCGACCGCGCGATTGTCATCGTCTCCCTTGCAGTCCGCACCGCGAATCCAGAATCTGTGAAGCCGTTACCGCCCTACCAGGACACCGTGTACCTACGTGACGACGCGAAGGTAGAGTTCACTGGGTGCGCTGTTGAGGGTCCTCATGGCAAGAGCAAAACCTCAAGTTGTATAGTGTTCACGGACTCACCGGACATCCTACGCGTAGCAGCGTTCAAGCCTCCCACGGACGGCAAGGATGCAAACCGTGCCAGGGTGACTGCGAAAAGCAAGATTGAGCAAGCAATATTCTTCAGCGCGATCCCTGAAAACGTGATGGATTTCTCCAGCCGGCCGGTCTTCGAGTTCTCTAAAGAGGAAGTGCGAAAGGCAGCTGTAGAAGTCAGCAAGGGGATTCTGGCCTCTAGGTCGGAGTTCATACCACTCGTAACGATGTCTATGGATGAGCAGCTTGGCGTGAGGGCAGACGCGCTTCGAACGTTGGCTTCGCATCTGAAGCAGCACTATCCCGGTTCCCTGGATCGAGACACCAAATGGCAGCTCCTATGGGATGCCGAGAAGGTGGCTGCCGCGCGCGGCATTTGGAAAACATACGACGAGAGCCTGAAGACGAGGGACATCAAGCAGAGGAAACTACTCACCGAGGTGGTGGAGTTCATGCACGAGCGCTACAAGACTCCTCTTGACCCAGAGATGGGCGAACTGGATCCAGTCCGGCAGTGGTTCGTTAAGGATCTATCGAATATCAACATCCTTCTCCCGTGGGCTTACCATGCCATCCAGGAGCTCTTCGATGAGGGCGTAAAAGACCGCATGAGCATTCTCATCTTGACTAAAGAAGCCGTCGATCTATACGTCGTTGCACTGGAAACGGCTTTCCAGTTCCGCAAAAGCCATCTCGACCTGTACGGTCTGGAGCAGGAGAAGATAGATGACGGCGTATTGGAATCTGGCTTTGAAGGCCTGCCGGAGTTCTGGACGTCGACATACAACATTGTTAACTCTCTAACCAAGCTGGTTGATTTTTCTCGAGACTTGCCCGTCGAGACATACGAGAAAGTACAACTGGACTCATCTGAGGCGGAAATCGCAAGAGAGGTCGCCAAACCGAATCACCAGCTTGTCAAGCTTTGCTGCCTGACACACATCGAACGTTACCGGTGGTGCCTCGCGCACGAGGACGAAGCATTACGAGCTCAAGGCCGCGATATCAAGCTGCACTTCGAGGAGAAAGTACGTCCAGTGCAGATTACTCGACTGCTCAAGCTTGGCCAGGTTTCTCAAGCTATGGATTTGGCTGAGAAACTGCGCGACATGCCTACGCTTGTAAAGTTAGTGCACAATGAGACAGCATTCCTCAACGAGTTTCTAGTACAGGCTACGCCTGGGAAGTTGGAGACACTTGAGCAGGAGAAAAAAGCAAGGGTCTTAGGGGCGCGCATCAAGAGATATTTCGCTGTATTTGGTGACGACTGGGCAGATGCACTATACTCCAGCTACATCCATGAAAATCGAGGCGGGGCGCTGTTCGAAGAAACCACATTTTCCCAATCTCACCTCACGAAGTTCCTGCGTGCGAACCGCAGCCGCGCAAAGCTCCGCTGGATCAACGAAGTGACCGGTGAGAAGAACTTCGCCGAAGCAGGCTCGGCCTTGCTGGACGTTGCTCGTAACCAAGAGCCGAACGCTTGGTGTAAGAAAATCGAGTTATCCCTCGCGAAGCTCTCTCTCCTTGCCGCAGCCGAGAACAGCCAGAAACCTTCCAGCGGAAACCTGGCCTCGCTTCAGCACCAAACCACACACCAATTGCGCCTCACAAAAGTTCAAGAACAGCTCCACGCCCATATCCAACCCACCGTTCACGGCGCCCTGGACGCGGAAAGCGCCGTCGAGCTCCTCATGGACACCTACGGCAAAGATATTGTCCATGACAAGCCAGCGCACCAGCAGCTCCTCCGCCGCGGCTTTGAGGAGCTCCTGTCTCACCGTGCGGTGTCTGCCGACCTCCTGATTGACGTGCTCACCCTTATGGACCAGACTTATACCGAGGCGCTCGAGCCTGGTGCCGTTGACATTCGCGGCAAGGAATTCTTGCTGGCGCTGCAGGCGCTTGAATACCACTGCGCCGCCTCCTCTTCTATAACTGCGAGTAGTGGAGATGCGACGCTCAAGCTTATCTGGAAACGCTGCTTCATTCGCGACGACTGGGCTGCCATCAACAATACCGTGGGCAAATCTGGGGAGGTCATAGAGCGGGAAGTGGCAGACACAGCGCTCTTCTGGACGCTGAAGGAGGGCTTCAAAATCGGTAAATATATCCCTTGCCCACCCAATGCCCACCTCGGCCCATGGTCTCCACTAACAACCCTACAGCACTCTGGGACAAAACAACAACAATCCGAGCCCTCCAACCCGCGCACGTGCTCGGCGCAGGCTGCGACCCGAACGCGCCCGCGCTGCGGGAACGTTTCCCGGCAGAGGAGCTGCGCGAGCCCATCGCGGCGGATAATGCGCTCGATGATGAGATGCTGGAGGAGTATCTCGAGCGGTGTAGGCTCGAGCACTGGTACGAAGTGTGCAGCAAAGCGGCGATCAAAAGTTTGCATGATGAGGCGGAGGCGGAGGCGCGGAGAAGGGAGGCGGAGAGGGAGAGGATGGGGGAGGGGGTTGACAATAGAGATAGGGAGGACGAGGAGGATGAGGAGGACGGCGATGAAGAGGAGGCTGCTGAGGAGGTGGACGGGGATGGATATGGTGAGGAGCTGGAGGAGGGCAGCGAGCGGATGACGCCGGGTGGATTCGATGGGGACGATGAAGAGAGCGTTGTGACTGACGCGATGGAGGAGTGAGAACTGCGGAGGAATCGAAATGGATTGGATGGCTACATAGGGCGCGGCATTTACAGGCGCTGGTTTCTGATACCGTCGAGCCCTGGTGCATGGAGCGCTGCGCATTGGAAAGGTAGATACGTGCGCCAGTGGTCTGCATATCTTGCTACGCTGAAGGGCCGAATACGCTTCGGATACCTTGCAAAGGAGATTCACTACAATACCACAAAAGAAGTTAGGAGATGTCTTCTTAATAAAGCTTTCCAGTTCCATAAATTACGAGTAAGACTTCACAATTCTGTCCATCTGACCTTGATATGACGCTGCCAGAACGTCCAAGTAAGAGGAATTTTTGATGTCATTGCTGCGGGGTATCTCGTGTGGTCAAGTCCGCTCCTGATAGTAATTATGGCGAGATAACCTTGATAATTCTGGTAAGACTAGACAAGCATCGAAGCAGGCGATATTTCCGCTCACTGAAAATTGGTCGTCAATGGTCCAGCCGTATGCACATTTCAACCCGTTTCAACATGTCCATGACCGACAACCTCTTCCTTCCCATCTATACAGCTCGCACCAGATGCGCTAGAGCACAACCATGCCGAAACCAGCGACCACTCCAGCGACACAAAACCCCCACCACCAGGCGCGTAGACCTGTCCCAGCGCTCACAGGCGCCAGCTTCCCCACGCTCCCCGCCCCACTAACCGTCGCAACACAGTTCTCCGCACAGTTGTACCCACTAGGACAGCACCCGCCTCCCCTATCCGCCGCACAGCTATACCACCCCGTGGCACAGCTCCCCGCGCCCGCGCTGGCTGCGGCCGAACTGGTGATTCCCGTCGTAGCGCCGCTGCTGCTCGAACCCGCAGGCACACTCGCAGCAGCAACGGTAGCACCCGCGGGCGCGGCGACCGTAACGCCGTTGCTCACGACCACGGTGCCCGGCGAGGGCGGACACGAGGTCTGTGCGCAGTCCCTGCCTACCTGGCAGCAACCGCCTAGGTAGTACGCCGAGCACATGTAGTAGCCCGTTGGACAGGGTCCGGCAGACCCGGCAGCGGTGGATATCGTCGCGGTGTTCGCAGCAGTGGACGGAGTAACGGGGACGACGGTGTCATCGGCCTCGGAACTGGTGCCGGAGGTTGGGCGGACGGGCGCGGCGGCCGTGGCGGTTGGAATGGTGGAGAGCGGAGGACAGCTGGGGGAGCCGCAGGCGCGGTCGGTGGGGCAGCAGCCGCCGCCGAGGCTTTGGGGGCAGGATTGGAAGCCGGGGGTGCAGATTAAGGGGCTTTGGACGATGATGGGGGCGGTTGTGGGGATTGGTGTGATTGAGGGAGGGCTCGAGGTTGTTGGCGTGGCCGAGGGGGAGGTCGCGCTTGATGACGGCCTAGAGGTGGGTGATGTTGATGGTCTGATGGTTGAAGTGGCTACGGGTAGTGTAGTCGTGACGGTTCTGGTGCCGCTGATAATGCCTACATGCGCTCAATTTAGCGGCCTGGAACTTCCAAGGACTGGACTCGAGCACTAGAAGCACACTTACAGCCAACATCCTCGCAAGCATAATTCGGTATGCAGCATCCTCCGTTTGAGCTACCGGGACAGCTGGTATAGCCGTTGGCAGTGTCGCACGTTGATACGGATCCTGAACAGCTTGTTCCAGCAGGGCAGCACCCAACGTCGCCCAACCCGGTATCTGTTACTATAACGCAAGTCTCTCCAGTAGCGCAGCAGCTGTTCGGCCGGCTAATTGCCGCACAACTGCTCGTGCCGGTGGGGCACTGAAAGTCTCGTCCCCGAAGGCCGTTGCGTGGAAGGAACCGGAAGGGGTGCTCGTACTGCAGCGGCTGCTCAGAGTGGAGCAGGAAGGGCGGAAGGTATTGGTATGCCAGCGAACTGTTCCCATATCCTTCACGGTCACTTTCTTGCGTTGCTCGCCGCAGCAACTGCTTGTCCGCAACCTTCAGCCCTCCGCTCTCGTCCGCAAGCCCAGCTCCATCAAACTGCCAGTAATCCAAGGAGAACATCTCGCCCTCGTCTCCACTCATCTTCCGAACACCAATGGGAGTCTCACTCGCAAGCCGCTCCATGACCTTAGCCTTCCTCTTGACGTCGACTTCATCTTCTGGAAAGTATTTTGCGTCAGCTGGTAGGTTATACGGCCACGACGGTTCTGAGGCTACGGGACATGGCGGCACGGTGACGAGGAGGAGTACGAGGGCGCTGGGGAGAGTGAAGATGCTGCGTGCGTGTCGCATGTGTGGTAATGACGCGAGGGTGGAACTGAGCGGCGAAGTCTCACTGCGGAGCGGAAAGCTGCTGATCAACAGCTGGATAGCGATATGTACACGAGGACTATATTGACAGAAGGAACAGTGTCTACAAGAACGGAGTTGGGGTTCTCAATCGGAGGTCCAGGGTGTAGTGATATGTCCCCGTTAGAACGGCTGGCTAGTTCAGTGAAATACTTGGAAGTTGAAAATCGCGAGGCTGGTCTCGTCTCCTACACGGCGCCCTAGCAAATTAGAAACCCAGCCCGAGTTACAGTCCCGATCTAGATCGCTCGACGTACCTCCAATGGCGGCGACTTCCAGAGGTCGTGCTGAAGTCCAGCGCCGTAATAGAGACAGCTCGTGGAGAGAGAGAGAGCTCCATGACTCCATCAGAAACTTGCACGAGCCAGACTTGACTCGCGTTCGTAAGTACCCTTGTACTTGGAGAGCCGTAGGGATGGGAGCATGGACGCGGCAGGAGCTCGTGGGATAGGACATGGGATTCCATAGCAGATCATGGTACCTTGAAAGCAGATTGCAACCAGTCTATAACAACGACGCTGTGCAGACGCCCCGAAGAATCCACAACGAACGTCCCTCGCGCTGACATCTCCCAGTATGCATAGCCCATCCTGAACGCCACCCATATCCCGACCTATCAATAGAAGAATAGAAGACAAACCCTCCGGCAGCAAAGAGTGGTATCAAACAAGAATTCGTGATATCGTAAACGCCCCAAAATCCTCAGAATCCTCCCAAGAAAGAATCACCCTCCCCTCCCCCAAAACATCCAGCCCTCGGCCTCAGTACCCATAATCACTCGTGTACCCCAACGGCTGTCCACCAGCGCCAAAGTCCTCCTCATCGTCCCACCTCTCCCCGCCACTGCTCGCATCAAAACTGCTCCTGCCCCCATCGTCACCCTCATCGCCCCCCAGCGCATCCCACTGGAGCCCCGCGAGCGCGGGGTACTGCGCCAGCAGCGCGGCCGGTAGCCCATAAACCGGACCCGCAGTCCCCGCATACGACGCCGAGGACTGCTGAAACGGCGCGCCGAAGCCCGCCTGCTGGGGGTCCTGCGACATCTGCATGCCCAACCCGCCCTGCGGCTGGGCGATTTGGCCAGCGCCAAGCATATCCGTGTCCATGCCGGCTTGCTGCTGCTGCTGCTGCATCTGCTGCTGCTCTCCCAACTCCCACCCCTTATCCCGCGCCTCCTCGTCCAGTAGCGGGCGTATACACACGCGCCCAGCCTCGGACCTGAAATGGCGGCCCAGCGCATCCGCGCGCGCAAACCGGCGCCCACAGCCCCAACTATTCCCGTCCTTGAGCTGCCCTCTGCACACAAACTTCTTCTCGCCCGAGTGCAAGCCCTCGTGGCGCTTACGGTCGTGCTGGCGCGCGAACGCCTTGCCGCAGACATTGCAAACGAAAGGCCTCTCGTCTGTGTGGGTGCGGAGGTGGGAGCGTAGGTTATAGGCGCGCGTGAAGCGCTTCGGGCAGAGGGTGCATTGGAAGGTTGCAGGGTGTTTCTGGCTGCGGCGGTTCGGGGATGCGGAGGGGTCGCCTGAAGCGCTGGAGGCGGGACGCGAGGCCGCGAGGTCGAGGATGTAGTCGCGGTGCGGGATGCTGGAGGTCGAAGATCGGCGAGAGCCCTTTGAGGAGGGCGAGGGCGAGCGCGAGGTATGCTTTGCGGCGTTGGGGGAGAGCGTGTTAGAGGGGTCGGAGCCGGGGGTGGAGGGACGAGAGGGGATGAAGGGGTCGGACTTTGCGCGCATGCGGTTGCGGCTGCGACCTGAGCTGGTGTTAGTGCATTCGAGCTGTACGTAACGTGCTCGCAACTTACTTCTCTCCGGCGGACTCAGTGCATTCTCGCGGGCTGGCTCTTTGGGTGGCTCGAAGCTGGGTTGCCGCGATGGGGGCGCGAAGTCAATGCTGATTTCCGGTGGTGACATTTGATCGGCTTGACCTAGGTCTATCGATCCATTGTGCTTTGTCAGTTGTGGGAACGCCTCTTGGCCCGAACCGGGGAATAAGTCCAACCCGCCAGTCTGACTGCCAAATGGCGGTTTCATAGCCTGACTCAGGCCGAAGTCGTTGGAGTTTGTGAAAGTAGGCGGAGTGGGCTGAGGCATCAGGCGCGGCGAGATGTGCGGACTTTGGCCAGGGCTTCTGTGAGGGTGGCTCTCACTCAAGGAGAATTGACCGAAATTGTCGAGGCTCGGGAACAACAGAGGATCCTGTTGAGGGCCCAGTAATGGGGACGGGTTGTCATTGATATCGAAGGTCTCATTGTTACCCATGTACGGCGAGGGGTGCGCTGACGAGGAAACGTCAGAATATGTGTCGGATGGGGCTCGTTGATGCTGCCGAAACGAGTTGTCCCACTGTGCGAGCTGTCCTTGCGGATATGCCGCGCTTGACGGATCCAAAGACAAGGACGTATTTCTCGAATGGTTCGGAGAGGTGAAGGCAGCTTGTTGTAGCGAGGGGGAGATGTGTGGACTCCCGCCAGAAACATGGCGCATGCCGGGCTGCAGCATGTGAGGAGGCGTTGGCGAGTGCATTTGCGTGGACGTCATCGTACTCATGAGATCTCCTGGATCAATCGCGTGGTTGGGCTGAGGTTGTAGGTCGAGGAGATGCGGATCTAGGTAGGGAGAGTTGTTGATAGGCTGGTCTTGGTTGAAGCTGTTGCTTGTGAGGAACTGTGGACCGAAAGCTCCGTTGCTTCCAGACGTGTTTCCCAGGTCCAAGAAATTGGGCTGGAAGAGGTTGCCTTGCGGCCCGAAATGAGGACTCGGAGAACCGTGTGGCTGTACGCTTTGAGGATGGAAGAAGCTCTGATCTATAGCGCCCGCCTGTTGGGAAAATTGCTGAGGCTGATTTGCGCCGAGGTACTGCGAGTTGATACCGAATGATGTATGATTCGGCTGATTCGGCTGATTCGGCTGGCCGTTGAAGGTTCCGTTGAAACGACTACTGTCATTGACAAGCGACTGATCCAACCCAAGACCGGATAAGTTGTGCTGATAGATGCGGTGCGGCGATGGTGATGGGGTATGTCTTATACGATTCTGATTGCCCACCGACGGCGACCTGCCCCGCTGCTGGCCGTTCATGATGTCTGCTTGTACGTCTTTTCTTAGAGTATGCGGCATGAAGCCCTGACGACGAGCCGAACTGGAGCAGGCGTGTATGTTTGGCCCGTGCACCGCGGAGCAGACGTAAGCGGAGTGTCGATTGGTGTTCGGCGGTCGAGTACACGATGCAGGTGGTGCCGGGGCGGCGAGGCTGAGTGTCGGAACACAGATGAAGCTCCTGTCGGTCAGCGGTGGGGGCGCAGCGCAAGATCAAGCGGATGCCGTGACGGTGGACGCCGCTATGGCGGCTCGAGGAATCGTCCGTCTCAGAATAGAATCGGGAGCGCTTGCGCAAGACGGTCTGATGGAGTTGTTTCTGTGTTTCAGGGCGCGGATCTGAAACGAACTGCGGAGGAGTAAGCTGCCCTGCGCGTACACGATGCGCCGGTCCTGATACGGCCTCCTGCCGCGCTGGTAGCGACGAGCTAAAGGTGGATGTCGAGCGCGTGAGATTGACACTGGGCGCTGAGGTAAGACGCGACGGGCGGATATGTTTGCGCGCTGAGCGAGAGGGTGCAGGTAGTCAAACTTATGGAGGTGTTGGATCGCTACGACGTTCCTGCCCCTCGACACGGCCAAGACACGTGCAGATGGGTGATCTCTCTAGCGCGGCCGTCGATGTTCGACAGCTCGAAGCCAAGGTTGGAAGGCGTGGAAGGCAGCAATTCGAACAGGATGTCTAAGCCTCCAGGACAGCTTTGGGGCTCTGGGGCTCTGGGGCTCTGGGACCAAGGCACTCTGGGACTCGGGGCTTGCAGAGGAAAAGCAGCGGGGAACGGGGGTAGGCGAAGAGGTGCAACGATAGGCCGGCGGCTGTCAGAAAGTCACTACTGACCGGGTTCTGGGATCCATCAACCTAGCATTCACCGCCGGCCCACTGCATCCCTCGATGCATCTACGAATAGAACAATCAGATTGGGGTAGACAGAAACATAGAACAATCACGATGATGTAACCGGCTGAACAGCTTGTGTTCACGAAACAACGGTGTGTTCGTCGACAGTCCACCAGCACAGCCCACTTGGGGCCGCACAGCCACCCCACCTTACCCCCGGCTTGTCCTTGGCCTCTCCCAAGGCACACTTCTACAGGTACCCGTCTTGTCCTGCGGCACTCATGCGAATCATCTGCCCAGCTTAACGTGTAGGTGGCGTACAGTTCAGGATAGCCGGTTGTGGTGCACGTTGTACAAGTGGAAGCGGCAGCTCGTGGATACGGGTGTTGGCCCAATTGGCAGTCGTTATGTACAGACTACCCGCCTCACGTATGATGCTGCCCATGTCATACCTATACATTATCCATACTAGCATCCTATCATGCAAACTTCATGCCCTTCGCCGGATCCCACCGCGCGTCACGTGAGTGTCCTGGCTGGTTATTGCTCTGCGGCGCGCTCCCGTCATTGAACCTGATCCCCATCTCCGGCGTCCACATACCAGCCGCGACGGGGCCCGGCCCGGTCCTAGTGGGTGTTGGTGCCGCCAGCGGCTCCTCAGCTGGAGGCTTGACCGGATATGGCGGTTTCTGGTGCTCCGCCTTCCTCTGTTGCTGTAACGAGTTGGCCTGCTGGAGGTTCAGGCCGGACATTGCTGTGCTGAGGTCGCTTGGGGACTGTTAGGGAGCTATGGGCTATCTCCAGGAGTTCAGAGACTTACGATTCTATCTGGGACGCTTCCGTTCGCCGCTGGTAGGCGAAGCTGCGGCAGTCGTCCCGGAAGCGTCCGACTATCTTGGCGAGGTCATTGTAGAACTTCCTTCCTACATCGAGGTTCGATATGATCTCTTTGTATTTGAAGTACGCGTTTTCGAGCTTCTGTAGTGCCTGCTCGCGCTGCTTGCTTGAAGAGTCGCCTCGCCGTGCGTTGATGAAGGCTGCATTTGCCTCTCGTAACCGGGCTTCAATCTTCTGCTGCTCCTCTTGCTCCTCTGAGATCATCGCCTTGTCTACGTCGTACGTCTGGAGACGTTTCTCGAAGAAGTTCTCGAACTGGACCGCTTCGATGGTGTGCATGGGGTATTCGCGCTCCAAGCGAGCGGCTTCCCTTAGCAGATCATGATCTGTGACCCGGTCAGCATGGTGGCAGATACGACAGAATTTAGCGCTTTACTTACTGACGTCGTCCTGCTTGGCTTTCGCTTTCAAAGCTTCAGCCTTTCGTCTCCGTCTGGTCTCGAGCCGATTTACTTCGTTCAAGCAACCTCGGAGCCTCCCTGCTTCTCTCTCGACCGCAGGAGTCATGGTGGTCCGGCGGCTGCTCGGTACGAAGTGTTCAAGGTCCCTATCTGTACCGCTCAGGAGTCGAACGTACTCTTCACAATCCTTGATCTTATCTTGCACGAGCTTGTCGCTGTTAGCCGCGGACTTCAGGTAGCCCTCGATCTCGCCTATCTGAGCATATAGCTGCGGCACTGCTTGCTCAGATGTAGGCCGGTTCCATCGGTCGGTGCCATACTTTCGCCTTGCTCGGTCATCTTCTGCAGCTTCTGCTCGTAAGAGGTCTAGGCCCTCCTGAAACATTGCCCGATCGGTCTCCTTCAGCTTCCGAGTCTCATCGATAGACCGATAGAGACGGTTAATGCCGTCCTGCTGGCGTATCTCCTCTGCATGAGAGATGAGACCTGGAGGCAATCCAAGTGGCTTCTCAAGGGCCTGTAGTGAGCCTGGTAGGTTGAGGCTCTTCAACACCTCGTGCATTCTCGCCGTCAAAGCCTCCAGCTCGTCGATGGTCTGATTGACGATGCGGTCCCTGCGATCAGCGTATATGCTGGCTGCGACGTGCACAGAGTAAGGGACCAGCTTCGAGAATAGGGGACGGCCGAGTGCGCCGTTCTCGCCTAGCAGCGATAGCGGATCCGAGAGCTCCTTTGGTACTCTGGCTGCCACCATTGTGGCTCGGTCTAATGTTTTCAGTTCCGGCTTGGGCGGCACTGGTATCAGATAGATCATATCATTGTCCTTCTCAGCCCGCTTGAGGTCCTCCTGCACCCTGGTTTTGAGCGCGTTGAGGTCAGCCAACACAGCCTTGCTGATATAACGTGACTCTCGCAAGGCTTCGTTGACACAACTGAGAGCGTCCCGAAGCCTGGCAACTTCTTCTCCGTACTTCCTCTTCTCCAAGCAGTCGCAAGCGGCTCGGTATTGGGCGGCAGCGGCAAAATGGTGATGCTTAGCGGTCATGTGGTGTATCCACTCGCTTGTGATTGACTCAGATTTGATGCCAAAATCACTGGCCTCGGAGTAGAGGTCGGATACTTTGGCGGCCAACTTGGCTATCGAGGCATCCTTGAGCCCATCTTTCACTGCCTTTTGCCAGAAACATTCCTGTGCTTGCGCTAGAAGCAGGTGCTCTAGACTTTCCAGCGTCATGGTGTCCATGTCTTCTGGCGGTGCTGATCGTAGCTCGGGTACGACATTGATCTTGAGGTGAGAGATAACCCCTGCTGCTAGACAGAAGTAGTTGCAAGCTGCCTTCAAGCCGTCAGATGTGCTCCGATTCGAGGAGGTGGCGAGCTGGCAGTACATTGCGGCGAGGTTGTACACGATGTTTGCTAGCTCAAATCGGAGGTTGTTCTGTGATACTGAGCACACGGTCAGCGCGCCGGGGAGTACAGGTTGGAGGTGAAACGGGACGGACTCGGTCTTTGGGTGTTGTACCCTATTGCGGGATACCAGGAGAAATCGACACCTATCTGAGGCAGGGAGAGATCAGCAGCCTCTCGCGTGGCGTGTCTGTGCAAGCCGGAATCACGTACGTCTATTGGAAATTTCCCTCCCATCCAAACCAGCTGGGCTGCGTACGCCTGCAGCTTTTTGACACCGCTCGTGTGAGGCTCGATGGCGTTGACAGCGCTTGAGCGCAGCTGATCAATGGCCTGCAAGTCCTGCGTGAACATGTCCGGGTGCTGGTCATATTTGGTCGATATGTACTGCTTGATGGCTTCGGCGAGAGATATGGAATGGGTTCGTCGGAACGGCAGGGACAAAATATTGCTGTAGAAGGATTAGCCGTGGCAACTGGACACAACGGGATACGGGATACGGGATACGGGATACTCACGATGCCATCTTGACGGCGCACGTGTGGTCTATCAAGCCGAATCTCCCTTGCAGTTGTTTTCAACTGGTGCCGCGGGGTCCATCCAGTGACGTTGTAGCGAGGGGCACTGCGCAAGGCCAGCAGCATGCAAGTACTCCGTGTCCACTGGGCAAGTCGAATCAGACCAGCCGAGAGTCGACCTCAAGCAATTCACGACTCCATTGCTTCACCTGGTTGAAGACGAGATGGTGTTCCGCTTGATCCAGAAGACAGAGACTTGTGTTTCCCTATTGCACCAATCATGGAGCCGTTCGATCGGCGCAGCACACCATTTCCCACGTGAGACAAAGCCCGTGGATTTGTAACATCAGCCACGTTCGCCGCTTCCTCAGACCTTTATATACTCTCTTTTGAACACCGTAGCCACCAGCAAGTCGAAGATATCGGAAGCCCGCCGACAGACCTAACGCGATTGCAAGCTACTAGCGAACTCGTATTCACAGCGTGCTTCAACTCTCCCGACCGATTTCTGTTCCAGCAAGCCGAGTCGCGTGTCCCCTTCCCCAGCTGGTCAATCGAAGACCAACATCATGTCGGAGCACAATTACAAGTTCAACGTCGCCATGAGCTGCGGTGGCTGTTCCGGCGCTGTTGAGCGCGTGTTGAAAAAGCTGGACGGTATGTCACCGCCTTCCAACGCTTGTCAGCCCCGCCAGTCCAGCGCGTAAACTGGTCCTACAGAACTGTACTGCTTTAGGAGCGTGTCACTGACGCTTCTTCTGTTCAGGCGTCAAGTCGTTCAATGTCTCGCTCGACACTCAAACCGCGGAAATAGTCGCTGCCGACACCCTCGATTACGCCACCGTACTCGAGAAGATCAAGAAGACGGGCAAGACGGTCAAGTCCGGGGAAGCAGATGGCCAGCCGATGGCGGTCTGAGCGGCCGCATTTTAGGCTAGCCATTGAGTCGCAGTGCATGAACATGTACAAGGGGATGCGGGCAGGCGTTACACTCGGCATATGGCAAAGGGAGCTGTCGGGGGAGTGAATACTGCATATATCCCTCCTGGATACTTACAGCGCTCCTATAACGTTGCTTATGGTGCTCTTTCGACAGCTAACGTTTCTGGCTCTTTCTCTCAACCGAGTCGTTGTGGCAGTACTGCGTTGAGCAACCTTCTTGATTCCAACTCACGCAGCCTCGTTATCTCAATACTACTAACATGCCACTGTGGAAAGTGGACTAAGCACTGCGCCTTCAATGGATTAATCGCGTCGATTTTTCGATCTGTTCGGCCGCCGGCTTCACCGCGCGTGGTCAACATGCGGAGATGGGCTGATCTGTCCTAGTGCCGCATTCTAGTTGTGCAATCTCTCCCGCCTTTCACTGTTATGAACTCCCCCTTCTTCTGCTTCCCGATCAGTGTCAATCACCATTGCTGCTCCTTTAGCATTCTAGAGCCAATCACAAGCGAGCAAATACTTCTGCCTGAAAAGCCTCATCAACCTGACCGCGCGTCCTTGAAGTCATCCGAACCTTCTGATGGATAGCAAATATGCTCATACTTGCTCTTCACTCGCTTCTGGGTTGCAAGTTTGGTGACCTGTGGTGCGTTCGGCGACGGGTCTGCGCTCTTGCTCGTGACTCGGACAGTCTCCGATTGTCTATAAAAATATCCTCTCCCAGTGTTGGGCCGACCAGCTTCCATCTCAAGTATTTATTGAAATTTCTCTATTCAGCTTTTGTACATCCATAAGTCCTTGAGAGCGCCTCCAGTACTTACCAATATGTCTTCTGCGCCCAAATCTTCCCTCACTGTTGGTGTCCTCCTCCTCGGCAACGAAGACGTCCAGTACCTAGAGGTCGCACCCGTCGACCTCTTAGCCATGATGCAACCCCAGTACATCCACGCCTTAGGAGCGTCGGCACTGGCAGAGAAGGGTGTCAATATGGACATCCACTACATCAGCGAGACAGGCGAAGGTCTCTTCCCACTCACTGCGAACGCGAAAGTGGCTGTTACGGTAAAGACAAACAGCCTTGCGTATCCTTTGATATTGCGCTGATCCTCTACCAACGTAGGACTCCATCGAGACGAGCCCAGCCCTCGACGTCCTGATGATCCCCGGCCCACCGCCCAACTTCGTTGCCTCCGAAGCCGTCGGCGCTTTCATCCGCGCCCAGGTCGAACATGCCACTGCAGTCCTCAGCGTCTGCACTGGCATCATACCGCTCGCGCAGTCGGGCGTGCTGAAGGGCAAGACGGCCACTGGGCCGCCGCCGCTGATCCTGACGGCGCTAAGACACGGCTTCCCCGACACGAAGTGGGAGGACGAGCGGCGCTGGACACGTGACGGCAATGTCTGGACGAGCGCAGGCATTACGAATGGGCTGGATATGATGGCGGGGTTCATGAGGACGTATTATGGGGATAGGCCGCAGCTTGTGGAGCTTGTGCTGGGGGCTGCGAATGTGTGGGATAGGCCCGTTGAGTATCGGGAGGAGGAGAAGAGGTTTGGTATGGGCCTTGGGCAATAGGGAGATGTAGCCAGCACACTAAATGGTTTCATTGATGGCGCGGTCGTTTCCTCCTTCGTATCAACGGACATAGCATGCATCGCACATTAAGCAACCGGTCCTCGCTTGAGAATGATCCAGTTGCTTAAGCCTCCGAGCCCAGAATCCTGATCGTTGATGTGGCAGACTCCAGTCGTCCGGTGATGATTCCGCTGCAGGCAATAAAGGCTGAGGGAAATTCCCAGCTCCATTCACGGGCTTCCGGCATGCGGGTGAAGTCGGCCAGAGCGACCGTCGCACGAACCAATCAGCGAGCGTGAGGTTGAACGGCTCTGCAGATCAGGCTGTGCGGCAGCAAATTCCTTGGTTCCGCCGTTGTCCGGGGCTTCGGGAGAGCCAGGAAAGCTTTGTCTGCCCCGTCCAGAACATCACTAAAGTACCCACCAAGTACCTCTTTATTTCGACCAGGTCGTGTGCTCTCTTCCTATTTCCATCCACTCTGCTGTCCTTTTCGCCTTTGAGACAGACGATACTCATACCAAAAGCACGCGAAACCCGTCACGTCCAACACCTGCATCTGTACTCGCTCCGCCGAACCAAGCGAATCTTCCAAGTTCTTGTTTTCGACGAGCTCAAATTTTGACACCTCTCTACCCTAACGCACACCACGCGACACGCATATAAAATGAAGGTCTTCGCGTCGACGACCGACTTTGATTACTCGTGGGAAGAGGTCTCGACAGCAAACTGGCGGAAATACTGTCCCTGGAACGAGAAGACGCCACACGTTATTGCAGTCGACACTCTCTCCCGGACGGTAGACCCAGAGACAGGCATCGTAAGTCTTGCCCCATCCGCGTCGGTGAGCTCCGAACACGTATGCTGACACGACCATCTGCAGCTTCGAACAGAACGCCTAATAACCTGCAAACAATCCGCCCCTAAATGGCTCAACTCCTTCCTCGGCGGCCAAGACACCTCTCACGTCTATGAGACATCCTACGTGGACCCGAGAAGGAAGAAAGTCACAATGTGCTCGACGAACATGACCTGGTCGGACCTGCTCTCAGTGCGCGAGACCGTCGTCTACAAGCCTTCGCCTGCCGCACCGAACTCGCGGACACAATTCCACCAGCACGCGAAGATAACGGCGTTCTGTGGCGGCTGGCAGAAGATCAAGAACAGCATCGAGCAGTTCACCGTTGAGCGGTTTCAACAGAATGCGGTGAGAGGGCGGGAGGGATTCGAGATGGTGCTGGAGATGAGCAGAAAGGTGTTTGCGCAGGAGCGGGAACGGAGACTTGCGGAAGCGAGGCTATGATCAGTCACCATCACCTCGAACCTGAAGACAGCGGTTCACGCAACCACCCGCACGCTGTTGAGTGGGCGGCGAGTCGCCCTTTTACGAAGATGACAACCACCACTACTCGACTCTCCTCTCTTAGGCGCGCTTCGTGCCGCCATCAGTTCTCATCTCCGACACAGCCGTCACCTTCTCCGTGTTTTAGCGCTTCGTTTGCCGCGTTCAAGCGCCTCATACGGGACCGGCGTTTCTTAGCGATGCATCATCCGAACAAAAGTTGTGGGATCTGGCGTTCAGCATTGGCGGCGTTGTTGCGTGCTTTCCGCCCCAAGAGGCTTGCATATGTAGACGACTTATTGAAGTCAGCAACTATGGAAAGAGACGATAGACTAGGAACAGATGTAGGGCGTGCGCTATGTTCGCGGCGTCCACTGCTCTCGAATCGTGCATTAGAGCAGCTGCCGGCGACGGCGGTATTGGAAGCACTATTCTCCAAAGCCATGTCCATCTCTTGCTGTGGTGTTGCAAACTTGACAAGGCACTCTCCAAATCCCGCTTTCGCCCTGCTTTGAAGCTTACCCAGGTAGAAACGATGTGATTCAGTGTGGATAAAGCACTTGTAATAGTAGACGAAACTCTCCCAGAATGCGATTGCACTCACGCACCTTCCGATGCCCCAACACGACTTCATTGTTTCTCTGTGCATTTATGCATGTTTCGTAAAAATACTAACTGGACGAAGAAGGAAGGCCGGAACGGAGATCTGCGAGCGAGTTGCTCCACATTTTGCGCTTCTGGATTGGCGGAGAAATTGGCTGCCTTTCGTCCCTGCAGGCAACCCGAAAGCACGGTGATTGCTGGAGAAAGACACCACCATGTCCGTTCTTCACGTCCCAGACTCGTCGTACCGGGCCGGAAACACCACCATCTTAATCTACGGTGGGCTTCAGTCTTCGTGCGGGCGTTACTCTGAGTTGTCTCTTCCACCTTGACTTACTGTTAGGACGGTCACAGCATTGGACTGTGTCTGAGATTCTACTCATTGTACCTACCAATCACAGCATAATATTTCGTTACAGTGCTGGGCGCAAACTAGAGGTACATGCTCCTTTCAAGAGCATACCTTGACACTGTACTTGCGCATGAGCCACTCCTTCAACTACCGGATATGCAAACGTCGAGCTTCGGAGTTCTGCAACTCAACACCCCTCGCCGCGTTCTGGTCCCGCGGCCACTGCGCATAAATCGCATCTACTACTACGGATAAAACCCCTATGGCTACTAAGCTCCAAACAAGCACCGCCGTTCCGGCACTACCAGAGAAGACGGGTGTAGTCGAAGTACAAGAGCTTGGGAAAGTGAACAAGCCTACGTTGCTTGTAATATACGGTCAGGGACAGGAAGAGATCGTCAGTGTGATCGCGGATGTCTTGGGTCAGCCATGGATACTCGTCCAGACTCTCGAGGAGGCGGAGGCCGTCGCGGAAGAAATAATCGCAGGCATCCTCGACACCAGTGCAGCTCCCGGTCTGGAGGGTAGAAGTCGAACCGGCTCGAGGCTGGTGATAAACACACACTGTGTAGACGGAGATCAGGAGCTGAACGAAGTCGTGAGCTCATACTGCGACCATGAGTATCTATATACCCAATCGCCGTTCTATCGTAGAGATGTTGCGCGTTTCTTTGCCTTCATACTTGGACAGAGCTATCACTACGAAAACCTGGCGAAGAAAGCAAAGACTACGCTTTTGTCGATGACTTTTCCAGACGTCCGTACGGCGTTACCGAACCTCGACATACTGTCAGTCGGGGCTGACGTCGTGGAGCTGCGCGTGGATCTGTTAAAGGAACCGCTCGCGGACGGATCATTCAGCCCTGTTCCAAGCCTCAAGTACGTTGGCGAACAGTTCATGATTTTGCGTCAGCGAACAGAACTGCCGATAATCTTCACGACAAGGTGCACGAACGAGAACGGGAGATTCCCTATGGACAATCCCGACCTCTTCTTCACCTATCTCTACAAGGCCATGCAGTGGGGCTGCGAGTACATCGATGTTGAGCTTTGGTTACCCGAGCACATCCGGCAGCGCTTGGCTGAGAGGAAAGGGCACAGCAAGATCATATCCGCATTTCACGATTTTTCCGGAAACTTCAAGTGGACGTCTCCTCAGGCGCAAGAGCTGTTTACGAAGGGCGCCGTCTATGGAGATGTTGTCAAGATGATTGCCTTGATTCACAACATGCAGGACAACTACGAACTCGAGTACTTCAGGTCGACTATACAGTCGCAACACAGCCATCCACCGCTCTCGGGACTTAACATGGGTCCTGTCGGACAGCTCTCACGAGCGCTGAACAAGGTTTTCACACCCGTCACTCATCCTCTGCTTCCGATGATTGCCGCTCCTGGCCAACTGAGCGCTGCCGAGATCAACTCCGCACTCCACAGCATGGGTCAGATGCCGAAGCTAGACTTCTACGGCATTGGGAGCTTCCGCTCGACTACGCAAGCCATGTTTTACGAGAAGTGCTTCAACGAGCTGAGCCTGCCTCATCAACTCATGTTTGTCGAGAGGAAACCGAAGGGCTCGGTTGAGGCTACTTTGAGGCGGCCAAATTTTGGTGGTGCTTACATCAACCCACCACTAGCTGTACCTGTGCCGTACCTTCCGTCGCTCTCTGATGCGGCCAAGATCATCGGACAAGTCGACACGGTCGTCGTCAACTCCAGTGGCGGATCTTCTACATTCACCGGAGAGAATGCGACCTGGAAAGGCATTCGAGCGACGCTGAGCCGAGATTTCGTGCCCTCAGCGTACAGCGGCAGAGCGGCCTTGCTGCTGGCCAGCTCAGGCGCAGATGCAGCGCCGGCCATATTTGCCCTCAAGAGTTTGGGCATCGGGCCTGTGTACACCATCGGTTTCAAGATACAAGGCTCGCTCGCCATAGGAACGCAGCCGGTGAGGTCTGTGGAAGACGTCAAGGTTCTCGAGCAGCCGTTCGCACTCATCTCTGCTCTTCCGGCGGATAAATCTCTGTCAGTGGGCCCGCTGCTCAAGTACTACAGTGCGAATGGGAGAAACGGCAACCGCAGTGCGGGTAAGGTCTTTGTAGATCTTGCGAGCGGGCCCAGGAAGGTCGACTCGCTAGGCGTAGCTGCTTCTCTGGGCTGGACGGCGTATGGCATTGCTGATGTCAGTGCTTGGACTGCAGTCGAGACTATGAGGTTGCTTGTTGGGCAAAATGTGCCGTATGATTTTGTAAGGCTTGCATCGGGGCGGAGTTTGTACTGATGTCGGATTTGGCGTATCTACAGCCCTTGAGTATTTTTCGACTTGAGAAAGATGAGGATTTCCCAACTTGATCGTCAAGACGTTGCGCGCTATATGTGAATATATACCCCTTAGTGAACCCACATATCCTCCCACCAGGCAAGGCAGCAAAAGTCCTGCAACATGCCGAGGTGCAGCCGCCTGCTTCAGTTTCGTAGCAATACTCAGCATATCGCAACCGAACGATGCTGTTTTGCTTTTAAATTTGGTGAGATAGTTGTAGAGATCTATACGACCTCGCAGGTCAATTTTCTTTCCGTATATATAAGGGGTTGAACGGATTTTTGAAGGACCGGGTAATTTACGGGGTGTTGCAAGACTTTTGCTCCCTTGCCTGCCACGCAACGCCTGACGCTGGCGTCGGCTAATCAACGGCATACGGCACTTCCCCGGATTTTCGAGGGGAAAACCGGGGTGGGGTTTTCGTGCCTCATTCGGATAAACTTGCGGCTGATGCTTCGTAGCTCCGAATTGAAACCTCGATATCATATGGAGAGTCTTTGACGACTGTTTGGAAAGCCCTGGGATCCCAAGGGCTTCTGCGCGTGAGATGTATACAGAGTTCGAACGGAGACACACACGCTAGCCCTGCTGATGCCCCCTGCCAGCCCTAAAGTCATCCCCGCCTCGCGTGCTCAACCAAGTCCACCGTCGACTTGCTTTGCATCAAAACTTCATTTCCTCAGCTGCATCAAGCTCTAGTGCTGCGTCTTCGAATTCTTGTACAGTCCTGCTATGTCTTATTGCCTAATACCTTCCTTTATTACGTCTGGTTCTCTCCAGGGTCGTCATGTCCAGACCCCAAGTCGGCATCGGCCGACTTCCCACTAGGATTACCAGCAACGAGCCAAAGGAAGCAATGAACTGTAACAGTTGCCGTAAACGAAAGGTCTTTCATTCTTAGGCCATGCGCTGCCGTTTATGTTCCCACTAATTATTCTTCAGATCAAGTGCAACCGCGTCCGGCCTACCTGCGAAGCATGCCAAGTATTCGCCTGTGCTTGTGTATATGGTTAGAGTCTTCCCTGCAACTGCTCTATTCAACTCCTGTTTGCCCTAACATACCCGAATTCAGATGCCGTTCCGAAAAAACGCGGACCGAAGACGGACGTGCTCGAAGCACTCCTCAAACGCGTGGATGGCTTAGAAAAGCGTCTCCAGAATGAAAAACAGGAAGACTCTGCCGCCGATCCGTTAGCACCAGAGACTGCCGTTGAGGTGCCAGGCACTTCCGCGGATGAGTTCGCTCAAGGAGCGAATGAAGGGACGGTCGTTTCGTTGCCCGCGGAACCTAGGTATTATGAGCTCCGACAACGTTTTCTTTGATTACCGTCTCACACCTTGCAGTCAGCATGCACCCGGACTGCTCCAAGACGCACTGCTTGATGCGTACTTCAGCAAAGTCCATGGCAAGCCGTATAGCATTGTTAATGAAGCAAGCACACGGCAACGAATTCAGAACAACCAGCTTCCGCCCTATCTTATCTACGCTATCTATGCTGTTAGCTCACGGTAAGCAACATGCGGGCTAACCAATGGCCTCTCACTGACTGTTTTAGATACACATTCCCATACGATGGCTACAATAGTGCAGATCGAACGGGCGAGGAATATGCTCGGCGGGCGCGCTTCGAGCTCGACACCGATGAACCAACTATTGAAGCACTGCAAACTCTTCTCCTTCTGGCTCAGGAGAGCTATCAAGCCGGTAAAAGCAGAAAGGCGTATATGCTTCTATGTATGCTTCTCCATCAATGGAGAAGTACCTCTACTGACTCGGAGAACAGCATTAGGAATTAGCATGGCTTTTGCGCTGGATCTACACAGGGAACTACCGTTGGCGTGGCAAGTATCATCCACTGATCGCGAAATCCGTCGGAAGCTTTTCTGGGCTTGTTACCTCATGGATCGATTCTCCGCATGCGGATCGAAGCGTCCATCGCTCATTGCGGATGAGTCTATCGTTCTACGACTACCGTCGTGGCAACCTACTCCCAACTCAATACCCGTCCAAGGCGACTTCTTCCCGAATGGCTCCAACCTACATTATCTGAGTGGCGCCGGTAGATGGATTCAAGGCAGTACGGGGATGCTTATAGGTATAGTCAAGACACTGGGCACAACCAACCGCTATCTTGCTGCCGGCGGAGTCAAAGGCGATTCTCACTTTCCCTGGCACTCGTCATCAAATCTATCCAAAGTCCGTCAAGAACTTGATACGTGGGCATCCGAGACCCAAGATGCGTTTGTGTCTCTTGACACTTTGTTTGGACAGCCTGATAGCACGATTCTCGTCCTCAGCAAGCTGGTTTACCATCTCATCCATTGTCTTCTATATCGGCCTTTCCTTCCGGTTGACTTGATCGAACTGTCGGGGACCGGGCAGCACCAGTCTTGGCAGATTGAAGCTACGAACCTTTGCTTTCTACATGCGAATGCTATAGCTGAGTTAGTAGAGATCGGCAAAGCGTCCTCCACTATCGTATGGCCAGCCTTTGTCGGATACTGTATTTGCACTGCTGCGACCATCCATGTACACGGCGCCCACTACGAAGCACGAGAGGGAGATGTGTTCTCAGCGAGCAGCGAGTTTCTCCTCCGAGAAACACAACAACTGTCGGAGCTTCGAGTGGTCTGGGCAAGCGTGCAACATCAGCGCGATACGCTGCAGATGATATACGGAGCGCACACGGAGCTGGTCAGGTCTCTTGCTACAAACCCAATGAGGTTCTCGCCAGTGTTTCAGCTTGAAGACTTCTTCGACCGATACCCAGGACAAAACTTCGATGGAGCTCACCTTAGCTTTGCTGAGCTCGCGACTGAAGCTCCGCTCCAGAGGTACGTAAATGCCTCGTTGCTTCAGATACTATGCTAACATCAGTAGCGCTGCTAGCTTCGGTCATGGTCGGGCCGGTAGCGTGTATATGGGACCGAACATGCAAAGTGCGTCAAGACTGTCTCAGGATGCCACCATCCTCCTGCAAAGGACCGAAGACACTCAACCGAGTACACGACCAACGAAGAAAAGGAGGTCGACTACCGTCAAAGATTTGCCGCCAACTCTGGAGACAAAGGCCAACGGCGAACCGTCTGTGTCAGGTACTGCTACCATCCCCTCCGAGGTCACCGAACCTCAACACCAACTCCCCAACACAGCAGCCGGACCAAGCGACGAAGGCAGCTTCAACCCAGATCTCGCACATCTCACTCCCTTTGCACCTTCCTTAGCGCCCTTCTCGCCGAACTTCAACTTCGGCACGCTAGGCACAGACTTGTCCTTCGAAAACATGAACAGCTTCGATCCTATGCTTGGTGCACCTACACCGTACGACCATCAAACGCCTGGCGCAGCCAGCGCTGCCGGATCAACCCATACCGATTTCGACAAGGACCCTTTCTTAAGCTTGCTAGAACAGCTGGCGGAGAATGAGCATTCGAGGAGTGGGCCGAGCGAGTTGGACTTCTTCCTCACGGGGACTGGTTAGCGGTGGCAATCTGAGTTTGAGAGTCTACCGCAGCCTCGCATGTGTGGCGGGCCTTGTTGGGGTCGGATCCGAATATATTGCTTACGGGGTCGTCCGTTCGGCCAGGTACCTCCGATAAGATCTAGGCTGCGCTGGAAGGATACCGCCGATATGCTGAAGCGTCGCTAACCCTGAAGCTGGTGGCAAATCTTGAGAAAAGCACTAGGAGTGCACAGTCTATGATTACTTTGGGCTGTTCCCAGCGTCCCGCTGCGAATGTGTCGCTTGGACATCCTCGTGGCTAATCGGAGGCGCTTGCAACACAACTAGGTCCATCAGCACAGCCCTGCCGAATACGAGATTGTCCACCGTGCTGTTTGCGGATTCTACTCAGCCTGCCACAACCGCCAGCCTTGTCACGTGTATAGCGTGGGCTAGCTGTAACGTCGACGTCCTGATCATTGTTGTACTAATAATTCCCACCTTTCCGTCATATGAGACGGGATCGGTCATTCCCCACTCCTCTAATCTCGGAACCAAACCTTGCCGCTATGGATAGATTGAGCATCACCACAGTAGAATACCGAATCGATGATAACGATCTTTCAAAGCTGGCCAGCGCAGAAGTTACAAAGACACTTCCACCTTCGGTCGCGGAACCTGTCCCTGGCTCCCTCTTTCCTCTGGGCCAGTTCCCACTGGCCTCGATGTCTTGGGCCGAGTAGAAAGGGATCCGCTTATGGACGTCTGATTAAGTTTGCCGGTCCCTTCAGCACTAGGTCGCAGATAGTGAAGCTGCTGTGGCGGAACCGCTCATTCAAGACGAAACCTCCGTACTCGCCCGCTGAGGAGGGGGAGACGGCGTTGTGGGGAGACGTGATAGGAGTGGCTATCATGCGGATTTCATGCACAGAAGGACCATGTAGATTGACCTGAAAATTCGCAAGGCGGCTAACGGAGGAATGAACGAGTGAATGGCTTTCAAGAACCTATTCAGCTACCGAGTGCCCTCTTGTTTTGCGCTATTTGACAATTCTTCGCTCAACGCCCCATTTCAGTCCGACAGCTCCGCCTCCCTGGTAACCTCCTCTCTCGCCTCGCTCGCCTTCCGCGCCAGCAGATTCAACGCACTTCCCGCCACAATGAACCCGCACTGGTCTTCACTCAGCGTATGCTTCGTCTCCACCACTATCTCCTTCCCATCCCTCTTCTTGACCCTCAGCCTCACCTGCCCCTTCCCACCACTCCTCAGCACATCCAGCAAGCCTTCAGTGCCGGCTTCATCGCAAGCATCCAAGAGGTCATAGTCCGCCTCGTTGGCGAATGTGAGCGGCACAACCCCCTGCTTCTTCAAATTCGTCTCATGAATCCTCGCAAAGCTCTTCGCGAGGATGACGCGTCCGCCCAGGTATCTGGGCTGCAGCGCCGCATGTTCCCTGGCACTCCCCTCGCCGTAATTGTGTTCCGCCACCACAACCCACTCCCTCTCCTGTCCCTTCCACCTTTTCGCGAGCTCCGGGATCGTGGCCTGCGACCCGTCGACGTCGTACGCCGTGTTCGTCTCGCCCGTCGCCGCGTTCACGGCGCCGATCAGCGTGTTCTCGGAGATGTTGGGCAGGTGGCCTTTGTATTTTAGCCACGGGCCGGCGGCGGAAATGGTGTCGGTCGTGCATTGGCCTTTTACTTTGTAGAGGATGCGGAGGCCGGAGAGCTCGGATTGGGGGAAGGGCGCGAAGGGCTCGAGGACTGCGAGACGCGAGGAGTGCGGGTCGATCTTTACCTCGACGGTCGGATCCGCTTTCCCGGTCGTGGGCAGGAATGCGGGATTACCCTGCGCAAAACCTGCGGAGGGCAGCTCCTCGCCTCTTGGCGGCGAGAAGCGGAAAGGTTCGCCGGAGGGCGTGGAGAGCGTGTCGGTCATGGGGTTGAAAGTCGTGGACCCGGCGTAGGAGAGCGCGGTGACGAGTTCGGGGGAGGCGAGGAAGTTCATGGTAGCTCTGTTACCATCGTTGCGGGCGGGGAAGTTGCGGTTGTAGGACGTGAAGATGGCGTTGCTGTCGCCCTTCTTCACGTCGTCGGTGCGCTTCCATTGCCCGATGCAGGGACCGCATGCGTTGGCGAGCACCATGCCGCCGGCTGAAGAGAGTGTGTTGAGAGTTGAGTCTCGCTCGAGCGTCGCACGGATCTGTTCACTGCCGGGCGAGATGAAGAAGTCGGCTTTGGGCTTGAGACCTGCGGCTGAGGCTTGCTTGACTAGGTCTTCCGCGCGGGTCATGTCTTGGTAAGAGCTGTTCGTGCAGCTGCCGATGAGGCCTGCGCCAAAGGTCTTGGGCCAGCTGTTCACTTCGACCATGTCGGAGAATTTGGAGAGAGGGGTTGATAGATCGGGAGTAAATGGGCCGTTGATATGGGGCTCGAGTTCGGATAGATTGATCGTGATGACTTGGTCATATTCAGCGTCGGAGTCTGCCCGGAGCAGGTTCCGTGCATCTGGCGCAGAGGCGATTGTGCCGGCAGCGGCAGCTATCGAGGCGCGATGCGTAGCCTCTAGATATGGTATATGGCGGGATGAGAAAGGAAAGATGGAAGTCGTTGCTCCGACCTCGGCACCCATGTTGCAGATAGTGGCCATGCCGGTGCAGCTCAGCGTCTCAACGCCGGGTCCGAAATATTCGATGATGAAGCCAGTGCCGCCCTGGTCACGGTAAGAATATATTGCGAAGACAGACTTCTACGACCACTCACCCTCACTGTGAGCCGGCCCGCAAGGTTCAGTATGACATCCTTCGGGCTAGCCCATCCGCTCAACTCTCCCTCCAATCTCACTCCTAATATCCGTGGTGCCTTCAACTCCCACGGCGCATCAACAAGCGCATCCACCGCATCAGCGCCGCCGACACCGATAGCAATGGCTCCCAAACCACCGGCGTTCGGCGTGTGGCTATCCGTACCCAACATCATCAACCCCGGCGCCGAGTAGTTCTCCAGCACAGTCTGATGGATGATGCCCGCGCCCGGCGGCCAAAACTCAATCCCATATTTCTTTGCCGCGGACTCGAGAAAGTCGTAGACCTCCTTATTCCCCTTTATGCTCGCCGGCAAATCCGTATCCGCGCCCTTTTCTCCGACAATCATGTGGTCGCAGTGTATACTCGCCGGGACAGCAGTGGTAGGCAGGCCGCAAGTCATGAATTGCAGCAGCGCCATCTGCGCCGAGGCATCCTGCATGGCAACTCTGTCGGGCTTGAGCTTGAGGTTGGCCTGGCCGCGGATGCTGGCGCCATTTTGAGTGTTTGTGAGGAGGGACTCGGCGGGGCGGTCGAGGTGGGAGTAGAGGATCTTCTCGGCGAGGGTTAGGGGCCGCTTGTCCAGAATATGGCGGACTTCTGCGAGCTTGGAAAGAAGTTTAGGGTAGGGGGGAGTGCGGGAGGAGACGTCGGCGGCGGCGGGAGAGGTAGAGGCGTGGGCAGAAGCTAGATGCCGGTGTGGTGGTAGTGGGCGTAGTGGGCGTAGTGGGATGGCCCTGCTGCTCTTGGAGCGCGTTAGTAGGTGCACTATGAGGAAGAAATGCCAGCATAGACAGTACCTTTACAGCAGGGCGGCTAGTCACCCTCAATGCCTGGGCGCGCATGTTGAACGGTCAGGGCAATGGCGCTGTGTTTGCAACGCGGCGAAAAGTTGCCGGCAAGAAAAGTCGTGTGAGCTCGCCGGTGCGGCAAGGGTCTGGCGCCGACATCGCCGAAAATTCGGAGCTGCTGCGTAATGGATGTCATGTCACTGGATGCAACATAGGACGACGGTTAAGTCGTTATCCGAGTAAGTAGTCGAGTCACACATACAACACTGGACTTGGATCGGCCCAGCAGCCAGATATCTCATTATTCTGACTTCGAGTTTAAGCTTCAGCGTCATACTAAGACCTCAACGAACCACTAACAAGCTGAATGCTCGCGGAGACGCTTCAAGTATGCTTCCATCCACTTGTCATTCACGTCTCTCATCGGCTGGTGCATCAGCCACGCACACTTCAAGTGCGTGAAACGCAAGGTCGGTGTAGCAATCCATTGACGACGCCCAGGGGCCTTTCTCAGTCTTGAGGTCTGGGCCGATGAAGAATTCCGGAGTCTCCTCGTTCTGATACAGGCTTCCAATCTGGTCGAACTTGAACGAGGATAGCGTAACCTGAACTTCGGCCGTTTGCTGCCTGAACCTCCAGTCTTGTTCAGGTGTGCCAAACAAGTCTGAGTAGCCATCTCTCGCCATCCATAACTCGGTCGCTACGGTATCATCAATGTAATCCATCAGAACGTGCGGTGCCCCGACGTTGTTGGTCGGATCGACGCTGTAGCTGTAAATCTCTGGCACAGGAATTGATGTCTTAGACCTTTTTGATGGATGCAAGGTCAGCAGTAATTTCGACATGGCCTGGAACGTGGCTTACTTCAAGAGCTTCATGCTCGCAATTTCTACCTTCAGAGCGCAGGCGTTGTCAAGCGCATCGCGGCTATCGACCGCGTTCAGCTCTGGTAGTCTGAGCCTTGCGATCCAACTGGTCCCGTCCGCAAAGGTGATGCGTCGGACCGTGTTGAGGTGACTCATTGGGAATTCCTCCCTAAACTCGCAGGAGATACCATTGCGAAGGCTCGAAGCGAGCAAAGTGAGCACATCCCACTTGACGGCCGCAAAGAATGTGGTAGCTCGTTCGTGCAATTCATCATCAATTTCTTGTTCAGCGCCCATTCAAGAGGCACTTCCAAGCGGAGCACCTGGAGCTTCGTCGATGTCATATTGGTCAGTTTTGCCAAAGATAATTATGCAACCTTTGAAGTGTTGTACAGACGTTTCTGTGTTTCGTCTTGGTTGATTTGGAAGGTTGCTTTTATGCAAAATTTTGCCAGACTCCATGGAATGGGAGACGGCTCCTTTATAAACTCGAGTGTAGATATGGCAATGGAAATCTGGGAGAAGTATCAGAACCAAGGTTCTGCCAAACTTAACAGGTTGACTAATATAAATATCGTACCAAGAGTAGAAACCAGCTCTTGCACAAACAGCCTCACCACAGTCTCCAGCAGGGTTTGCTGCTCGGTTGTGCTTTCCAGGATGACGCTCACATGAGGTATTCAGCTATGGTTAATAGAGGGTAGTTTGGACTGTAAGCAATTGGAGCAGTCCGGCGGCTACAATCTCTCGCTTCTCAACCTTATTCGCAAGACAATGGATATATCGTCTTGTCATCGGTAATTGGTGTGAGTCAGAGCTGGTAAAGAGTAATCGACCCAAGAAGTTAGACCCACATTCTTGAGTTCGATCCTCTTCTTTGAGTCATACCTCGACTGTTTGAAGCAGCACATAAACGGAGACCGGTCTCTGAGGTATTGAGTTAACCAGGAGCCTCTGCTAAAACGAGGTAGTCCGAGGGGGCTTAAGATGGGTGCCGCCCTGGTATGTGCACATGAACTGTTCCGAACTTCTTGTGATTCGTCTCGAGGCATCATTGTCTTCGATGTTCTTACTTGAAAAGGCCTTGACACTCTTCGGTCAGGCCTCACATCGCGCTTTATGCGCGTTTACTCTAGTACTACGAGGTCCGTCGGGTCCCAAGGATGAACCTGCTCAGACAACCCTTTTCGCGGAACTGCCTCGAGACAGCTAATGTGCATTTAGCCGTCCGACACATGCCAAAACAGCATTCTAGAGGGCTGGTCGATTCTTTCCTGTATTCTATACTATATAATAGCATGACTATGTGACTGTATTTGGACTCGAGGAAGACGGCAAAAGAAGATAAAGAGAAGCACCTCGGGATATGAGCCGCGGATACTGGACACTGAGATTACCAGCCGCTCGAATGCTTCGGTCCGCATGTTGAACGGTTATGGTGAGGCTTCTGCTTCGCTGTTCGAGGCCGCAAAATCTAACAAGATGCAGGGAGGGGGTTCTGGGTGGCATATCACGTGAGTGACTGTGGAAGCTCTCTTTCTTGTGCTGCAGAATACGCCGTCGAAGTTGTTCGTACTGAGGTGTACGCATAGCCGTCCAGAACCTCAACACCACGCTCGTAGATCGGTACCGAGCATCAAAAGTTACATCTGACTACGCTGTCACTCCGAGCCCTCTTGCGATGCTAGTTCGCCGATCCCTAGGCCGCCAATCCTTCCTCCACCTCCCTCCGCAGCTTCGAACCACCCTCTATCGCCAATCTATCCGTCCCTTCCACTTTCACATCCCCCAGATCCAATTGCCCGACGTCTCCACCCACCTAGACCTCGCCTGCGCACTCCCTCATGCCGCCCTCACCGCCCTCCACGCCACCGGCCTACCTTGGGTTATAGTACTGCCCCTCTCCGCCTTCCTCATCCGCGGCCTCATCCTCGTTCCTGCGCTTTCAATCCCCGCTCGGCGGGCCACGCAGCGTTGGCTTGATATCCACCCACTCAAGTCCGCCTGGTCCAACACCATCCGGAGACGTGTGCTAAGAGACAGCGGAGACAAGGGACCCTCGCACGTGCAGCGAGAGGCGAACTTCAGAGCAGGGGCGAAAAAGATAAATTTGCACTGGCAGTATAGGGCAGGGGTATATAGGAGACTGGTTCCTACGTTCGCGCAGTTCCCGGTGTTCCTGTGTCTGGCGGAGACGGTGAGGAGGATGTGTGGCGCCAACGTGGGCTTGTTGGGATTGATGTTCGGGAGGCAGAAAGAGGCCCCGACGCTTGAGGGCTGGCAGGATACTACGGCTGGCCAAGAGGGAGCTATTGTAGCTGCCGGGCAAGAAGGTGCTGTGGACGCTCCTGTACAGCTGGCGCCGTGGCTGGAGCCGAGCATGGCGAATGAGGGGGCTTTGTGGTTCCAGGACCTTACCGTGGCCGACCCAACGCTGACGCTGCCGTTTCTGGTATCGGGAATCATGTTCTTGAACCTCTGGAGGGCCTCGGTGCAGGCTAAGGGGTCGCGGAGGGAGTCATTGCCAGCCAAAACGCTGCGTCGTACGCTGCTGCTGCTCACGCTCGCTATCGGACCGTTAACGCTTAATGTTCCGGCCGGTGTCATGGTGTACTGGCTAGGCAGTTCACTGTGCGCTATGACAACTGGAGCGTGGTTGGACAGCAGGTACCCGCTGAAGGTGCCGCCGAAAGCCGCTAAAGGCCGTAGATGAGGTGCCTGACTTGGGTGCAAGGGGTCAGAAAAACGTGTCAGGTATGCTAGGAAGTAGAAAACCTCTTGTCTACCACACAGTGTGCGCCTATGGAACCAGCGCCACTTTTCACGAGCGCGGATGTCAGCATCACCCCTTCCGTGTGAAGGCTTCTTCCGTGCGCACTGTACTCCCCAATGTCGCGCAGAAGGGGCTTGCGGAAGCCGTGCCTGTCCCCGTGGACCTAGATCCGGCGCCATCCACCCACTATCAAGAGTTTCATTGCACAGGTGATCTGCAGTTCACAAGTTTCTGTTGATCTGCTGGGTTCCGAACGACGATCATGAAGCCGTCCTAGTACTGGCCACTGCAGCGAACAGCTTGTGAAGCTGCAGGGCAGGTCATGCAGCAGTCGAAGCCGTGGAGATATAAGGTGCCCTCTCTTCGCAGCTCTCTACAATCCATCGACCATTGTCTGTCCTTCTGTATCCGTAAAGATAGACAATTACACTTCCTACATCACTCGATCTCAGCACTCCAGCACATGCGTCCATCAATCAATCTTCAGCGAACATAGCGGACAGCACATCCTACCTCAATTCCGATCCCAGTGCTATATCACCATTTTCTAGCAAGCCTTCCATCCTTCAAGAGGTCAATATGCAGTCCACGGCAGTCAAGAAAGCCAATGCCTACGCCGGCCAAGATATGCCCGGTATCCCATTCGATTCCCTGATGCGGACCTTCGTCACCTGTTCAGGCAAAGGCTCTAACAACACGGTCCAGAAGGGTACGAAGTGCTCAAGCTGTGGCACGCAGAACAAAGCCATGCCGCTCAGTAAGTACATCACTCGCCCAACGATTCTCAATGGCACTTGAGCTTACTTCCGCAGCTGATAGCGACATCTCGGAGGACCTGAGCATCGTCCTTCCTCCTGACGATCTGTGATCTCTCAGTGCCACAAGCACTGGTCACATATAAGGGTGAGGTCTGCCTGTTGGCATAACCGGTGCAATCGCTAACATTCGGGTATAGATCACCTAAATGAAGCTTCACACAGGATCGTTGACAGCCAGGCTGAGTTACATGGTGGATTGGATTAGGGCTTTCGGCGAGTCAATGCTTTCGTAGTCAAGGTGGCGTTCACATTCACTTGCATTATCCACTTTAGAGCATGTAAATAGGCGTTCACGGAACCACGGTAGCACCAGGAATGCCAAGAAATCTTGGTTAACCTAAATCTTGACTCTGTCTCTGCCTCATAAATGAAAGTCTACTCCGTTCACAACATCGCTTCGCTCCGACAACTTCTGCTTTTACTCTCAACAACCTTTGCCTACACCAACCTCTGCTTTCTGCAATCCACAAACCACATTTCGCAATGGCGCAAGAATTGCCCCCTGTTGGAAGCGAAACGTGGACCTGTGGAAAAGAATTCGCTGACGGCTTCCTCGCACCTCGCATTGAGCAGGTGAAGGCGGCATTCAATCAAGATGCCCTCAAAGCTTATGCTTCTTCACTTCGAGACGGTCGCACATGTACCCTTTCTAGCGAATTTTCTGTCGGGACCTGCAACTTCGTCAAGAAAATCACTTTCGACGACGGAGTTGAGTGGATTGCGAGGCTGCGTATGCCATCATTGGCAAACTTCGAAAACCCCCATCGAGCTTCGCTCCTAAAGACCGACTTGGAAATTCAACAGAAGAAGCGCAGAATTCTGTACGAGATGCGGTCCGAGCTTGACACCATGGGATTTGTGCGGTAAGTCTGGCTTTAGATATCCAACATCGGCCCCCGTGCAACACGGTGGTGCGCACGTGCGCTTGGCCATGTCCTTGACACTAATGTCACTTGATAGCAAGCACACCGACATCCCGCTGCCGAAGGTGCATGGATATAACCTCGACGACAGCAATCCCGTCGGATTCCCTTTCTCGATCATCGACTACATTCACGGTACCACTGCCGCAGAGGTGTCTAGAAGCTACACCGGTGACTACGAATCCATCCCAGAAGAGTATCAAGAGAAGTTCTGGCGTCAAGTGGCCAACGTCATCCTCCAGCTTGCATCCATTCGCCTACCAAAGATCGGTTCTATTATTCGGGACCCATCGAAGCCGGATTTGTTTATGATGGAACCCATAGTCGAGACGTCTTCAGGGCCACATGATTCCGCATCAGAATTTTACAACAACTTCCCGCTAGCGCTGACCAAGAGCCTCTTTGATGCGGACACTGCTGGAAGCAGACTGGAAGAGCTATGTGACGAGCAGGGTGCAGCATTCCGGTCGCTGGCCTCATCTTGCTTCTCTCCTGCCACCGTACTGGAAGGCATGGCCAGCCCTGGACTCGGCCTCACGAACTGGGAACTTGCCCCTCACAATATCCTAGTGGACAGGGAGTTCAATATTCTCGCAGTCATTGACTGGGACTCTGTTATCGCGTTGCCGGACGCAGCCCTCTATCACTTTCCGATTGGAGCGGGCATGGAATCCGCAGTTCCTGGAATTGGGAGGAGGTATCAGCCAGATTCTAAGCGCGAGGAGCGCTGCCGCCGCTTTGCTAAGATCGTTGAAGAAGTGGGTCAGGAGCGAAGCGCAAAAGCTCATCGAGGGACAAATGCGAGCGGGACATTTTTGCCTACCAAGGGCGGATTCTATTCCAAGGAGGCAGTGGCCTTTCGCATGCTGATCTATATGAGGGTGAGGTCGGAGGAGCTCAACGAGGAGTGTGTGCGGGGCCTGAAATGGTTGAGCGAGCACAGCGAGGCAGACATTGCACAGTTTTACAAGATATAATCGTTTGAGAGTTTCTGCTCTCTAAGAAGCAAGGTGGCAAGAGCAATAAACTGTAACTACATGATTGTTCAGGGCAGGTTTTACAGCAGCAAATGACCTCCAGGCATCAACTACCTGGGCATCCAAGACATCTCAGAGCTACAAGTTACTCTCAGTGTTCTTCGTACCACGTGACTGTGCCTCTAGCCGGATCGCAACTCTACACTACACATTCGACCTCACTTATGATGGGTGACTACTATGCATACGACTACTGGCCAATCGTTTCTGGAGAGCGTCACAGCTCAATTGGCCGTAATGTGGCGTCGTAAACTCTGCCTAGGTACTCCGGGCCGAACACGGCTCGTATATACCTGGCATTTTCTGAAAACGAAGATAACTCGGAGGCGGGAGTAAACCTTAAGCTGTCCGCAAGAGCCATCAACATCCCCATGCAGATCAGCAACAACTGACACACGCCGGCGACAACTACGAATAACCGTTCCCATCAGCACTCCGACCCACATGGTGTTGATGCAGGGCTGCGGAGCCTTCAGCGCTGGTGGGGACTGTCCATCAGGCACGACGATTGTAATAAAGAATGCCATGGTTGTGAGCGGGAAGGCGGATTTTAGCTACTGTGATCTACGAGATCGCCTTTTAGCGGGCTGCGATGATCGACACGGTTTCGCGGAGTGACAGGTTGAAACAGCGGTTCTTGACTTTTCGTGCCTTGATACAGGTAGACTGAGCAGACCTTAGCTTGCCATGAACATCTCTAGTTGCATGGAGTTGTTCAGTAAACTTCCGGACCGCAAACCTTATGCGGTCCCAAACCTTGACAGCTGCAGAGTTGAAGTATGTTGAATGCCTTAGGTCAGAACAGAACCACTCTTTAAAACACTAGGGTACCTAGCCAACACCGGCCTTGCGGTTCTGCAGTTCAGTGATGGCTTAAAGTCTAAAGCCAGGTGCAGCGACGTGGTGTCTCTCGTTCCCGGGTTTTGGAACGCCCTGCCAACAGCAACAAGCCACCCGCTGCACGGCTCATCATGGCAGGGTTTCGGGATCCAAGGGATCGCCTGCCACCAGCATGCAGAGTCGCTGTGCTCGTCCCCTCAGCACAGCACCATCACGCAAGTCTTGTCCCAAGATGGAAGCCCACCTCTCACGGGGAGCATTCGAGCATCCAGGACTCTCCCGTCCTCTGTCTCCGAGAATTGTCCAGCTGCCGAAGCCCGCAGTCAGGGGAAGAAACGTCGAATCGCCTGGCGACGATCCAGGCCTGCCAAGTGAGCACAAGCACCCCGGCGAACAGAGTGATCGAGGCGACTGGAAAGTGAGCCGTTCTGCGGGCTAATGCAGCCGCTCTGCAGGATTTGCAGCAGAATCCCGACGTCTTTTGAGTTTAGTTCTCCCGAATCGTGCAGAGACGGACGTCCTGCAAAGCTGCCTCGTCAACCGCGTCCGCACCAGCTCAACCCAGCGAGTCAGACGGAGGAATTGACTTTTCCGTTGACATGGCTGCAGCTGACGTTCTCCGGTGCCCATGTCCTCGATGCCACTTCTGCCCACGAGTTAGCACTGCAACAAGCGCGCCGTAGATGCACGGGAGGGCATGTGAGTAACGCTCTAATCAATCGTGTAATGTCCACCATTGAGCCGAGCCCTCCAGCGCCAGCTCCACCGATGTGATAACTCCCGATGGCCTGTGCCGCTAGCTCTAACGCTGCTCCTTCCCTGGAGAACGGTTCTCTCTCACGGGCCTCCGTCATGTCAAAGACTGAACCCCCAGGCAACTGGCCTACGGCCCGTCGAACCCTTCCGTGGTTCTCGGGTTCGTGGGTCGACTGTATTTGATTGTGACAGACTGCTACATCACAAGTCCTTTCCCTATAACCCCGCTGTTTTGTGTTGAAACTTTTCGGCTCCGTTTCCACGCCCTTTGCAGCGCTCATCCCTCTTTCCCCGTGCCAGGCCCTTGCTTTGCATCTCTTACGTTCCACGTCCACCTTCTCTGATCTCGCAGCCTCGGAGGACCCTCTGCCAATCCTCAGAGTTTTTGGTGCATTAACTGGCCTGCGCCGAAACCCATTGGCAACTATTTTCCACTTGCAATCACCTGAACATTGATGCACGGAAGGCCTGAAGAAACTCCGAGTTGGGATTTTCGCTTTGCTTCAGCAATCGTCACTTCTGCAAAACAAGTCACAGTTCACCGGCTTCCGTCCCAAGTTTCCTTTCTCTGAGAGGGTCACAGCATGCACCCGCCCGCTGTCAGGAGCACCCTCGCATTCTTAACCACCCCTCTGTCCAGCAGGTGCATTCCACGCAACTGGCCAGAACAACAACACCGGCACTTGCGCCCATCTCCTCAATTGCAGTAAATACAATATCGCTGAGATCAGTGGCCGCCTTACGAAACATTGCGGTCTCATCTCTGTTCCACGGCCAGTTCGCCCTCTCACGATTGCGGTCACGAGACTGCTCGCTCGAAGAAGACACAACCCGGTAATCCGAAAACCCATTGGATCACCAAGAACCCGATAGTCCCTCCTGTCGTACTCCCGATTGCGAATGTCAATCTTGTGCGCAAAGCCATTGCCAGAGAAGCGCCACCTTACCGGAATTCCCGACTTTTTCATCAAAAGAAGTTTAGGGAAATCCGTATCTTACAGAGTTTTCCAAGCCCAAGGCCGCGACAATGTCCCAGGTTCAGACCGAAGAAGAGATAGAGCACGCGAATTTCCGCGTCGCACCTCTCGTCATAGTCAAGGATCCGCCACGAATGCGAAGCAGGACCTCCAACCACATAAGGAAGTCGTCCTCCAGAAGTCAGCGCACAACTTCCACCCAGTCGCAGACTGAGCCCTCACCTCCGCTTACACCTCGAGCATCGCGCGAAGCTCTACCCCGTCTTTCAGAGCCGGAACCCGTCTTTCACAACTACTTGCGTGCCTTTTACCAATTTCACCCGGATTCCACCGTCTCCTCTTCCACTGACGAGTCATCAATCACCGTGCCGATAAACCAAGGAGATGTCATCCTGGTCCACTCCGTCCATCCAAACGGTTGGGCTGACGGGACACTGCTCAGTTCGGGAGCCCGAGGATGGCTACCTACGAACTACTGTCAGGCATACGATCATCTCTCGATTCGAAACCTGCTAAACGCGCTCACGAACCTTTGGGACGTTGTTCGAAGTGGAGAGGCCGAAGACATGTCTGTTTTGCTCGGGCAAGACTACATTAGGGCTATGATTGCGGGTGTGCGATATTTCCTGGTAAGTTCGGCAATATTCATCGACCTCGTTTTCAGCACAGAGAGATATTGCTGAGATTTTCTGACGTGCCTCTGCCCTACAGGAGCGATCTGACTGCCTTACGAGAGAATCACCTCTTATTCGAGCCCATGTTGCCCTCCGTCGCACACGCAAAGGACTGCTTGGAGACCTGTCGTCGCTGGTGAAGGCTGGCAAGTCGCTGCAGGAGGCAGTGCGTGCTCCATCCGTAGAAGATTCGATATATGACATCTTGGATGAGCTGGTCATCAAGGCCTTCAAGGTCGTCAACAGGGCAGTGAGGTTCTTCGACATCTGGAGTCAGGATATCAACGACAGGTTTCCGGCACGCTACGCCAGCGAGGTCGCCAGACCACTTACACCGCCAGCAGATAGCCAAGAAGTCACGCCGCAGCAACTGCATTCGCAATCAACTTTGGTTGCTAAATCGAGCAGCAGCGCTTCACTGCATAAGCGTGGTGTTGTGTCACCATTGACACCAGGCACAGCGTCAGCCGTTGAGTGCATGCCCGTGAGCCCCAGATCATCAAGCAACCACGCGTCAAAGCATTCTTTAGATGCACCGCAACTGGAAGCTTCTCCCTCATCGCCTCAAAACCCCATGCGACAGCGATGTTCACAAACCAAGCGTCCTTCAACGTCGCATCGCTGGTCGTATACCGGAACAGCTGTTGGTCTCAGGCGACACAGCCTTGCGTCGGAACGCCTTGGCGCCGCCCACGACTCCTTTTTGGGATTCATCGCATCCTTCATCGGGTTACACCTGCAATCGCGCTCTTCCTCAGAAGTCGTTCTGTTCACTCGCCAGTCCGTAACAGCGTGTCGGCAGCTTCTGTCCGTTGTCGAAGAAGTGTTGGATCGCGATCTAAGACGTTGCGAAACCTTGAAGCAGACAAGAGACGCCATGTATGCGCGACTGTCTGAGCTGATTCGAGCGACGAAAGAGATATTCAGTCTGTCAAGGACAGGAGACGAAGAGGTCGTGCCTCCAGATCAGCGCAAACAGTTGGTCGACGCGGCTATGAGCTGCGTGCGCTCGGCAGGTGAATGCGTCAACAAAACCCGTTTTGTAATCGAGAAGATTGGCGACTTTGAGGTGGAGTCAATCGGACTTGGGATCTCAGATTCGATTTTCGACGATGTCGCAAATGCGGTCGCGACGCAAATAACGGGCGCGCTGGATAAATCGGCCTCATCTGACACGCAGCAAGCTCCATCACCACCGTCTCAACCAAGATCACGACCTCCGGCCCCGCCGCTGATCCTCACTGAGGGAAGCCCTCTCCCGGATTCACCTACGCTTTCTCCGACTGCCATCCTAGCGCCAAACGCGCCGACCAGCCTTGTAGAGAGCCCCGTTGCACTGTCCTCTCGCACATCGACGTCCTCCATTCCGTCGTTATCGAATTTCATCCTACCTCACATACCACCACCACATTACAGCCCAACGAATCCAACGCACAGCCCAGAGACAGTTACGCGTCGTTTCTTCGGCCAAAAGCCTAGAGCGGATAGTGTCAACGTCTCAAACGCCGATTCAAACAGCACGTATCCCAGCAGCCTTCCAGGAGATGGAGCGAGCATAATCTCGCACACCTCGACACGAGCCACGACCCCCGAGCAGTCATCGCCAAAGCGTCACGAAGAACCGGCTTTGCTCAGCAGCTTTGGAAGCGCTTCCGAGTTGCACTCCATAGCTAGTGAAGACTGCCGTCGATTCGAAGCGGAGATGTCTACGAAGACATACGCTTGCGAACTCGTGTACAACAAAGACGGGCAAATATGCGGCGGAAGTCTTCCAGCTCTGGTAGAGAAGCTTACCGCCCACGAGTCTACTCCAGACGCAATATTTCTCACCACGTTCTACCTTACATTCCGTCTCTTTACCACGCCCATTGACTTTGCCAAATGCTTGGTGGACCGCTTCGAGTACGTCGGAGAGAGCGAGGAGATTGGAGTGCCGGTGCGCTTGAGAGTGTACAACGTCTTCAAGGGATGGCTCGAGAGTCATTGGCAAGCCGACTCGGACTCGCCCGCACTAGGCGTAATTCTGGCCTTCGCAACCGGACAGCTCAGGGCTGCCTTACCGGCAGCTGGACGGCGGTTAGCGGAACTGACGGTAAGGGTCACGGAAGTACACGCAGCGAGCCTCGTCCCTCAATTGGTGTCCTCAATGGGCAAGACTAGCACTTCAAGTACCGTCTGGTCCGCGACTGAGGGGAGCGCGCCGGGCCCTATCATTACCCGGAGTCAGCTCAACGCTTTGAGGAATGCGCGCGGCAGCGGACTGCAACCCAGCATTCTTGACTTTGACCCCCTTGAGCTCGCGAGACAATTCACTATCATCGAATCGAAAATCTTCAACGCGATTCAACCCGAGGAGCTGCTTGGATCTGAGTGGACGAAGAAGACGGATTCTAAAGCTATCAATGTACGCGCAATGGCGAGGCTCTCCACAGATCTGGCCAACCTGGTTGCAGACACCATCCTCTCCCTGGAAGATCCCAAGAAGCGAGCCGTTGTAATCAAGCAATGGGTCAAGATCGCGATGCGCTGCCTCGAGCTCAACAACTACGATTCGCTAATGGCAATCATCTGCTCGCTCAACTCGTCCATGATCCTCCGGCTCAAGCGCACCTGGGATATCGTTTCGCAAAAGACGAAGACCCGGCTGGAAGACCTTCGCACGATCGTGGACGTCGGACGGAACTACGCAGTCCTCCGCCAGCGGCTACAGAACCACGTCGCGCCATGTATTCCCTTCGTGGGCATCTACCTCACCGACCTAACCTTCGTCGACGTCGGGAACACCACCACGCGCCAGCTTCCCGCCGACGGTTCCGGCGAAGGCGTGTCAGTGATCAACTTCGACAAGCACGTGCGGACCGCCAAGATCATTGGACAACTGCAGCGCTTCCAGGTCTCGTATAAGCTGTCTCCCATACCGGAGATGCAGGAGTGGATGGAGAGGCAGATTCTGCGCGTCAGATCGAGCGACCAGGCGAACGTCCAGAGTTACTACCGCCGCTCATTAGTACTGGAGCCCAGGGAAACCCAGCAGGCGCAGCTGCAACCTACGCTAGGGGATAGTGCGACTAGCACATACTCTGTCAACAGCCGCGAGACGGCGAAAGAGAAATTCGACTTTTTCGGCAACTTTCAGATTCTGAAGTAGTTTGTCCGAGCAGAAAATACGAATCGACCATTCTCGGGTGCTTTCTTTTGTTCTCAGCGGTCATGTTTGCTTGGTTGCGTTTTGGATTGACTGTTGTTTTGCATATCACGGCCGTGGCGTTTCTGATATGCATCACGGATCTCGGAAATGGTTATGGAGTACTGTATACCCTTTCACCACAGTCATGGGATATGAGGTCGGTTTTACTGTTTTTTTGATACCTCTTCAGCGCTTTGAGCATCGGGATCTTGAGTTTTGACTAGCAGGTTGTGTGGTGGTGTACGTTGGCTTAGGCGTGGTCGCTCATTTGGATACGGAAAAAGAAGGGCACCATATGATGGGTGTTTGGCTCTGGCTCGATATGGCTTGGGATAGCTATTGCGGGGCTTTGCTTGGGCGGCATCTGGAAGGCCTTCTGGACTATGCAGCATACCAGTATGAAGCATGTTACGCAAGATGGCGCATTTGCTGGCCCTCCATGAATGATGTTTCCTAAGAGCAGTGTTGAACACTGGCCTTCGCTGCCTTCTTCCACCGACCGATGTCACCGTGCAGCACGCCCGCCTCGAATGCGGCTGATCGCACACCTCCGGACATCAAGGCTCTTCGGGCGCCGAAGCTGATAAGGCCCGGTCGTATTTCCATTACACCCGACCACTGTGTAGCCCTGCTCTCCTATCCTAATAAGCTAGCATCGGCTGCTCAATGGAGGGATCCGATAGCTGCGACAGCAACACCTACCCCAACCCACAATGGACGAACAGGTGAACAGGCTGGTCGCGAAGCTATGGGGTAAGCCGCGCAAAACCCCATCCCAAGCCACCGTCTGGCAACCCCCCAACAGTAGCAGATTGCTGACAGCGTCGATGGGCAGAGAAATACGAACACACACCCCGCTCCCGCCGCCTCCTCGTCGCCGTGTCTGGCATCCCCGGGTCAGGCAAGTCTGCAACCCCTACCTCTCCCTACACACTATCCAAGGAAAGAATTGCGAGCTGCAGAGAGTAGTACAGCAAGCTGACTATGTCCACGCGGAAGCAGGCAAGACGACGCTCGCGGCCAAAGTCACGAACCGCATCAATGACCGCTACCACGACCAATCCCCCGGCGCCTCTTGCGGGAATGCCATCGCGGCGTTCGTGCCTTGTAAGTTCCTCTTCCTCCCCCGCAGTCCCCCTTCCCCTTCCTCCTTCCACCTTCTCAAGACACCAGCAGCTCAGACAACCGCTAACACCCCACACAGTGGACGGCTACCACCTGTCGCGCGCGCAGCTGGACGCGATGCCGGACCCGGTAAACGCGCATGCCAGGAGGGGCGCGGCGTTCACGTTTGATGGGGAGGGGTTTTCAACGCTCGTGAAAGAGCTGAGGAAGCCGTTGCTCCCGGAAACGAAGACGGTGTTTGCGCCCAGCTTTGATCACAAAGTGAAGGATCCGGTCGAGGGGGATATTGGGATTAGCCCCGGGATGAGGGTGAGTAGTTTGTTCCAGTGGCTGGGGGGCTGGAGCGGTGGTGTGAGGGAACCAGTGCAAGGGAACTCTGGCCATGGGAGGCTGATCGTACATGCCGCATCTAGATCATCATCTTCGAAGGCAACTATCTCTCCCTCAACAAGCCGCCCTGGAGCGACGCCGCAGCCATGATGGACGAGCTGTGGTTTGTCGAGGTCGACTTCGACACCGCGCGCAAGCGGCTTGTCACGAGACACGTCAAGGCGGGCATTGCGGCCGATGAGGGGGCGGCGCATAAACGTGTCACGGAGAACGATCTGGTCAACGGGAAGGAGATTGTCGACGATAGGATACCGGAGGTGCATGAGGTTATCGTGAGTAAGGAGGACGAGGCGTGGACGCCGGAGAGGCAGGGGATGGAGACGGCGACGGCTCCTGGGGGTTGAGTACAGCAGCGCAGCTATGGGTCGCTGCGACAAGAGAACCATCTACGCAAGAAAGATGGGGTTTCGTATAGTCACGGGGTGAGTTATGGATCTTCGAGCTCAATTGAAGGGTGTACGTGGGGCCTTTGTCGAACCAACTTGTTCCATTGCGCAGAACAGTGAGAGAGAGCTTATACGTAACTCAGAGTACAAGAGTCGCGCTCTAGAAGCATATAGTGCTCTCGATTGCGCGCACGCACGTACCTGTCTGCTGCCGTTTTCCTGACGAGGTCATCTCAAGCCACTCGGACGTTTGCCCTGCGGCTCGTTCCACCGTTGAAGAGTACAAAAGCATCACAACTTCGTTTCCGCTGCGTACCCTTAAACACGCTGCATTCGAGCCGAGACGTCCGGTTGACCCTAAGCTCTACCAGAATAGCTCCATGGTTGATAAAATCAAAGCAATGTAGGAATAAATATGTAGGTACCCAGCTGGGATACCGCATATTTTCACACGCTCACCTTCTCCCCATATTTGCTTTGCTCGCTGTACACACTTCCAGTACGCACGCTCCTCGCTCCGTCATCTTCGAAGGCTTCTAAACCTTACTATTCTACCTTGTCTTCTGGAGCTACTGTCCCGCCTTCCGTAGTCGCGTATACGTTAAATAGGTACGCCGTGTTACATCAGGTCCTGCGGATGCGTTGAGTTAGCATGCTGGCAGTTAAGAGCGAAGGAACAAAAGCCCCTTTCGCATCATGAAATTTTAAGAAGATCTGCTGCACAGCTACTCTCCGGCAGACCTCGTCCGCCACATCTGGGAGTCTCCTTGCGTGTGCGAAAAGTACAACGCCAGCGTACACGTATTATCCACCAATCTCCTCTCGAAGCGTTACAAACGGGACGGGCTGGAGGACACGCTCAGGGCCATGGAGGTGGCTCGTCAGCTTGGAATCCGCGTCCTTGGCATTCGATGAACGCTGGAGTTCGAGCATGACACATGGTGCGTCATGGAACGAATCCATGGAAGTACATTAGGAGAAACATGGCCGCAGCCGAGCTGGATCGTAACCATGAAGCTAGCCTTACAGCTCCGCCGGGTACATCCATCTCCTGCGGTCCGTGACCTCGCCAGCCGCGGGATCGCTGGCGACCGGCAAGTGCAGGTCGTTCCATCTCGAGGACAGACACGAACTGGCTGCGCGCTCAAGCCCAGAAGTCATAACGCGCTTCCTCAAATTCTGGATCAACTGGGTGTCCTTCAAGCATGAGATCAGCAAATGGACGCCCGATACGCCGCAGGAGGCAGGCCACACTCTGAAATGGATACCTCCAATAGCCGAGACCTTCGTCCTCACCCACCATGATCTTGCGCCGCAGAATCTGTTGCTCGACCCTGATGGCCGGCTTTGGATCTTGGACTGGGATTACGCGGGATTTTACCCCAGGTACTTCGAATTCGCCGCTATGCAGAATTTCCGGGCGCGGAACCGATAGAATCTACTTGACCAGATGCGATGGGATCTATTTAGTTGGGTGACGGTTAGGCGCTCTGAGCAGGAGAGGAACTTGCTGGAGGCGATAAGATGTAGGTTCATACGCGAAGTCTTGGAAGGTCCCTCGTTCTGCAAAAGGCCCACCCGGCGCCCATGTCGAGACCGGCTGTGTAGGTTAATATAGGCGTGCAGTCATGTTGCATAGTCGAGACAACAAGCAACTCGAACTGCACCGTAGGGTTGTTTCGTTCTGGAAAATGCTCCATTGATTGCAGCAGTGTTCAAATGATATATATAAAGAACATCAAAGCTTCAACGCCTTCCCGAGGCTGGTGATCACGACGTTCAGTAAGCTAGCTCGAAGCTGTAGATAAAGCTGCGGATGATGTTCACCATAATTGAATCGCCGCTTCTTCCGGTCTTCGGCGGTACAACATCAAGCGCCAGCAGCTACTGTTGTTAATATCCAGTGTGATGGCGCTCCTGCTGTCCTCCTTCTCTGCTGTTTACCTGAGCACAGTGCCATGCAGTTCCTCGGCGCCATCTCAACGTATTTACAACTGCTTCTTCCTCAGTCCTCACAGCTCAATTAATCACCACCATTTCCCGTTCAATTTGTTTGATTATTGCCCTCACACCCCTTCGTTCAGGAGCGAAGCAAAGTACAGCGCCGTGTTACGGGAACCAATTCAGGGACGGACGTCGGCCAACAGCAAACACCGTTGACACCTCCACTACACCTCTCCTGAATCTAGCTCGAGCGAAGCAACGCTCGTCCGCAACGTCGATGCCTCTACACCGCTTCTCCTGCTCCGCTTTCGACAGCAGCAACGCTCTTCCACCGTATCCTCACCATTCTTTCCATCGTCAACCTTTACATACATACCTACCTCCGATATCAGCCTCTCATCGTGCATCGGTACCCAATCATTAGGGAGATTCCGTGATGAGTGTAACAGCCTCGAGCTTACAGCCGGCTGACATGAACTCCCGCTTCCATGGTGATTCTTTCCATACCGCCAAACTCTCTAAGCTGCTGCTTGCGATCCAGAGAGGCGCCTTTCCGCCCGAGACCTAAGATGTTGACGATATTAAGGGGCCGCGTCCCTCGAACTGCCCGGGACTCGTTCGGTCAGGCTCGACACGGCGCCAGGCTATGAGGTGTGTCGCAGAGACTCTGCCGACTGGGTACTCACTGCTGGCAATGCTTTAAGCCTCCAACCTTGCTCACCAACACTGTTCAACTGCCGTCACCACTCTCGTCAGGTAAGCTGTTGACACTCTATGCTTTGGATGCTCACCGCTGACAATACCACACAGCACTCTACCGTCCGCCATGCCTTCCCTTTGACAACTTCGCCAAAGCGCTGACAAGACGATCAAGCACCATTCAGCCTGTCCCCAGATCGATTCACACGGCCACAGTCTGTATTAAACGCCAGAACCAGCGCATATTCGAGCCACCTGGAGTTCCAACACCACAGATCTGATCCTTCGGCTCCGAGCTAACAAGTGGCTTTGCGTACTTCCAACAGGACTTCGCAACATGATCTACCGGGAGTTTCTGCCACACAAGAATCTGATCACCTTTCACCCTCGCACGACGACTGAAAGGTGAAGAATCTGGTCCGGCAAAACCTGCCAAGCTCCAGCGACGATGATGCGGAATCAGTATCATCCGTTTCAACCAAGGCCAGTCGAGCACAGTCTCAGCAGGACAAGCCTGCGATCTTAGCACGCACTCTCCGCCAGGCACGGGATCGGACTACTCTGTGTATCCCGGGTACCGTGTAGAGTTCAGTAACCAAGAGATGGATGAACCCGAGCTGGTTTTAGCGGAACGTGTTCCGTGCTTGCAGACACCAACGGCCCAGACAATTGTAGCCTTGGTATTTCCTTTGCGAACTCCGTGTTGGTATTTGCAGACCTATGACAGGGTGCGTCCCGCTCCTGATAGCCGAAGGTACAAAGTGTCCACACAATCACAGCGGTCTCACCAGCAACAGTGGAGAAAGCTACAGTTAAAGGAAGGTGAAGACTACCGGTACTGGTCACGAACACTCACTCCGTACCTAGAGGACGCCGGCCGTGCACCCTAAGGCCGTAGGAGGCTCTCATGGGATCCACTGTCTTAATGCTGGCCGCCACCCAGGGATTTGGACTCAGAGGTAAGAGAGGCAGAGCTTGGGCTTTTCCAGCCGAGAAGGCAGTCTCGCCTTCGCCAGTCTTAGACGTGAGGATAGAAGCGGACAAATTCTTCATCGTGAGATTCTCTGTGCACACTCCAATCTTTGAAGCGGCGTCTCTGATGCGGTCCTGGTTTGCATCTCGAGTGTTGTTAACCATGTCGAGCAGTGGCAATGTTCAAAACATATGGCGGCGGGCCGGTGTCATTTTTCAAGCTTGGCCAACAGAAACCTTGGTGGATTTGCGGTTGTCTTGTGCGTTCAGGTAGACTTGCCGATTGGATGGTTCGACAGGAAGCGGCCGTAACTCTTGCCTTGCTCTTTCTTGTTCCAAGTCGTTATCAAAGTTAAGCACTGTACTTAGTGAGGCTGCTTGAACTGTACCGGAGGTGGAGGTCAATAGTACCAGCCGGAGTTCCTTGACAAAAACCCGTCCGTTCCTTTTAACAGCTTCTTCTCCGTTGTTTATGCGTTTCTTGATCCTTGGATTTACTCAATTATCGTGACTCTTACCACAAACTAAGGTTTTAAGGATGGGATATGAGCATGCCAATACAGCTCCAGAGCGAGACCAGCACTTTGAAGTATAGAAACGATCGATTCTACATAGTGATGAACTGGATGAGATCAAACATAGACGATAGGATTGGAAGGGTATTAGATGGGTTTGGCATTCCCAGCCCCCTGTGCCTTACGGCAAGTCCGCTATGAGCTTTGACAGTATAACCGGGCACCGGCTTTGACGCTCAGCTCTCTCCGGAGAACGCTTCCTTTCACCCACGTCCCCGCCTTGTATGGACGGTCGAGGAATGGATAGCTCGGCAGATATCGATATATGCCGGTAAGTCTGATGCCGGCCTCTGTATCCAGTGGCATAATCCCTCGATAGATGACCACAAGATACAGAACCTTGGCGGACATGATATCGTGCAGAATGATGGGAATGCTTGTTTGATGTTCTGCGGCTAGTAGGCTTACCTATTGCGACAGATGCTCACAATGCGATACTATTGGCTAGTAAAGCTAAGGCTGTAAAGATTGCAGGCATGTTTCATCCTGAAGATTGGGGAACGTCGGCGAGCTTTACTCGAGTACGCGTACCTCGGCTATGACGTATCCCGATGGTGGAATGCTCCAGTGGGAGGTTCCTCCGCTCGAAGCCACAGAGCGTAAATTACGGGAGTTTGTGGCGCAGAGCGAGCGCCGGACGAAGCGTTCGCTGCGGGCGCCGCCAACGCGAAATCGAGCAAGTGCCGCTCGTGAATGGGCTAAGCGCAAACTGACAGGCGGGCAGTTCCAAGGAAGCGATGGCCGTGAAGAAGTGGCTGGACATCTTTGGCGCTCAGATCATGTGCAGGCCCGCATTACATCACTCCCTGCTCAGTTACAAAACCACAACAACCGACGTCTCTCCTTTCCTTCTCTCACCACAACCAGCTCCATCGAACTCCATCACACTCTTCCATCAACCAACTCCATCTAGACCATCCCGCAACTCACTCCACACATCACCCACTCGTCGCAATGGCAACTCTTCACTGTAAGCTCCCCGCACGCCCCCTGCTCCCCTGTCGCACGATGAGCGGAGACGAGCATAACTGCAAAAGCTTCACCCATCAACGACATCGACTCGAGATGACAATCAATCATGCTTGCATCGCCCCGGTTCACGCTTCATTCGTATTGCTCACATTCCGAGTTCATTGAGCTGACATCATCACTCTCCGCAGACCTCCCGCCCGTCAAGCCCTCAGCCATCGCGCTAGGCACCCTCTTCAACCACGCCGTCTCCCTTGCCGTCCTCGGCCCAGTGTTCGGTGACACCTACCGCCAGGCCCAGGCCGCTAACTCGAAGGAGGAGTTCTTCAAGTCAAAGGAGGCCGCCAGCGCCGCCTCGGCATGGGGTAGCTCGCTCGTCGGCTCTGCCATCCAGTCTTATGGTGTTGGCGCTCTGATCAACGCAACTGGTACCCTGACCTACAAGGGCGCTGCTTACCTCGGCTCCATTATCCTGATGGCCACCGCTGCTCCTTCGGTATGCTTCGTCCCGTGACGAGCACCTCAATGGATGGTTGCTGACATGTTATACAGATCGTCTCCCAGATTGCCACCGAGAAGCGCCCAATGGACCAGGTTGCCGTCGGTGCTCTCGCCCGCGTGTTCGAGACCGTCGGCCTGTCCATGTTCCTCGTCTACTGGGGCACCCGCACCAACCCCTTCGACTAAGCGCTGAACGTCGGATACCACATTACGGATGATTCGGGGGACTTTGGGCTGTGTGTGTTTTCCTGCTGGTCTCTTTGTCTTTACTCGGCAGCAACGGTTTCACATAGTCTCTGGCTGTAACATCACTCCAATCAAAATAAGCAACTGGAACCAATCTTAGTCTTTTGCCTTGCTTAATACCTGCGTTACATGCTTGCCCCGCACTATTGAATGCCAGAAGAGGTCAACCCACAGTAGCGTGTTGCATCCAATGTCAACCACGATTCGTTCACCAGCCATTGCGTGTCACGTGATGGCAGTTCCGTCACCCTCGCTCCGGGTCGAGCCGCCCCTGCAATTCCGTTGGTTTGTTCTACTTGATGGCTATCGTCTGTCCATTGACCATTAAAGAAAGCCGCTTAGTTCTTGTGCCCTTAATCCTATGTCTGAAAGCCAGAGCAGTTGAGCAGTGGTGGATAACCGCATCGGCGCAGATGATGCTGTTATACCAGATTCAACCTCGCTACACATATCTCGAATCTCATTGTCCCTGTCGCCAACCGTCTCGATAGTGCAGTCGAACTCCTGCTCCACCGGTGACCAGATGGGTGGTTCCGTCAACGTGAAGCGCGACACCATTCCCCCTGATCTCCTGTTTGAATCCGCCACGTCCGATATACGCCTCTTTCTACTGCCCTGTTCTCCTTCGCCTTATGGAATTTAGACATCACAAAACTCCCTCCGGTCCGTGGGAGTATCTCAAATTGTTTTCGCCGGCTTGTTTTGCTCTGACTGGCCGGTACTGTTGCTTATCGGCCTTCTTTCAGCTCAGACTTCTGTATGCAGCCGTAGATTAGACTGACCGCAGAGAGCACCGGAACCTCGGATAGTCAATCGCCCGTCACGGTGGACAGTTTGTTTCCCGCTGCAGCTGGTGAGGGGATGCTATTCATACCCTCCTGCTTAGCTGCGGGCTACGTATCCAATCAAGCGCCGCCCAATGGTATAAAGCCCAAAAGTTCTAAACCCCTAAGAAAAAAGGGAAAAAAAGCTGCATATCCAAACCGCGAAGATAAACTGCCACTCTTAACAATCCAGCCGCCTACCCAACAGGCCAAACCATACCGCAGCCGCTCACACCTGTACAATCCCACACGAAAAGACGTCTGCACCACACACACCCAGGAGCCCCACACGCTTGACCCATCCTTACTGGGATTCCCCAGGCACAAACACCGCCTCACGTCCACACAACGCAACCACATTCTTGAAAAACCGCCTCCACTCCAACGGATCGCCCTTCGCCTTGACGAACCGCACCTCCAGCAGTCCAGCCTCTCCAATGCGCTCGACCACAATCGTCCCATTGAGTCCCTGCTTTCTTCCATCCACCGTCTTGATCCTGATGTACGCCTGCTGCGCATCCTGGTGCGCCATGGCGTCGCCGTTTGCCGGCGCGACGGAGGCGAGCGGCACGGGGATATTGAGGGCATGGAGCGCGGCGCCCAGCGTCTCGAGGAGGTGCGGCAACGGCAGCGGCGAGACGAGCCGTGCGAGGGAGTAGGAGGGGAGGATGTCCTTGAAGCGCTGGGCGGCTTGGGTGAGGGAGAGCGGGACGGTAGGGTGGGGCGTGAATTGGCTGAGGGAGACGTCTTCGCATAGCGCGTCGACTAAGGAGGCCGAGAGCTGGCGGCGGTGACCCCCGGCGGAGGTGGATGCTGTCGTGGGCTGCGAGGCGCTGATGCCGTCGTAGGCGGCGAGACGGGGCGGCCGCTCCCAGTCGAAGGGGAGGTCTGCTACTGGTGTTTCGGGCTGCGTAGAGGAGAGGAGGTGGGGGCGGTGGTCGTGATCCATGGTGTCGTGGGTATGGGAGGGACGAGGCTGCTGTGTCGCGGCGGGAGCCGGGTACTGCGTAGCGTCGATCTGGCGCTGGGAGGCCGCGACAGGGTCGGCGGTGAAGTCTATACGGAGGTTCTCGAGCATCTGCGTCGCGAGGCCGAGGGGGTTCGCAGAGCGGCCGCTGGGGTCAAGGAAGGGGTTGAGACGCGTGAACCAAGGATGCCGCCGCACGTCGTCGAGGGAGAAACGGCCCCCCGGGTTCACTTTCAGCATCCCGCGCAGCAGCGAGAGAATCTCCGGCGGTAGCTTACGCCACAGCTCGTCGGTTGTGTGGCCACGCGTCTCGACGAACTCGTTGAACTCGTACGAGTTCCGCGTCGGCTCGTCCCAAGGCGTGTTGCCGACCAGAAGCACGAAGAGCACGACGCCGACGGACCAGATGTCTGCGATGTTGGCCTCGTAGCCGGCGTTCCCGCCCTCGTCTTTCGGCAGCATGCCCCCGTTATTCATGCCCTTCCTGCCAAACTTCCCCGCCACGATCTCAGGCGCGATGTAGGGCGGGCTCCCACACACGGTCGCGCAGAGCCTCTTCTTCCCATCCTTCTGGAACAGCGCCGCAAGCCCGAAGTCCGCGATCTTGAGATCCCCCTCCCCGCTCAGCAGAATATTCTCCGGCTTGATGTCCCTGTGCGCGACGCCTTTGGAATGCATATACCCAACCGCGGCCACCAGCTGCACGAAGTAGAAATGCGCAATGTCCTCTCCAACGCCGGCGTCCGCCTCGATCTTGTCGAAGAGGTCCCCGCCGTCCGCCAGCTCCATGGCGATCCATGTCCAGGCCGGGTCCTCGCCTGCGGAGAGCAGCTGAATGATGTTGACATGCTTGCCCAGGTGTCGGTGGAGCGCGATTTCTTTGGCGAGCTGGGAGGGTTTTAGGCGGCCGGTGGAGAAGGCGTGGGCTTTGTTTATGAACTTGACGGCGATTACGGGGGTGGGGGCGTGGGGAGGAGCGGCTTTACGGATGCTGGTGTAGTGAGCGGATCAGTCTGGCTCCTCTTGGCTGAGGATTTGGAGAGGAACGGGGACTGAGGGAGGCGTACAATGCGTAGGCGCCTTGACCGATGGTGCGGGATATTAGTCGGAAGGGGAGGTTTGTCGGTAGTGGTGCTGTTTGAGACTGGACAAGAGGTCGGTGGTTAGTCAAGGACGAGATAGACGCGCGTCTGCGGAGAGAACAGCACGTACATTCGGAGGCGCTGAGCGTGCCATTGCACCTTTAGAACATGCCGAATAGCTCTGGAAGCAAAGAGATCAGGATAGAGAAGCCGAAAGCGCGTGGATGGGGATCAATTGGCGCCTGCTCCATCTGAGGCGCGCTGGTAAACACGCGATTTTCCATCGATAAGCGGCGCGCCTGCGCGGTAGCATGTGCTCATTTTAATTTACGGCCTAAGGGAAATCACCATGCATTCAAAGGGCTGCGCGCGTAACAAGTCCGCTGCATGCAAGTCAACAGAGTGCTGCTGCTGAGTGTGATTTTTTCTTAGTCGCTAATATACAGGACAACCTCACCCTCTAGCGGCGTGCTCTCCACCGCCACGCGGAGGCGAGAGCGCTGGCCGCACCATCGCTGGAGCGGCACAAGTGCTTGCAGCATTCCGTGTCCGGATAAAAATGAAGAAACAATGCCGCTTGGTAAACCCGATCCAACTGATATTGGACTTCAAGGCACATGAAAACAAATCCAAATCGCCGGCGCCAGTCTAGTGCTATGCAAAAACCCGTAGGAATGCCACGTCAATCGGATCACGAGAAATTAGCAAGAGCAAAAAAACAGAGCAACAACCGCTTCCGGCAACTCCATCCAGACTTCCAGGTGATGCAAAAGAGGGCGTCGGAGCGCAACGGCCGAGGATGGGGGATCGGCACGCTGCTGGCACGGACACCGCCGAGAGAGCGCCGAGAGGTGGTTGGTCCGATCTTTGCCGTGCAGATTCGCCACATGCAAGATCTTCAGGGTTTGCGAACGGGGGTGATGGGAGCCTAAGACGGGGATTTTCGGTCCGGGAGAACTCAGACGTCTATCGCAGCTAACGGAAGAAAGCAACGCTGAAGGTATCGATGGGATCGTGAATCCATGCAGGCGGACCGGTCGTAAGATGGGCGGCCTAGAAATATGAAGCTGAGATCATCATGTGGAGCGTAATGCGCTGCTGCCAAGCGCCGCCTCCAGATTCCGTTCCCGAAGAATGGCGCTGTACTTCGGTTCTCTCATAAACTTGGGTACAGAATCCTTCGTGATACTGTCAGTGAGAGTCTACGAGTGCAAAGAGGAGAACAACGTACGCTTGCCATGAGCTTGAAGACGGAGTTTTGCGCTTGATCGAAGAGCGTGGCAACTTCGTCGAGGCTGACAATCATAGCTTCATTGTCGCCGACAGCTCTGGTCATGCGTGCCGCGAGAGCAGTGCGTAGTGAGTGATCGATGTTCAGTTCACACGGCGACCCCGGCGCGAGGAAAGCGTTGTACAGGCCTACGTCTAGGTGAGCACAGGCAAGGATGCAACATTCGTCAGTCTAGCCTTACTGTAAGCTGCTGCCAACGTCTCTCTGATCACTTCCAGCTTGGGAGTTATGCCGTTCTGCTTTGTCATAGCATAGTTGTCCAGGAACTCCTTCACGTCCAGGTAAAACGACAGGTTCTCCTCGCAGTGAGTATCGCGCAGGAACTCCCGGAAGAGTAAGCGTAGCGCCGGATCACGGACGATTATGGTCATTCTGTTGGCGTTCGAATCTCTTGTTGCACCTTCGCGCGGTCTGTTGACGGGGACGTCTCCATTTACCGAGCTCTTTGGGCTTGAGATCCAGCCGGCCACTCTTTGCCCCTTCTCGGTCACATAGTAAATGGCGCTCTTCAGGGGCTGAAATCGGTGGTTGCGCGCCTGTGCTGAATCTACGGGCCGCATCAACCCGTACTCGATGAACATTGTACAGATCTCATAGGTTTCTCTTTTATCGACCATTGTGCAGCAGTCCATGAGCCAGTCTACGGATGTCTTGCCGGTGAAGGTGTTCCAGTAAACTTTGTCCCCAATCTTGCGTTCCCGAGCCATCTTTACTCCCACCAGGCCGGTGGAATACTCGTGTACAGAATCAGAGTCAGAGGCTGATGTGCTGGCCTTCGCGTTCGGTCCGCCCTCCCCAGCGAATCTCCGGAAGATGACCTCGATTGTGGCTTGGTCGTGACTGAGCTTGTCTGTGTCGTGCTCTCTTTCCAGTATTACCAGGTGCATCACATTGCGCGGAGACTCTAGAACCTCGCATACGTGTCTTTGGTTGATACCGTTGCGTTGGCAGAACCGTTGCAGAATGTACATCCCCTTGGGTGTGAGCTGCCACACCGCGCTCTTGGATGCGAAGTCCATTTTGCCGTCGGCGGACTCGATGAATCTGGCCTCCAAGAACTTTTGACACACGGAGCGAGCCATCTCTTTCGCCATGGAGAAAGTAGTCGTCGTCGTCGTCGTTACTATCCTCGACGGGTCTTTCGGATCTGGCATGCGATTTGATTGCGAGAACTTTAAGGAGCCCAGGTTCGTAACTGCTTCCTCGGAGGTAAAGGTGTGCTCCACCTTCTGAAACCGCACTCGGTGCGGCGTGAGCGGTAGGCTAACCATCAACGTTGAGAAGAGATCCTCAAAATCCTGCGAAGCCATCTGTTAGCTTATACGTGTCTTTGATAAGGAAAGATGAAGCCCTGTGATCCTAGTGATTTGAAAACATCTGCTACACCGGGTTCTACACGAGGTCCCCAATGAAGCTCTTCAATGAGATTTGTGATATTGACCGCAGAAACAGACGAGTAAACCGTAAATCAGCGGTCGGCTCACTGCAGGGTCCACTTTGCATGCTGGAGTTCTGCAGGGCAGCCGTTCGACAGAGTAGGTTGATAAATGAAGAAGAAAATGGACGAGGAGGGATTCGCGTTCCCCGGTCTATCCTTCACTGGTGCATGCTGCAACTATATAGCACCTTTTCAGGGCCGTCCGCCATCTCCCCGCCTAGCATCTTCGAGGAAAATGGAAACTGAGTCTCGGCGAGTTGCTTACCCGAGTAAATGGCCGATCATCATCCGTCATCCGCAACAACCTCGACGAAGTCTGATGCATCTTGTGATCCGGCGCGTTGAAGCCGTCAGCGCGTTGCTCCAGAGGAGGTATACGCGATGCCTTCGAAGGTTTGCGGAGTAGCTTTCTGTGTCTATCCTCCAGCTTTGAGGATTAAATCGATAATGCCGCCACCCGGCGTCCGATGAGGTGCAGCTGGGCGTTTCGAGGCTTGCAGGTTTGTGAGACAATGCTGCCGTATCCGGACTTTGCTGCGTGTCCCGACAGCTGTGCAGCTGAGTCTATGTCCTGGTCCTCGGAATTGCCGCGTGGGCGTGGTTCTGGTCGCGGAGGCCTCGACCCGGCGTGCCTGCAGTGGAGTTGTCGATGGGGAGGCTTGGGCGATCGCGCAGTCGGAGACGCCGTTCTCGTCTGTCCTCTCTCTCACCCCCAATATGTTATCGCTCGAGGATGGCTGTATTCGTTTCGACCGAGGATGTAGGCTACGGAGGTACAGGTTCTCTTATATCCGGCGGATGTCCGGCCGGCTGAGTCTTAGGGCAATATGAGTTGAGGAGTCGAATTGGCGATGCGCAGCTCCGCGTTGCGACGGACGATGAGGAGGAAGGAAGTGGTAGAGGGATTGTCGGCAGCATAAGGTCGGTAGGAGCGTGTAGTCGTCGACGATTAGGCCTAGGGAGGGTGGGTACGGGCTAGCAAGGGCTTTTCAGCGTAGCTCCGTCTCACTGGGCAGCCTAGCTCTTGGGGCTGGGGAGCGCCTGGCACGCGAAAATCATGGCTTCCACGCGACGACAGCGGCCACCCTTGCAGATCGAGCTCGTTGCAGATTAGGCCGCTCCACTCTATTGCTCCTGCCTGTGTCTGCTCGCTGCGCCCGCGCGGCGCCCACTCAGCCTGGCGGATGCATGGGAACATTGGACTCAGTTGCATACACGCAAACATGCGGGCGTCAAGGCTAGAGAATGCAGTTTGATACGAGTTGCTGGCCTCGGCGTGCCTGTCAGCCTCTGTCCTGCAATACTGACCCATAAATCATTGCTCTGGGTCTCCGCCAGGAGCCTTTTTCTGCGCTCGCCATGTTATGCATGACGCAGCCATCACTGTTGCTGAAGCCGTCGAGCAGAAGATCCAGACAATAAACTTCAAGCCTCTCGCTTGTCTCACAAGAAGACAATACATGGAGCAGAAGCCGCGTCTGGCCTCGGCCCCCATCTACATGATCGGCCAAGCGTAGCATTCCTCCGCGCTTCCCTCGCTACTTCTATTACGGGGGGTCGGCGGCCGGCTCCCAGGTTTGACCACTGTTTAGCTAATGACAGTCCAAGACGACCATGTTGCCGTTCACAGTTTACTCGAGTAATTGCAACGAGCACGCCCCGATGACGAGTCTTGCTCGTGCCGCCGCAACGAGGATCACCACAGTGGCGCTGGCCCAGGGGGAAAAGAAGATGCTGTGCAAGCACTGAAGATCAGTCGGCCAAACTCGCTGGCTAACCGGCATCGATGAAGCTGGCCGGCACGTGCTGCAGCGAGGACCGGCATCATCGGTTTCTTCGACGCTGCGATTGACAGCCTGGAGGCCCTGTTCGGGTAAAACCTCGATCCCGACAACCTGGATGAGAAGAGGGCGGACGAGGAGCGGACGAAGGCGATCCCTTGCACCACGCGCGCTGGCAACCCAAACTTCGAGAGGTTGATCAGCAAAGGGGGTTGACGATGAGCGGAAAGGCGACACAGAACGACCATCTCGACCCGTGCAAGCGAAGGTGCTCTCGAGGAATGTCCGAATCAATACCGGTGCTCCTTGCCAGCCGGCTACTCCCACGTGTGTGGCTGCATGAACGCCCCACTCCATGACACGTTGCCGGCGGCTTGGGCCGCCCATCCTTTTCTGCTCTTGCACTCCAGCGCTGCTCATATCTGCAAGACATCCTGCGTCCACGCGAGGACAACATCAGGGGGAAGCGCATGGCTCGCCTAACGAGGGCATTATTACCTTAAAATAATTGAAGTAGACGAGAACACCTATGTTTCTCCGATAACGGTGTCTCCACGCTGTCACCACGCCAAGCGGCGCCGCTGCGATCTACACGGAGCCTTAGTCATCTTGCTCCTTGTGTTTCATCGCCGAGTCCTCTATAGTTTCAGTACAACCAGCACTTGGTCCGATTCCATTAGCAGCGGCCAACGGTGTACGTCCCGAGATCCGACACGTGTTACAAGGTATTTATTGGACTCCACTCTTCAAGGCTTCTCAGGCAGGTCTCTGAAGTGGTCACATACAAGGGGGTTGCCTAAGCGGGCTGGCCACGCTCCCTGCTTCCCGCTCTGCAGCTCACCACTTAGATTACGGCGTTGAGTTAAAATAATTTTACTATTGGCTGTATGCCGCAGGAGCGTGGTCAGCCGCTCATGCAACCCCCTAGTATCTGTCTAGAAGTAAAAGGGCAGGGCAGATAAACCGTGGCCGCTTTGCACCAGTCCGCAGAATGGTATCAGGTTGCGGGAGCACATTACGCGATTGTAGCTTATCGAAATTTCCAGCGCAAAACGGCCGGGACAAAGGCCGCGTCTCCCCAGTCATACGGGAACGGCGTGAGCGACGGGTGCGCGACTAGGACTCTAGTCAAAACAATATTCAAATACTCATGCGTTCTGTGTTTCAATTACGCTTCGACCTCCTCGGTCTCGGTGTGTTCCTACACCCCGGTTACAACTTCATCCCATTACTCTATTTTAGCATGCCGTAATCAATGAGTTCAGATATCATGAGATGTCACTGCCGTCTTCAACCCTCAAGAATTGCCGTTTTGAGTGGCGTCGGAGCTAAATGCTACTCTGTGCGGTTACGAGCTGAATAGGGCTTGGTGTGGCCTGAGTGTGGTCTGATTGAAGCCCAAAGGGCGCGTGAGCAACACTAACCCGACGGCAGACTGGATTTAGCGGGAATTGATTGTAAGGCTTTATTCAGGTTTGGCAGCATGAGATAGCCGTTCACGCCCTGAGATAAGCGACGCGGACAGCAGAACGTTGCCGGAGATTCAGCTCTTCGTCCCAATATCATCATATTCATTGTTGAGCCGCAATCATTCGTGCTTTCCGACATCTGTCGACATTCTACGTACTCAATGGTCTTTGGTCTTGTTTCTGTGGGAAGGAGCTCGGAGTTCGAGCATCGCCCGACTAGTCATGTTATGCGGGAAGAGCAGCTCAGATATAGGTACTCCGACAGGGGATTTTGGGTCGTACTCCGGTAAGCGGGGTAACTACTCAGAGCGACGAGGTAACAGCGGTGGACTTTGTTGTATCACAGAGGACTAACTGCATCATTATCATCCTAGGCCGCTTGGCCTCTCAACTACTGTTTGGCCTTCTGGTCTTGTATCACCGAGCAACAGGCACAAGCAGCCTGGCCATTCCTCTCCGCGCGCGAATCGAACTGCAATTAAGCTCACCAACAGCTGATACTGTGTCTACCGGACCCCAATCCTGGTGAACCTCAAGTAGTCCTTCGGGTTGCAAACTTCTTCTCATTGCACAAAGACAAGCGTGTCTTGATGGGGAACGCTCTCAGTCAAGTTGTCTGGTAGATAAAGACTCACTATATCCTCGTTGACTTACTGGCTTTACTGTTAGCACTATCTAGTATTGCCGCTTGGCTAGTTTCCAGGAACGCGTTGATTGATCTCCCACTCTCAAGAGTTCATTCCGGCGCCCAACGCGAAACCGGGCGTCTCTCGACACAATCACCTCCGCTCTATTATGAATGTGTTGTACTTTCATATTTAAACCAGACATCCCGAGCACCCGAACCATGCAAGCCGGCATCGTCGAACCACAACCGAACCTAGCCATAATCGTAGCTCAGGAAGGGCCTTGTTACGTTCGTCGCGAACGTGCTGGACCGGTCTGAAAGGCAGTGCCATAACATTTGAAGAGATCGAGCTTGGTACCAGCAGTACTTGCGTCTCCGTTCAACGTCCGAACCGGTAGACATCGCGGATAGCTTCTGCATGACGGCTAGATACAATGGAAACAAATCAAGAAACTGGTGTAGGAATCGCCTTTGACAGACTTGCTAGCATCAAGCCGGATCATTCGAGCCGTCTACACTTGTAGTAGCCTGGCAGGAGTGGGGCTGAGGTGGAAGAGGAGCCCCATCAATTATCTCTCTGTCGGTCTTCCGCTAGGTCTTGTTTTGTAGCAAAGAATTCACTCTATTGGTGCAGCAGGAGCCGTGAAACCATCAGATGCGCCTAGAAGGAGACCGTTGTGTGAACTAAAGCTGTCGCTGTGATTCTACGATTGCAGCACCATCACATTCCCAAGAGTTCCACCTAGGTACCTTTCCTAAAACCTAGCCGTGCTTTGAGTGATGACACTAACAACATCCTAACTCGAACCTTTGAAGTACCCGAGCGCCGTCACGCGTTGCTTCTATCCCAAAGTAGCCGAGCATCAGCGGAAGTACTACATAAATTGTTACCGCCATCACGATCAGAACTCCGTAACCACCAAGACACATACAAGCGCACATAATCAACCAGAACACGAAGTACACAACGAAGCTGCGGGCCGCTGTCTTTGAACACTGCTTGACGGTCCTCGCACCCCGGTAAGGCTCGTTAAGAGCTTTTGCTCGGAAGAGCGGCTCGAAGATGGGATCCCAGAGTAGTGCGTTCGGGATCCAGAAAAGGAGGACTCAGAGGGTTGGGCCGTCGTGGATGTTGGGGGCTCCGGCGTATCCGAACGGCCAGAGGACAAGGTTATGGATGGGGCGGAAGCAGAAGTTGTAGACTATTGGGATGTTGTCGACGGTCATGATGACTTCGGTGTTGAGGCATATGAATATTTTAAGGAGCTATTTTGCTGTTCGACGTGCTGTGTAGTATTTGACCATTCGACTGCGTGAATGTATTGGAAAGAGGAAAAAGATTTGTGAGCCACCTTTGGCAATTGAAGGGTTTCTTTGGGTAGGATTGGTACTGTGCCGTGACAGCACCGCGGTCGCTGAAGAGTGAACCTGCTCCACCAACCATAGACTCGTGATTACGGTCAGCATTCCCTTGCCGCAGCCGATACATACTCTTGTACAGAGTCACAAACAAGCCAGACTTGCTTTTGTATGCATTCAAACGCTTTCACTATTTGTTTGAGCAAATCAACTCTAGGTTTGTTTAGGCTTACTGCGAACAACCGACGTAGCATCTCTGTACCGACGTGATTGCACATCTAGATCGACTCGGAGGTCCGTGTCAAATACTCCCCATTGCAGAAGGGTTGAGAATTGCCAAGCCCTCTTGGCAGCGAAATTCAGAAAATCTCGTTCGAAGATATCCACCTGTAGCGCAACCAATTCGCGTGCAATTTCTATAAGTAGAGGCTTATTCTATTCGCAGAAGCGTGCGCTATAATTATATATACTAACCTTACAGCTAGCCTTCGTGGTTATAAAGATATCTTAGAATTTACTCTTTTTACCACTTTGGACTAATCGCGGAGTATTCCTGGCTAAGAGAACTAAGCTTTTAAGGCGCAGACGCTCTTTCTAGAATTATCTAAAAGGTAAAGGCCTACACTTTAAGAATAGCCTATAAAACTAAAGGGCGCATATTTATGGTTAAAACAAGCTACTTATTATAGAAATCGGATATGAATTGGCTGTGTTATAAGCAGATATGCTAAAAAGACTGTGAGAATCTCTTTGCTCGTGAGGAGGCTTGGCAATTCTCAATCCTTTTGCAACGTGGAGTATCTCGAAGCAATGGAGAGGTAAGAATTTGGCCCCCAACCACTCGACACGGTCAAGGTAGGTGAACAAGCTCGGATCGATAGCCGTTCAAATGATTTTTGGCAGGATCCACCTTGATAAGATAATCATCTGTCCAATACTCCAGAGGCTCGGCGAAAGCCAGGCTGACTCCACTATGCACGACGCGACTGAGGCGTTGCTGAGAAAGATATCTCAGTGCTTACAAAGAGAAGCCGCGCGGTGGGGTTTCCACAACGACGGACCTGATTCGAGATCTCGACTTCGCAGGAAGAGCCGCAGCGTTGTTAACTCTGCATTAGTTCCGAGTGCAGCGTCATACATCATTATTATCTCCACGCTGACAGTCCGGACTGCGTTGCGTATAAAGGACTGCCGTATCGTCGAGCTCGCCCACATAACCATTGTTCCAAGCAGACTCACATTCATCAGCCACATCATGCCTGGCCTACCAACACACCAACTGGGGAAGAATGGCCCTGAAGTTACAGCCCTGGGCTTCGGCCTCATGGGCTTGAGTGCCTTTTACGGCAAGCCGAAGCCCGATGAGGAGCGCTTCGCTGTCCTCGACAAGGCATATGCCATCGGCGAGCTCTTCTGGGACACCGGTGCGTGAAGCGTCCAGCGCCAGCTATGTATCAACGATGCTAACGCAACTCCAGCCGACGTGTACGCTGACAACGAAGATTTCCTCGGCAAATGGTTCTCCAACAACCGCGGCAAGCGCGACAACATCTTCCTCGCGACCAAATTCGCGTACAGAATGACCGACGACGGGCAGTCGGTGGTCGACAGCACGCCAGAATGGTGCAAAGAAGCCTGCGCCAAGAGCCTGAGGCGTCTCGGCGTCGACTTCGTCGACCTGTACTACTGCCATCGACTGGACGGCAAGACACCTGTCGAGAAAACGGTGCAGGGGATGGCCGAGCTGCAGAAGGAGGGCAAGATCAAGTACATCGGGCTCAGCGAATGCAGCTCCGACTCCCTGCGCCGCGCATGCAAGGTCGTCCATGTCGACGCCGTGCAGATCGAGTACAGCCCCTTCGCGCTGGACATAGAGAGCGATCAGATCGGGCTGCTCAAGACGGCCCGCGAGCTCGGCGTGGCGATAGTGGCATATAGCCCCATTGGCCGCGGCATGTTAAGCGGCACTATCAGGTCGCCGGATGACTTTGAGGAAGGCGACTTTAGGAAACACGCACCGCGATTCAGCGAGGAGAATTTCCCTAAGAACCTTAAGCTGGTGGACGAGATCTCAGCGTTGGCGAAGGAAAAAGGCTGCACGCCTACGCAGCTCACCCTTGCTTGGTTGATGGCTCAGGGGGACGACATCTTCCCTATCCCGGGGACGACAAAGGTTGAAAGGCTCGAGGAGAACGTGGGGTCACTCAAGGTCAAGTTGACGAAGGAGGAGGAGCAGAAGATTAGAAAGGCGTGCGAGGAAGCTGAGGTGCACGGTAGCAGGTATCCGGAGGCGTTATCGGCTGCGTTGTTCGCTGATACGCCGCCACTGGAGTCGTAGAGCGGCTGTGGTCAGCCTTGGAGGTACTTTATGTACTCGCTGATGTAAAAATGCAACACTGTTTCCACGTCGCGTTCGTCTTTCTCCACCTGTGGCTCTGGAAATAAGAACATGAAATCCACTTCGGGGGGCTTCGTGGCATCCATATGGTACACCAGGCCTTACACTTCGCCTGCTTGTCTCTTTCGGAAGAGATACCCTTGACATCCGCTTCAATACAAGACCATGTCTGGAACTTCTAACCAGATAACATCTCGCCCCTTGGCCTGCGTTGCCTTTCGACAGGAAGGTCTGCCGACCAAGCAGCTTTGTCGGCCATAGCAGTGCAGTCTCCGCTCCGAGTGTAGGGTGATGATAGAATCTCCTGTAGTTGCTCCAGCCATATGTTCCCATAGCCCCCGGTGAGCGTTTAGACTCATGATACGCATCGGCTCTATTCCCAGCTCTCAACCCGCTGAGGCAAGAACGCCGTATCCGTAACGATGGCACAGCCAGCCCAGACGAGCTACCTTTTCGTTGAGAGCTCCGCGGCCCTTGAGGACCGCGTTTCAGGCGTGGTAAATGGTTGTGCTCGTGACTCCGCCCCGGCATTCCCTCAATCGGCCGCACTTCCACTACTCGCCTGCGGCAGCAGCGCCGCCTGCTGCGTCGGAATCCGCACCAGCGTCTGCGGCAGCGGAACGGTCCCATCTTTCCTCCCCTCATCCGCGTCTCCCTCCGCATCTGCATCTTTCGGCTTCGGTATTTTCGCTACACACGCCTGTCAGTAACCATCTTCTCACCCAAAGATGAAAAACATACCACTCGCCATCCCAATAGCCCTAAGCACAGCCCCCCAATTCGCCAATACGACTGCAACAGCCTCCGTCCCGTCCGCCAGCGTTGCGAGCTTCGACTCCAGCGTCTGCATCTGATCCGCGAGCCCGGCACTCAGGTCACGTAGCTCTTTCAGGCTTGCGAGCTCGGCTCTCTTCTCGTTGATGCGCGCTATGAGGAGGGGGGATGCGCCGGTGGAGGAGGAGGCGCTCTGGAGGTGGTTTGCGGAGGAAGGATGGGCGCGGAGGTGGGAGGGGAGGGGGCGGTGGGACATTGTGCGAGCCGTGTGCGTGAGGTAGCTATCGAAGCTGCTGCGGAATGAGATGGGGGCTTCCCCAAGCGTAACGCCGAGTTCAATGGTGGTTGGATTGAAGTGGAGGGGCTCTCACGCGACGCGATGCCATCTTCACGTGCTGCGGCGCCGTTGCGAAGACTTGGTCCGTGCGATTGTTGACATGTAAACCGTCCTTCACGACCGACCTTGGAGAGCAGCTTCAGCGGCAGCAACGCTTTCTCGTGCTGTCAGAACCGTGCTCAATCACTTTGCCGGCCCCGATAGCAGTATACTTACCGTCGCTATCCCCGCCGCAGCGCAGATGGCGCGCCTGAATGAGGCCCCAGCAGCGGGAGCGGAAACGATTGATGCTTGTACGCTTCCATCCCATTCCGCGAGCCATAAAGCCACCTCCAGACATCCACACCGACACGGAGTATAGGCAGGATAAGTGCACACAAAAATTGCTGACTCTCCTCGAATATCCACAGTAAAACGCCGCTTCATCCGTCAAAACCGCGACCTCGCCAAAACAAACTCCAGCCAAAGCATCCGGATCCGCTCCCTCGAAGCCGAGATCTCGCGGCTGCTCTCGCAGAATCTCTCTCTGCGCGAAGAGGTCATAGACCTGCAATCGCAACTCTCCTCCCAACAACCCCACGCCGCCGATGCCACAGCACTCGCCACCATCCGCGACGCCCTTTCCGCCAAGATCCACGAGCTCACCGGCCTAGTCACAGAGCTCGGAAGTCTGCAAGACCCCTCCCGCCCACCGCGCCCCGGAGCGACGGCAAAGCGCAAACCCCCCTCCGAGCGCGCATGGCGGAACGGCTTCCTGATTGCACGGGACGCTGCCGACGAGGCGTTGTTACCGTCCATCACCGAGGGTGCGTTGTTTCCGGCCCCGGAAGCTGACCGGCGCAAGACACTGGAAAGCTCGGAGGAGCTGAAGGAGTTGGTTGAGGCGCAGGCGAGCGAGAGCCCGGAACTGGGGCCACCGCCTGTGGCGCATTTTGAAGATGAGGGGGAGGGAGATCCAATCAAGTTTGATGCTGGGGCTGTGGTGTGTGAGGGGGAAGAGGAGGAGGTGCCGAACGAGCTGTCGGTGAACTTGGAGACGAGACGGAGGAGGAAGGATGGAGTGGTTGGGAGGGAGAAGATGGGGGCCAAGAGGATGGCTGTATTTCAGTCTCCGCCGGATGACGGCGATGTGGTGAGGGGTGAGACGGGTGCGGGACAAACACTCAGGACGGGCGCGAAGAGGAAGTTGAGCGCAAGAGAAGAGGAGGAGAGGGTGCCGAAGGAAGTGGTGGCGGAAGATTTCAGATTCAGTCGGAAGCCAAATGGAACAGGGACGGAAGTGCAAAATCTAGAGGAGGGCGTCAAGACGCTCGCCCTGTCGCCGCGGAAAGTCTTAGGAGAGAGTAAGTTGAACTCTATAGCCTACCTAGCTCAGCGCGAGCTGTCAGCTAACAGCCTATCAGGACCCATAAACACCGATCCATCCACCTCACCCCGCAAACCTTCCAAAGCCTCCACCTTCGACGCCTCCAGCGCAGATCCGATCAAGAGACTCCCTCTCCCAAGCAAAGACACCCACCGCCCGCGCCCCCACGCCCGCAAGCCCAAGCCCGCCTCAACAACCCTCACCATCCCACCACCCACCGCGGACTCGCCACCACTGCTCGAAACCATCGAACTCGCCTCCGAGCCCCTCCCAACCGCAGACCTCCCGCCCAAAACACCTGCAGGCTTCGACCTCTTCTCCCCCCTCTCGACCGCGCCCTCGACCGCACGCCCAGAGGCCAAAGACACGCCTCCACCAGGCGATCTGAACCAGCCAGGCGGGACCGACGGCCAGCCAGCAGCCCGACCAGGACGACGCGTGCGTGCGGCCGTCAACTACGCGGAGCCGAGTCTCGTGGCCAAGATGCGGCGGCCGGGGAAGGAGCTTGTGGACGCGATCCCCATTGTCCGGGAGGAGAAGCGGTCTGCGTCGATGGACTTGACGAGGGAGGGGTCGGTGGGGGGGAGTGCGCTGCCGACACCGGTGCCTGCGTCTGGGCCAGGGATGGGCGAGGAGAGGAAGATGCGGACGGTGGTTATCAAGCGCGAAAGGGTTGAGGGGGAGGACGAGGCGTGGAAGGGGTTGGCTGAGCGGGTGCAACAGGAGCCGAGGAGTCCGCTTGGTGGGAAGAGCGGGAAGATGGGCGAAGAGGCGGAGGTCAAGGACGAGGAGGAAGTGGTGCTGGGGAAGGCGTCGGTATCCGCGGCCGCGGTGTCGGCGCTGCTTTCTGATGCCGCTGGAAGGAAGCGAAGGCCTTTAAAAGAGACGTCAGAGCCAATCCCGAGGGAGGATACAAAATCTGGCCGTCCTAGTCTGGGTGTCTACGAGGTACCAGAATCGTCACCGCCAGACGCGGCAGCAAAAGCTAGGCGGGACGGCGTGGAAGAGATAGTCAAGGCCAGAGCAGCAAGGCGCCATTCGTCAATGTCCTCCATGAACCCATCGATTACGGCCGGGACCAATCCAGCTCCGAGGGGAACAGGTGGCGAAAGCGCGAGGACTAAAGCCATAAGAGAGCTGAAGCACAGGAGTAACCCGGCCTTGTCAGCAGTAGCGGCGACTGAGGCTGCTGTCGGGAGGAGTGAGAGGGCGGCTGCGCGGCGAAGGAGTATGATGCTGTAAACAGCGGAGAGCTAGTGATTCTTGGTGCGAGAGGCTTTGGGTAGATCATGCAGCGCGAGTCCTGCTTTGGATTCTGGCCGCCGGAGAATTAGATACCCAACAACGCTCGTTTTTCCAGTCCCCTTGGTGTTTCTGGCTAGGGATCGTAAACCGTGAAGTGTTGCTACTATCGTGGCTAGTACGTCAACCCCACTATACTTCACTTATGAAGATCGCCGGATGGTAGCGCCGGCGATTTGAAAGCACTTCAGCAATCTGATGCTCCTTTTATCTATTAGCTTCGAAGCGCTAAAGTGATATAGGCAATAGACTTACTTCGCGGTTGCGACACCGTACGCTTTGCACCTCCCAATCAGACATGTTAAGCCTGTTGGCAATAGCCTCCTGGCTCATGGCGAGATGCTGTATGCGCAGATCTTCAAGCGCCCTTATACCGATATTTCAACCCCTCCAACCCAGCAACATCCACCGGTCTCAGCAACACTCTCGCAGTCAAAACCAGCACGAAGGTGACTGTCACGTGGTCAGCACGGTCAGCATCGTCCCCCATCAGTTGCCATTCCCCATCAAGTCCACTAAACTCACCAGCAGGCAACCAACCCCATCCTCCACCCTTCTCCCTACCCATCCACTCTCCCAGTGCAAGAATTCCACACAGAGCCCCGTTCAGATACACGAGGTATTTCTCCACCGGTCCCTTGTCCTCAGCGTCTGGACCGAACGATGATCTGCCCCGCCCATCACGTCTCTCGCCCTGACCCTCAGACGACGGCGGCAGGGGGAGATAGTACAGCACGTAGGTCGTACAGCCCAGGGAGGTAAGACTCAGCAGCGCGGTTAGGAATGCAGAGAACGAGGTCGGCCGGAGGAGCGAGGGAAGGAATGCCAGTCCGGCGAGGAGGGGAAGGGCGAGGAAGGCTTTCTACGTGCTTTTTATTAGTGACGCGTTTCTTTGTAGAGCCCGGTGATATGGGGGCTTGTTGATAGGCTAATGAGGCATACGGTGTACAGCGCAGTCTTGTCAGCATCCTGCGCCGCGAGCGTGGAGATCAGCTGTTCTTGCTCCTGTTCGTCGATGCCTTCGGGTGGTTCGTCGCTGTCGGAGTCGGCGGGGTAGTGGAAGGTTTTGCGAAGGCGTGTCGTCGCCATGGTTGGTGTGTTGCGCAGCAATGTGTCTACCGGCGTGCTACTGTCCGTCTGCAAGAAGCTCACGAAGCCCCAAGGGGACGGTTTGCATGTGACACGACCTGATGACGCAAATGCGGCTCTGACACGCGCCGGCGCGGGAGTTTCTCCGCTGGCGTCCGAGCTCCGATGCAGCTGCATTCGATGATCACCAGAGCCGCATCAAGCATCAAGCAGCTCTCCACAGCCGCACCGCAATGATCCCACGAAGCCTACTCCGCGCCCGTCTCGCGCCCCTCCTCCGCCGCAATGTCCCCCACCGCACCCTCATCGCCGCCCCCCGCGCCGGCTCCGGTCCCCTGATGGAACGTCGGCCCGACCGCGCCCTTCCCGCCATATCCTCTTCCCGGCGCTGGATCCTGCCCACGACGCTCTTCCTCTCGATCATCACGCTCTCCACACTAGCCATCTTCAACTACCAGAAGTCCTCGAGCAGCGTGGTGAACAGCACGTTGTACGCGCTACGGACGCACAAAGAGGCGAGAGAGGCGCTGGGGGACGAGATTTACTTCGCGCACAAGGTGCCGTGGGTGTGGGGTACGATTGATCAGTTGCATGGACGGATTGATATCAGGTTTATGGTTAAGGGGCGACGGCAGAGGGGGGAGATGAGGTTTAGGAGTATCAGGAAGGGGAGGAGGGGTTATGTGAGTTGGAGCTGGTGTGGTATTAGGGAGCATATGCTGATATAGGGGGTAACAGTTCGAGACGCTGGAGTGGAGTCTGAAGACAGAGGATGGGAAGGTGATTGAGCTGCTGAAACCTGATGCGCCGGATCCGTTCAGGGCGGTTGAGGAGCAGGGGGGTACGATGGCTGAGGAGACGATTTGAGCGGGCAGGCTGGGCGCGTTACCCTGTACGGGGTAGACCCGTGAAGGCCTGCGTGGCGATGAGGGTTCTGGCATTTGCATCGGGAGGCGCAGGGAGTTCTAAGGACTCACTACTTTGGACAAAAGGCGCTGTAAATTCCGCGAGAGGATGGATCGGAATTGCGTGACCCAGCTTGATCTCGCTGGTATTGGTTCATACTCGTCGTCAAGCTGATGAGCTCTAGTCTAGCTATGTTTTTGACCTCGCAATGCAGCGCCGATGGATCCAGAATTGCACACCTTGCAACGTGATGGCGTGTGAGGGATAGCAAGCAACAGAACACCATAACGCCTCGCTGTCCATACTCAATACTGGCCCTTTCCCATGCTCATACAAGTCGTTCACGCCTTCTTGCCTCCTCCATATTTCGGCTGTTTCTCGTATGCATTCGGACTCCTCTTCCTCGCCTTTCCCTTCCCCTTCCCCTTCCCACCACCGCACCCATCCCCATGTCCATCACCATGCTCATGATGGTGATGGCCCTTCCTCCCCCTCCTGCTCCCACCCACTGGCCGCGCAGTGCTGTTATCCGGTTCGCTATCCGAGTCGTTGTCGCTCGAAGAGTCCGACGAGTCCGAGCCAGACGATTCGTCGACGCCGTGGGGTTTGTGATAGATGCAGCACACTGTGCCGGGTTAGCCTCGACCTCTCCTGTGCCTGTGCTGCTTAGTATCTCAGGGTCCACTTACCCTTGCTTGACTTCTTGCCCATGCCTTCATTGTCTATGACGTCCTCCGCCCACTGAATATGCCGCTCTTCGGCCGGCTCAACGCGCAGACGAAGCGTTATCGGCACAAAGGCTTGTGTTACGTGGGGTGTGGCTTCCGTCGTCGTCGTCGTCATTGTTGCGCTGGCTGTGGGCTGTCGCGTGGTGGGGCGGGTTTGGCCCGCTGAGGATGTGGAGGCTGGGGCCATGGTGTCACAGAAAGGAGTGGTGTTCGTCGCGAAGTGGTTGCTTGTGAGGGTGTGCGGTTATCAAGTGTCGCAATCTGGCAGCGCTTGGGGCGGGGAAGAGGAAGTGGTGGGGGTTGGAGGGCAAAGGCCACGATGGGCGGCAGGTTGTGTGATGCAAGCCATTCCAGGGTTTGGCCGCCATTCCCGCCACTGTGGAACGCTTCCGTCGCTTGTGAAAGCTTGATCTGAGCAACGTCATCTCTTCAAATGCTGAAGGTACAGCGCAAAGTAAATGGTGTCTTCACTCCTAGCGCTGGTCTATTAGTTTTATAACGTGCGCCATGCATTTGTCTACCAAAACACTCAAAAGAGGAGGGAAACCACGTGAAGCGGGTCGAGGATCGAGCATAGCGACTGGAGGACGATTCTCAAGAAGAAAGTATATCTAAGTTGATAGATGTTTATTCATTTGACACAGGCCACACACGAGGATACACTGTGCTTCAAAGATGTGCCGTACGGTTTCGATAGAGCTGGTTAGGTAGTGGAATTTGTTGTACTGCTGTGAAAAGAGAGCAACATAGCTGGACTCCCCAGCCTAGCTGAGAGGAACCTGCCGACTCCTCCTATTCAAGTAACGGGTTGTTATACTCACAATATGGATGGCAAGCTGGTGTGCAGTACAGATGGATCCAGTTTGGGAATATATGAAGCGGCCTGGTCATCTCATGTCAGTGATGTGTGGAATATCTGGTCGAGATAGGCGGTAGAAGGAAAGTCCAAGGCTGCTTTTTAGGGCGGACAGCAAATGGCGGTATATCTGCGTCAAGTCTGTTTATAATTCTCCGCAAAGCAGTCTTTCGTATGAGCATTCAGGCACCCTGACGCTTCGGTAGGCGTAGCCGGACGTTGATGTGCGTTGGCAGCCACAGGCCGTGTGGTTCAAGAGTACTGCCTTTTAGTATAGTGCGTGGTAGCATCACCTTCTGTGGAGGGATTTCTCCGAAGCTATATCTTCATTGTCTCGCTAAGCTGAGGATACGTAGAGGTGCAGATCTAGCAAAATAATCCCGCTTTGTACCATGCATCGGCAGAGTTCGGAAAGGCGGGCGGCCGAACATTCTGCACTTCGTCCATCCGCAATTTCGCTAGAGGAAACATTCTGGATCAGGGCGACTTGGTCCGCTTTGGGCTTTTGTATTTCTAAGCAGCTGCAAGGTTGCCCAGGTGAGTGGCACAATAGCTTGTCGCTTGTCGCTTATCGCTTGTCGTTTGTCTCTTGCCTGACAGGAAGTCACGGCGAAACACCTAGGCTGCGATCCGCGCTAGGCAGCCTTGGCAGGTTTCGAGAGAACGTGACTTGATACCCACCGCATTCACTGCACCTCAAAGCCCACGAACACCTGCACCGGCAAGGACTATCGTGCACGCATCTCTCTTGCAGCTTCTCGCGCCTTTTTCTTTGACAAACCGCCTACCGCACACCGCACACCCCAGCCCACCTCTCGCCAGCACGAGCATACGCCTGCGTCCGTTTCGCATCTACAAACTGCCCCACCATCAACTTCGCGCTACAGTACAAACAAAACAGCGCACAAACAACCCCCCTTGGCGCCCTCGAAACCGTTTGATGATAGCATAAGGGCGGCGCATTGGTGGACACGAAGCGGTCAGAGATACTCGAGGCTCTCAACGAGCGGTCCCACCGTTTAGCCAGCCAGGATGTCCATGTCGGTAGAGGAACTGGACGCTACAGTCCGCGCCTTCTACGAGGGTAGAGGCGACACAGTCCGTACTTCCCGCCCTCTACATCTTTCAGCCATTCAGCTGACCTCTCTTGCAGCAAAAGCAAGCTCAGGCGACCCTTAACCAGGTACTTTTCCCACCACTCCGCGGCAACCCTCCACAGCCAGCTAAGTTCATATACAGTTCAAGGAGAACCCAGACGCATGGCTGCTAGTCGACAAGATACTACAAGACGCCGCATATCCACAGACAAAGTGCAAGTTCCTCGCATATGGACTGTACTCAAGCGACGGGTCGCTAACATGGGGCAGATCTGGGCCTGCAAGTGCTAGACAACGTGATCATGACGCGATGGAAAGTTCTACCCCGGGATCAGTGCCAAGGTCAGTGTCTTTTCTATATGGATAGCGAGTGTTACTGACATTCCTTACAGGCATCCGAAACTTCGTCGTCAACTTCATCATCCAGAGCTCAAGCACCGAAGAGAGCCTGCGGAGTGAACGGACACTGATCAACAAGCTCAATCTCGTCCTCGTCTCCATTCTCAAACAAGAATGGCCTCACAACTGGCCGACGTTCATCAACGAGATCATCTCCTCGTGCCATAGCAGCTTGCCGATTTGCGAGAACAACATGGCCATCCTCCGGCTGCTCTCGGAAGAAGTCTTCGATTATTCTGAGGATCAAATGACATCCACAAAGAGGAAGGCATTGAAGCAGAGCATGTGCGACGAGTTCACCTCTATCTACCAGCTGTGCTCCGAAGTGCTACGGACCGCTGTACAAGCCAGTCTCATCAAGGCGACACTCGAGACACTGCTACGCTTCCTCAACTGGATCCCCCTGGGGTACATCTTTGAGACGCCTCCTAGTGGTACCAGTCTCATTGAAACTCTAAGAAGTCGGTTTTTAGAGGTGCCGGACTTCCGCAACATTACCCTGAAGTGCCTGACGGAGATAGCCAGTCTCCACACTGAGCCGGCGTATAATGAGAAGCTCGTCCAGATGTTCACGGAGACTCTGACTGCCATATCGAAGATCATCCCTCTCTCACTAGACTTGAGGACCACCTACGCTTCGAGTAACAGCAGGGATCAGGAGTTCATCCAGAATCTAGCGCTCTTCCTTTGTAATTTCTTCACCATGCACCTTCCGGTAGGCATGCACTATTGCGAAGGTATGATTTGCGTTAACAGAAAACACAGATCATCGAGAATCTCCCCAACCGTGACTTCCTCAACCACGGCCACTTTTACCTCATCCGCATTTCACAGATTGATGATCGAGAGATCTTCAAGATTTGCTTGGAATACTGGACGAAGCTTGTCCAGGAGCTGTATGACGAGATGCAACAACTGCCGATTACCGACATCAACCCTCTGCTCAACATGGGCATCGCGGGCATGGCGAACGGAGCCGGCCAGGATCCGAACATGCTTGCTAACTATCCGCTACGCAAGCACAAGTACGCCGAAGTCCTCTCAAACCTGCGACAAGTCATGATTGAGAAAATGGTTCGGCCAGAAGAAGTGTTGATCGTGGAGAACGACGAGGGAGAGATTGTCCGCGAATTCGTGAAAGAGAGCGATACGATCCAGCTCTACAAATCGACGAGGGAATGCCTAGTATTCCTTACCCATCTTGATGTCCAGGACACAGAACAGATCATGTCCGAGAAGCTCGCACGACAAGTAGATGGATCGGAATGGTCCTGGGCAAACTGCAACACTCTCTGCTGGGCTATTGGCTCCATCTCGGGCGCCATGAACGAAGAGACCGAGAAGCGCTTCTTAGTAACCGTCATCAAGGACCTCCTCGGCTTGACAGAGATGAAGCGAGGCAAAGACAACAAGGCTATCGTGGCCAGCAACATCATGTACATCGTCGGCCAGTATCCTCGTTTCCTCAAGGCCCACTGGAAGTTCCTAAAGACGGTAGTCAACAAGCTTTTCGAGTTTATGCACGAGACCCACGAAGGTAAGAAGTTCTGTATCGTTATCTGTGGGCCCTCTAACGTCATTCAAGGTGTGCAGGACATGGCTTGTGATACCTTCATCAAGATAGCGAATAAGTGTAGGCGGCATTTCGTTGTCGTGCAGCCTGGCGAAACCGAACCCTTTATTGACGAGATCGTCCGGAATCTGCGCAGGATCACCATGGATTTGACACCGCAACAAATTCACACATTCTACGAAGCCTGCGGCTACATGATCAGTGCCCAAGGACAAAAGAATGCACAAGAACGCCTCATTCAAGAGCTCATGTATTTGCCGAATCAAGCATGGGACTCCATCATCCAATCTGCCAACCAGGATCCAAGCATCCTCCAAGACGGCGAAACGATCAAAGTTATCGGCAACATTATGAAGACCAATGTGGCGGCCTGCAGCTCAGTGGGCAGCTACTTCTATCCGCAGATTGGCCGGATCTACATGGACATGTTGACGATGTACCGCGCAAGCAGTTCGCTGATCGATGAGGCTGTCCAGCGCGATGGCAACATTGCTACGAAAATGCCCAAGGTCCGTGGACTGAGGACCATCAAGAAGGAGATCCTGAAGCTTATCAACACTTACGTGGACAAGGCCGACGATCTTGAGATGGTCCATAACACCCTCGTACCTGGTCTTCTGGAGGCTGTGCTGCTCGACTACAAACGCAACGTGCCCGATGCTCGCGAAGCCGAGGTGCTGAACGTCATGACCACGATCATTAACAAGCTACATGTACGTTGGAGACCTAATCTTAGCCGATTTATGCAGACTCATGTGGGCTTGCTCATGGGGCCTCCCCCGACTGTGTACTGACTTTTCGCAGAGCTTGATGGAAGATCAGATCATGAACATTATGGACAGCGTTTTTGACTGCACTTTGAACATGATCAACAAGGACTTCTCCGAGTACCCGGAACACAGGGTCGAGTTCTTCAAGCTCCTCCGCACGATCAACCTGAGATGCTTCCCTGCACTTCTCCGTCTGGATGCACCAACCTTCAAAAACGTCATCGACTCTTGCATGTGGGCGAGTAAGCACGACAACCGCGAGGTCGAAGGCGCGGGCCTCAATATGTGCATCGAGCTCATCAGTAACATGGCCGAGACGAACCCAGAGACATGCAATGCATTCTTCCAGAACTTTTACCTGCCCATCCTACAAGACGTGTTCTTCGTTCTCACGGACAGCGATCACAAGGCCGGCTTCAAGAACCAGTCACTGCTGCTGGCGAAGATGTTTTACCTGATTGACTCGGGGAAGATCCAGGGACCCATCTACACACCTGACCTGGCACCGCCAGGCACACCAAACAAGGAATTCCTCATAGGCTTCATCGGTAATCTGCTCTCGAAAGCATTCCCTAACCTCCAAAGGTAAGCTAGTCCGAATGACATGACTATCGACTTACTAACAAATCTTCCAGCAACCAAATCTCCAACTTCATCGAAGGTCTTTTCGCGAACAACACAGATCTGAACAGGTTCAAGCTCATCCTCCGAGACTTCTTGATTTCGCTCAAGGAGTTCTCCGGCGACAATGCCGAGCTCTTCGCCGAAGAGCGCGAACAGGCCGCCACGGCTGCGAAGGTGCAAGAGCGCGAGCGCGCCATGAAGGTTGGCGGATTGCTCAAGCCGTCGGAGATGGATGACGATGAGCTATGACTGGATCAAGACTTGTCCGTAGACACAGCCACGCGGACGCAGTGGGATCAGGCGTCTGCCAAGCAGACAGGCGCCAGGTATAGCGGTACAGATAGTCCCAGCTTTGATGCTTGGGACATGTATGGGCTTTGAGTGCGCCATGCATCCGCCCGCCTCACGTTGGCAGAGACTGATCACCTCTGCGCTACGCAGAATGCTTCTCTTTTCATGCTTCTTGACTTGCAGGCGATGGCGGTGTGACGGAGACGGGATGGATTGGTAGCATGGACTGTCAGTGTGAAAAAGCATATTACCGCGGCCTGAGCGTAGATACCTTGACTTGCAACTGAGGGCGCATAGATTAGGCGCGTTCTAGAATCCGAACCGATTACCTGGCATGTTGCTCGAGTTCCTGAGAGCGCGCGTAGATATTCGGACAACTTCCGCCTCGTAGGGTCCTCGTAGAAGCTGCTGCCAGTGAGCATGAGAGGTATCGCATGCTCAATGTGACGTGAAACCATATCATACTACTGCAAAGCGGCCGCCACGGGGGTCATTCATGATGGTGACCTTGACCTCTTGGTGTACAACATCCGATCCAACAGTAACAAGTGCACAGTAATAGCGCACAGTAATAGCGTTTAAGAACAACGCTCTTGGCATAAATGCCGTGCGCCAGTCGATGGCTTGCATAAGCGAAAGCTTGACGCCAAGAACATGTGCAAAGAGATGTGCATCTTACTGGCGGACGAGCATTCAAAGCAACAATGCCACAACAGCGAGCAAGCCTCTCCACCGGCCGGCGCGAAGACTTGACAGCAGTCTTGCCTGTCACGGCCCGCTGCCAGGTAAAATGCCCCTCATGTGATGCTGGTAAGACGGTCTCTATGCTGGAATACCCGCCGCGCGACAGAAGCCGGCGCTGGTAAATTTTATTCGACGGCAGTACAAGGCCACTGTCGATTCCTGGGAAAGAGCTCTCCCAGCAATCTCCAACCACAATCACAGCCCTCGCTGAATACGAGGCTCTCAGTCCTGCAGATCCCCTTGCTTCTGCATCATGAAGTTCGGCAAGTACATCCAGAAGCGCCAGCTTGATCTACCCGACTATGCCGCAAGCTTCGTAGACTACAAGGCTCTCAAGAAACTCATCAAGAAGTTAAGCGCCACACCTGTCCTCTCCCACGCAGGGCCGAGTGATGGTGTGGAACCGCTGGACGCGCAGGCCGCCCTGCAGGCAAACAAACTACCATTTTTCTTCCGACTGGACAGGGAGTTGGACAAGGTCAACAAATTCTACGTCGTGAAAGAAGAAGAGCTCAAGACGCGGTTGCCGACTCTCTTAGCCAAGAAGCAAGCCCTGCAAACAAGAGCATCAACTTTCAACTCCTCGAAAAAATACCAGTCGCTCGAGGAAGGTCTCCGTCAATTTACTGGCGACCTGAACAAGCTGCAGCAGTTTGTTGAGATCAATGCCACTGCCTTCTCAAAAATCCTCAAAAAGTGGGACAAGGCTTCCAAGTCGCGGACCAAGGAGCTTTATCTGTCTCGAGCCGTCGAGGTACAGCCAGTCTTCAATCGGGATGTCATCAAGGAGCTTTCAGACCAGGCGACTGCGGCCCTGTTGGAACTTGCAGATTTGGCAGAAAGGCTTCAAACTACCACTCCCAGCAGTATTGGCCATTACGACACATCAGACCAGGAAGAGGACGTGATAGATTCCGAAGTCCTTCATGCTATCAACGCTGGGGACGTTTCTGCAGTGTCCGCCTGGATAAGTCGGACGCGTTCGGTTTCATCTGGTACACACGAGCATGTCACGAGAGCTTTTTTCAGCGCCATCGACGAGGCGCCGGAGTCAACTCTTTGCATGCTGCTTGAGACCGAGCTTGTCGACCTCAATCAAGTCGACGACATAAACAACCGTAATTGTCTTCACAAGGCAGCCATAGCTGGGCTTCCTATCGTCTTAAGGACCGCTCTGTCCAGAAGTGTCGACCCGAGAGTTCCAGACATTTATGGGCGGATACCTCTCCACTATACGTGCATGTACGGTCGACCCAACATGATCGAAGAGTTGGTCTCTGCGGCGCCTGAAACAGTTGATCTGAAGGATTTGAATGGCTTCACGCCTTTGCTGCATGCTATTCAAAGTCGGAACGTGGATGTGAGTGTTTTGCTAAACTCTCTCCATGTATCATTTTTCAGATTTTTACGCTGCCTTCGACCAGTCTGATGGCGAGGAGCTCTCTATCCTTGGAAGAGTGTACGACCTTCTCAGCAGCTTGGTGGGCACTGACCGTCAAAAACAGGCCTCTACCGCATGCGCGCAATTTCTCCTAACCTACGAGGCCCGCATAGAGCCTGAAAGTCCCACAGACCATATCCCCCTGAATGTTGCCTGCCAGCACGGATCGGTGCCAATGGTAAAGCTTCTTCTGCAAGGCCGGCCACAGATACTAGCGGACGCCGAAGGTCTATACCCACAACACCTGGTTGCGCGAACAGGAGTCTCGCCACAGCTCCTGTTGACATTACGAGACTATGGTGTCGACCTTAACCAGCCGGACAAACTCTACCAATGGACACCTCTCATCCATGCTGCGAGTGAAGGTCACATCGAGTGTCTCAGAATCCTGGTGCTGTGCGGCGTCAACGTAGATGCCGTGGACGAGAAAGGCTTTACCGCCAGGTATTATGCAGGTTTAGAAGGCCGGGAAGAATGCATGCGCCTACTCGTGTCGGCCGGTCATGACGTGCACACTGAGGTCTCGCAACCCCTATTGCAGGGTGTTCAGTCCTCTGCGCCCTCCACCACATCACCTGCACCCATGGCTATGGAAGTGGATGGCATACCGGATCTTTCACTTCCGCCACCAATTATACCAGTCAGACGCTACGGACATAACTTCCTCGACGAGAAGACATTGGTTGTCATTAACATCGGCGGCACAGACGCGATATGGTTCTACGACCAGCAGTATCCCGCAGCACGCCTTGCAATATCCCCTAAATCCTCCGATCTAATACCGCGTAACATATCGCTGCCTATTCAAGATGAAAACAAGGTCATCTCCTTCGAGATTGACGATCTGGACACTTTCGCCCTCGACTTCGAAGTCTTCGCCCCTTTCGGTTCCAAAGCCAATGCACGAGCGATGGCATCAACCGAAATCTTTAGCGGCAAGCTAAGTCGCTCCGGCTACTGGTGTGCCGAGCTGCAAGACGCCCGCATGCAGAGCATTGGCCGGATTCGCTTCAAGTTCCAGATCATCAAACCCTTCCTCGGCACCCCTCTAGAGATCACGCACTTTGCTACGTACTGGAAAGCCACGAGCCAGATCGATGCCCCAAATACCCTCATCACCGGATCCAGCTTGTCAGGGGAGTACATCAGACTCTTTGTACAGTTCACCAAGGATGGTGTCCCGGTCCTGTACTCGCAGTGGGAAGTCGATGACGGCGGTGAAAAGATACCAGTCATGGATCTTACGTATAGGAGCTTCGCGAGAATCGGAGCCCGTCACGGTTCAGGGGAGGCGATACTCGCAGGAGTCTCCAACGCCTTTACTACCACCGATGCCACGGACGTCATCCTGCAAGTGAGCCGGAGGTTGGCATCTGGCTTCGTCCCCTTGAGGGACGCTCTCGCTGTGATACCGGCTGAGATGCATGTTGAGCTGCACGTGCTGTGTCCTGATGCTTTAGACCTGGAGAAGCTGCAGCTAGAGCATAGACTCGACGTCAACAAGTTCATCGATGCGCTGCTGACCGTCGTCTTCGATCATGCGCGCCAGCTCCGGCAGAAGTCTGATGGCTTCGTTCGGAGCGTGGTGTTTTCGTCGTACAACCCGGATATCTGCACCACGCTCAACTGGAAGCAACCGAACTGTGAGTGAAAAGTTGTGATTGTCTTCGTGTAGTATAGCCAGGCTGACAAGATGCAGATCCTGTTCTCTTGTGCAATGACCTGTTCGCGAGCGCCGCACCGGCGGCGAGTATGGGCCAGAATGCTGTGCAGCACAGCGGGCGCACCGTAATGTCTGTCAAGAAGGCAGTGGATATTGCAAAGGATAACAACTTCATGGGCATAATATGCAATTCGCTGTTACTGGCAAGCGCATCTCTCTCATTCACGCCCACTCCTAGACTCGGCGCAATGCGCAATAGCGAGCTCGCCTCTAGATAGTCCCTACGCGCCTAGCATTGTTACCGCTCGCAACACTCAACATCCTCCAAGGCCTTACCCCATCACCTTCACACCCCACTCCCAACCCCTCCCCAAAAACCCAACCACGCTAACACCCCTTCCAGGACTTCGCGCACGGCCTGATCCAGTATATCAAGACGGCGGGGCTCGTCCTGATCGTCGACACGGCGGATACCACGCCCACACGCCCTCCTCCTACAGCGGCTTCCGCTTCGCAAACCTTCTATGGCGTGCCAGACGGCGTCGACGGCTTCCTCAGAGGCAATGGCGTTCTGAAATTCAATGATACCATCGACATGTAGGGCTTCATTGGCATTGGTGGCGTTTTGGGGGGCTTTGGAGGGGGAAGGGGGGTGGGGATAGAACGCATGTGATGTGGGTCTAAATTATGAGGAGGACGGTAGGCGTTATGGTGGGAGGCAATCTGCAGTCGTAGAGAAGAACAGTAATATGGATACGCGAGTCGAACATGCGATACTGCGCTTTGTGGCTCTAAGCTGCTGGGACGTGTTGCGACTAGCTGACGTGGTATGTAGAATCGTCCTTACAGCTCACCAAAGCACGACCATGGCCATCGGCAGGATCTGACGATGCTGTAACTCTTCCTACGGCCGTGTCTACGTAGCCATTGTATTAACCACATCATCCTATGCACCACTTCACCAGCCAGCTCGCCGCGCTGCTGTCCAGCCACGCCAACCATGTCCGCATGTATACACACAGGACGCTATATAAATACACACTTAGGCCTATTCCCAACCCCCAAACCATAGCACACTCAAGCCACTCGCAACACGTGCATCCACACCCGCTCAACCCACCTTACACAGTGCAGCCATCTGGGAATGCCCTTTCCACATCCAGATCGGCACGCACATCCAGGTCCACGGCTTCCTAGCCCGCAACGACTCGCATCCCCACGGCAGCACCAGCCCAGCGCGCTCAGAAAACCGAAAGGCTCAGCGACGCGTTTCTCCGCGCTCGCGCTGCCAGAGCGCCATGCAGCGGGCGTCGATGCCGCGCCACCGCGACTAAGTGAAACGGACAGCATGAAATGCCCACGAAGGCGGTTGGAGAAGTTCTCGACTCCCTTGTTCGAACGCCCCGACCCTATACGACACACCCACACCTAGATCCCCACACCACCGGCCAGGCACCCCCCAACAGACGCCCAAGGCCGCCCGCTCGTCCACATCCCCTGCCCCTCCCGCCTCCCACACCACAGAGACCTATGTCCAGACCCAGACCCTCCCCCATTCCCCCATCCCCCCATCCCATCCCCCACCGTCCCTCCCACGCCTGACATTGCCGCCTAGGCGTCAGTACCAGCCCGTACCCACACCCACACCTATGCCTTGGCCCATGACTCCACCTCCTCACCCCGTGCTGCGGCTGCGGCTCTCACCCCGATCCTCCGCCACGGGCTGCGTCCGCAGCGCCGGTTGACGCAGGCGGAGGTTCTGAGGCGCGGGTTTTGCGTTGCCAGATGAGATGGCAGTATGGCTGGGAGGCCCTGGGAACCGGGGGGGTGGAGGTTAAGGGGAGGAGGGGATAAGTAAGGATTGGCGAGACCATTGGAGTCGCTGGCAAGAAGGGAAGAAGAAGAAGATATCGGAAGAACGGTAGAAGGGGTGTGGAGGGATCCGTTTGTAACTGGTGGAAGAGAAGAAGATGGGAGAACACTTTGAGGATCGGCAGCTATTATGTTTTAGAGGGAAGTTGGGGGTCTTTGAAATTTAGCCAGCCAGCCAGCCAGCCAGCCAGCCAAGCACAGATCAGAGCGCCCACGTGACCGCGAGAAGGTAGTCAGCACGACAGAGAACGTTGACACCATCAGACCGCAGACGAAGACACAACCCGAAGGGGCCAAGTAATCAAATGCTGTTATACAGAACCGAGGCGCATCCAGATCGGAGCAGCCCAGTTTTACACAACGGCGTAGGGCAAACAGGAAAAAAAAAACACGTCGGCCACCCCCCATCTCAGCGACTGCCCTTCGAATCTATGTCTCTCCTAAGCCGCTCACATCTCCTTGAATCTTAGTATGTACAGCTCAACCCTCGAACGTGAAGCTGGTGCCGACCTGCGCTGCTGTCAGTTCATGCAGGCGTGCTACGGAGACATATCACATACCTTATGGCCGCCCTCGTTCAGCTTGTTCGCATCGAACGAAGCGCCAATGCCGAACGTGAGGCCAGAGTTGATTTTGGAATTGTAAGCCAAGGCAAGGATGCCGCGGTCGTTGATCTTGCCCTGTTTCGCCAAGACTGTATCAGCAGCAGCTCCCCAGCATGACCTAGCCGTTGGACTCAACCTACCTTTACAAAAGAGCTGGGATCGAGCTGGTGCTTGCTGGCAAGCTCCATGCCGATCGAGGTGTTGCTCTTAACATCGAACCCAGTCTTGACGCCGACCTCAGTCGTGCTGTTGACGCGCTGGTAGTACGACGCCGTGTAAAGGTTCATGTTGTTGGTCGCCTGCAGCGCAGCGGTGGCGCTGCCCATGGTGTAGCCGAGGGTGGCCGAGTAGCGGGTCACGGCCGCCTTCTGGACATCGTAGCCGACCTCGCCGCCGATGAGGAAGCCCTCGTGGCCGGTGACGGCATCGACGACGGCTTGGACCGCACCGCTCTTGGTGTAGTCGAAGAAGGCGCGGGCGTGGAACCGCGGGTCAGGCTTGAAGGTCAGGTTGAGCTTCTGGCCGACGAAGCCGTTGGTGGTGGAGAAGAGGTTGATGCCTTCAGCCTTGAGCCCCTGCGCAAGCGTATTGTCAAGCTCGACCTTGGTGGAGAGCATGTTGGTGGTCGTGAAGGTCTCGGTGATGGACATGCCTGCGTGTTTTAAATATATCAGCCCTGTTACCGCTGGTGGGCGTGTCGTGGAAGTTGGGTTTATGAAATAGGCGAGGAACGCGCGATCAAGAGGACTCGAGAGTGTGAGGTAGGCCAAGCTAAGACGCTGTAGGTATATACCATTTGAGAGGAGCTTCTTCGCCTCAACCTGCAGAGGGGTTAGCACACGACTCGGACGGTACTCCCTTGGAAGACATCGTAAGGAAGGCTTACAGATCCGCTCGTCGCGCTATCATGTGTCGACGTCCCTTTGGTGGTAAAGGCAACGCCATTGGGGGCCTTTAGCTTGACCTCGAGGTTCGCTAGAGCTCGGTCAGCGTGAGCTTAAAACTCTGCGCAAAGGGTGATATACCGGCAAGAGCGTGATAGAAATCCTTGTTCAGGATCTGTAGGACGCGTGTGAGCTAATACGAACGCCAATTGCTCGAACAGTAGGGGTCAATGGTACGGACATCATTCGCTGACTTGCTGATATCGGTGAAGCTGCAGGTCATGCGTCAGCTTCGCATTTCTTTAGAGGTCCAACGCAAGGTGTTGGGGGATACGTACGCAGGAACGGGTGCCGCTGGCAGAGAAAACACAGCCTGCTTAGCCTTGGTGGTGGTGCTGGTGGTGGTGCTGCCCCTGCTGGGAGGAGCTGGCACGGCCCGGCCATCTGAGGGCTTAGCAATGTCGGTGACTGGGAGAAGCAATCAGCATACTATCACGAGGCAAGGACAGGATACCACGGACAGTCAGGAACAGACATGTTGGCGAGTCGGTGATGTGGGTGATGGAGGAGATGGGATGGTTGTGTTCTTGCGTCGCGCAGGAAAGAACGGGAGAGCTTGGGATGAGCGCCGGAGTATTCTCGGCGTCTCCACCTGCTGCTCTGCTCTTGCTCCGGCTCCGTCCGTAATTCTCAAGCTTCACATTCAGCACGCTGCTTATTTATTACATTGTAGCACGCGGAAGACTTCCATGGCTTGCTTTCATGTGCTCAATAGACAGTGCTACAGCTATGTCTCTCCGGAGAACCCCTTTCCAGTCTAATCGCTGCAACCTCTATCCAAGCAGGCCCATGATCTAAGAACGGCATTACATCAACAAAACGCGATCGACACCCGCTGACCGAAATCCTTCTATCTTCAACTCTTGTCTCATCTACTCAGTATGCTTATACTTCTGCTCGTGTATCGCTATAGCTCGGCCGCTGGGATCCGTCTGTTTCGACCAAGTGGGCGTCCAGCGCATGACTGTTGAAGCGCAATAGGGCGGGAAATGCTCGTCGAACATGCAGCGGTACCAGTATCTGCGGGAAAGATTAGCTAGATTCATCTGCCCAGTCCGTTGATCACTCACGCTTCCTTGGTGTCAGGAATGTCGTCGCCCCACTCCGGCTTCGGGTTCTTCATGTCCTCGTCGCTGACGTTGAGCTCCGCGTTGTCTTTCAGCGCATCAATCCAGCCGTAGCCGACGCCATCGCTGAACTGCTCTTTCTGTCTCCAGAGTATGTTTTCGGGCAGGTACGGTTCGGTTTCGGGCTCGTCGGTTGTGTCGAAGGCTTTGCGGAGGATGTACTTTTCTATCCGGTCTTTGGTGATCATCTTTTCCTTAGGATCGATATTCATCGCTACATCGAGGAACTGGTCGCGTTTTAGTAGGCAAGCTTATTCGGTGATGATGTGGTACTCCCTACCTCCTTGTCCAAGAACGGAACTCTCGCCTCCAGGCCCCATGCCGACGTCGATTTGTTGGCCCGCAAACAATCCGCCAAGTGGAGGTTCTTGACACGCCTGACGCACTCCTGATGGAAAGCGCTCTTGTCCGGCGCAGCATGGAAATACAGATATCCTCCAAAGATCTCGTCGCTGCCCTCTCCGCTCAGTACCATCTTGATACCCATAGCCTTGATCTTCCGACTCAGAAGGAACATAGGCGTGGAAGCTCGGATGGTGGTGACATCGAACGTCTCGAGATGGTAGATGACGTCCGAGAGCGCATTGAGACCGTCCTCGATGGTGAAGGTAAAGTTGTGATGCCTCGTACCCAGGTAATCCGCCGCCACTTGCGCCGCCTTCGAGTCAGGTGCGTCAGGCAGGCCGATGGAGAAGGAGTTCAGCTGAGGGAGCAACTGTACGGTAGCCAGTTCGTTCTCCTCGTCGATGCCCACGAGCCTGTCGCTCGGCTGGTCGATTGGAGTCGCCGTGCCGCTCCTGCTGCCGTTGACGCCGTTGACGCCGTTGACGCCATTCACTCCGTTAGCCTTTGCCATCCTTGCTGCCCCGTTGAGCCTCTGGATCTCTCTCTGTGCGATAGAAGCGACTAAGCTGGAGTCCAGACCACCGGATAGTAACACGCCGAACGGCACTTCGGCCATCAGCCGCTTGCGGACCGACTTTTCTAGCGTTGTCCTCAGAAGCTTGTAGTCTACGGGCGTGGTCGGGATGTTGGTCGGCTCTATAAGCCATTTTGGCGTAAAGTATTGTGTGAGCGAATCGGTCGCCGAGTCGTAGACGTGGCCGGGAGGGAAGGAGGTAATGCTGTCGCAAACGGGGTGTAGGCACTTCAGTTCTGAGGCGAAGTAGACGGCGCCGGGTGTCTTGCTCGACCTGCCCATGTAGAAGGTGGTTATGCCGATTGGATCGCGCGCAGCAACCACGCGGTCCTGCTTCTTGTCGTGGAGAACCCAGGAGAACATGCCGTCGAGGTATTTGGGCGCGTCGATGCCATGCTCGGTGTACAGCGGTATTATCACTTCGCAGTCGGAGTTGGTCCTGAATTTGTACGGCTGCTTCAACTGCTTGCGGATGACACGGTGGTTGTAGATCTCTCCATTGACGGCGAGGGAAATGGTGCCCTCTTCGTTGACGAGAGGCTGGGCGCCAGAGTTGACGCCAACGATGCTGAGGCGCTCGTGGACAAGGATCGTATTGTTCGCTATGACATTGCCACTCCAATCAGGCCCGCGGTGCCGTACGGCCTTGCCCATCCGCAGCGCGGTGGGCTTGAACTTCTGTACATCCGGGTGGCTGTTGAGCAGTCAGTCAGTTATCAGTACATGCGCACGTGCAGAAATTGTTGCCATGAATGCACATAGAAAGGAGTCTGAGGGATAGTTGGCTTACTGATGGCAAGCAAATATGCCACACATGATGGCGGCGAGGTCGGGAAAGGTTCAGAGCGCAGAAGGGAGGAGGGTTGCGCCTGATATGTGGGATTCTGATAATGAGTCGACGATCTCTGAAGAATTGTAGCAGCGACATTCGGGCGCTTGCTTCGTAGTGGGGGCGCGAGGCGCGCTAGTCGTCTATCCCTGCGAACTTCCGCCGACCCCGGTTCATGTACACGTCGTGGCCAATATTCGGTGGACTCCAACCTCAAGACCCCCACCAACATCGCACTTAAGCACCCGCTTAAGACTCTTTTGAGCTCGAAGCCAGATCATCTGTATTAATAGCTAATTTAGCGGGTACTATGCCCAGCTTCAAATCGCTCACTCAGATAGTTTCTGGACCCTTTGTGCTGGGAAGAAGGGGTTCGTTTTGCGTGTCTGTGCTTTGGAGTCCACCCAATATTGGCCACGACGTGATGCACAGCTCCGTCTTCGTGAGCGCACGATGATGCCTCTCGACGCCTTGCAGGGACGAGCCCCAGATTTCCGATGTGGGGAAGACGGGATCGAAGGATCCATGCATATCTGAAAGGCCGTTGTGAGAGATATCGCAATACCGGATCTCGAGCGCTGTAGTCCGCTGGGCGTAGTAGAGATCTTGGGCTAGACCGTCGCACAGGATCAATAAGTTCACAATGCAGAGCAAAAGAAGCGGAGGCTGCTTGCTGTGTATACAATGCTGTGGCGGAAGGAGGCTTCATCGTGAGTGTTCTACTGTCCAATTACGAGCCACCCATCTCTTGCCCCCATTATCCCCCACGCGGAACCTTAGGATTTGCGGAGAACACCAAGCGCACATGATCCAGCCAAAGGAAAAAGAAAGGACACCTCTAGGGAGCACCACGGTAGAAGAGCGCCACCAGAATTTGCTCACACGGCGCAATGAACGTCCAAAGCTCCCCCTAGCCAATTAAGCAGCATCGGCTCGCGTCCATTCATCATGCACGATATAAGCAAGTGACCGCGGCGTGCGAGTGGGAGCGCTCAGAACAGGAAATATGCCAGTAGGAAGCACAGCAAGCAGAGGCCTGCCACAACCTGCACCGGGACACCGCTCGCAGCCACCTGCTGTGTCCCCATGCCCGTGCTGCCGGTGGTGATCCGCTCCTTGGTGTCCTGGTTGATCGCGTCGCTCTTCCTCTGTCTCAGAACCGACTCCTGTGCGCTCTGCGTCAATCTAGCAATCTCTGCTTTGGCCTGCTCGAGCTGTTGCTTCAGGTCTTCACCAGAAGTGGGGATAGCACTGGTCACATTCGACGCAGCTGCGGAGATGTACGACTGGCCCGAACTTGCTGGGTTGTGAGCGGAGCTAACTGCATCTCCGAGATGTTGGTTGCCTGCTGGACGTTCCTCCGGCCTGGACACCGGCCCGACAGGCGCCTCGGAGCTGCCGCGTTGCGGTGTGAAGGTTTCAGGGCTAGGAGATCGGTGTGAGGAGGCTGCGTCGTGCATGCTCATGCCGTTGACGCTCCTCGATGCTGGCGTTGCTACGTTTGCGCCATCAGGTGGCAGGAATACGACGCGGATCTTCTTTTCTTGGATCTGTTGTTTTGCGTCTTTCTCATAGTATGCCCACTAGCCCAGCTGTCAACAAACTATCTCCTACTGCTGATAGGTGGTCCTTACAATTGACGCGACATTGCTGAAATCCTTGTCTGCAGTCACCGCAACTGACTGGACGAGGAACTTGTCACGGCAGCGCGCGTCCATTGGTGGGTCCTCTTTCATCGCTTGTAGAAGGACTGTGCCGTCTGGTCAGACATGACTTGTAGTCTGTGGACCGTAGATTGTTACCCTGCACTTCAACATCCCCGCCAGGCTCGATTCGGCCGGAGTTTGGTCTGACGCAATATCTGGGCGCTTCGATCAGTATCCGATGGATGGGTGGACGCTTGAGCAGGGCATCGCGTACTGTTTGGGCGCGGTTGTTTTGACCTGTGGAGATGTATGTCAGGACTCAGTTGGGGTGCTCGCGTGCCATGAGGAGACATACCTTGAAAGCCACTGGGTCGCTGTTTGGGTTCTTAAGGCGCAGAACTTGCGATACCTCATGGGAGAAGGGCCCTGTATAGCTGCCGGTTAGACCGACGGTCTCTGAGGCTTTTATCAGGGACTGTACGCTTGAAGCCGAGCTCCACTGGCTCCAGTTCCACGGACATGTTGATGCTAGGGGTTAGCGCCGGTCACTTGGCGGTTGACGTTGGAGAGAGAGCGCGGTCACGAGCGCGAGGTGGTTGTGCAATGATTCCCAATGGCGTACTGCTAGTGCAGGAGATGAGTTGTCCGTCTGGTGATGCGCGGCGCGGTGATAGTGGAGGTGAATGAGGAGATGGTGGTTGTGGGCAGTGGTGGTGGAACAGGGTCTCCTCGGTTGTGGCTGTGACGTCGCGGAGTCGCGCCTGGCGATTGTTGCGGTTTGCTACGGAAGCTGTGAGCCATGTGTCACTCATTCACGTCCAAATAATTCGCCGCCGTCAGAGTGAATATACTTCTCCGCTACATACGACTGACTAAACCTTAAATCTAGAATATAAAGGTTCTGGTCTTCCTTCTGAATCTTCCTCTTCTCTAGAAACCGCATAAATATTGAACATTCACCCCACACTTAGCCTTGAGGCATTCCTATCTACATATCCTCGCAAAATACTTTACAAAGCTCTCACTATGGCTACCTCCGATCTAAATATGCTGCTCGACATGGGCTTCGAGAAAGAGCGCGCCCAGATGGCCGTCAAAAAGACTGGTGGCCGTAAGCTCCCTCACTCCACCCCAGAGCCACCCCCTACTGACACCCTTCCCAGTACAAGCGGCCATCGACTGGCTCGACAAGAACCAGGACAAATCTCTCGACGACATCAAAGCCGCCGACACCGCCGACGCTTCCTCCGAGCCCCCCGCCCTCAACCCCGGCGAAGAAGCCCGCAGCCTAGTCTGCAACGAGTGCGGCAAAAAGTTCCGCAGCACTGCACAAGCCGAGTTCCACGCCTCCAAGACCGAGCACACGGACTTCAGCGAGAGCACGGAGGAGATCAAGCCGCTGACGGAGGAGGAGAAGAAAGCGAAGCTCGAGGAGCTGCGGCAGAAGCTTGCGGCTAAGCGGGGGGAGATGAGCGAGCAGGACAAGCTCGATAAGAAGAGCAATGAGGTACGTTTGCCTCTGCTTTACCCCTTATCTGCTTTCTTTCGCGGCTAGGGCGCTGGAGCTGACCACCCGGCCTCACAGGAGATCCGCCGCAAGGCCACTAAAGAGGGCCAAGACGCGAAGGAAGCCCTCCAGAACAAGGAGCGCATCAAAGAAGCCCAAGCCAAGCGCCGCGAGAAGCAAGAAGAAGTCGAAGCCCGCAAGCGCGCCCTCGCCAAGATCGAAGCCGACAGAGCTGAACGCAAGCGCAAGGCCGACCTCGAGAAAGCACAGCGCGCAGGCCAAGCTCCTCCCACGCAGGCCGATATACCAGCACCCGCACCCGCAGCGCCGAAGCCTGCGGCAGCGTACACCGAGGCGAGACTGCGGCTCCAGACGCCGGCGGGCACGGTGATGAAGACGTTCCCGGCGGAGACGACGTTGTTTGAGGTCGCGCATACGCTGGCGAGTGAGAGCGGCGTGGAGGTCAATACGTTTACGCAGAATTTTCCAAAGAAGGTGTTTGATCGGAACTCGGCTGATTTTGGGCAGACGTTGAAGGAGGCGGGCATGGTTCCCAGCGCTGCACTTATTGTGCGGTAGGGACTTCAAGGGGCATTGTATCGCTAGCGGCATCTTGGTCGGCGTCTATGGGAATCGCTGTTAGACATAGTCACCTGAAGGCGACGGCTACGAGCAATGTGCAAACGAAAATGATGATACCCCAAAATGGGTTCAACGTTGACCAAGTTGGTGATCACGAAGTCGGTTTGATATAAAGGTGTTGTGTGTTACTTGAGGTGTCAGTTGCTATAACCAGCTGCCTCCCCTTTGACTTATGAACCTGCACGATATTGTACAACGCGGAAATGCACCACCATGTGCCCTACGCCGCAGCCGCCTTCGCCTTCTTGACCTTGCTTGGCTTAGAATCGTCCCTTGAGGGCTCCTTGGCCTTTGCTTCCTTCACCGCCGGCGCAGCCGCGCCCTTCTTCGCCTTCTTGACCTTGACCTTCTCCGAGAGCACTGTCTTGCCGGGCTTTGTCTGGGCAGTGCGCAAGACCTCCGTAATCTCTTCGTCCTCGATGTGCGGCTTCTCCGTCAGCGCCTTCTGCGCCTGTCCGTTCGTCGTACCCTCAAGCTGCTCCACGCCAGCCTCGTCCGCATCCTTCATCAGCACATCGCCTGCGCTCCTCAGCGCCGGTGCCTCAAACTCATACCCCAGCCCCTTTAGCTTCTCCGCCTTGTCCTTCCTCCTCGCCTCCTCCTTCTTGTTCCGCTTCTTCCAGCCCTCCCTATCAGTCCCCAGCCTTAGACTCCTCCCCTCGATCTTGTTCCCCGGCACCTTCTTGAACCGTCTCCCCGCGCCCTTGAACAGCGCCTCGTGCACCTGCTCCTTCGGTATGGTGCGCACCTGCAGGATGTGCCCGAACAGCAGGTACTTGTCCATTGTGTCTGCGACGATCTTGGCGACCGAGGCGTGCGCGAACTCGATGAAGGCGAAGTGTCGGCTGCGGCCTGTTTTCTTGTTGCGGGAGAGGCGGAGCTTGGTTACTTCGCCGAATTGGGAGAAGTAGGAGCGCATCTGGTGTTCGTAGAAGCCGTGGGGGATGCGGCTGGGTAGTGTGAGTTAGCTGGAAGGATCTTCATACGAGTTGGTGTTTCTTGATACATACCCTACGTAGATGACACCTGGGGCGTCGCCCTCTTCTGCGGCGGCCTTGTCGAGCTTCTTGCGGAGCTTCTTGTCGGTGGGAATACCAGGCACTTCGTCTACCGCGACAGCTTCTCCGCTAGGCGCGTCTTCTTCGTCGCTGCTCTCGAAGCCCTTGAGGAGCGCCGCGGTCTGATCGTCGATGTCCTCGTCATCTTCGTCATCAGCCACGTCCTCAGCGACTGGTTCCTCCTCGCCCTCTTTGTCCTTTTTGGTCTTTTTAGCCGTCTTCTTCGACGGCGCTGCAATTTCCTCCTCCACAGCCGCCTCGTCCACCGCCCCCTTGCTCTGCTTGCCCTTCTTGCCGGCCTTCTTGGCCCCTTGTGCCGTTTCCGCAGGCTCTTCGACCTTCGTGCCCGTGATCGCGACACCCTCAACCGGCTCCATACCCTTTCGGACCTTCTTCTTATTATCCTCGCCAGACTTGACGGGCGTCAGCTGGTCCAAAGCCTCCGCATCAGCCGCCTCCTTGAGTGCCTTCGCGCCCTTGGTCTTCTTGTCCTTGGGCGCAGCAATGGTCTCCTCGACAACAGCATTCTCAGCAGGCTGCGCGGCGCCTTTGGACTTCTTGCTCTTTGCTGGCTTGGATTCGAGGGCCACTTGTTCGGGGACAGCAGCCTCTTCGACAGGTTTGGCGGTCTTCTTGGCCTTTTTGGTCTTCTTGCCTGCTGCCTCTACTGGCGCGGTTGCAGATGTGGGGTCACCATCCTCGAAGAAGTCTGCGGCGCGCTTGCGCGAGGATTTGGGGGGCTTCGCCGGGGCCAAAGGAGCGTCCCCATTCGCGGCGGCGGTATCTGCGACCTTTGTCTTCTTGGCTGGCTTTTCGGACTGGGGCGCTTTCGTGGTCTTGTCCGCCTTCAGCTTCTTCGAGCTTGCGGCGGGTGCGGGCATCTCCGCGCCTGAGAGGTCTGTGTGAGCTATACGATAGATAGATCTACTCTTCGAGATTTACGTACTCTTGCGCTTCTTAGACTTGAGCTCGGGAGCCATTGCAATCTTTGACCTGTTGAAATGAAGGTGCCAGTTCCAATATCTTCAGTTGCTTGCGGGAGCTTGGATGCGAAAAACAGCCGACTTTTTTTCCGTGAAGCTGACGAGCCGAATCCCGAACTATCGCCGAAGGTTCAGCACAGGCAACGTACCTGAAATGGTAGCAGTGATTTTGACCTTTGCGAAACCAGTCTGCATATACGCAACAATCGCGCGCTTCACCACGCCTAGTCAATTGTTCTAACTCAAGATCTTCGCTAAGCACTACCAACTCAATCGAACTATGAATTAGAACTGCATAAAATACTCAAAATGCGGATGGAATTCCGCCTTTTTCCCATGCAATGGTGACGCGGGTGAATCTCGGGACTGCCAATATCTCTGGTACGTTGCCTGAGCTCAACTGATGTCACGCTTTCTGAGTTGAATATCGTTCCACGAACTGTTTATCGGGATGTCTAGTCACAAGCTTTCCTATGCAGATGTTTGGGATGATTCTGCGTTGATACAATCATGGGAGGCGGCCTTAGCGGAATACAAGGTACGTTCTCAGTGGCCCAGATCATCTATCAAAACCTTCACTGACAGCCGCAGAAATACCACAGCATCCATGCTCGGGGAGAAAAGGTTGAGGATGTCTTATCCGCGTTTGAGCTTGCGGAGCTGCGAGGGTACGCAATTTCTGCAATCCATAGGATGGTTGCTTGCCTGTAGCTCAATTCAGCCAGAACACAAGATCAGCCGAACGGTGCTACTGCCCCAGATCGGGCCGACGTAATCAAAGAAGGCGAGCTCCAAATGACACATGCAAAAGAGCTAGGGGAGCTTGAGGAAGGCGAGGATGCTGTAGAAGGCACTGCAGACGACCAGCCTGTTCAAATGGTATGGCTGGACCTACCACATAAGCTATAATTCCAGCAACTGACTGTAGAATAGGCAGCGGCAGCTGTCTCTGCTGAACCAACAGGCAATGGCGTGACAGGTAGCGAGCACACGATGCCGCCAGTCTTGACTGCCATGCCTCAGGTGCTCGCGGGATCGATTCAGGATGAGGCACTCAAGAACCTCATGATGTCCTGGTACTACGCTGGCTACTACACAGGTCTTTACGAAGGCCAACAGAAGGTCGTCCAAAACTCAATGGGAGAAGGGGGGAAATATTGAAGAAAACTGCGTATTGGGGCATCGATTTTGCAGACGGAAAGAGCAGTTCAAGCCACCTGGTTTCTAAGCTCTGCGTACAGGGCTATTAGGAATATCAGAAGGCTTTGCCTCACGATTAATCAAGCGATGCAAGAGCTGCTGGAAGTTGTAAGTAGACTAGATGTTATTCTCCCGGACTTCCATCGCTGATGCAGCAGATACAGATATCCATGCCTACCTTAGTGTGCTGCAGAGGGCGTTTCCACGTGGAGAGATGATCAAACAAACTTCCAAGTTAGCAGATTACGAGTTCTCGGGATTCGCATACCCGAGCAGTCGCAAAGATGGTGGCAGGTTCGGCTAGGCGCTGTTACAGGCTTGGCGCTCTTGTTACGCCATCTGAAACACCACCGACACCGCAACTGTCGAGGAACTATTTCGGACCTTTGCCAACTCTACCGAGCGCAGAAATTGTATATTGAATTCAGCAACCAACACCTCCTTCGCATGAAGCTCTGCAATTCGAAAGGGTCAGACGTTTCGCTGTGAGACCGCCTGCTCTTAGCCACGTTTTCATTTCATGCTCCATATAAACCTCGAAGGCCGCGCTGATGGCGATACCAACCCAATTCAGCACGCCTTTTGCAGTAACGGTACCTTTCTTCCTTTTATCTTTACAGATGTTCCCTTTCCGAGCCGGCCCTCGCATTACGTCTTTCAATCACTGATTTCCTATTGTTACTTGACATACTCCGCAGCGCGGCCCAGTAATTCCCACAAACCTACCTTCAACGTATAACCAAACACAATACCTGCCATAATGAAGTCGTTCGCTTTTGTTCCTATGCTAGCCGCCCTAGCGTGCGCAACCAAGCACGAGATGCCCGCCCACGCAATGGCAATGACCCATACTGTAAGTCCTCCAACCCACCCTTCAATTCCTTCATCCCTCCAATCACACCACATGCACAACCTCAATCATCTGATCCCATCCACAGGTCACAGTCGGCGGCGTCATCCCCCCCGCAGACGCAACTTCAGCCCCCAAACCAATCCTGCTCTACAACCCGGAATCCATCCAGGCGGCCGTCGGCGATACCGTCAAGTTCGTCTTCATGCAGGCCAACCACAGCGTCACGCAATCGACGTTCGCGAACCCGTGCGTCAAGATGGCCGGAGGCGTCGATTCGGGGCTGTTGCCGAATCCGAGCGGGGCGCCGGGCATAGAGTGGACGACGACCGTCAATAGTACTGAGGCGACTTGTGAGTTGGTCTTCACCCTCCCTACTCTAGGATGGAGTCTCCCAACGGGGAAAACGATAAGGCGGAGAGACACAACGGCGACCTGACCCATGCTGACCCGACCACCCCCAGGGTTCTACTGCAAACAACGCACAAACACGCACTGCGGCAAAGGCATGGTCTTCGCCATCAACGCTGCCACAACCGGCGACAAGACCTTCGCCGCGTACAAGCAACTCGCCATCGCGCAGAACGGCACCGCGCTTTCCTCCGCGCCCATCCAGGCCCCTGCGCCTCCCACCGCCGCCCAAAGCACCGTCGTTGTGGAAGCTACCTCCACCACTGTCGCGATGGTGCATAGCTCCACGCCCGCGGTGGGCCAGGGCTCGTCTCCAGCGGTGCCGGCGCAGGGTTCGTCGACGGTGGCGCCTGGTGCGCCGGCGGCGGGCGCGAGCGTCGTGCCGGGGCAGGGGAGCATGGGGAATGGGGGCGCGTGCTCTTGTAGCTGTTTGTGTGGGGTTGGGAGTTTGACGCCACAGGGGGCGGGGGTAGATCATTTCGGGGGGTATGCTGGTATGATGCCGAAGCTTTCGTAAGCGTGTCGGTACTGGGTAGGGCTGGGGTTCTGAGGGTACAGCTGCGCGGGTCGTGGTGGTGTAGACGGATTTATACTGTTCTTCTATTGGCGTTGTACAAGAGTGCTCTTGACTGTGTTTGTTGGTCTGAGCCTCGGGTTGCCCTTAAGTGTGCATGATCCTTGTGTTGTAATCGTAGCTGGAAACTGTGCCATCACTGATAGATCCAGCAAAAACATGTTAGTCGGTGACGCAGAACTTCCGATCTGGGTCTCGAGTCTTCGATGGGCCACAGTAATACGATTATCTAGGTGAACAGGCTTGTGAAAGCACTAAATGACTTTTACTCCCCCTACAGATGTAATAGGTACACGCTAAACCGCGGGATCAATCGAACTGTTCTCGCTCTCTACGACTACTCAAGTTTGCCGTAACCAAAGCAAAGCCGCGCCACATACGGGACTGGCGAATGCAGCCGCAGTGAGTTTCTTGAAGCAGCTGTTACTTCTTGGTGGCGCCTTCTGCGGCCCTCTTGGCTTCGGCTGATAAAAGGTCAATATCCGGAAGACATGTGTTTTGGGGAAACGCGACAGAACAACTTACCTGCGGCCTGCTTAGCACGCATGATAGCAGCTTGGTCCTCCTTCGTCCGCTGGAACTCGGTGCCGGATTGCTAAACACCTGTGAGCAGCGCTCGGATAGAGAAAAACCCAAGTGAGGCCGCCCCAAGCATACCTGATTCTTGTTTTTCTGCAGTCCCGGTCAGCTTAGAACCGTCAGCGCAACCAGACTAACCTACCTTCCCAGCCTGCTCCTTCAAGTTCTTCTCCCGCGCCTTGTCACGCTGATTTCCGCGAGCCATAGTAATCGCCAGACAAGGTAGATCCCGTCCACTGTTGTCTCGTTGCGGTTCTTAATGACGTTCTGAGCTGGCTGCAAGTGCCGGTGGGAAAAGAGTGTTGATCTTGAAAAGGCTGAAAGAAAGAGACCTTCGGGTCAGGAAGCCGCGCCACAGTCAGCCTTACGGGTCACGTGGCAACTTCTTCCACTTGCCGCGGACCGGTCCGCTTCTCTCGCGACTCCCGAACGCCCGGCGACCTCTTCACGGCGGTAATGCATCTATCTTGGTCATAGAATCACTTGGCCGTCATGGAGCCCAGGTTGGACAGCGTCACAAGTTCCAGAACTTTTGCAGGCCTGCCTCAGATAGCCGCTCAGGCACCGTCAAAACATCCCTTTTGCAGAGCAGCCCAGACCTGAAACAAGACGGCGCTTCTTTCGCGTTTGAGCATTCTCAGCCAATACGTTCGCGAACCGCAACAAAGCACCAAACATGCCTCAAATCTCTCCGTTGTCAGCCTCAAAAGAGCGCTCTGGCTACTGATATGGGTCTTCTAGGGGCGTTTGGGAAGGGCGCTGTGCTCCTCCGCCTAAGGCGCCGCGCTTCACTTTGGCCCCCCAGCGTCCTAGCTTTGACCCGAGGGCTATTTTCTGCGTTTCAAAGGCGCCTGGCTTGCAGATGTTCTCGATGCGAGCGTGTCCAGTCATTCTGTCCATGATCTCCGTGAATAGACCATTGTGACGTGTGGACAACAGCCCGGCGCGAGGCCCATTGTAATTCTTCCTCAAGCTTTCATTGTCATCGTTCTTTCTATTGACCTCATTGTTATCGAGTGTGCGCTAGAGCTCCTCTGCCTTGACGGCGCTGGACTACTTTTCCTTCTACAACCCTCTTCAACTCTATCTGCTTTATAGCTTAACGCGCATCCTCTGTCACTCTCACTGTTTGCCCTGCAGCACATCTAATCACAAGCTCTGGAAGCTTCCCTACGATAACATCACACTCGGTAAGTCACTCATCGCTAGCTACGCAGAGAAGTTGAAGACTGACCTTGTACAGCTCCAATCTTTCGAATATCACACGATCTTTCCACAACATGCCTCTCTCAAGCAAGAGCCTGGCCGGTCCAGGATACATCATACTTAATGCCCTCCGCGTCATGAACATCATCAGCCTGTTAGCAATCATTGCTGCAAGCGTAGTGATGCTGATCAAGACATCTACAAAGACTCAGGTAAGCCGCTCTCGTAGATGACCGCTGGATCTTCTGGTGCTGACTTGCGCCACAGTTCTTTTTCTTCGACGCTATCAACCACGTCGTTGCAACATGCACCTGCAGTGAGTATCCTCCCATGCGCATGGCTCTGCCAGACAGTAGCTGACTTGCCTTAGTGTTCCTCATCACCTCCGAGGTGTCCCTCTTCCGCAACTACTTCGCCCACGAATGGCCAGTCCTCGGCTCCAACCACGGCTTCGTAGCCCTCGGTCTCGCCATGGTCGTTCTTGGTGTGAACGTCCTGGGCCACCTGAACAAGGAGTCTCTGAGCCAAGAGAACATGGGCCTAGCATTCTGGCGTATAGTCCTCGCAGCCGGCGTCCTTGCCTTCATCATCGGCCTCTTTAACGTCATCGCCGTAAGTCCCTTCCCACTCCCTATACTCCCGCTCCATCAGTGCAGCAGCTAACACTCCTCTCACAGAGCTACATCTTCCGCGACACCAGTCTCAACATCACCGCCCGCCGCGTCCGCTCCCACGGTGCCGTCGCGATCCGCAACAGCAACAGCACCAGCGGCAGCCCACCCCGCAAATCCCTCAGCATCAGCACCGCCTCAATCGAACAGCACACCTTCGGGCACCACAGCCCGGCCTTCAAATCACCCATCTCGCTGCGGTCACCCTTCAAGAACTTTTCTCCCGCAAAGACCTTCCGCGCCGCCCGCGACTCGATCTTGCCGTCCTATCACGCGAACATGAAGAATGCGCCCGCGCCGTATGCGAGCAGCCCGACGAGCGAGTATAGCCAGCCGATGAGCAAGAAGGGAGCAAGAGAGAGTGTCGGGCCGAGAATCCCAATCAACATCTCGGCGCCTACGAACCCGAATCCGGCGTATGCGCACTTGGTGAGGCCGGAGGTTGCGAAGCATCCGAGTGAGAGGAGGGGCGAGGGGAACATGTTTTAAGGGACCTTCCCAAGCGTTGAGGCGACAGGATTGGCTGGTTGGAAAGATCTGCGTCTGATTTAATTGGTGGTGATGGTGATGCGACATGACTTTCGATCTGCTTCTGCTCATAATCCTCTGTTTGAGGCGTTTCTTCCTTGTCAGCCCCTTTGCATCACGTAACAGCTCGTCTAGGCATGACGGCGTATCGGCGGGCCAGGTGAGCTAGTCGCTCTCTAGATATCACGGTGCTACTCTAGCATGGCGTTTGCTATTCGTCACAGATAATAACAGCGAATCTCAACAACTGCCCGTTGCCTTCTCTGATCTATCCTTCCGTGTACATGCTACGGGTTACAGATGCCGCGCACAAATAAATTTTCCTTTCCTCGAGTCGCGAAGACTCTATACGCGAGCCCCTAACATCTCCCACGACCGCTCCACCGCCCCTCTATTCCGCCTTCTTATACCCCACGTCACTGAGCCCTTCCTTCAAAGCGGCGCACGCCCTGTCAATATCGTCCCTCTTCGGATCCACAACACTGACACCCATATGCCCAAACCGGATATACCTCGCCGCAATCTCCTTGTGCAGGCCGCCCGCAAAAACCACGCCCCTCTTCAGCAGATTCGGCAGTATCTCGGGCGGCGTAAGTCCCTCGGGCAGGTAGATGGCCGTCATGCCGTTCGCCTGATTCTCCGGCTTTGTGGCCAGCTGCTTCAGGCCGAGGTCGGCGACGGTTTGCTTTACCTTTTTGGAGGCGGCGCGGTGCTCGGCGAAGCGCTGGTCCAGCGGGCGCGAGAGGATCTGTGAGAGCGAGGTGTGCAGGGCGTGGATTAGTTGTGGGCTCGGGGTTGCGAAGTAGGAGGGTTTGTTGGCTTCGTAGTTTTGCATTACTGCGAGGCGGTTTGTTAGCCGTTTTGCCCCCCGATTTCTGCCAGGGACTTGCGGAACCCTGCTGCTTGGAAATGCGGGCGGAGCGGGAATAAAGAGAGAAGGTGCGCGGGGAAACGTACTGGGTAGCCAGTTCTTCCAGCTCGCGAAATAGCTCGTCGGCCGCGTCTTCCGCGCTTTAAACCTCTCCATCGCCCGCCCCGACGCCATGACGATCGACAGGCCCGCCGGACACCCGATCCCCTTCTGGCTCGCCGTAAGCACGACATCAAGCCCCCAGTCATCGAACCGAATCTCCTCGGACCCGACGCTGCACACGCCGTCGACAACCAGCAGCGTCTCCGGCGAGACCCTGTGCACGAGCTCCGACAGCGCCCGGATCTCAGACAACACCCCCGTCGACGTATCCACGTGCGTGACGGTGATGATCTTGTACGTCTTCTCCTTGAGCGCGGCTTCGACCTCGTCGAGCTGCGGGCGGTCGCCGATTGGCGCTTTCAGCTGCGTGGCCTTGACGCCGTACGTCTCGAAGCAGTCAGCGAAGGAGTCGGCGAAGTAGCCCGTGTGCAGCACCAGCGCCTCGTCCCCGGGCTCACCCAGGTTGGCCGCCACCTGGTCCCAGCCGAGCGTGCCGGAGCCCGAGATCACAAAGGGCTGGGAGGAGGGGTCGGTTGTTTGGAAGAGCTGGCGCAGCATTTTGAGCGCCTCGGAGAAGGTTTTTACGAAGGGCGCGCCGACGTGGGATTCACTGGGGGGGATTGTTAGGGGATGCGGGAGGTAGGGGAGGCAGAGGGTGAGGGATGTGTGGGTACCTGTAGTGGCTCATGGAACTGAGGACCGCATCGTCGAACTCAATGGGCCCTGGGATCAGGAGCGCGGGATGAGGTGCCTGGTTCGACATCTTGGCTAGCTTCTCCTGCTCCTTTGGCGGCTGTGTTTGGGTGCCTTTGCTCGTGCTTCGTGATGGTGCTGGCTTGGAGGCTTGGTACTCTACGTCTGCTTCCAGCGGTGCTGAACGTTCGGTGGAGAAAGGAGTATTCAGTTCGAGGAAGGGACTCTGGTCAAGGTGCCGCGAAATAAGTGCTAAGCGTGGTGCTGCGCGTGAAGCCGAGGACATCGAGGGGTAGATTTGACGTAGCAGCGGGCGGAAGGCCGAGATCGGCATGTGGTGACTTCGATGGTCTTAGGGGAGTTTTTGTGGACAAAAGTCGCGTACAGTTAGAAATCCGATCGAGAGGCGAAGCAGAAAACAAGGGAGGATGCGTGGAAGAGCAAGCAGGAGCTGACATTTTAAATGACGATACAAGCCTTCAAATGTTGTCGTCGATGCACGCAACTTGCCGGTAAGGGAGTCGGGAAAATGTACCGATTTTTCTGCTCAACTCCGGCTTGCGCAATCGTCCTGCCAGGGGCGCCGGAAGTGCCGTATGGAAAGTCTGGATGCCGCAGCGTCTTCTTCGGACAACCCAATTGGCCTTTCCCAGCCGTTTTGTCTGCGATGCCACAGCCCCTGCCAGCTCCGGCTGTACCTGCCAAGCTTTCGAGCGGAATTCCGCCGACGTTCACGCAGTCCACCACACCTCAAGCTCCGCCTTGGTGAGCGGACGCTTCTCGATGCAACAACACCATGACTTCGAGGCTGGTGCTATGCCTGGGTGACCTCTTCATACCCGACCGAGCTGCAGTAAGCAAGCTCCTTGTTTCCCACCAGGATACCCATTACTCACAATCGTACAGGATATACCAACAAAGGTACCACCACAGCCCAGCCCACCAACCCTCCATGCGCCTGCTCGACCACAACGCTTACCCCGTGCACAGTTCAAAAAGCTCCTCACCCCCGGCAAAATCGGCCAGACGCTCTGCCTCGGCAACCTCACCTCGCCCGCAACCTACGACTTCCTGCGCGCCCTCTCCCCCGACTTCCAGCTCGTCCGCGGCGACTTCGACACCGAAGCCCTGCTCCCGCCAAACCTGTCCTCCAACCTCGCCCTCTCCAAAGTCGTCACCCACGGCTCCCTCCGCATCGGCTTCACACATGGCCACACCATCATCCCGCCGGGAGATGCGGATTCCCTGCTGATTGCCGCGCGCCAGATGGACGTCGATGTGCTGCTGTGGGGCGGCACCCATAGGTTTGAGGCCTATGAGATGGAGGGGAAGTTTTTTGTGAATCCGGGGAGTGCGACGGGGGCTGTGGGGACGGGGTGGTGGGAGGGTGGGGAGGAGCCCGTGCCGAGTTTCGTGTTGATGGATGTGAGTGTTTTCCCTTCTGCTGTGTTTGTGGAGGTGTTCGGCGCCCTGGATAATGTGCGGCCAGTGCTGATGTGACGGCGTTGTACAGGTTCAGGGTGATGTACTGGTCCTGTATGTGTATCAGCTGCGGAAGGATGCGAATGGCGTGGAGAACGTGGGTGTCGAGAAGGTGTCATTCAGGAAGAACGGTGGCGGCGGGTCATGAGTTTGAGAAAGCGCTACGAGTGCTATGCTCAGGTGTCGTACCGCATCTCCAGCATGTCTTATCCAGAGTCGTTTGGGGGGTCAGGCTTGTTGACCAATCCTTATATTGAGCATGTCACAGCAGCCTTCTCTGGCATAAACGAATGCAGGAAGATGAGACGGCCATAAGAAGACAAGACATGAAACAGCTAGGACCAAGAACAAGTGTCTCTATTATCCTATAACTCACAGCCCGAAGCGAGCAAATTCCTACTTCGGCGCATCACCATGATACCCGCAATATCCAATGGGGCGCCACAACCTCCTGGCCCCCCGAAGTCAGCTCCCTCAATCCAGCCCACGCATACCCATCCACAGCACCCCAACCACATAAATACCAAAGCCCACTACATCACTCGACCCGCGGGGAAAGGCTGCATTGTCGACTCGCGGGTCGACCAGCTAACGGTGTTAAATCAGGTACTCACATCCTTACGTCATGTCAGGAGTTCGAATCATACCTAACTCGCCTTTATAAGCAAAAGACTCCCATTCGACATCGAGGGAGTTTCTCACTAAAGGACCTGGCCCGGGGGGCCGGGGGGTGAGTCTTTGCTGTTTCGTTTTGTTGGTTTGGTTGATATATCTATCTTTTCCCTACGAGGAGACGGCGCTGAGGAGATCTCGTGCCAGCTCATATTGCTGTGAAAATCGTGACAGGATGCTTGGATAATACTTTGTTGGGTTAGATTTAGGCTTCACTCACCTACGAGGCTAGGTAGAGAGCTATAGAGCAGTTTCGCTACTAAACCCTTATGTTGCAGGCGTGCAAGATGTCCGCAAGGTCGATGACACTGCAACGTCCTTAGAAGATGTGTGTACGTGGCGAAATGAACAATTTCTCGAAGGGCTTAACAGCTGGTCGCTCACATCGATCAAAAGGGGGTTCCGATCACAATGTCAAGCGACGGAGCAAGTCTGCACGACGATCTCTTCTAGAATCTCATAGACAGTCTTAGGTTAAGCGGCCCTCAATCCTTCAGCCCAACAGCGACAGTCTCTCGAATGCCTTGACCACAGGTGCCTCCCTCGGCCTTCCCCCCGCCTCCACAGCATCCCACAGCACCCCATCCGCGCCACCCGGCCTTCCCCCGTCACCATCTTCTGAGATCTTCTCCTCCCTCTTCTGCTCCTCCACTTGAAAGACCTCAGTTACGCAAGCCTCGCACGCGGCAACCACCTCTCCCATCGCCCTCTCCACCGCCGCCGCCCGCTCCCTCATCCCCCTCCTCATCAAGCCCTCAACAAGCCTCCTGACCTCATCACTAACAGCATTCACACGCTCAATGAGGCGACCAATCGAGTTGACGAGATACTCTTCCTCGTACACGCTCCCCTTCTTCCCTCTGGCCCTCTTCCGCTCCTCACGCCGCCGGTTCTTCGACGTACGCCGCGTCGTCTGCGTATTTAGCGTGCTGCCGGACCCTGTGCGGCCGGTGTAGCGCGTCATGAACGTGCCGCCGGAGGTCGAGGCGTCGGTTGGGGCCAGGGAGACGTTGTCGGGGATGTCTGGGCCGCCGTCTTCGGGGCCGGCGGTGGTGCCGCCGAAGAAAGCCACTAAGCATACCAATCGTGTCAGCCTACGTCACTTCCCTAAGGCCTCTAACAGTAGAAAGGAGACGGGCTTCTGGGGAAAGGGACACATACGTGGATCCTCCGCCTTCTTCCTCCTCAGCTCCCTCAGCCGCGGCACCTGTGCCCCAATCTGTCCCCTACATTCCGCGAGCAACTCCGTCATACTCCCCAGCCCCTCCACCAGCCCCACATCCACCACGCTCTCCAACAGCTCGCGCCGCCCGTGCAGCCCAAGCACCCGCATCGCTTCGGCGAACCAGTAACCCCTGCAGAACAGCTTCGCCGCTGTCTCCACGTCGCGCAGGTAGTCGAGATGGATGGTGGCGGCTGCGAAGAAGTCTTTGGATTCTATGAGGCCGGTTGCGAGTGTTTGCGCGAGGGTTTGCAGCTCGATGGGAGGGAGAGGGACGAGAGTCGCGGAGGAGAGAGATTCGCGCCAGAGGTGGGCGGCGCGGTAGGCTGTGGTTGCGGAGGCGCGGTCATTCAGGTACTCGTATGCTGGGTTTTGTTAGCTGCCTACGAGGGGACGATGTGAGGGGAAGGGAGGGTTTGGGTAGGGAACCCACCGATGCCTGCTTCTTTGAACCTGTTGCGGCTGCTTAGGAAGTCTGCGTAAATTCTCATGACGCTGTCAAGGTGTCCTTGCTGGTATTTGTAGAGGTCGAGGGCCGCGGCGTATAATTCATGCTTCTGGACGTAGGACTGGAGCTCCTGTGTCGCCTCCAGCGAGTGTAGATGGGAGAGCGCTTTGGTGTGCCGCCCGAGATGGTCGTCGATGGTGAATTTGCGGCGCAAAAGAGGCATCTCTTGCAGGCTTTGCAGGTAAGGGAGGTATTCTCGGGGGTCCTTTTGTGACTGCTGGGCGATAAGGAGGGCGAGGTCAAGGTTGTAAAGACCGAGCGCGTGATCATAAAGCTGGTTGACGTCTGCCAGGAAGCAGATGTGTTCGGCGGCTGTTTCTGCCAGGTTGTCTTTTTGTTCTGTTCCCAGTCAGGTGCTGCGAGATATTACCTAGAAAACGACATTACTGACCCTGGAGTTTTCCAACCACTTCGAGACCGGAATCCAGATCTGGCGGAGATTTGCATACGTTGGCGGTAATGATGTTTTGCAAGTGCGTTGCGGTGCGGTCTTGCAGTACTCGCAGGAAGGCATCGCAGATGCGGTTGACTTTAGACATTGAATCTGGTATAGCAGGTTCTTTAACACCATTGACACCATTGACACCATTTGGAAGCGCAGGTTGATTGGTTCTCGATTTCAGCGTCTCCTTGTACATGGTCTGGGAGACGTCTTCCTCCCTGTGACAAGTGAGCAGAAGGCCGATCGATATTTCCAAGGAGATCGTACCTGAGCTGGGAGAGGAACAGGTCAATATGCTCTACTTTCCTGATCTGATTGACAAACAGCTGAACACTCTCCATGAACTGCTCCGGCGCATGATCGTGAAGGATATTCATGTCGACCCGCTGGTTACGACAGGCAAAGAAAGCCGTCTTATAATCCTTTGCGGCTATGCTTTTGCGGATGCCAGCCAGGACGAGAGCGCGCGGGTAGATCGTTTCGAGGTTCCCTCTCGGCATTTGCAAAGTGAGAGAATATGCGGTTGGCATAATAGTCACTAGCTTTGCACCACGCTCGATACTCCGACAGCGTTCGTCCTTCTCCGGCTCATCGAGCGGTATCTCTAGGTCTGCCACCAGTCATTAGCTCTCAGCGGACTCCGTCAAAATGCGAACTCGTACCTTCAACCGCAGTCAGATGCACAAATTTTAGAAGATGTTGCGTCGTAGTAAAAACCAGATGGGCCGGTGTGAGCAGGAACGAGGTGCAGTTCCGCACAAGAAGACGATCATTGGCATACAGCGCGCCACTAACAGTGAGGCCAAAAGCAATGTCCTGCAGCGTTACGTCAGCGTTTTCCTTTTGAATAAGGAAATCCCACCTACTCGATCGGCTTGATGTACTACCTCCGCCCAGGGGCAAGCGACAGGTAGTTTTGCAACGGTGATGGTCTTGAACTGAGCAATCCTTTCTTCGGTAACATCCGGGTTTAAGCTAGCGACAGACCCATCTTTTGCTTGTATGCAGATGCTCTGATAGTCTAGCGTCGGGAAGATAGCTACAGACTCCTGCAGTCCAATATCTTTATAGATGCCCTCACTATCCCCACCGGAAGAGAGATAGCACACAGAGTCTGGAATCGGACCGACTGAGCCCAGGAGAACGTAGACGTCCAAGTCCCTCGTGAAAGTTACCTGTCTGGGATGTCGGACAGAGGGAGGTAGAACAAGGTTGCGCTCGAGAACCGGTTCAGAAATAGGCTTGGAAATGAGATCATAGGCATATATGCACACTTGGTCTTCGTGCAACACAGCTATGCGGGTTCCAGAAAAGCTGATGGCAACATCGATTGCGTTCTGTGTCAGGTGCACTTCATGGCGAGCCATTGGAGGCGGTACATTTGCCAGCCGCAGCGGCGTGAGCTTCAGTAGTTCTGGAAAAGCGTTACCAAGACGACCTTTTCCACAGCAGTAATACATGTACTTACTGCCGTCTATTACCGCTACAGTTCCATAGTCATTAGGTGGAGAAGTTGGTCCAGCGGCAACGGCGAAAACATGGTCGAGCCTTTGCACAATATCTATGGACAATGTTAGCTTCTGAGTGAAGTGGTGGAGATGAGAGCAGCTCTTGGAATCCTCATACCGTGCGCTCCCATTGCCAGTTGTAACGGTTTCTCTGGGTGCCAGCAGATCGATGCGGGACTCAATGTTGCCTGTGCACTAAGCATCCTTATCTCCTGCTTGAGGTAATAGTGGTAGTTGCCCATGGTCCATAACTGCACACGGTCCGTGAAGCATACAGCGAGCACCGTCGAGTCATTGTTCCACTCTAGCGAGATACTACTCCCCCAGGTCTCGAGCTCTTCCGTAGAGAGCCGCAAGCTGAATTGACCGTGGCGTAAGCCGTTGCGCTCGAAGAAGACCACGTCGGCTCGATCCTGGAGCCGCTGTATGCCTGCCATTAAATTTCCTGCCGGCCTCCAGCTTAGGGCGCCCTCCAGGTAGTCGACCGGTTCAGTGACGCTATCAAGGACACCATCTCTTGAATACACACGGATCATACGACGCTTGCCGCTTTCAACGGCATTGACGGCTACGAAGGCACCATCTCCTCTCCAGCTGATAGTTACGCTGCCATCGTCTCTTGGACTCAGAACTCCTTCATCCACACGCTCGGGCATGGTGGGATCTCGAAGTGCTTTGGCCCTCTTTCCCCTGAATTGGGTCTCCGCTTTGCCCCAGCCGACAGAAACATGATTGGAAGCTTTGACATCGTCTTCAGAGAAGGTGATATTTGTGACATTCTCGAAGTCGCGAGTCATATAAAGAAAGGTGTTTGCCCGGGTACTTATAGCAAGCAGTTCCTCATCCGGCGACCATGCGGCTGCGGTGATGCCTGCGTCTACGGACCCGACAATCTCGATCAGATCCTCGCCGGGAAGAGGCTCTTCTCTGACTATTACTATGTCTCCGCCCGCTAAGACAAGACACGATGTGGAAGTATCGGGGAAGTATCGTAGACTGAGAACTTGATCATATGGTAAATCCGGATGGGGGCAGGGCGCGTCCCATGAAGCTATCAGGTGAAGCTCCTCTTTTTGTCTGGCGTCATGGTTGAGTCTCCGAAGTTCCAAAATGGGGCTGACTTCTGAAGGTCCAAGAGCGCAGATGAGAGAGTCAGATGAGGCATCCCATGCCGTGGCTGTCAAGGGCAGCTCTTCATTCGCGAAAGTCGTGATCGACCGGCGAACATTCCGCAGATTGCGCATTGCAGAATCCGGTCAACTTATTATCGTATAACTTGTATCATTTCTGCAGGCATGCGCTTGGTTTTCGTCGTCACTTTTGGGAATATAAATTTTTGCACAATTGATGTTCTGCCGAGCCGAGAGGTATCAGAGCCATCACCAGCTTAAGCTAGGTACGTAGGTACCTGGTTGAGATTCGTAAAACAACCGGTTCATGGCAACAAGTGACTTATACGATGGTAGCTTAAAATGCCAATTCCTTGTACATTTTATACATCTCAGTGCGAAGACTCCCCAGAAACCCTTCCTGCACTACCCCAACCGACTTCCACTTTGACGATTGCAGCGACTGTCCGTAGCTCTTACACGTTCTTCTTCATTTGCCAAACTGAACGAAGCATCGTGGTTAGTGACACGCCGGCGTATAGACGTATTCCACCTGATCTTACCTGCAATCCCAAAAGGCGCACCAAACCCAGCAGCTACGTGTACCGTTAGCCTTCGTCCAAGCTGCCCGGTCCTTGGTGAACGTACCCATGAATCCCCAGTACCTCAACCAAAAGAACCTTGTCAACGGATTGAAGGGCAGATTGCTGCGAGGGCCTTCAGGGTAGTGATATGGGCTGGACATGCGGGCGCGGGTGGCATGGAAGCCGCGGCGGGCAACGAGGGCCGTTGTGGTGGAGGTTCGGAGAGCGGGCAGCATCTGCAACCGTTTAGCTAGGCGTCTAAGCGTGCCAGGCGCTCGACATACGTTTGCGTGATTCCAATGATGTCTCCTAGAGTGTCAAGCTTGAGGTCTCAGAGTGACATACAATGAGGAAGCTCGGGGATGGCTTCGGGGGCACCTCGGAAGTAGCGGTCAGCGCGTCACGTAAGCCCGATTGGTGCCAAGCGCATGAATCTGCAACTTTTTTGTGTAGGAAAGAGCAGTGATCTAGAAGGTCCTGCAGACACCATACACGGCAAATCCCCGAAGCTCCTCCAGGCGGCAACATACACCAGCGGACTGACCATGGATGACCTATTCGATGTGTTCGAAGGCAAATCTCAGCCAACTCCAGAGAAAGACGCCAAAAAACGACAGAGGAGCAAGAAACGGCAGGCGAACGGCGATGTCAAGGAGACAAATGGCGGATCAGACGCTGCGCGAACCAACGGCGACTCTGCGATGCCGGATGCCGCGGCCGCTCTCCCTGAAGCTCCGACAGAGTCAACGAAGCCAGACGATGCTCAAGCGCAACCCGACGCAAAGCGACTACGGCGAGAGGCAGAACCGGAGCCTGTTGTAACCGACGCCTTTGAGACCGAGCAATCGAGGGAGGTCGCGGCGTCAGCAGGACTACAGGCCCAGAAAGAGGGCGCAGCTGTCGTGTTGTCACATCAGGTCAGGCATCAGGTCGCATTACCTCCGGACTACGACTACGTCCCCATATCGCAGCACAAGCCGCCAGAAAAGCCAGCGAGGGAGTGGCCGTTTACGCTGGATCCTTTTCAGCAGGTGTCAATCGCATCTATCGAGAGGAATGAGAGCGTACTCGTCTCGGCACACACTAGCGCGGGCAAGACAGTCGTGGCGGAGTATGCGATCGCACAGTGCTTGAAGAACAACCAGAGAGTCATCTATACGAGTCCGATTAAGGCGTTAAGCAATCAGAAATACCGGGAGTTCCATGAGGAGTTCGGCGACGTAGGTTTGATGACCGGCGATGTGACGATCAACCCGACGGCTACTTGCTTGGTCATGACTACTGAGGTATGCCCCCAAGATGAAAGCGTGTTCTGGACCGGCCGATTACTAACAGGAGCTTAGATTCTACGATCTATGCTGTACAGAGGTTCAGAGATCATGCGCGAGGTTGCGTGGGTAATATTTGACGAAGTCCACTACCTCCGAGATAAGTGTATGAAACCCCAAGGCTCTGTGTCGTTTGTGTGTGCTAACTTAGCCAGCTCGCGGTGTCGTCTGGGAGGAGACCATTATATTACTTCCCGACAAGGTGCACTATGTTTTCCTGTCCGCGACCATACCGAATGCGATGCAGTTCGCAGAATGGATTACCAAGACGCACAACCAGCCCTGTCACGTTGTCTACACTGACTTCAGGCCCACTCCGCTACAACACTACTTCTTCCCTGCCGGCGCAGACGGCATCCATCTGGTCGTAGACGAAAAAGGCAATTTCCGGGAGGAAAACTTCCAAAAGGCTATGGCGTCTATCGCAGAGAAGCAAGGAGACGACCCTGCTGATCCGAATGCTAAGAGGAAGGGCAAGGGCAAAGACAAGAGACTCAACAAAGGCGGCAACAAGGGCCCTTCAGATATCTACAAGATTGTGAAGATGATTATGATGAAGAACTATAACCCTGTCATCGTCTTTAGCTTCAGCAAGCGAGAATGCGAGAACCTGGCCCTCCAGATGAGTCAACTGGCATTCAATGACGAGTCGGAGAAGGCTATGGTGGGCAAGGTGTTCAACAGTGCTATCGAAATGCTCTCCGAAGAGGATAAGCAGCTACCGCAGATTCAGCACATTCTCCCGCTGCTACGGCGAGGCATCGGCGTACACCACTCTGGACTACTTCCAATCCTGAAAGAGACCATTGAGATCCTGTTTCAAGAAGGTCTTATCAAGGTTCTTTTCGCTACCGAGACGTTCTCCATCGGACTGAACATGCCTGTGAAGACTGTAGTATTTACTAGCGTGCGCAAATTCGACGGCATCACCCAGCGATGGGTAACACCATCGGAGTTCATTCAGATGTCCGGTCGCGCTGGTAGAAGAGGTCTTGATGAACGTGGGATTGTCATTATGATGATTGACGAGAAGATGGATCCCGCTATCGCGAAAGAGATCGTTCGCGGAGAACAGGACAAGCTCAACTCCGCCTTCTACCTTGGCTACAATATGATTCTGAATCTCATGAGGGTGGAGGGTATCTCACCCGAGTTCATGTTAGAGCGCTGCTTTTTCCAGTTTCAGAATACAGCCAGCGTGTCTGGGCTGGAGAAGGAGCTTCAAGAGTTAGAGGCTGAGCGGGCCAGTATTTCGATTCCGGACGAGGCCATTGTACGTGATTACTACGATCTGCGGCAACAACTCAACACCTACACGAAGGACATGCGGGACGTCATCACTCATCCTACGTATTGCTTGCAGTTCATGCAATCCGGCCGCCTAGTACGAATCAAGTACAAGGACTACGACTTCGGCTGGGGCGCAGTCGTCAACTTCACGCAGCGGAAGCCTGCCAAGGGGCAGTCCGCTTCGGAGATGACGCCACAGCAGACTTACGTGGTCGATGTGCTGCTCCAGGTTGCTGACGATTCGTCATTCGCCCCTCACGCAACGCAGGATCTCCCACCCGGAGTGCGACCGCCCGGGCCAGGGGAGAAAGGCAAGATGGAAGTCGTGCCAGTGCTGCTATCGTGTATTGACTCGATAGGACACCTGCGATTATTCCTACCGCCAGATCTCAAGTCAGTTGATCAGAGGAACGGCGTGCGAAAGGCTCTTGAAGAAGTCAAGAAGCGATTCCCGGATGGAATTGCAATTCTTGACCCGATCGAGAACATGGGCATCACGGATGATTCCTTCAAGAAGCTGTTAAGGAAGATTGAGGTTCTTGAGTCGCGGTTACTGTCCAACGCGCTCCACAACTCGCCAAGGCTGCCAGACCTCTATAACCAGTATGCGGCCAAAATAGAGCTGACAAACAAGATCAAGGACATCAAGAAGCGGATTTCAGAAGCCTTCTCAATTATGCAGCTCGATGAGCTGAAATGCCGGAAGCGAGTCCTACGGCGTTTGGGCTTCATCAACGAAGCGGATGTCGTTCAACTCAAGGCACGCGTCGCTTGCGAGATCAGCACAGGCGATGAGCTTGTGCTTAGCGAGCTCCTTTTCAACCGCTTCTTCAACGAGCTCACACCGGAGCAGTGCGCTGCCTGCTTAAGCTGCTTCATCTTCGAAGAGAAGAGCCAGGAGACTCCTGCTCTGAAAGAGGAGCTTGCCAAACCCTACCGGGAGATTCAAGCTCAGGCTCGCATCATCGCGAAGATATCTCAGGAGAGCAAGTTGCCCGTCAATGAAGATGACTACCTCCAGACCTTCAAGTACCAGTTGATGGAAGTCGTCTTCGCGTGGTCTAAGGGTGCTTCGTTCGCTCAGATTTGGTAAGCTCGGAGTGCTCATTTTTTCTTTGTTTTCAGATTTGCTAACTTTGTCACAGCAAAATGACGGACGTCTACGAAGGCAGTCTGATCCGCCTGTTCAGACGGTTAGAAGAGCTGCTCCGCCAAATGGCACAAGCGTCCAAGGTCATGGGTAGCGAAGACTTGGAGCAGAAGTTCGAAACTGCCCTTGAGAAGGTCAGGCGCGATCTTGTTGCTGCGCAGTCGTTATACTTGTAGAGGTAGTGCTTTCTTCCACATCACGCAGCGTTGGCTTCATGCCGCCAGGCTTCGGCCTCTCACGTAATGGCGTTCTCTCGTGGCGTTCCAGGATATGCAGCGATTTTATCAGAATGGCGCGCAGGTTCTAGCGGTATCTATGACGCTATATTGCTCCAAAGCCATGAAGCAGCCAGAGAGGGGGCATAAGGAAGCTTTTACCAGTCTGGATCGTCACATGTGTACATTTTCGAGTGAACAAGGTACGTTACTAGGCGCTGGAAGGGTGACGACTTAAGCCCAGACTATCCGTAAGTTACTTCGTCTGGTCTGTGAAGACTCATTGGGAAGGGCAAGAATATAATGGTCTGATGATCCTGAGTATAAAACTGTGCCTGTCTCATGCTTCGTACAATTTACATAGTGGTTCTTTATCTTCAGCCCTTTGACACGTCACATTGCTGCAGCAGTCTTTGTGAGTGTATACAATAGTGTTTGCACGCTTGTGCTGTGTTTTAGCGGGAATAGAGAGTTCAAACCGGTGAAAGCAACTGCCGCTTGCATTGTGACCACGGATCCTGTCACGTGACTGATGTCGGTACCGATTTGGTGACCTTTCCCGAGCTTCCGCATTCCACTTACTTTAACACACACTTCAACCAGCGGTGCCGACCCAGCCTGCGACAGCTCCCACATTGATTCAAACCGTGTTCCTGCAGCTTCTTAGCTTCGCAGCCATGAACGACATTATTGCCAGCCAGCCCTTTGCCGCCCCTCCCCATCTTCTCTCCAACAACAACCGTCGCTCACCCCCGCGGTCATGTGAGTATGCCCCAGAAGCCGCAGCACGCCGAAAGCACACTGACAGGGCGTTCGAACAGTCCCCAACAACGCCATGTCCGGGCGAAAACGAAAAGTGGAAGGGGAGGAAGAAATGTCAGCGTCGCCCTCGAGTTCGCCGTCGATGGCTCCCCGGACCATATCACAAGCTCCTATCTCACGCCACACCAAGCGTATGCGAACGAATCTGCATGGACGCCCGCTAGACCTCCCAAGACTCCTAGAAACACTCTCCCCGCAAGACCTCAGGAGTCTAGTTCGCTCCATCTGCGACCGACACCCTGAGATAGGAGCCGAGGTCGTATCGACCGCACCCAAACCAACCGTTGCATCCACGCTCGAGGTCCTGAGCAACTACCACAAGGCGCTCGACAAGTCATTCCCCTATGGCAACGATTCCAGATCCGAATACGCGTACAACCGGGTGCGGCAACCGCTTCTTGAGCTCGTTGACGCAATCAAGGACTTCACGCCGCACTTCCTGCCGCCCAACGAGACGCAGATCCCGAACATGTTCACGTACCTCGACGGCGCGACCGAAGCTGTACATTCGATCCCAGAGTTCAGCCACTACCAGCACAACCGCCACAAGCAGGAGATGTACGAGGAGTTGGCTAAGGCGTGGATGCTGGTGATCCGGGATATTGCGCGGCAGGGCGGTGGGATTAGGCTGTTGCAGCTTGATGGGTCGGATAGGACGCTGTTGCGACACAATGAGAAGTCCGGAGGGCGGTTTCAAGAGGTTCTGAACGAGCTGCGTGCGCATGTTGGATGGATGGCCGGGAACTCCGGATGCAGCCAGGGCGAGCAATCTATACAGGACCAGCTGCGGAACGGCACGTTTGGGCCGGGCCCTGCCTAAGCTGGGCATGAGACTCGGATGGAGCAGACTGCGTGGACGACAAGATACCCATAGAAGAGAGTGGACAGCTACACGGGTAGGGGTTGATATGCATTGGGACGGTATGATGGGGTTTCGGTTGGCGTATTAAGCCTAGTATTGGTAAGGCGTTCATATTTGTACGGCGCCCTCGGTTCGTAGGGTCAGCGTTTGTGTTTGCATCAGCGTTGGGGTTCTGTTTTTTCGGTGTGGTTCCCTGAGATGTCCTCCAATCTAGGGATGGCATTCTATCTATAGTCAGACCGACGCATCACGACAGAACAACACGAGTCCTCATAGAGGGACATTTCTCATTCACGAAGACATCGATGCACAGATTACGCCTCTAGCAAGTGATGCGTGTGCTTGAGCAAGGACATACTCGTAGGCTAGCTATGGACTGTTCAAGAAGGTCGTCTTCCCCTGAATATGAAAATTAAGCCGGTATAGGCCGCTGTCCTACGAATCTATCTCTCATAGATAGCACTTCACCGCAACGCTACCTCATGCTGTTCTCCTCCATCATGATTCTATGACGGCACGTGACCGAATCCCCATCAGACACAAGCTTTCGCACAAGCCTTTTGACGAGATCTGGATCCCTGTCACCGTTTGAGCCGGGGACCGGGAAGACGGCATCTATCACAATGAGATCACCTGTAGGAATTACTTAGGATCCGTGAATCCCGTCACTTCTGCATAACTTGATTGTCATCTTGACGTCGTCCGATCTCTCCCAGAGCCTTAACATGTCAAGTTCCTCTTATTTGTTGGGCGCAAGCTGTTGCAGACCTCCTTGATTAGGATTAATATCGGCAATGGACACCAAGAATCCGAACAAGAAATACAGAACAACGCCCGAGTACGCTGAGTATCAGCGTGAGAACTTCTGGGCAAGCAATGAGGGCAAAGTGCCTCCGTTCAATACTGGTGAGCTATTGTTGCGGGCTTTATGTTAGCCAAGCACTGCTGACGCTGTGGACCAGACCCGGCCAAGCTTGAGGAACTAGCAAAGGAGAGGCTGTCTCAGAATGGATGGTAAGCATCGTGTATCCTCCAATTCACACCGTCTATAGCTCATGCATGTGAGGCTTTATGCTTCCTCCAACGCAGGCCAGTCTTACACTCACACCGCCAATCGCCAGGCCTTCTACCGGCGCCGCATCATCCCACGCATGCTGGTAGACACCAACAAGCGAGACACCCGCGCCGAGATCTGGGGTCACAAGGTCTCCGCGCCCATCGGCTTCGCGCCCATCGGCATCAACAAGATATACCACCCCCAGGGCGAGCTGCCCGTGGCCAAAGTCGCCAAGGAGCTAAACCTGCCCTACTGCCTCAGCACCGCGGGTTCACAACCCATCGAAGCCGTGGCAGAGGCCAATGGCGAAGGCCCTCGCTTCTTCCAGCTGTACATGCCGCACGACGACGAACTCACCATCTCGCTGCTGACACGGGCGCACGACTCAGGCTTTTCGGCTTGCATCCTCACAGTCGATACGTGGCAGCTCGGCTGGCGGCACGACGATGTTCAGACGTCCAACTATGCGTTCTACCACGGCATCGGCGCCGATCTGGGGCTCTCGGATCCGGTGTTTCAGAAAAGACTGAGAGAGGATGGGATAGATCCCAAGACTATGCCGAATGAGGCCGGGGCGAAGTGGATTGATAATGTGTGGCATGGACGCGCGCATAGTTGGGAGAAGATCCCGTGGTTGATTAAGACGTGGAAGGAGATTTCGGGCGGGAAGCCGTTTGCGATCAAGGGGATCCAGGATGTGAGCGATGCCCAGAAGGCGGTGGAGGTGGGCGTTGATGGGATTGTGGTGAGCAACCATGCTGGACGGCAGGTTGATGGTGCTTGTGCTAGCTTGGACGCACTGGAGAGGATCGTTGATGGTAAGTCGAGCTCTTTCGATCAGTTGTATTATCCAGTTCGTCGGCTTGATCTGATATACTGCCCTCAGCCGTCGGCGACAAAACTTACATCATGTTCGACTCCGGCGTGCGCGGTGCGTCAGACGTCTTCAAGGCCCTTGCAATCGGCGCCAAGTTCGTCTTTGTCGGTCGACTCTGGGTTTGGGGTCTTTCCATCATGGGCGATCATGGTGTACGGCACGTGATGAAGAGCCTGCTGGCGGACTTTGACATCCTTCTCAACGTCGCTGGGTTCCAGAACATTGGGCAGATAGATCGATCTGCGCTGGAGGTGTATCCGCCGGGCTACCCCTTGCTCCCGCAGACATCGAAGTTGTAGTGGATAGCTGATGGGAAACGGGCGGAGATATCTCCATGAAGCTTCAGATTGTGTCATGTAGACGGTTGAATGCCTGATGTGAACTTCACCACGGAAGCCTGCTACTGCCTGGATGCGCTGGGTCTGAGAGCACTGATAGCACTGACATCGTCCTGTGTCTGCTGTCGCTCTTCGTTAGCCCTCAAGGGTAGCTGACCTGCCTACCTAGCCTGCCACGGGCGAAGCCGGAGTTGTAACATAGGGAAGCCTTAGCTGAGGCGCAGTCCTTTGTCACGGGAGATGGATGGTGTGCTCCAGACAGGGCGCAGTACGGCAATGGAGCCTGGCCGAGTCGACGCAGAGGATCTGAAGCGCCACGAGTAATCTGGCAGCCTTACAGGTGTCGTGCCAAAGCTGCGAGGTGTCCAGGCCGCTGGTGGCGCGGAACGGTCAGGGCACTTGACCCTTCCGACTTGCAAAACTCGGGCGATGAAGTCAGCAGCAGCGCCTGGGGAACCACCACACGACACTTTCTCGGTCCTTAGCCGGAGAACGCTCCTCCACCTGCAACTCTGTCTCCAACTCCTCCGCGCGCACCTCGCACTGCTTCGCAATTCCTGAGCTTCATCACACGACCTTGCTCCTCGCTGCTTCCAAGCCTGCTTCTCGTTTGTCCATTCCTCTAGCGCAGAACCCCACCAACACGTCGATACCCCGTAGCGAACCTTCCACACCTGCACACCCACTTCATCCCCCTCCTCCACAACCGACACCATGGGTCAGACGCTCTCTGAACCCGTAGTCGAGAAAGTGAGTTTGGCCGAGTTCTCCAGAGCCATTGAGGCTGCAGCCATTGTTCCACATACAGCGGCCGCTCAGTTCGGTCGTCTCTGACCGGACGAGAGGGCTTGTTAGCCCCCCTCATCCGGCGCCCACGTAGCAGCACACGAGCTAACCTGTGTCCACCAAAGAAATCCGACCACGGCCAAGATGATCGGGTCATCTACGGAGTCTCTTCGATGCAGGGGTGGCGCATCAGCATGGAGGACGCGCACGCCTGCATCCTCGACCTACAACCGCAAAACGGGAGCCAGCAGAAGCCAGCAGACGCGAATGTGCGACTGAGCTTCTTCGGCGTCTACGACGGCCACGGGGGGGACAAAGTAGCCATCTACACCGGGGAAAATCTGCACAAGATCATCGCCAAGCAAGACGCATTCAAGAGTGGCGACATAGAACAGGCTCTGAAGGATGGCTTCTTGGCAATCGATAGGGCCATCTTGAGCGGTGAATAGCAACCTCTCTTCGCCAGGCTGGCCGCGCGACCAAGGCTGACTCGTAGGTGCTAGACCCAAGGTACGAGGAAGAAGTCTCTGGTTGCACAGCATCAGTTGGCATCATAACAAAAGACAAGATATACGTCGTACGTTGAATCGAACCTAATCTCTCTTCTCCGGCTCGCGCTAATTGGAGACAGGCAAACGCGGGTGACTCGAGAAGCGTCCTGGGCATCAAAGGCAGAGCGAAGCCACTTTCTTTCGACCACAAGCCTCAGAACGAAGGTACAACCGCAGTCCGCATGCCTTGAGACGGCAAGCCAGCTGACATACGGCAGGCGAGAAAGCACGCATTTGCGCCGCTGGTGGCTTCGTCGACTTCGGTCGTGTCAATGGCAACTTGGCTCTTTCGCGCGCAATCGGCGACTTCGAGTTCAAGAAGAGCGCAGACCTGCCGCCCGAGCAGCAGATTGTCACCGCCTTCCCTGATGTCACTGTACACGATATCACGGATGATGACGAGTTCCTCGTTGTAGCTTGTGACGGTATGCTGATCACTGTCCCTTTCGGTAAACGTCTGCTGACATCAATCCAAGGCATCTGGGATTGTCAGTCCTCTCAAGCAGTCGTTGAGTTCGTCAGGCGCGGCATTGCCGCAAAGCAGGAACTACAGGCAATCTGCGAGAACATGATGGACAACTGTCTTGCGTCTAACAGCGACACCGGTGGCGTCGGGTGTGACAATATGACTATGGTTATTGTTGGTCTGCTGAAGGGCAAGACGAAGGACGAGTGGTACAAGGAGATCGCCGATAGGGTAGCGAACGGCGATGGCCCATGTGCTCCGCCAGAGTACGGCAAGTCTTGAATCTTCCATGGAACACACTAAATACCCTGTACTATACCGGTAGAACGAGTGCCTAACGTTTATCCTTTTTCACTGTAGCCGAGTTCCGAGGCCCAGGAATACATCACAGATATGATGACAGCCCTGAGGATTATGAGATGGATATGGACCACGGTTCGCGTCGCGGCATGAGTAACCGCGTCATCCTGCTTGGAAACGGCTCGGAGATCAACCACGACTCCGCCGACAGCGAGATGTTCGACCATGATGAGGAAGATAAGGACCTCAAGAGTCAGGTCAACAAGGGGGGTGCGGGTGACGATGACAGCGCATATGGAAGCGACAACCGGAGTCAGCGAGAAGGGACGCCTTCCAGGGACAGCAACGGCCAGAATCCCGTGTTTGGCCAGTCGGACTCGCCTTCCTCAACCGCTACAGACAGGTCGGAGGTGACTGAGCATCACAAACACCAGGCTGAGCAGGGTCTTAAGAATCAGCAGAGTGACAAGCACTCATCAACGCCTGCCGAACCAAAGATGATGGCAGCTACCGATGGCGCGGTGGACAGCATGAAGTAGCGGACACGACGAAGAGTCGGGCTTCTTGCAAAGATGGCTTGTGTGTCTATTACCGGGTAGACATAGAAATGAAATCATGGGTACACGAGCAGATACAGGAATGATCATGGATAGGAATACAGCAGCAGGCGGAGGATCCTAGGCTACCTCGTTATGATACCTGGCCGGCGGAATTACCACCGTGTCTGGTGCGGGTTTGTCATGCTTTTTGCTTTCCATTGCGTGCATTTTGCTAGGGTGCGGGTGCGGGTGCGGTACTCGTCTATTACATAGAGGTTCTCTTGTGAAGAGCGCTATAGCATTCGGAACTATTCTCATTTCATAAGTGTGCTCGACTTGAGACTTGTGCAGGGCCTCCCCAGTTTTCAGGCCTAGATGCTTGGCATGTTGTTCTTCGTTGGAAGCACGTGCTCAGCGTCTGCCACTCGCTGTGACGTGCTCCTTGCCCTTGAGCATCCCGTCTCAAGCAGGGAACGGAATTGTTGGCAGATCGCAACAGCCAGCCGGCTCCCCTAAACGGCGATCCTCTTTAACCTGCTACTGCAAAATATTTCACTAATTGCGAACCTGCCAACCCATTGTTCTTGTACCGGCTGGCCGAAGTTCAGGAGGCATCAAGGTACGGCTTCGCGCCCAAACATAACATTGAGCCTAACACAGCAGGAGGCAACTAATACGCTCCCGCCTCACTAGATACGCTTCTCCACAATCGATAGACACTTAGTAAATCCCAACACCTCAGCCATGCCTCCTAAGCGTAAACGAACAAACACCCTAACCGGCACCGAACCCACCATCAACGTCGCGCAGCCGTCCTCACGCGACGCCTCAGAAGAAGACGCCATGGACCCCATCCTACAGGAAGTGCTGGAGCAAAAGAAATCCGAGCCCTCAGACCCTCCTTCAAAGCGGACACGGAGCCACAGGCGCGACTCCGGCAGCAAGGCCGAGGACGCCAAAAACGAGTCCGAGGAAGCGATTGAGCATGGCGAGAATGGCGAGAGGGGGACCATGAGCATGGAGGCGCCGCCGAAAGCTGGGCTGGTTGACCCGGTCGGGTATCATACCAACCCGCCGCCGACCGACCGACCTGTGCGAATCTACTGCGATGGAGTGTTTGATCTGTTCCATCTTGGGTAGGCACTGGGCAGGCTCGCGATGCCATTGTTGACACATCTGCTGACTGGTACCCAGCCACATGCGCCAGCTCCAGCAAGCCAAAACTGCCTTCCCCGACGTCTACCTCCTCGCCGGCGTGACCGGCGACAAGGAAACGCACAGGCGAAAAGGCCTCACCGTGCTCTCAGCCAAAGAGCGCGCCGAGAGCGTCCGACACTGCAAATGGGTCGACGAAGTGATCGAAGACTGCCCCTGGATCATTGCCGACGCGCCCGAATTCATCGAGCAGCACAAAATCGACTACGTCGCGCACGACGACATCCCCTACGGCGCGGACGAAGGCGACGACATCTACGCGCCCATCAAAAAGGCGGGCAAGTTCCTCGTTACGCAGAGGACCGAGGGCGTTAGCACCACGGGCATCATCACGAAGATCGTCCGCGATTATGATAAGTATATCTCGCGCCAGCTGAACAGGGGTACCAGCCGCCAGGAACTCAATGTCTCGTGGTTGAAGAAGAATGAGCTGGAGCTTAAGCGCAGCATGGCTGAGCTGCGCGATAATATTAAGAATAACTGGACGGCGACTGGACAGGAGCTGGGAAAGGAGCTGAGGCAGTTCTGGCAAGGCAGTCGGCAGGCCAGTCCGGCGGGATCGATCCGCGGTACCTCGAACTCACCCAAGAGGGATGCGCTCTCATCGCCATCGGTGGTGGCGCGCTTGGGCCATCTTGATGTGCCGAAAACGGGTCATGGTAATGGCGGGCCCTCTTCGGACTTTGCTGCTGGATACAGCCTTGGGTTGCTGGGTGGTGTGCGGTCTTGGGTCAGTACTCGTATAGGAGACAGAGGTGCGCGCTTTCTGACAGTCCTGCAGATGACTCGCAGCCGGCGCAATTTGAACGACAGCCGACCCCAAAGTCCCAACAGCAGTGAAGACGGTTCAGACGATCACAAAGACTCTGCAGACGTGCCAAGAGGGCGACGAGGCAAGAACATCCAGGACGAGGTCGATGCCCAAGTTGTGGAGGAGATGGACACGCGACGGTGATGCAGTGGAGAACTTTTAACCAGCATAATCAATGGCCGTGCACCTTGGTGAAGGACCCTAAATTTCCTTGACTCTCTTCAACCTATGGTTTACTCTTCCTGCATAACACTTTTTGCGAGTTTTGTGATCGTTGAGCCAAACTACTTAGCCTCGTGCCGCGGTGCGGCCCTACCGGCAAACGGCAGGACGGCGAGATCACGCATCTCTCACCTAGAAAAACAAAGACTACCTTTCATCACCAACACCTCTTTGACAGCAAGTGTCTCGCTTTGCAAATGTCATGGCGTCTCTCAGTCTCACTACTAAGGGAAGCGGCCTAAGCGTCAAAGTTGGCAAGCTGTAAACCTACGTTTGTACGCTAGACTGTCATGTGCGCTGCCGTATTAGCTCGCTTGTACTTTATCCCTAGTCGGTGACCTGAAGTTGTGGCTGCAATTCGCTTTGTAGGGTGCATGACTTGCTATGGCGGCTGTCCAGCTCTGCATCACGTTGTTGATAGACTACGGGAGTGAGAAAGATGTCGAGCAAACCAGATAAGTCTTCTTCCATGCGCGTCGTCTTACCGTCCACGCATGTCAACTACACTAGTCCCACGACTCTACGACATTGCCAATCGCTTCTGAGCCATACACCGGCGCTCAGCATCCTGGGCCCCCTTTCAGCCTCACAGTCAGTCAACAATATTCTTAACAAGAGCATCAACGGTCATCTTCGTCATCTCTGTCCTCGGTGTCCATCTTCATCGCCCTAGCCATTCGGATCTACCGAGATACTCCCACTTCCACCCTACCCCGGAAATGTGCAACCTCATCTACTCCCGGCCCACCTGCCCCTGCCCGCCCTATCCTTCTTCGCCATACACAGTTCTTTGTGCAGAAGCGAGACAGAGGAGCCCGATCATGGCGTGTCTGCCCGGCTGTAGGAGGGTGGTTTGGAAGCCTGTGGGCATGTGTCCTGTGTGTGTGGGGTTGGAGAGGGAGGGAAGGGGGAGGGGGCGGAGGGGGAGTGGGAAGGGTGTTTGAGGGGCGGGTCTCTGGAGGAGAGGGGAGGATGATTAGGGGGTTTTTGGGAGACGGGCAGTGGAATGGGAGGAAGGTCTGGTGTTTTTAACTCCCGCGTTCGTCTTCACCTCCACTTTCCGAGGGCTGTGGCTGTAAAGGGAGAGAGAGGCAACGACGGGAATGGTGGACCCAGGAGCGATCCATATAGAAAGAGAACCTGGAAGTACTGTTGATGGGAAGAGGGGCAAGTGAGGGATACGCGTGCGCAGTTTCAGCAAAGTGTGAGATGGTTGAAGGGATTTGGAGGGAACAATAGAGGGGGAAGTTGGTGTTCGTGCAATACCTGAAAGCAAAAGGAATACAATCTTAATCTAATTGGGGTATGAGTGTATGAATGTAACGCATCCTCTGCTCCGACCCTCTCCCGGAAGCTATTCCTGGCGAGGCATCTTGCTTGAGTAGCGTACCAGGTGTTCACCATTTGTTGCCTGCTGCGATCTTGGCCGGCCTTCCAGTGTCAACTTTGCCTAATTCAAGTGACGCGAATTCAACCTTATGTAGCCCCGAGATTGTCCGCTAAATGCCTTACTGCTGCCTACGACGCCTCACAATCTTGCATATATAGTCTTGGTGTGCTCGCGCTCACCTCAATCTGTCCCATGATCCTCGCACTAAAAGCAACAGTCTGCAAGCTATAAAGAACGCCTCCCTCGATTCGCTGCACTGGACCACCGCTTCGTCCCACAGCGTTCTTGGACTCCGCTCATGTCCAAGACGTTTGATCTCACCACCAAAGCTTGACACTCTACTTAAAGGTTGGAAGATCCACTCCTGCCAGAGAGGCAGCCAACCACCGACACGGCGTGTCACGTCCCACAGATCACCGCACACGACTTACGCGTTAGACACTTCTGTCCTCGCCAAGACGGCGGTTTGCACTGCATGCTCGTTCCTGTCCGTCATCATGATGGTACAGATCGCCTGCGAAGTCCGTCCAGGAGACTCCTGTCAAGTTCGAAGAACGGAGACGACCCGAGGAACGGAAAGCTTTCTGCCCGGTTGTTATACTCCTACTCCATCGGCTCTCCAGCTCATTCCGCGGAAAAGGTTGAAGCTGTGGGGAAGCGATTCAACAACGGAACGCATAGTCAGCATCATCACACTACGCCCGACTCCGGAATCTGTCCTTGTTCAGGGCGTTCGAAGCAAGAGCATGGTCATTTCAGCGAGTATTCAAAATGAGGCTGCTTAGCGCTGGGTGCGACAGGCAGACAAGGCGAACACGCCATGCGCGTTGATGATCTCGCTTCCACCAGGGACACCCGCTTCTTTCCGCTTCGCATGGAGCGACCTCTCGAGGCTCCAATAACGTGACCTCATTCATCGTTGTGCATCTTCGACACTCTAGTGGTGCACTGTAGACGCTTCACGATCCACCTTTTCTCAGGATTCACAACGTCTGGCGAGGCTGGCAGATAGATGACCGTTGAGGATTCGATGCGGTGAGGAATGAGGGTTGAGCTATGACGGCGCCAGCGATAGGGCTCAAGATGAGGCGCAATCTCTTACGATTCAACGGCCTTCTGGCCTTGGAAACGATGTCAGCCCTCTCCGACCGCCTTTCGGGGGATTGAAGCCGTCACGCCTAACGTATTCATTGGGGATGGACGTGTTGATCTAGGAAAGGGCGGGATAGCATTGGAAATAGTCAATGCCTTGCATTGCACGATTCAAATTCCTCATATCTCCCTTCTATTCGGGAACATTAGTTCGCTTGTCACCAATCACGAAATTGTCATTTGTGTCCATAGTTGTTTTACCACTTCAGTCTGTTGGTCATATTTCGGAGCTCTGGCCGCAAACGTCAAGTCCAGTGATGCTCTATCACTGCGTTGTTCTTTGACAGTCTTTACCTCGTGATGTGTCTGCGACACCATTGCTAAGAAACTCACTATACAACAACTCAAAGTCGGCGAGACGCTACTAGAACCTAACAGAGGTACACAACCTTTCCTACATTCACATGGACCAGAAAGCGTGCTTGTCTGACTCGGGCGCCATTTGAGTGAACGCATTGCATAGGGTTTTGCGGCTGGTAGTTCATGCAGGTATCCGTGGTGCTATCAAACATGGCATCGACACGTCCTTCAGCTCTTATTCCCGTGTGCGCATCAAGCTGACGTTGGTCTTGTATGGTTTGAATGTCGCTAATATGTTTCACCCTTTCAGACGCTTTGGCGCATCCTCCCCGGAGCCTCAAACGATAAATTGGGCATATCACGTCTACTCCTGCAGCCCCTAGCAAGTGCTGGACGCATGCGATCACCTCGGCGTACTCGGAATCGCTCGCAACCGCTTGCGCCGATAACTTCTCGGCAACCTTCAACAACTGCCAACTGCTGCGACAGCAAGAGAGGGATTCAGTTCGAGAGAGGATGCATCCTCAGACGCAGAACCAATCCGCCCACGGTGGCTCGAGCTGTCCTGGTCCCTCCGCTTTCGATCGTTCTGCAAACACTGCAGCTCAAGAGGTATCAGGGAGGGGTGGGAAGGAACAGACGGAAACGTACCGAAACGCCTACAGCGACGCAGAAGGAAGGCGAGGATGTGGGAAAGAACAGATGCAACTGTCTGACACTGGATGCCGGACAAGGGCCTCTGAACATCTACAAAACCACAACGCGCCGCCAGCGGAAGAAGCAAATCAGGAAATGGAGCAACCATCACGAGCACGCCTGCTTGACAGAGTCTTCGAAATGATTGAAGGGGTGGAATATCCTGGGATGTCAAGGATGGCCCAGTGTTTCTACAGCGCTGCACGCTTCCCTCCGATCACTAAACAGTCCTTGAGTGAGCTGGACATTGGCTCGATTCTCAGTAACCCAAAGTTACGCCACGACGTGAATTTCGACCGGGAACTGCACTTCCGGCCTAACCTTGACGGCGCGAAGGGCCGTTCAAAGATCAAAACAGCCGAAGAGTACTGGGACGCGCTTGTTGCAGAGCTTGAGCTTTACAACCGCTTCGCTCAGAACACCGCACTAGAGGGTTACAACGAGCAAGCGTGGGCTCCCTTCATCAAGGCCAGTCAAGTCAGGATCCCTTTGATGTTCGAAACGATTAGGGATATCCTCAAAAATCTCCTACCGGAGCGCGAGCACACAAGCATTGACGAACACCTCGATGTGCCCATGCTGATGCAGGAGATCGAGAAGGGTGTTTGCGACCTCCTGAGCATATCGCGATGGCTAGCTCAGGTTCTCAAGGCCCACTGCGCCCCCATGCGTGACGCGTGGGTGGACAAAATGGTGAAGCAGACTGAGATAGGCGTAGAGACCTGCAGCATGAGGTCTATCGTATACGGACTCCGGGAGCTTCTCGGCATCCTTGAAGCGATGAAGCTTGTGGGTAACGTTCTGATCCTGTCACGACCGGTGCACTAACGCGTTTAGGATGTGGCGAACCATCAGATCAGGCATTTGCGCGCAATGCTGATCGAAGCTACAATCAAATACGAGCAGGAATCCCATCTGTCACGGATTGAGTGCAGTCGTATGAGTGTAGAGAGCTCGCAAGAGTGGTACCTACAGGAGAAATCGCTCAACAGTGGCGCCCTGCCAGCACCACCGTCCAAGAATGAGAGCCAAGAACAACTGGCGGCATTTGTTTGTGGAGTGTTAAGGAAGCTTGTAGCAGACCCGCGAGAACCATTCCCTGAAACGTTCTATCTTGACTTTGATCGCCTGCGCTCAATACGTACCGAACTTCAAGACCTGATCCACTTCGAGATCTGCTCAGAAGTTTTCAACTCGCTTGCCGAACGACTTCGTTGCAGAACGGTCGGTGTGGATACGCGCCAGCTACTTCGGGATGTTCTCTTTGCCATCACCGGTTTTCACGGCAGTAGAGAAGTTAGCCAGCGTTGGACGATGGCCATCGGCAATATTGCCGTGGAGCTGGTGCGGCAAGCACTTCAACTCGCATGCTCGTCTCGGGTTTACGACTCAGGTCTCGTGCAAAAGGTGGAAGAGGAGTTACGATATGCGCTCAACCCACTATGCTACGCCCGACACGCCGCGGCTTTGGAGTCGTCCTTAGTACAACACGTCTTGAACGGCGCTGTTGCGCACATCAGTTCCTCCCCCATTGAGATCTTCAACGCCTTCGTCGCGCCCACTGGTTCACAAACTCTGCCGTCACCATCACCACCACCGTCGTATCACGGTAATGCTGCCATAGTTCCCCCGGTGCAGCGTTCGTTGCCCCGGGTCGACGCCATGACCGATCTTACGCGACGCATCACCCATATCGCCATTCTCCACTGGCGCATCTGGAGCCCTCTTGTGTACTTGAACAAAGACGTCAAGATCGACTGGTCTTTACGTCTTACGCCTTGCACAACACCTCAGCCCGCGCAGATTTTCCACGCACCAACACCGCCTCCGTCGCAAACCATACGCAGTACTGGAGACATATCGACTGCTAGTACGTCGGTTGAGCAAAGGGTCAAGAGTTTATCATCTTCGCCAGAACCCGAAACAGGACAGCCAACCGAACAGCATGATCCTTCTGAAACTGCATCGCTTGCGTACCGCAACCTGCCCCGATGACGCACAAAAAAGATTCAAAATCTACCTGGAGACTTTTTCAGCACAGCAAAGTCTTATCTGTTGCTCCACCGATTCGCCTTTCCATATGACTACTCTCTATGCATTGTTTGCGTGCGAACCTTAGTTCTATCTCTGCAGCTAACCTGTTCATCGAGCAATACGTGAGATCCATTAGCGTGGCGTTGTCTTCTATACTGGGGTTTGGAGCACATGGGACTTGGAGGTTTAGCATTTTTGAGGGATGAGACGCAGTTTGGGCGATCTTTGGATGGTTGCGTCGTTTGGGGAACTCAGTATTTACGAGGCATATGGCTCTACAAAAGCCGGTACAGAGGTTTTTAGCTGTCTTCTCGTTCCGTCGGTACACCTGATCTTTTCAGTCCTCCCAGCGGCTTAGATCATCTAATCCTAGACGTTCGGTTTGTTCGAGGCAACTTTGAGTTGCCTTTTGCTAGATTTCATGCTTGCCCACCCCACCAGCCTGAGAGGGCGTGTTGATGTTCCCTTGACTCGATGCAGGCGGCTATCGCAGCGAGAGTTGCGGTCCCGCTGGCCTTGCGAAGCGCGTAAAATCGTCAGCTTCCTCGTCCGAGGACTGCTTCCCAGAAGCTATGAAAGGTTCTGGAGCGATCTAGCCCTGAGAATGATGGCTTGTTTGCCATGTTACGGCCACGCTCATCCATTAAGCGTCCAGACCTTGACCTCGCCATCATCCCCGGTGCTGACGATAACCTCTTCTCCACTGCTCCGCTTACCTTTGTCACACCTCCGAGCCCAGCACACGTGGTTGACTTCAAAGACACCATGTGCCCCTTCGATCTCGGCTACGACAACCCATTCGGTCAGCGGTTTGTCTTTCCAGCTCTCCTCCGGTGTAAGTGGTGTCCCGTCTGTCGTATCCATGGCTTCTCCGTTGACTTCGCTCGTTGCGGACGGGCCCCCCGTGTCTGATGTACCACTTTTCCAGCGTTCCTGATAGACCACGATCTTGCCATCGCTGCCTGTGCTCGCAATAAGCCCTGTCTTCTTACTCCACGCGGCCGTGTAAATCGCTCTTCCATGCGCTTTCGGCAGCTGCGATTCCTCCACCCACTCCTCCTCAATGCTGCTAGTGCGCAATATGCTCGGGACACCATTCGGTCCCCTAGAACTCTCACCCCTCGCCTTCGGTATCCTTCTCCAGATCCTAATAGTCAAATCATCTGAACAAGACACCAGCCTCGGCCCCGCCCTCTCTCTCTCCTCCAACAACGCCCTCTGCCCCTCCCTCAGCCCTTCTCCCGCGAACATCCCGCCCGCCCCCAACATATCCGCCCCCTCAAACTCGACCCACCACACCGTGCCCCCATGCCCACTAAGCAGCGCGCACTGTCCCCAATCATCCAGATCCTCGCGCCACAGCCTCACCGTGTCATCATAGCTGGCGCTGGCGAGCAGCTCCTCATTAGGGTGCCAAGCCACGCACTTGACATCCCCCTCATGCTCCTGGAGCACAGCCACCGTCTCAAAGTTGTCGTCTTCCAGCTCCTCCCAGATCCAGACGCTCTTGTCGCGGCTGCAGGTCGCGAGGAGGTTTCCTCCGGGCGAGAAGGCGAGGGATTTGATCTCCGACTCGTGGCCGTCGAGCAGGACACTGAAGGTGTAGTCTTCATCGCCATCTGCATCGCCATCTTCCCCATCCTCTCCCTTCCCATCAGTATAATCCTCTTCGTCTCGCACCACCCCTCCCTCGGCCCCGGCGTTCCTCTCGTACTTCCGCCATATCCCCGCCGACGCGTCGAAGCTTCCCGTCGCGAGCACAGACTCTCCTCGCGTGCCGGGTTTCCAGGCCACGCTGCGGATCGAGCGCTTGTGGCCGCCGGAGACGACGGAGAGCAGTGTGAAGGAGGTGAGGGAGTAGATGCGGACGGTCTTATCCGAACAGGCGGTCGCGACCATGGGGAGCTGCGGGTGCGGGGACGTCATCCATGTGCGGCTTGTGCTGGGGGGATGGAGGGTTGCGAGGGGTGTGAGCTCGCGCGGTGGAGGGGCGCTTGTGGACATTGTGGTGGTACAGCTGGAAGGATTGGAGGCAGTCGAAGATGTAGATGGGGCGTGCTGGCTGCTGCTCCAAACTAAAGCTGTTCTTGAAGCAATTGGTGCTTGTTGGCAATAGAGGGCGGTGCCGTGGTATTGTATGTGGGCGTGCAGGATATCTTTTTATCGAGATGTATGTCATCGCGCGGAAAGCCCGACATTTACCCGCTGAATCATCATGGACAGGGGTTGAATATCAGAGATATCAGCACACGGCGAATGCGAATGGTACAATCTATAAGAATGACGAAGCTGAAGGTGTGAACACCGTGCTATACCATTGACGCTATAGTACATTTTACCGTTATATATCCAGGGTATCATATTGCCGAGATGTCTGTGAAACCTCCCTGTAAAACCAGCACAACCGTACGCCATGCCACGAGCTTTTTCCAAATGACTACGCAAAAACAACATCGACCATTTTCAAGCTAGCTGATGCTGCAACCGTTACGAGCAAGCCGCCTCCTGAAGCGCAGGAGAAGCAACACTACCAGTCCCGGGCGTGCAAGTCTCCGAGAACGTTCTGTCGCGTGCAAGCAAAGAACCTAGATCAACATAAAAGAAGTGAGATCGTGATGATACACAGTAAGCGGCGTTGCTGCTTTCTAGGGTCGCTGCCACCTAGCACTCGTGATGCTGAACAGCTTGTCCGCAAAAATCGGCATCTCAGTCGCGGCGACACCAGCCTCGGTCTTGGTGCCTAGGTCGCGTAGCTCGATCCGGGAGTCCTCCTTGGTGCCGGCGTCGACGGTAACGTCCTGGCTGACCATGATGCCGCCGAACCCGTGGCCGCCGTCCCCATCGTGGTGGCTCCGTGTCTCGACGAGCTCTGTTTCGGAGATGTTGTCCGGCTTGAAGTTGTTGCCCGCGCCGAAGCTGCGCGTCTTTGAGGAGAACGGCCAGAATCTGGTCATTCTTGGATTCGGCTGATTGGCAAGGCTGTCCCTACGCGATGAGCTGAAGGAGTCGTTTTCCTTCTGCTGCGCCAGAACATTGCCAAACTCTGTATAGATCTTGCGTGCAAGAACGCCGTGGTCAGGCGAAGCCTTGTGGCAGCGTTGTTGACACTTGAAGAAACTCCAGGGCAGGTACACCAAGCTAGATGTCGAACGAATCGAGGCTGTATGGACATCCGGAATAACGCAGAAGGCCATCAGGGTGGCTCTGTTGGTGGAGGCGTTGGAGCCTTGGCTATAAATCTCTACAGGCGTAGCGGAGAACACGGCCTGACGGAAGAAAGGCTCAGGAATGACCTGCGTCAGCGCCAAGGTCTGTTGATGAACAGACCGGATGAATGCTTTTTCGATATCGACTTGCGAGTCAGAGCCCACGGAGCTCAGCCGCTGTATGCATTGATTAATTGTCAACCCATCGAGACCGTTCATGACTTGGAGTTGCCACGGCTGCAACGGCCTATCCGACAGAAGCACTTTCGGTAATTGACTCGGGTAATCTTTCAATACAAGAACGTCCCAATTGCCGTTGGACGTCTTGACGGCCGGTTTTAAAGCGAAACAAGCCAGGTAGGTCCCCGGTGCCGGAGAAGCCTCCTCAGATCGTTGAGTGAATGTTCTCAGGCCGTTGACAGTTACTGCAAGCTCAGCACGAGGGACCTGCATGGCACGCGCCATGATATCGCCCACCTGTTCCATGCTCGCAAAACGGTAGCCGCTGGACATGAGCCTGCCGGCCTCTATGCGATCCACACGGCGAACCACAAAAAGAAGTTGACCTCTTCCAAAGAGTGCTGGAACTTTGATGCCAGATTCCATGTCGGCGGCAGCGGAGTCTTTAGGGGTACGCCGCATCATACCGCCTCTGAATTCAGCTTTGAGAGTGCCGGTCATCATGATCTGGTCGTAGAGTATTCCCATTCTCTGCAACGGAGTGTGCACGTGATCCGCGAGCTCTGCGGCAGCCACGCAGAAATGCTCGCGGAAGATCAGGGAATAGTCACCGTCGCTACTATAGTCCTCGAAACCGGAGCGGGAATCGTGGCTTCCAGGCAGCGATGAGTCCTTTAGGCTTCCGATAGAGCGGAGATGGTTGCGCATCGCAGGAATGAGTTCAGTCACACTCTGCCAATGATTGCTCACCCGGTAGATCCACTGGAAAACGGGATGTGCGATGTTGAATTCGTCATCGAAAGACTGTTGTATCTCAATAGTTAGTTTCGTGTATGCTAGCGGGGTGATGCTCAAATCTTACACGCTGGTTGAATTGTCGCGTAATCTCCTTCGTGGGAAGGAGACCCTCGTTAGTCACCAAGAGCCTGCCGTCTGGATCGAAAGTAGCCGCTGCCAATACAACATGTTGAGCTCTGTCCGCAAGCTGCTTGTGGCGGCGCTGAATAAACCAAATGATGACGAACATGACTAGGCAAGCAACGAGACACTTTAGGGGTCAGCATTTATGCAATATCCAGAAGTGCACTGTGACTCACCATTGAGATAGCGATGATAAGGTTAGTGTTCCTGTGTTGACCATTGCCGGTGTGGTAGCTTTTAAGTGTATAGGTTGTCCCGACGGTAGCCGTCCAATGCATGCCGGATACAGCTCCGGCAAGCACGCAAGCGCATAGCGCTCTTCTCCACCAGCTATTGATCCAGTGCTCTTTCCAGTGGAAGAATACGGTCAACGCAACCCAGCAAGCGACGACGGCTATAGCGGCAGCGCCAACGATGTAGCCTGTGTTGTTGGCTAAGCTGTAGTTCCGCGTGCCAAAGTTGCCGACGTAATGCATGCCTGTGATGGCCAGACCAGCCGCAGTACCGGATCCCACTAGAGACGAGTACATTGCCGTCTTCGATCGATTGAAGCGCTCGGCCAGGGCAAAGCCGAAGAACAAGAAGATGATGGGTAGGAATACCGACAGAGCGGTGAAGCTCGGGTTGTAGTAGAGCTGAATCTCCTGGCAACCATCGCCGAGGATAATGGCGCGGTTTCCTACGAAATGCATGCACCAGATTGCGACCAGACCGAAGGAGACGGAACATGCCGCTAATTGCAGCCTGAAGATGGAGGATCAGCTGACTTTCTCGAATACAAGATGCGAATACGGCAAGGGAGCGAGTTGGATGTACATACCAGCTAAGCCATCCGCCACCTGTCTTTCGTCTGTGTAGTAGTTCTACTGTGGTGACAGAACCGACAAGGCTGACGATATACGAGACGATAATGAGGCCGGGTAGCATATGGAATGGCACTACATCGCCAACCTTGAAGGTCGTGGTGATCGGGTCCGGCATAGCGGAGTTTTACTCGAGGAGCCTCACAGCTAGACAGCCTGCGTGATGACCTCGGCCGCAGTGATGATGGAGGCCTTCCGATGGCGGCCGCGATAGCTGGTGTGAGTGGATGAGAGTGCACGCCGTTTGGAGTGGGCCTTCACTAAAGCTCGCGGTGTCCCACAACAAACTGGTGATGGCGGGGGCGGCGGCGCCGGTGGATGGCGTTCGAGGGTTGCGAACAGCCTAGTGGTCGAGGTATGGCGTCGAACAACTAACTTAGCGAAGCCGTATATAAACCAGAAGGCGCTTCTTGTACTGAGGGTGAGGGTGTTCTCTTCGGCCAAGTACTTCACTCGCTTGCGCGCCGGCCAAGCTGAAGGCTCAATGGCTGTTCGTATCCCCAACAGCGAAGGTGAAGACCTGCGCGAGGTGACGATGTCCACGTCAGAGGCGTTTTCTGGTAAGGCGCGCAAAGAAATATATGGCGCTTAAGATGTCGTGGAGCACTTCCAATGCTTCACATGCGCGTTCGGCGGAAAGAGCGAGGTATTAGGACTCGAGGTTTGTCGTAGGTTGATGTCGTACTGGGGCGAATGTCCGTGAAATCTCATGCAAGAGCAGCGCGGGCGCCCACCTCTATTCGTCTTCAAGTTCCCCCTTACACCGCAGAACGAAAGGCAGTCAATTTCGACAGCAGGACTGGTTCAGATCAGGAGCACGACAGGAGCAGATGCTGTGCAATACATATTCCTCGGCCCTGAGCGGCAGAGCCCTGTAACTCGCATGTGCGGTGAATTTCAGCCCTTGCGTCCAGCCGTCGCAGTCCCCCGCTAGAGAACAACCCAGAGACTAGCTCAGCGCCCGGCTCTTGCATTTATCGAAGCCAATTTAGCGTTCCAGCGCGAGGGAAGTTGATCGCTGACGGTCTTCGGCCGGGGGGACCTGCCAGTGATCCTTGGAGCGCCTTCCGGCGCGCCTTTCCCACGGTCTGGATGCTGTCAGTCGTTCACTCAAGCATTGGCTAGAATGGTCAAGCCATGACCGAACGGAGTCCTTGGGCGGATGCGGGAGGCCCGCCTGAAGGATTCCTTCGGACTGGGGTTCCTCGGCGGCAGGATGCGAGGGATGATCTTCACAGTATTCACAATCATCGCAGAAGGGAAATATCAGACATAGGCAGGCGCCCTTCGCTCGAAGACTTGTTTCAGACAGGATCCGCTGTTGTGGTCGCTTCGGATCTGCGAGATCCTTTCCCGTACGCTGTTCACCACTCTCCGGGTCGACCAGACGGCTGCCGGCAGGCAGACCAGGAGGAAGAACAGCCGAAGCCTGCCACTGCCAATGCTTGGCTGGGGGGACTGTTGCGACATCGCGGTAGGGAAAGTTCGAAGGCGGGAACGACTGACAAATGACACAAAGACAACGCGCCACAGCTGCCTGTCGCTGCAGCTAAATCGACGGCTCGAGTCAAAAATCCCCGCCAAATAGATGCGTTACGCCAATAAATCAACGTTTCAATGAGCTCCGTGCCAAAACTCCGCATGTCAGACTGAGGTCTGCGGGTTACACAGCTGTAGCGACCGGCAAGCCACTGTCACACTTAATCGAGTCCTTCAGCAACTTGGTCAATTGTGGACCGCTTCAGCCTGTTGCAGTGGCATTGTGAAGACCGGAAGCGGTCCTGACAGGATTTGCCGGCCAGAGCTTGGTCTGCCATGCCGTCCCCCCAGTGCCCGCGCGGTTTTCAACCTTGGTTCGCAACAAACTTTCACGAAAGAGCTCGCCCGCGCTGACTTCGTAGGTGAGAAATACTATTGACACTTTGGAGGTCTTTCAGTACCTAGGTACGTAAGATTTGTCAATTACACTGACTCAATTCTTGTTTGAGTCGGTATCGTCGATAAACCCCGTCTTCTGGCTGTACCTTTGAAGAGCTTGAGTACAGCCGCATCCGCCGTTGGACGATATGGGGCCGATTCCAGACCCCCTGCACAAGCCACCCTTTGCCCTGTCAGGAGCGGTGCTGATAAGCTTCCAAGCTCAGCAATGCCAGGAGCTTGTGCATGCAGTACTCAGCATCACGCTCGGTACAAGCACATCACATTCAATGCAGTGCCCAGGTACTCGGCACCAGGCTATCAACTCAGATGCCAGCCTACATTATCACAAAGCGGATACCTTACTCTTGGCGCCCTCGGAACTTACTGTTACGCCTCCATCTCACCGCCGGTGGTTAGTGTCCGTTATTGCAGGGTATGCACACTGCTGGAACACGATCTAATAGGTTACAGAAGCGCGTTGCCCCATTTCTGATCAATGAATGGGCTGGATACGGAACAAAACGTACAACGGACCACCTGCAGACGAGCAGGGTACCCACCGGATGTGCAAAGGAGGTGTAGCCCCAGGGGCATCCTCGAGGCGGCTTTATTGACCGTGCATCACGCTTTGCCCAAACCGCTTGCTCGGTGCAGGTCTTTGCGCTAGTTGTTCTCCTTCCCCGTTAATTCACATCATCCGTGCGCTCCAAACCCTGATCCCAGTCTGACGGTAAGCTACTTGTTCCCGATCGCCGCTTTCTGTGCCGTTTTGTGTAACGTTACCCAATGACTGTCTGATACTCAACGCAGGAGGTTCCGCTTCCTGCATTGTGTAACGGGTATCTTTGATCGCCGCGCGTGTGAGCGGCCCGGTTGCAAATATATTAGCACTATGGAAACTCTGTCTTACTTTAGGGGTTCTGCCGCGCTGATGAGGTTGTCCGGCCCGTCCGACATCAGCTTGGTAGGGGTGGCGGCTGAGTGTGCCGTACCGTGGCTCTGTACTGCTAGTATCTGTTAATCTATCGTTTGAGAGTCATGCCTTATGAACCACCTGCGAACGTACAACAATCTGGACCGCAGGTTATCTTGACTATCATGCTCAGCCACAAAGCGCTGGATCATTGACGCGATTCACGAAGAGCTTCACGAGGTATTGGTTCTGGAACGAGGTCATCGATAGTGATGGTGTCAATTTGGTAACTCTACAGAATCGAACGCTATGCTGCAAACAACAATGACACTTTTGCCATGCAGTTTGTGAACGTGAATGTACACAAGGATGCTTCAATCCAAAGCTCCCAATCTACCTCTTGCGACAGCCTGTGCCCGGCAGTGACAACGTGAGGATAGGAGCGGGCTCCTTTTCATCGAACAGCTCGTCGTAATCGTCGTCCTCGGCACCGTCTAGTGAGTTGTCGGCGGCCGCAGCCGAGGACTGTTCGGCTGCCCAAAGGGGCTCTGAGGTATTGGCGGAGGGCGGGGCGGAGGTTTGTTCAGGCGCCAGAACCGCCGCTGGTGGTTCGGCGGAGGGTGCGGCGAGAGTCTGTCCCGCACCTAGAGGGGCCTCTAGTGCATTGGCAGCGGCAGCGGATTGTGGTGGTGGCGGCGCGTGTTCTACTTCCTCGAAGTCCGCGCAAGCCATGAATTCTGCCTCCATGGCTGCCGTGAGGGCGTCGAAGTCATCTTTCTCCGACACCGGCGGGGAAAGCAGCTGCGTCCCCTCGGACGCGGTAGGCGAGGTCTGTTCCTTCGTGCTCTTGCGCGCCTTCTTAGGCCGCGCGCTCCCTGCCGCCGCACTACCCTCTTCCACCAGCTCATCTGACGCCCGCTTCCGCTTTTTCGCCTCGGCCCTCTCCGCGGCCTTGGCCTTCTTCCCCTCCTCCTCCTTCCTCTTCTCCGCTTTCTTCTTTAACCTCTCTCTCACCTCCCTCTGCGCCTTCTCTCTGGCCTCCCTATTCTTCTTCAACTCCGCCTCTTTCTTCGCCTCCTCCTTCGCCTCCTTCATCCAGGCGTATTCCCGGCACGGCCGGCCATCGATGCCGACGCCGACCACCTTCCGCGGGTTCACCACCCGTTCCTTTGGTGCCGGCGCGGTCGTCAAATCAATTGGCACGGCCTCCGTGGCGCCAGCCGCCGGCGACGGTTCTGGTTCCTGGCTGGCGCCAGCATCCTGGTGCGGCCCGCCCGTCACACCAGCGCTGGACGCCACGGTCCCCAGATCGGTAGTGATGGGGGCGCGGGGCGGCGAATCCGGCACGACGACCGGCTCCTGCTGTTGGGCGGCGACGGACGCGCGCGGCATTTCGGCCACGAAAACCACATCATCCTGGTGGGGAGCGGGCCGGGGGGGAGAGTCCGGCACGACAAGGACCTCGCGCCCCTGGCGGCGAGCGAGCCCGGCCGCAGCGGAGGCCCAGAAGGCGTCCTCGGAGGGGTTGGGAGGGGCGAAGGGGATGGTGGCGGCGACGGCGGAGATGAGGTCCTGCTCAGGGGGGATGACGGGCGGGGAGAAGAAATCCGGCCCCAACCGGAACGCGGGCGCCTGGTGCTGGAAGCTCGGCGCTACCGCCGCCGGCATCTGGTGCGCCATGTGATATTGATGATGGTGCGGGTTGGGGGTGATGGTGGCGCCCATCGGCTGCCCTTGGTACGGCCCGTAGCTGTAGTACAGCTGCTGGTGCTGCTGGTATTGCTGCAGCTGCGGCGCGACGCTCTGCAGCCACGCTTGTTGGTGCTGGCGGTGGTCGAAGGGTTGCATGGCGACCGGCATCGCCATTTCGTGGTGATGATAATGGCGCGGCTGCTGCACCTGCTGCACATACGGCTGGTATACTGCGCGATGATTAGCATCTTTGCTAGTTGGGTTACAGGACTGAAACTCACTATCCGGCTGCACCCATTGCTGGGGCTGCTGCTCGAAGGCGCCCGGATGCTGCTGCGCGAAAGCCACCGGATGATGCTGACCACCAGCGAAGTTGGCTGGGGCCGTGAAGAGAGGAGCCGCTGTGGCCTGCGGCATCTGCACGTGCTGCTGTTGCTGCGCATCGGCAGGGAGATTCTGGGCCATGCCCCAGTACTGGTTTGCGGAGAGATCACCGAAGGTTGCCATTTTGGCTTGAGGGATTGAGGATGTGAGGGTTGTGGTGGTGAAGATCAGGATAGGAGAGGATGTGATATTGATGATTGTGATTTAGAGTGATGAAGATTTGTTTTGGAGTGCTTTGTGAGTTTGATGATGGTTTATTTCTCGTCTGCAGATTTGATTGAGAGTTCAGCTACAGAATGTGAGGCGTGAGGAAGCAAGAGTGCAGGTGGGAGACTATGGAATTTTAAGGCTACGGAGCGCACAACAGCATCACTTGCAGAAACTCTGGTAGCATGAGGTAGAATGGTAAGCTAGTAGGAAATCAGCTTAGAGAAAAATTGATTTATGAGAGAACACCTATGAGAGCGTCGAGAGCTTGCCGACGCCGATATGTTCTATGGTTCGCGGTGAGGAACGCTAAAAGAGTCACTCTCAGCACTCCCCAACCACGGGTTCGCGGTACCATCAAGCCCGAGTCCCTTGTCAAGAGCCCACCGCGTGCGGTAGACCGCATTGCAACACACCTGGCACTGTGATCAGTAAGACATTGATAGGTACATTGAGATGTCAAGGTGCTATCTCACCTCGCATCAAGTCCCTGGACGCACCTGCATACTGCACCTGCAGCATCGTAAAACGGCCGGGCGGTGCGGGCCGCTCATCTGCGCGGCATCGTGGAGCTCGTGGCTAAGCGTCAGCGCTAGGACAAAGTCGGGGAAGCCCCCGCCAAAAAGGTGCAATGGACTAAGGTTCCGGTGGGCCTCGTTCTGCAGATCCTTCCGGAAACGATCATTTTTCGGGGCAGCAGTGTCTGAGCGAGTGCGAACCGGGCTCGCCGCAGCTGCACGTGAAGTGGGAGTTTGCTGGCAGCCAGTCGGCGGGCTGCGGAGCTTCACGATGCGGCGGCGGCCTGCTCACCGTCGTGTGGAAGCCATGGTTGTTGCTGCCGCTTCGAATCCGTTGTGTGTGGGTGTGCGAGTCGCTTGGTAGCGTTGTCGCGCATCGTGGAGCTTAAGGGGCTCGTGACCCCATGGCCGCGCCAAGGGGGCCCAGACACGGCAGACTTCCTGGGGCTCAACACATCCCGTGCTGATGATGGCATGCCGGAGGTACCTTTCACCGGTCATGCACAGCCCGCGGAGCAGGTGGAAGCTTCCTTAACGTTCCTTACAATGAACTCTTCGAGCGGCTTGGCCGGCGAGTGGGCGGGGGCTCCCTCCTTATTCTCCACCCCGAACTCCTGGAGAGAGAATGCCGGGGGGAGGGCTCCTGAATTGACGCGACAACTCCTGCATGAAGAGAGAGGCAGGTCAGATTCTCGAGGGTAGGCATGATGGCTTCCACTAAAGGTTTGGAGTAGGACGGAGGTCCTAAATGATTATTAGGTCTGGCCGTAAGGGCTTCGACTCGGCCGTCAAGGTGGCAATGTTACAAAGGCACGGCGCAACGGGCCAAGAGGCGTGAACATTCTTCATTTATGTCTTCACTCTAGCGAGCGTCTATGCATGTCAAGCAAAACATTGATGTGGAGGTAGGCAGAGCAGGCACAGGGGGTGCAAAGCACAAGCCAGACCATCCATCATCGCAGCAGTTTGACATGACAAGCACTTCGTAGACTTTGTGGCAAACAATCTAGGGTACCGATTAGCGACGTTTTTCTTTGAAAGGAGCGCCTGAAGGGTTACGAGAACTTGCCTGTCACAAACCAGGAAAGAGCAGCTTCAGGACTAGCCTACTGCCCGCTTTCATCCGCAACCTCCTTCTGACCTGACCCAAGCTCTTGTTCGTACCCGTGTGGTACCAAACTGCTATACCATCCGAACTCTTCTACAGTTTCTCGTTGTGAAAGGACACGTGGTCAAGGAGCAGCGCAACATGCCGAAGCGCAAGGTCAACAAGGGCAAGCAGAGGGCAACGACGCCTCCAGAAGTCGAGGATCGTTCAGCCTCATTCAATCTACAAGCCTCGACAGCTGGGCGTTCGAATGCATTTATAGATGACCGGGGGGTTGGTAGAGGGCTCAGGAAAAGGTAAGATAGTTGGCCGGTAGGCGACCACGAGGGTTGAGGCTGAACCATGGAGGTTCCTAATTTCCCTGCAAGCCTCAGCCGCAAGATCTCCTAGTGAAGCGGAGCCGCAAGCTGACGCCAGCAGTGGAAGGTTTGCCGAGCGGAGCTGGGCTGGCACGTCGATCATCGATAGACTAACTAGTCCACCAAGAACCTCACTCAGCAGACAACACTCCCTCAGTCGTCGACACCACAGACGAGGAGCTATGTGATGGAGATACCGTAGACAGACTAGCGGCTGTAGGAGAGATCCTTAGAGGACTAGTGGAAGCTCTACCTCCGTCTCCCAACCAGGCCTCTACCGAACCGCCCCACCCACCTCGTTCAGACCTCCCTCTCGACATCCCAGGATTCTCAGCAAGCTCTGATACGCTATCTGTCAGCGATATCCCGCTTCTCCGCCGAGATTCCTTTCGGTGGTCAGCTCCAGCAGGTCCAGTCGCTGGTCCTAGCACAAAACCCCACTCCTCGGATTAAACCTCGCACAGAGAAACGTAGAGCAAGCATGAGCGTCATTCTGTGTACTGGTAGGTTTTGGCCACGGAACAGTACTGGAGATCTGCTAAGGACCTGCATGTAGCGGGTTACGACCATACTATCCGGTAAGTAGGTCCCCTTGTTCGCCCTTTACGCAACGTCGCAAGCACTTCGTGATTACGCCGTTCTCAAGCTATATTGCGGCTTCGCAGCAGTTGCACGGGCATTGCGAGGATCCGGAGGACACGTGTGCGCTCGCTAGTGCTTGCGCAAGCTTCAACCTCTGAACACCCAACTAACAACCACCAGCTTCTGGGAAGCCCTCTCAGGCATCTGCTCACGCACCATCCCGCACCCCGACTCGCAAGTCAACCGGCTTTGCATCTCCCCCGACAAGCGCTTCCTCGCCGCCGCCGGGCACCACACCGTGAAACTCTACGACATCAAATCCACGAACCCGAACGCAGTCCTCACCTTCGATGGACACACGGCAAACATTACAGGCGTGGCCTTCCACTGCGACGGCAAATGGATGGTCACGAGCTCCGAGGACGGCACGGTCAAGATCTGGGACACGCGCAGCGGCGGCTTGCAAAGAAACTACACCCACGGCATGCCGGTCAATGACGTGGTTATCCACCCGAACCAGGGCGAGCTGATCAGCTGCGATCGCGGTGGGAACGTTAGGGTCTGGGATCTGGGCGAGAACAAATGCTCGCATCAGCTGATTCCTGAGGACGACATCTCGGTCGCCAGCGTTACTGTAGCCAGCGACGGAACGCTCCTGTGCGCGGGCAACAACGCTGTAAGAAGTGGCCCCATTCATCACAAAGACTAGGCGCATTGACTGACAACTCGATAATCAGGGCAACGTCTACGTCTGGCGCATGATCCAAAACCGCGACATCACCTCCCTCGTCCCCGTCTGCAAATTCGTGGCCCACAACACCTACATAACGCGCGTGCTCCTCTCCCCCGATGTGCGGCACCTCGCCACCTGCTCCGCCGACCACACCGCGCGGATCTGGTCCGTCGATCCCGCCGCACCGCACAACGCCAGCAGCGCCGAGCTGCTGCCCGCCGAGCGGGACCCTGCGGCGTTTCCGCTAGAGACGACACTCCATGGACACCAGAGGTGGGTGTGGGATTGCGCGTTTAGCGCGGATAGCGCGTATCTGGTCACGGCGTGCTCGGACCATTATGCGCGACTGTGGGAATTGAGCAGTAAGAGTATTATTAGGCAGTATAATGGGCATCATAGGGGGGCGGTGGCAGTGGCGTTGAACGATACTGCGTTGAACTGAGTCCGGTCAAGAGGCGGATGTACAGCTGATGAGGCCCCACGCCATCGCGTAGGGCGTGGAGAGTTTCGAAAAGGATACCCGACCGCTGATTCTGTCGTTCACGTCGTCTCGCGAAACGGAAATAACTAGTTATGTGCTATGCGTGGTGTTTGGCGCTGGGCTGATGCGCTAGACGGGATACGCTTTCACCCGAGACTTGCTTTGGATAGTGTCAGGAATGGCTCTGCTCTCGCACTCTTCGCTTTGCGTTTAGAGCATTGAATTCTTTCTTCTTCTCGCTCGCTTGTAAGCTTAGATGCGTCGTTCCAGCGCCTGCAGAGCACGTATTTAACAATTGCGTAATGTGTAATGTACGCCCATATCAGAGCGGGAAATGCGCGAGTGAGTTTGCAAAGCATCCATGTTGGCGGATACAAGCTTGGGCATCAGATCGATCTCACCACACGGATCACTTTGTGCGTAAGGCCTGGACGCAATACAGTCACGAGTCTACCTTGCTCGAGAGAGCTCTCCTTCGAACTACGCTATGCGTCGCCAACGGAGCCGACGAAGAAACAGGGTCGATGCCGATCCTCAACGCTCGAATACAGACCTACCCGCTCGAACGCTCAAAGCGAAAGCCGCTACGGGTAACAACGAATACACAATTCCCAGGAGAAGGGACCAAATCCTTCAAACATCCCAAGCGCACAACAAGTCTCTCCTGCCCGCAAGAAACTCGAGATCTAAACACCCAACCCATCAACGACCCAGAAACCCAGATAGCCAAGAAGAGCGGGGGCCGTCTTCTGCGTCGTCGGCCGTTCTCTCAGCACGCGGCTGCTCCTGCTGCTGTCGCTGCTGTGATTCTGCAAGGAACCGGTATCAGCCTCAGAGCCGAATGTACACACCAAGATAGAAGATCTATGAGAAGGCGCGCTCACCACCTGGAGGAGGAGAAGAATTCGGATCCTCCTTCGCCTCAACAAACTCCTCAAACGGCGTCGTCGCACCAGCGTCATCTTCCGCCCGCGCGTCTGGTGCTAATTCCGCGCCCTGTCCCTCCTCTCCATTGACGAGAGGCTGCCCCTCCGCTGTTGCAGGCGCCTCCTTGGTCCCACTCTCCGCACCCGCAGCACCCCCCTCCGCCCTCGCCGCCCTCGCCGCCATCCTCTCAAAGACCTCCTTCCTCGCCCTCTCATCCCGCACCTTCCTCAACCTCTCCGCTTCCTCGACCCCCCCCGTCTTCTTGAGTTTCCCCTCCTCGACAAAATCCCCAAGCTCCTTCTGGAACTCTCCGCCGCGGCGGCTCTCCAGCTCCCTCAGCCTGGCCCGCTCCGCCCTCTCGATCGCCTCGAGCCGGCCCTCGTGGTTCGGCTGCAGCGCCCTCACCTCGCCCAGCACGCCGTCTTTCGCCTGGCGCGGATCCACCGCCCGGTCGGCGGCTAGCGCGCTGGTGTTGCGGCCCGAGGCGCTGCGGAGGCTGCCCTGGCCTGCTGGTCCCGACGACGCGCCGCCGGGTCCGGAGGAGGTCGAGGCCGCGAGGTTCTGCTGCCGCGTCGCCTCCTCAACAAGCTTGAACGTCTCGCTCGCCTCCTCGAGATCCCGCTCCAGATCGGCCGCCAGCTCCTCCTGCATGGTCAGCACCTCCCGGTCGTCGCAGACCAGCTGCAGCTCCTGCTCCCAGATCTTGGTCCACACGGGCTTCTCCTTGCGCAGCAGCTCCTGCATGCGCTTCAGCTGCAACGTCGCGGTAGACAGGTCCTTCCCGACGCTCTCGAGCATCCGCGGCAGCGGACGCACGCCGCGGGTCACGACGTCCTTGCGCAGGTCCTCGACAAGGTCTTGCAGGTCGTCGACGCGGGAGACGATCTGTTCGGAGGTGTCCTGGAGGGACTTCTTGCCCTTCTCGACGTATGCGCGGCCGGCGGCGGGGGGTGGGGCGGAGGCAGCAGAGGCGGCGGAGGTCTTGACGGCTGCGGCTTTGGACCGGATGGTCGACATGGTGGCGTCGATGGACGAGGCGAAGGTGGTGTAGGTTTGGCGCATGACGGCCAGGTCGCGGCGGAGGGACTGGACTTCGGTGAGTTGGGCGGCTGTTGATTGGGGGAGGGCGGGGCCTGGTGTCCGCGGCGGTGCTGCGGCTGTGGGTGCGGTGGGCGGAGGCGGTGCGGGCGGTGCGGCGGCAATGCTGGCGATTTCTTTCGCTGCCTCTGCCTGCCTCTCGCCGACGCGCTGGAGCGCCGAGCCTTGCTCCTCGACCGCCGTTCTAATGCCCTCGACCACGCGCCTGAGTCCGCCGAGCCCGTCGTCTATGTGCCGTTTTACTTCGTCGAGCGGCTCTACGTTGAGGGCCAGCACGGAGCGGTCCTTGACGTCCCCTAGATCTTCGAGCTCGTACCGCGCACCGGAGACTGGGTCTTGGACGTAGATCTCGGGGAGGTCGACGCCGTTGTTGTGCGTATTCCAGGCGAACTTCTCGATGAAGGCGAGTTGCAGCCGTGCGATTGAGAGCTCATTGTAGCCGTCTGCCAGGACGAACTTCTTGATCTGGGACTTGTATTGCAGGAAGAGGGTTAGCTCTTTGCCGGGCTGGGGCGAGTCTTCAGGGATAAATTGCTGGGATTGGGGAGGGGATGGAGATGGCGTTTTGGCTGTTCGAGAGCCGTGGCGGGCTGGTAGTGCTGACGGACGTCGTTCCAAGGATGCGGTGTCTGGTTGTTCTTGGGGTTCGTTGGACGCGGTGTTATCATCGGGACCAGATATAGCCACGCCTATAGAAGGGTCGTCTTTCCTCGCAGGTTTCACGTGATCTTGACGAAGATCTAGCTTCTCCTCAGCGCTTTTCGCAATCGCACTGTCTCCAAGAGCAGGCTCTGACGGCGCCTTGATTGAAGGCGCCGGGCTGCTGCTCTCTTCTGATATCCGCTTAGGCACATTGTTGTTCCTCGTAGGAGACGACTCTGGTGCAAAGCGGTTGTACGATTTTTGCCGACTGTGCAGCAACGACTCCCGGATGCGGACCGCGTTCATCGACTCACGCGCGTCGCGCCCTCTGTTTGGGATTGGGGAGTTCTGCGCCGGTGGGATCACGGGCACTCCATTCGAGCCCCCGAGGTGTTTCTGAATCTGATATGCCGAAAACCTGCGAGATGCTCGCCGCTCAAGCAGACCTCCGCGCTGCAGCTGGGCCAGAGCATCCTGTTGCTTGGGAGGCGGAGGCGGCGGTGGGAAATCCGCATACGGAGGAGGGTCTGGAGGCTGGGGCTGCTCGACGGTCGGCTGTGAAGGCATTGTTTCGGCTAGCGGATATGGCGAGATTGTGGGTATGTTCTGCATGGTATTGCTTGACATGGAGGAGGTGTCAGACGCGTTCAGGGTCTCCCGGCTTGTAGAGGCGTTACGGTGGACTCGAGCGTTCGGCGGCGGACTTTCGTATTTGTTGGGCGAATGTCTGCCTGTCGCTGAAGAGGTGCGCGGCGGCAAGTCCGGCCCGTTCACCTCTGCGCTGCTCGATCGCTGTCCCGGCGGCCTTATGCTAGACTGTCGTAGCGGTCCATCCTCCGAGTCAGCGCCGTGATTGCTGCTAAGACTGCTCTGTCTCGGTATTGAGCCGTTGGAGCCCATGCCGTCCCTCCCTGTCCGCTGCCGCAGTCGCTGCTGTTTCCTTTTCAGACCATGCAGCAAGTTTATTATGATGTCTCGTATTCGGGGTAGAAAGCGGTCTAGGCTGGCTTGAGAGGCTTCCTGGCTGAGAGTCTCTTCTAAGATCCCCCTCAATAGATCCGGGACAGGGCCAAGATCTTGTGTGTCCACGCCAATGGCGTTGAAAGCCCTCGAGGCGATGTTGAACTCGTACCCCAGCCGGACATAGACGTCGGACACCTCGCCCTCAGTCGACTGACCGCGCGACCATAGTGTGAGTGTCTCGAGGAGTTGTTTCGTTGCGACTAGGAGGTGGGTGACGCTCTTCTCGATCTGGGAGAGTTGTTGTTGGGGCTGTGTGAAGGTATGCATGTTAGTGAAATGGCGGACGTCGGGAACGAGATGTTCAAGCTTCTCTTTCACTTGACTGTTCCCAAAACACGCAAGGAATAGGTACGCACGGTCTGATGGCGTCTGGATTGCGAAGAGCGCCCCGAAGCCGAGGAGGATCGCGCATCTGGCTCCTCGCCGGCCAGGGTCATGCTGGAGGCGTGGCTCGAGGGATAGAGAGTTGCGTCGGAGTCGGCGGAGGGTCCTCTTCTACTGCCCGAATGCTGCGGAGTGTTCTGCATGGTCGTGTTCAGTGGTGGAGGGGGGTCTGAGGGCGCGGTGGTTGTCCTTTGGGATGTGTTGTAATTATCCGCCAAGGGCTGAGATTGGTCCCTGAAGCTGGCCGGCAGCGCGCCAGTCTTGCCCGTGTGGCTCGAACACATGACAGCCAGGCCAGCTCCGCATGCCTGCACGTCGGCGCTTTCGAAACGTCAAGACGAAAACACTTGACAGCGGAGCACAGCAATGCACGCTTCAGGCCCGCCAGAGAGCAGGGCTGTCTAAGTGACAAGCCTCGCTCTCCGAGCAGCAGCAGCAGCATCATCAACGGCAAGAGTTCAGGCCGGCTACAACTGCAGCCATGGATGTCTTGCTCAGACACCAGCCACACGCGCTAACAAGTGCCACGCCGCAAGCTCCACACCTCAAGCGCGCCTGATTTAGTTTACCCGCCGCCCCCATGTTACGCTGGCCTGCCCGTTTTGGCTCCCACTGAGACCGAGTGAACCGTCGCATAAACGCTCCGGTCTTGCCTTAGTCTAGCATCGAGGTTGGAGTGCTGTGTCTCCATCGACTGCAGCGGGCGGCTCTGAGTGATTGTTGAAAGCGTACGGATACTTCAGGAAGAGCCGCCAAGTTGATGATGGGCTCCGGGGCGCTGATGCTGCAAGTCCGAGCATGCCCCGATTCAGGGCGTTCAAATCAATCGCACAAGCAGCGGTTCGACAAAACCCTCAGCTCCACCTGCCCCCCGCCCTGCAGCAGACTCACTCGGCCAAACCATCGCGTTGCAGCAGAGCAGGCCAAAGTCGCGCAGAAGTCTTCTATTCCCCTTTCTCGAAGCCACGGGTTTAGTGCACCGTCGAGCCGGCCAGCGATCTACCTTAGCGTCCGTTGTCTTGGCACCACCTCGACCGCCCAGGTGCCTCACGGCCACTTTTCAACCTCAGTCACAGCCTCAGGACGTCCACTCCTTTGGCCTCACAATCACTGCCCATCTTCTCCCCCCCTTCGCCTTGTGCCGCTCGCTTTCCCTTCCTCCTTGGGCACCTCGGCCTCAGAGAGAGCCAGCTTGCACTGAGTGCGCTTTCCGAGCGCCGAGCTCGTCCGCCGTCCGCCGTGAGGCCCCTTCACCAAATCACCCCGAATCTCGCGACCCAGCTCGCCGTCACACCATGTCCACCACGACGGCCACACCCTCCAATCTGAACACCCCTCCGACATCTGCGAATTCAAATACCCTAGCCGGAGGTCGAACGCAGCTCAAGATGAGCACAGGCGGGAGAGTGCTCGACGGAGCTCAGAGGTACGTTGATATTCCACTCTGGCCACAACTTTCTTCCTGCCTGTCTCTGCAATATGCACCGCATCTGCTTGCCGTTGCCCTATTAGAGCTGTGGGCGGATCGATTTGCTCTAGCCTGCTAGTCCTCTGCTTGGATAGCGTGGGTCGAGGTTGAGCATCCATAACACGCAATGTGCGATGACCTCTAATTGCATTCAATTGCACTGTCGCACACGCTGCTACCCATCACCTCTTTTGCTCTCGCAACATCAATCTCTTCGTGCAAGCTGAGGTCGGACAGCCGCTAATACGAGGACCGCAGAAAACCACAGCCGCAAAAGGCCTGGACACAGGGCAACAACTCCATCAATCAACGCCCATCGCCCTCTAACACAGCCAATGGCGTAGTCAATGCACCTAAAGCTGCGCCGCCTGCCAAAGTCATGGCATCGGCGAGCAAAGAATCCAACACACCCGAAAAGCATGCGAACGACAGACTGATGTTCCTCTTTGCGAACTTCACCGTAAGTCTGCTTACTTTAACTCACTATATCATTCGCCTGCTGTGCTTCAGGTTCACCCCATCGAGAACCCAATTGCGCGATCTATGAGCTGTAGTGGAGCTGTGCTTCACCAGGCTGGTAACCTTACTGACTCCCGTCCTCCACCCAGGGCCTTGCATCTACTGTCACAACTAGAAACGGCGAGCAGTTCAGCGGCATCTTCTCTGGTGTTACGACCGAGGCGTCCGAGTCGAGATATAAGCTGAAGATGGTGAAGCGCCTCCAACCACCAAACGATCAGCAGCCCAACGGTGCCAGCGAGAGTTACGATGAATACGTTGGCACGGGTGCAGACAACGAAATGGCATTCGAAATTCAGGACGTGGTTGACCTCGCTGTCTCTAATGTGATGACTGACAAAGCTCACGCCAAACCTCAGAACGGTAAGCTCAATTGCTATGAGGCTCGCATGTTCGTTTGCTCACTCTACTTCAGGCGCTTCATCCGGATTCAAGATCGACACGGATATCTCCGGAAATGTGGCATTTCGTGAGCGTGACCTGCAGCGATGGGAGCCGGCTCCAGACTCTTCAGCCGTGGGCCTTTCGCTCGATGAATCTGGCAATGCCGGTTGGGACCAGTTCGAGACAAACAAACGTCTCTTCGCTGTTGAGAGCAGCTATGATGAGAACCTATACACAACCACGATCGACCGTAGCAATCCGCTGTACAAGCAAAGGGCAGCACATGCAGAGAGGATTGCGCGTGAGATAGAAGGAAGCAGCGCGACGAACATCCATGTTGCGGAAGAACGTGGCAACTCACTAGTCGATGACAGTGGAGCAAACGAGGAAGAAAAGTGAGCGCAATCAATACCACGCCCTAATTTTGTGCTAACGGCGTCCACAGATACAGTGGAGTCCGTCGTGACTTCCCACCTCTGCCCTCTGGTCAATTCAACAAGTACACACCTCCAGCCAGACGAGCTCCTACCGGCCAGCCCACCGTTCCTGGTGCTCCAGTAGACCCTGCTATAATCTCCTCACAAATCGCGCGTCCGGCACCCATGTCGTCTGCTGCGGCTCAGGTCAACACTGATGCCCCAGCGAAGAAAGAACAGGCTGCGGCGACCCTTCAGGTTGAGGGCTCACAGGCGGCACCGGCCGCAATCAACGTTGTCGCCGCTACTCCTGAGATGCCTTCGAGTGCGGAGGTGCAGATGAGCCCTCCCGCTGCACCGGCTGCAGAATCCAACCAAAAGCCTGCAAGTTCTTCGAAGACTGTCAGTGCCAGTCTTGCACCTACGGCAGCAGTGCAGAAACCCAACATCCCTCAGAACCCGCCAACCACTGTTGAGAAGCAGGTATTGAACGCCTATAAAGAATTCGCGGCAAACGAGAAGTTGAAGGCAGCTAGCGCCCGCCAGCAGAGCGCTCGCCAGGATAAGAATGCGAAGATCAACGATCTCAAGAAGTTCTCGCTCACGTTCAAGCTGAACACGCCGGTGCCTCAAGATCTGGTGCCAATCCTGGCCAAGGACAAGACTAAGCAAGAGGAGATCATGGAGAGGTCCGTACGGCAGATGCAAGAGCTCAAGTCGACTCCTGTCAAATCTCCGGCAGCGGTCGTCGAGCAGAAGACTCCGCGGCCAGTCGCGGCAAAACACGAGAATGGTCAGAGTGCCCAGGTTCCGCAGACCGAGCGACAAAACGTGCAACGCACGCGACCCAGCCCAGGTGCCTTCCCGCCGCAGCGAGGCGAACGACCCCCTCAGGCGCCAAACTCTATGCACTCAACACCTAACAACAGGAACGTCCCTCTCGGTCATCGCCTGGCGGCAACTCACGATGCCCACAAGCGAGGACAAATGGCGCAGAATATTCCGCCGCCTATCCCCATACAGGATGTGCGCATGCCGTCTGGCGGGCCGTCAGCGCCCTCCAGCGGCCTCCAAACGCCAACCTCCAACGTATCAAGCCGATTCAACGTCAGGGCTATGGAGTTCAGGCCCAATCCTGCAGCGAACACGTTCATGCCTAACGTGAACCAAAGCTCAGGATCCAGCCCGAGGACCGAGATTGCCGCACGGCCGCAGCCTCGGAAAGCTACACAGCCCTTCTTTGACGGATCGAAGCCGAAGCCAGTGATCGGTGCAGAGAGACCCTCGATTGAAGATGCATTCAATCCTATCACGCGCATGATGCGGGAAGCTGAGAAGGACGGTAAGACCAAGGACTACGCGCATAACGGTGGTATCCCACCAGCGTATCGAACCCCACCAGTCTGGGAAGTCACTGGTCCGAACAAGGACAAGACATACAACGAGCTGTTCGAGAAGGCTGCGGCACCTGTTCAGCCAGTCTCGGTCCCGCACGCAGTCGTAGGCAATGCTCCCATGCCTCATGTACACCAGCTTCCTCCTCATCTCCAAGGTCCTCAGATGATGTCTCAACATCAGACCCCACACCAGACACCGCGCCACATGCACGCTGAACCGCACCACGTCCCCGCGGGCCCACACCACTTCGACGGCGGTCAGCGCATGCAGTTCTCGTCGTCCCAATCGTCCGTCCATCCTTCGCCGCGAGTCATGCAACCATTCATGGCTTACAGTGGCCAAGGCCCTCAGCCTATGCAAGTATTCCAGCAGCCCATGCAAGGCTACGCTGTAAGCCCACACATGCACCATCCAGGCGTACGTCAAGCAGGCCCGCCGCAGTTCGCTGGGCCCCAAGGGCCTGTTACTGGTGGTCCAGTCCTGGTTGCGAATCCCGCTGGAGGCCACTTCATGAACGTTCAGATGCAGCAACCTCCGCAGATGTATTCTCCGAATCCCGCACCAGCCTACTTGCACCATGGCGGACAGATGCAGGGGCCGCCGATGGTCAACGGCTATCCCAGCCCGAGACCGCCGGGCGCCCACATGATGAGCCCTCAAGGCTCGCAGCAGGGTCACCAGCCGCAGCAGATCTTCTACGTCCAGCAGGGACAGCCGCAGGGTATGCCCATGCATTACCCCGGTGGGCCGAGTAAGCTTCGCCCTTATTCATCTTGGGAGTACTCCCAACTGACCTCCTGCACAGTGACACCACAGCGGATGCCGTACGCGCAGCCCCACCAACAACATTACGGCACCAGCCCCCACATCCCGCACCACTTCCCTCACCAACCCCACCGCGGCACTCCGAGCGCCACGTACAGCCAGCCCATGATGCCGAGCTACTCGATGCAGTCCCTCCCACCGCAGGGTCTGCCGCCCACGGGCCCGGCGATGCCGTCTACCAACGGCGCGGACGAGGCCAAATGAAGCGGTGATAGCGGACACAATCGGATCAATCGCGGGATTGCGACTAAGTGACTACTGGGAGCTCCTGCACGGCTGGTCGCTGTATAGTGACTACAACGAAGATACTGACACTTTTGCCCACATACATTTGCTCTGCTTGCATAGCGCGGCTCGGGCTGGGGAAAGGGCACTGCGTGGCATGAGCGTCCACAATGGGTACGGCCTTGCTGATCGTGCTCAATACTGGGAAGCATAAACTTGCTGATCTTCTCAAGATCGAACTCGTCGCGCACTGCAGCCTGCTGCGGGACCACTGCATCACACTCCTGCTTGAATCGATGTACGTGGGAATCTCTGTGCATAGGCTTGTGCTGGGACGTGCCGGCGGCTCATGGTAGCTGCCATGGGTTCAGAATAGGATAGCTGCCGGGTCTGGGTAGATGAGAGCGGGTGCCTGGAGGATGATTGCTGCTTTCACGAGGGAAGGGTTCAAGGGGAAACGGACACCTTTGTAATTAGGGTATCATACAGACTGGTATCGAAATCGATTACTGGTAACGGGATGTCTCAATGCTGTTGCCAGCATAGAGACCGCTGCTCGTCTTCGGCGAGCGTTTTGATGTGAGCCCCAGTGTCCATTGACAGTCTTAGTCCTAAAATGCCCTACCTATGGAGCTTCCTGATACAAATGACCTCGCTCTTCCTTCCACCTCTTCTCGTTGAGGTCAACCTCCGTTGATCGTACCTGACGATCTCTACCGCATCCGCTGCAGGGCTGCATGATCAACGCAGGGATCAATCATTAGGCGATTATTCCCCGAACTGCCTCATTCCCACCCCCCAACCTCTCATCCAGCTAGCCGTCACGCGACCCTCCGGCACGAGGTATCTCCTCGACGTCTTTAAACCCACGCGCTTCCCCATGATCTCCTCTTTCAACCGCAGTCCTGGCTTCATTCCTAGAGTTGCAGGGTGAAGACGACGTCGAGATGCGTGAAATAAACGGGGACGCGGCGGGCCAGCCGTTGATGCAGGGTGACGAGGGACTACAGCATGCTCAGGAGTTTGAACATGACATCGACGAGCGCGACGATAGCGAAGTGCTCGAGGAGAGCGCGCTTCAGACGCCCACGCCCTTCATCTGGGCCCTCACGCTTGCGGCCGGGGTGTCTGGGCTGCTGTTTGGCTACGAGTACGCGCTGCTCTATCCCCCTTCCTCCTGCTTCCCTACACCAAGACCAAGCCCAAGCCCAAGCCCTCCTACGGATAGACAATCCGAGAACCAGACCTGTTCACTAGCTGACAACAGCAAGCGCAGCACCGGCGTCATCTCCTCGACCCTCGTCTCCATCAACGCCGACCTCTCGGCCCGGCCGCTCACAACCCTCGACAAGTCGCTCATCACGTCGTGCACCTCGCTCGCCGCGCTCGTCGCCTCGCCTCTCACCGGTGTCCTCGCGGACCACTTCGGCCGCAGGAGAGTCATCCTCGCTGCTGATGTGCTGTTCGTCGGCGGCGCGGCATGGCAGGCTCTTACCACGAGCGTGTGGGGCATGATTGGGGGAAGAAGCATTGTGGGGCTGGGGATCGGGGGGGCGAGTATGGTCGTGCCGTTGTATGTGCTCTTCAATTGCTGTTGCAACTTCTTCTCCCCCAAAATAAAACAAAGTCCCCCTAGCTAACCCAACCCCCTCAGATACATATCCGAATCCTCCCCTTCCCCGTTCCGTGGCCGTCTCGTAACCGTTTCCTCGCTCCTCATAACCGGCGGCCAGGTCGTGGCATATGTAATCGGCTACCTCTTCTCCTCCACGCCTGGTGGTTGGCGCTGGATGGTCGGGCTAGGCGCGTTGCCTGCGGTGCTGCAGATCGCCATGTTGGGCTTCATGCCGGAGAGTCCGCGGTGGTTGGTCAAAGCTGGGCGGGCGGATGAGGGGAGGAGGGTGCTGGGGAGGATCTACGGGGATGGGGATAGGGATGGGCGGATGGAGAGGCTGGTTGAGGGGGTTGTGAGGAGGGTTGAGAGAGAGATCTTGGAGGAGGAGGAGGAAGGGTGCAGCGAAGGGATGAAGAGGGGGTGGAGAGGCAAACTCGGGCACCTTGGGTACGGATTCAGGGAGCTGGTTGGTGTAGGGGCGAATTGGAGGGCATTGGTCATCGCGTGTATGTTGCAGGGGTTTCAGCAACTTTGCGGTTTTGTGAGCTTCCCCTTTTTTCCCTTCCTCTCTAACTTCCGCTGTCCTTTCCGCTCCAAAACCAATCCTCTTACACGCCCCGTCCTTCGCTTCCTCCATCCTTCCTAAGCCCATCTCCTCCGCCACTGCTAACTCAGGCACGTAGAACGCCCTGATGTACTTCTCCGCCACAATCTTCAGCCTCTGCGGCTTCGCCTCTCCGACCCTGACATCCCTCTCCATCGCAAGCACCAACTTCGCCTTCACCATCGCCGCCTTCCACGCCATCGACCGCGTCGGCCGCCGCAGGATCCTGCTGCTCAGTGTGCCGGTCATGGTGCTCGGCCTCTCGCTCTGCAGTCTCTCCTTCGGCTTCATCGACCTCGGGGCGCCTGCTGCGACGGCGAGTCCTGGAGAAGTAGCAGCAAGAGGAGGAGGAGCGTGGTCGATGGCACTCCTCGCCGCGCTGGTGCTCTACGTCGCGGCCTATGCGCTTGGCCTGGGCGTCGTGCCGTGGCAGCAATCCGAACTCTTCGCCTCCGTGCGCGTCAGGGCGCTCGGCTCTGCGCTCGCGACGGCGACCAACTGGGGCTCGAATTTCGTCGTCGGCCTGACGTTCTTGCCCTTGATGGAGATGTTGGGGCCGAGCGCGACGTTTGTCGTTTATGCCATAGTGTGCGTGGCGGGATGGGCGGCGGTGTGGGGCATCTATCCCGAAACGGCGGGCTTGGGGATTGAGGAGGTGGGCGGGCTGTTGAGAGAGGGGTGGGGGGTGCGGGAGAGTGTGAGGAGGTGGGAGGAGAGGAAGGGGGCGAGAAGGAGGGAAGTTAAGCGGGGGGAGGGCCGTGGTGGGTGAGGCGTTGGTACACAGAGGTCACGGTTGACTAGACCTCCGATGAGAAACCATACAGTGCGTCCTCGGCTTCATACTACGGCTTTCTTCTTGGGGGAGTTTGAGTGATGGATGCAATACTCCAAATGACGTCGTTGCGTGTCGAGCCTCCCGAGAGAGAGAGCCCGGTGCCGTCTTAACTTGCCGCTGCTTTCTCGACGTCGTACACGATATGACATGAAGCCTATAAACATTCCCCAAACCCGCTCTTTCCAAGAGTCCTCTCTCTAAGAAGCGAAAAATTAAGCCGTCTAAGATGTCTATATAAGAAACAATCATCACATTACTACACTACAGCACAACTCTAGTGATTCTTAGGAATGCCCGATAAGGCTCCCTCGACTTAGCCTGGTGGAGGCAGCGTGTTGGCAAGCGTTTCCAATGCAGAACAGGCTGCATTTGGGATTACGCAGGTTAGACGCAACTCTGCGGGGCAAAGTCAGATTCGGCAAGGAATATATTTCATCGGTATGGTTCTCATCAAGCCTCACAGGCGTGATTAGCCTGACAGGTAGATTTGCTCGATGGCGCCGGGCTCTAGCAACACACTCTTCTCTTCCGGTATAAGCCCGCAAAGATCCAACAGATATGCCATCGCATTCAAAATCCCATAAAAGACCATCGGCACGACGCCAAACAGCAAATTACCTACAATGCCTCTCCTCAGAATCGTCTCCGCCAGCTCCGTCATTGCAATCTTGGGCGCGTCAGAGGACTCAAAGGGCCCCACAAGCCGGTAAAACGTGACAAAGCTGGCCCCGAAGCAGTACACAAGCAGTACGCGCAAGCTGTGGCGCCGGTAGAGTTGAAGCAGGCCAGGCGCGCCGCCGAAGTCTCGCGCTAAAGTACTCATGTAGGCGCTGTAGTCGACGCCGTATTGGATGCGCGACCCTTTGCTTGCAAGGAGGTGGTAGTGCGGGGGAGAAGTTGGAACACGCATGCGGCCGAGGAGAAGGCTTGTCCACCACATGGCTTGTTGTTCGGCGATTGGAGGGATTGCGCCGACGCCGGGGCGCACGAATCCGATGAAGGCGACGTCGGGGTGGGAGGAGTGGATGATGTTGCGGATGTTCGTTTCGGCGGCGGTGGGGTAGTAAGGGTCGAGCCATGAGAAGACCTGTTTGTAACTATGGGGACGGTTAACAGAATGGACCTGACGACAACCTGTGCTTGAGTGCAAAGCTCCGCATTGTGGCTGAGTACAGGGGGAAAGGAACCCTATTCGCATGAAGGGCTGCGGGACTTACCCAGTGCAGTATATAACGCAATTAGGCCTGACAGACTTATTCTTCATCCTTTGCCAATCTTTCCTGTCCAGCCTTGGCTCAAATATCACTTTGCCGGTGCTGTCGATGCAGGAAGGGAACGTGCAGGTGTCCACCCATTTCTCCGAAGTCGCATCTTCCGGCGGATCAACATACTTGTTTCCAATGAAATCTAGGATTGGGTTCTTTTTCTTGTATGGCCGGTTCAAGTAAGGCATTGCCTTGTTGCTCTTGTTGAGGAAAACAAATGCTCTTCCCAGTCTCTCCGGTGGCAAGCCGCCAACATGTTGGTTCATCCCAGCTTGAGTTCCACTCAGGAGCCACAGCACACGTTTGATGACGAAGTCGGAGACGAACCAACGTAACCTGCTCTTAGCTATCGCTCGGTGAACGTACGCAGTCTCAAACAGATTCGTAATGAGACCGTCAATCGGTAACCCTCCTTTGAACTGCCTGCCGAACACTTGAAATCGACTAAGTGCTTTGGGAAAGGAGAGGAAACCAGTTCGGTAGCACATCGTAACGGATTGGGCATCAGCTTTGACGGCCTCATAGGCAATGTCTAAAAGAGAGACACGGTGAGCTCTTGTACACTTCTGGTGCATGATTGGCCTTACCCATGGCCGTCTCGCCGCAGCCCAGTATGAGAACGTCGCGACCAGCCAGCTGAGACCTGGCTTTATAACGTGAGGAATGGAACACATCTCCTTGAACATCTTCGATTCCGGGAATCAAGGGAATGTTGGGTTCAACGTGAAGGCCTGTGCAGATGGCGACGTGCGAGCAATCAAACTGATCTTCTTCGCCCGTTGCGCCGTCGATGAATCTTACTCGGTGTTTCCACTTCTGGTCTCTAGAATTTAACGGGGTAATGTCGATGGCGCGGCAACCGAGTTTGATATATGGTGCAAGGTCGAAGCGGTCAACGTACGATTTGAGATAGTTGACGTATTGTGGGAGAGAAATGTGATCAGGAGAGTCGAGGGGAAAACGATGGTCAGAGAATGCGGTCAGCTGCTTAGAGCTGACAAGCTCCGCATTCTCATATGAGCGATACTTGAACGTACCGCCGATTTCGTCTTCTCTGTATCAAATTGGAGAGTATGTCAGATTTTCCAGTCACGTACTAGTATGAAGAATGCGGCAAGCCGAGGACCCAAGGGAGACGGATGAGGAAGAGAGACGAGATCGGCACATGGCGAGAAGAGTGCAAGTACGAAAGCCTTCCTTACGCTTCAAAAAGGCATGCCTCCACTTGTCTCTCGGGAGTTGAAGCTTCTAGTAATGTTTTTAGGGTTACCAAACCTCCAGGGCTGTGAGAATTGATCAGTACACGGTGAAAGCAAAAGCGCGAAAACACGTCTTGTTCTCACCCTGCGCCTATGATAGCCACCTTGATGCTTGCCATCTTGCCGGACTAGGCAACTCTGTTTGCTGCTTTTCAGCTTCCCTTCTCCGCATCATAGTCCGCACACGTCGGCACTTTCTTGTCTGGATGACACAAATCAATACATGCTGAATCAGCAAGGGACCTCCTCTGAGGCTGCTCCTCCAATACTGGCTGTGTGATGTGTTGGCGGTGTTTGCGGGAGATCAGCCGTTGGCTATCATGCCAAGGTGCAAAGGCGGGCTGAGTTGATCACGGCCGTATCCTTGCACGGGTCTTTGGTGGTCCGCTGCGGCCGCAATCAATTCAGACGGTCCTGGGTGGTTTATAAGCTATACTGGGGTAAGTGATCCTCACCAACTCCCTCGTGTGGCCAGGTTGTATGAGATGGGCTCGAGTTTTTTGTCCCACCCTTGGTTTGAGCTCCTCCTCCCCCGCACTTCATGTGCTGCTTCTGTTCTGTTCAGTCATGCGTGCCACCTCATGGTCTGTCAAACCTTCGATAACTGCTGTCGATACGAGCTTGGACCATAGCGTACCTTTACTTTGTGGTCTGCCATGGAGCAGAAGGGCCAGATACGAGTAGCTATCGTCGGTTCAGGAATGGCAGGTCTCGTCACAGCGTATCTGCTGAACCGAGATGTTCAGTCACGATATGCCGTTACGCTCTTCGAGGCGGCAAGTGTTGCTATATCCGCGGTCCTTATACCAGGCATCGGTCCTACTGACACACCGTAGGGCGATGTACTGTCTCTTGACTCTGCCTCACTCACCGTTCCGAACCCCTCTCAGGGCTGCTCCGACCGTGTCGATCTCCCTATGCGAGCATTTGCCGGCGGCTTCTATAACAACTTGAGAGCGATGTACGACTACCTCGGCGTGGGGTATCATGCCCAGCCGTTCCTGTTCAACTTCTCGAAAGTTGCCGCACAAGATACCGGATCAATACCGAAAGAGAAGGGATCCTCATACTTCGTTCATTCCTCCAACAATCATCGCATATCGCCGGTACGGCCAGAGGGCATAAGAACAGCCGCGTGGCTGATGGAGATATTATACTTGCTCGTGTGCTACACGTGGTTCACTGCTTGCTGCTTCTTTGTGGTGCCCCGATCTGCGGATGAGAAAGAGTTCTGCGAGACGCTCGATGAATACCTGCATAGAATTAGACTTCCTCGGTACTTCGTGACATACTATCTACTCCCATTGATTTCTAGCGTCACTACCTGTCCCCACGAAGCTCTTTTGTCCTTTCCAGCTGCCGATGTGACGGATTACAAAAAGAGGACGCATGGGGCGCAGCACTACACTGTCTCCAACGGTGTTCGAGAAGTTCAGCGGAAGCTTGCAGAAGGAATCGACACAAGGCTGTCAGCAATGGTGTTGGCCGTGGAAACACAGCCCCTTGCGGTCAGAGTTTGCTGGAGGCACACGGAAGATACCTATGGTCTGACAGTATGCGAGGAATTATTCGATAGAGTAATCCTGGCAGTATCCCCAGATGTTGTGGGGAAGGTCTTCAGGTCATTGCAATATGAGATGGCACAGATACCAACGGTGTCAGTCGAGAGCATCATTCATACCGACAACAACAATCTCGGCGAGCGACTGGGTCGGCTTGGAGGGCAGAACATAGCCGCGACAAACAGCCACGTCAAACACACTGCAGCCCATACAATACAACTTTGGACTTCAACGGAGAGGATCCACCGTACCGAGTCCATTCACGTGCAGCCATCTGGTGTCCTAGTCACTACTTGTCCCTTCAGCTACATAGATCCAGTTCATGTCATTAAAGCTTCGAAATTCACACGCGTGTTACGCACACCTCAAAGCAGACGCATCGTCAACAACATCTTTGGCAACTGCTATCCAATCGGAGCAGCCTATGGCGAGAAGCGGCGGCCTGGGTGGAAGAATGGAGACGGAATGGTCTGGCTCGTTGGCGGCTGGTGTTGGGACGGCTTGGTATTATTGGAAGGATGCACTGTGTCTGCAATGAGGGTCGCAGAAGCCTTCGACGTTCAGGTTCCCTGGCAGGACCCGGGCTTTGAGACAGCCTATAACGATCGATGATATTATGTGGTGATACTCAGAGCTGATTATGAGCCACATGCACACTCAACCTCGTGTGTTCCATCAATAACAAAACGCAATCTGGTTTTCCCGAGACTTCAGCGCGATTAACGCATCTCTCTGAGTAGACCGTCAATACTTTCAACACCATAAAGCCCGTGGGAAATGGGTTTGCGAAGCACGTGACCTTCAACCGGGAGTACCCGTCTTCCACCTCGCAACCCTCAATGACACCGTTCGCTCACACTTGGAGCTTAGTAAAAAAACCCTCTAGAATGCTGAAGACTGCTTATGGTGCTCTGCTCACGGTCATTGTCATCATTCTCGCGGTCGGCCGTCCTTGCGGTTGTTACATGTTCCTTGAGAGGCTATGGAGTCTCATCGGAAGCCATGCAATCTGCTTCGGGTTGGGCCTTCTGCTTTTCCCTCTGGCTAGACGTATCCTGTCTCGACACGCCGAACCAGGTGCAGACGGCCGCGAAGGCAATGACAGCGCGCTCTATGGTCTTGATCACGGAAGACTGAACATTGCGTTGCCGCCGCCGACGATGTGGATGAATATGGGCTACTGGGAAGTGCGTCTCTTCAACTAGGTCATACCGTAAATCCCGGAGAGATAGTGCATTCGGTTTTGTATACGGATCTCATGCTGATCACGTGCAAAAGACGACTTTGGACTTCCCCATCGCCTGCCGCGCCCTCCTCGATGAGGTCTTGATAACCGCCAAGCTTTTAACACCAGAAAGCAGATCTCTCCCCTCCAATCCACATCGCGCTCTGACTATCATCGACTTGGGCTTCGGTTGCGGTGATCAGACCATGTATCTTATGCAGAAATTTTCCAAGGCCATGCCTGCTGTTGATGCGCTCACTGACAAACAGCGCTTGCCTCTCATTGATCGCTACGTAGGCGTGACGCTGAACCTTACGCAATTCCAGTACGCCGAAAGTCGTCTGGCCGCCCTCGGCATGCTTAGCCGCAAAGACGCCAATCCTTCCATTCAGATCTTCTGCGCGGATGCCGCGCAGCCCGCTTCATGGAGCGAGGAGCTGTTCAGAGCCGCAAAAGCAAACGCAGCCTCTCCTCCGCCGCCCACGGACGCCTTCGAGTCGGTAATGCTTGGGGACAGCGCCAGCCGGGAAACATGGGTTTTGGCTCTCGATACCCTCTACCACTTCTCCCCGTCCCGACAGCCCATCCTCAACCACGCGTACCGTGAGCTGCAGGCCTCGCTGATGGCCTTCGACCTTGTGCTCGCAGAGGACGCATCGAGGCTCGATCGCGTGCTTCTGATGGCTGTGTCTATTCTTACTGGCACCCCATTCGCTAACTTTGTGACGGCAGTCCAATATCGCAAGATGCTGGTATTGGCCGGGTATGCCGATGACGGTATTGAGATTAGGGACGTCTCGGAGCACGTCTTTGCGCCGCTGGCCCGGTTTCTGAAGGATAGGGAGAGACAGCTGGGTTTGATTGGTTTGGGGATTGGCGCGTATCGCGTTGCAAGATGGATGTTTGGATGGTGGGGGAGGAGTGGGGTTGTGAGAGGCGTTATTGTTGTTGCCAGGAGATGATGGCAACAAGAGGTACTATGGACTCTGAATTCATAGCCGCGTGAGCCACATTGGGAACAAGTCCCTGAAGAAATGCCTATCGTGTTCGCGTTCATATACATCAGATTGAAATTCTTCAGTGTCCCCAAGAATTGGCTCCATTCATCTGCCTTTTTGTCTTTTTTACGTGGCTCAATCTCCCTTGAGTAAAATACCCCTCTCCGCCTTGGATTCACCAATCTCCCACCCCCCAGTCAATGCCCACATGCACCAACTCACCCAACACATGATAACATCCCAGCCAACACTACTGACAGCCGGATGCTCATACAGCGCCTCAAAGATCCCCCAGCTACCTCGAGCTTGCCCGAGCGCCTCCATCGTCACTTTCGCCTGCAGAAACAGAGCACAAAGAAGGATAATGCGGTAGGTATTTGCGTAATACCAATCGGCTGCTGATGACGATGTACAGTTCACACCCCAACTTCGAGGCACGGCACGGTGGAGCAGGGGAGGTACAAAAAGGAGAAGGTGCGGGGTAGACAGGATGGCAAGGAAATGAGACGAGTTGGAGAAGTATGGGATTGAGGCTACGCTGATGAGGGTGATGCCGAGGGAAAGGGCGTGGAGGATTAGAGGTGGTGTCCATGTCAAGGGTTTTGCGGCGGCTGATTCAGGCACCTGTGCTTGTCGTATCGGACCGAGCGAAACGGCCAGGAAGAACAGGTTCGAAGCGAAGGATACTGCAGCTACCTGGCCTAGTAGCATGAATGCCCATAGGTGCGGGATGCTTCGGCGGTGTCCTGCTCCAGGAGGTCAACGCCCAGACCTCTTGTAACGGAACTGAACGGTCTTGGGCGGAGTCTCTTACCTTCCTGACCCAAGAACACGCTCCATACCGCCGTGAAGAAGAAAATCTGCTGCGTCCACCAGAATCGAGCTGGCGTAGCGACGGCGGTTCCCCATGCCTCTTTAAATAGTTGAGTGTCTTTTAGCCAGAGGCCGAGCTCCGGGTCGCCTCCGAGTGTAACGTCGTGCGTAGATGCCCACTCACGGTAGGACAAAGAGAAGAAGCATAGCATGTAGTACCATGTTGTTCCTAGACTAAGGATTGCGAGAGTGGCAAAAAGTTGCACATGTTTGAAGGAGCGGATGGGCGAGGAACGGTGAGTTTGCTGCTTCGACGACGATGAGGACGAGGATTGGATAGGGAATCTGAGGTATAAAGTACGGAGTATGAGAATTGTGAGGGAGAGACAGAGGAGCATGTATGATGTGAAGATCGTGATGGGTCGGACATTGGGGATGCCGCTCTGGGGGTCATCGAAAGACATCTTATGGTTTAGAAGACTTATCAACACATTCAGTTAATTCTCGGACCTGGCTCTAACCAGGGTTGGGCAGATAGAAAGGTAGGAGGGCAAGGTATCAAACCTAGAAGGGTGGAAGATGAGCTTACCTCAGCAATTCTTTTTTACCTCCGAGCGCTCAGAACTGCCGAGCGACTTGCGGGGGCTCCGAGTGCGTGCTCAAGGCCTGAAAGGGCCCGTTGTAGATAATAGGTGAGGTAGTGGGTGATACGGGTGATGGACGGATAAGGCGTTGTAACGATGGAGTTGTTCTAAATGCAGGAAAGGGCTCAGCGAGGATAAAGGGGTTGAGAGAAGGCATCTGCGGCACGGCAAACGGGAGAAATTCCACTGCTATCGCCGATTGTCACGAAGATAGCCAGCCAAGGCTATCGCGTACACACACGTACAAAAAATTGGCATATACGTGTACATATGCACGAGGCCTATAAACATCTCCCAAAAACCGCTCTATCCAAGAGTCTCCCCACTAAGAAGCGAAGTTCAAGCCGTCCACCCAGGGACTAAGCGCACGCACTGCATGCCCAGCCAAGAAACCAGCTTACGCTGCTACCACCGCCTCATCGAACTACTCAGACGCGACTCTAGTAGTCATACTTCCCTCCCTTGCCATACCCCCTGCCGTTGCCCCTGCCATTTCCATACCCCGTCGGGCGCACCGGCCTCGACATCGTCACGAACCCCGTACTCGCAACCCCAGTCGGATACGCATCCGTGCCGTTGCCGGCGGCGGAGGACGGGTAGGGGTAGTAGGCCGAGCTGGAGGACTGGATTGGATTCTCGACGTGTGTTGGGGTCGGGGTTGCGGTCTAATCTCACATGTCAGCGAGCCGTCTTGAAGAGTGAGACGAGGAGATGGCAGGAAAACTCACGACGGTAACGAGTTTCTGCTCTGTGATAGTAACGGTGGTCGGGACGCAGCTGCCGCCCTCGGTGCTGCTGCCACCATTTCCGCTGCCTTCGGTGCTGCTGGGGCTGGGGCCCTCGCCATAACCAGGGAGGCCGGTGCTGCTGCCGCCGTTGCCGCTACCCTCAGTGCTGCTGGGGCCCTCGCCGTAGCCGGGCATGCCGGTGGTGTCGGGGTAGGCGGCCGAGGAGGTGACGTCGGCCTCCTTGACGGTGCCGATGCTGGACGATTCGGCGGGGACTGGGTAGACGGTGACGACGCGGGTGAGGGTTGAGGTCCGCGAGATGGTGGTCGTGGGCTCCGCGGCTGATTCTGTGGCGGCTGGATCGGTCTCAGTGGCATTGGCGTCGGAGGTGGGGCGGGTCATAATGATGGTCTGATTTGAGCGTGTTAGTTTTTGAATGCGCGCAGAGGGCTAAGGGGAGTACATACCTTGGTGGCGTATTGAGTCGAGGTGCGCCTGATCGTGGTGGTGATGACGGTGGTGGACGAGCCAGCGCCGAGCGTGAAGGTCAAAGTCGAGTTGGTGATTGAAGTCGCTATGGGAGTCTCGTCTGGCGACACGGAGGAAGCCGCAGAGGAGTGGACGCCAGTGCCAACTGGGTCGACGGCGGAGGACGACGGGTCTGGGTAAGCCCAGGATGAAGAATCTGCGTAACCAGAGGACGAAGAGCCAACCTCGCTCTTGGGGCAGACAGTGGTGGAGACGGCAATGACGCTCGTGACAACCTTGGTGGCGCCAGCTGGGCAGTTGGTAATAGTCGGCGCGCAGCTCGAAATGGTGAAGGTCGCGGTGGAGTAAATGGTAGAGGTGGTCATATCGGTGGGCGAAGCGGTCTCGCCGCCGGTGGGATAGCCGGTCATCTCGGTGGGATAGGCGTGGCTAATCGTCTCATTGCTATAGCCCTGGCGCGCGACATGCGCATGGCGGCGGTGAGAGTGCGCGCTTCCCAGAGTCGCAAGAGCCGCAACGGCAGCAACGGAGAGCTTGTTGATGAGCTGCATTTTGATGTGACTGGTTTCGTAGTGATGGTATCAAGGAATGGGTATCGGCGTTCAGGCTCGTGTATTCGTGCAGAGAGATGAGATGATCTAGCAGAAATCAATTCCGCGATGCTGGCTGCAATAACGACTGGACTGAAGGAATGACTGTTGCTTGAAAGAGAGTGACTGTCTGCTAGAGACGAAATGAGTGTGTGAGAAACGAAGTCTTGTGGGAAGAGACAGAACAAAAGAAGAGCAAGCGACTGGGGGGCGCAGTCAAGATGAAGTCGGGATGATTGCGTGCAGGAGTGGCCAGTCTAAGACCCCTGGCCGATTTAATCTCGCGCCTTGAAATCAGGAACAGGCTAAGACTGGACTGACTTGCCCTGTTCCAGGCGCACCGTTGCTTCGCATGGGCCATTGACGGGGTTGACGGGGTTGACAACGCCAATTGGAGACAGCGCTGCCAGCAGTTCCCGCAGCTTAGGCGCCCCGCATGGCAACTTTGCTCGGTGCTGGTTCTCCGTTCAGGGCTCGGGTCGTGCAGCTGCCCTCTCGCAAAGCTGCCGTACGACTGCAACCATCCGACTGTTGGCAGCGCATCGTCGACGGGTTTTCGTCGTTCTCCAGGGAGTCAACACCAGCTGCTGGGAGGAGTGCTCTTGGCCGGGTCATCTCCCAGCTGCCCTCGGATATTGGCACGGTCCCACGTCGTGCTTTCGCCGTCGTTTGTTTCTTGTCGCGCCAATCTCAGGCCTCATTTCGCTCGTGTCTCTGCGGCCTTGGTTGAAACTCGGGACCATGTCGTGGGCAGACTCTGCGCGAAAATCCAGCCACACCCAGACGTCGCAAAACGCTGGAGAGGAGCCTAAGACTGAGCGGCGCAACGCGCGGAAGCGAGCAGCTTTTAGGGAAGGGCAGCGTCATGTTTCGCAGCACGTTTCGGTCGCCAGCCCGGTGTCTTTCAGCTTGAGGCTGACGCTGGGACTGATGGGATTGGCTCCATAGCCGTCGGCGCTTGGCGCTCTTGTCAGTATCCCAATCATTCGGCTTGTCGGCGACGTCGTTTCAGCCTCAGCCGAGAGTTGGCGCCCGTGTCCTGGCATCTGGTTCTATCTGCGACGCGCTAAATCTCCTTCGTTCCGTCTATCGCGACACTTGCGATGGAGGAGGCGTGGAGTATGAAGGCTTCAATTGTATTTGGTGTGAGAGTTGGTGCGCATCGAAGAGAGCACTGATGCTCGGATGGAGATTCCGTGAGCCTAAGGCATGCAATCTCGAGAAGACGGGAGCTAAATCTCCACGAGAACATGTACGCAATAATTGTGGGTTGTCATGCCAATCGAAACAATACTCTCTCTATCCCCCGAGTCGTCTTTATCTTCATAATCTGCCCAGTTGCTTGGTGGCGACCCCAGCGACTGTGATAGCGCTGTCTGGAACCGGGATCCCGACGGCTATGTATCAGCACGCGAGAACCTCAGTCTGGGTACTGGGTCGTTCCCAGGAGAGGGGAAACCCGAATTAGGGGACGACTTGTCGAAGGAGGAGAGAACGGTGAAACGTCCTGATCCTCAATTGAGGTCCCTTCTTGAAAGCGATGAGGTTGAAGGAAGATAGAACCAAGAAGAATGTTGATTTTAAAGCCAAACCACGTCTCTCGTTTTTAAGACTCGTGACCGATTATGGAAAGCCTTCGGCTGCATGTCCAGCTACACCCATTATCCAGAGCTTCTTGCATACAAAAAACCCTTCGATGTCGTGAACTAATATGTAGCCCCAAATGTACGTGGACGCCTTTTCAACGAGCGCGCTCCGCTTGAACAATAAGCTCAAGTATCCAACAACCCCGGCTCCACCGCTCGTCCCTCACCTATCCAAACAGACATCCAAAAAAGAGCGTTAGCACATCTCCTACTTATCAAGCCCCTCAGCCGTATCCGCAACATCCCCAGCCGTATCAGCCATCTCCTTGTCCCCCTCTTCCTTCGCCCTCTCCTCCGCCTTCTTGATCCCCTCGTCCGCCTTACTCCCGCCCATCTCTTCAACCACCTTCTTGACAACCTCGACCGTGGCCGCCGGGCCGCCGCCCTCAACCGCCAAGACCTTGCCGTCCTTGGCGACGACGAAGACGCCGCGCTTGGTGCTCTTGGGCGGCTTGTGCATGCCGATGGCCTTGATGAGCACGGCCTTGGGGTCGCAGAGCAACGGGTAGGGCAGGTTTTGCTTGGTCTTGAAGGCCGTGTTTGCTTTGGGGGTGTCGGTGCTGAGGCCGTAGATGGCTAGGCCGGTGGCGGTGAGGGGGGCGTAGGCGTCGCGGAAGAGGCAGACTTGGGTTGTGCCTGGTTTTCTGTGTTAACCACTGGTGTGCGGTGGGGTAGATGATGAATCACGCTCGAGGCAAAGGATCAATTGCGCACAACGACGGTCTTTTGTCGCATGCCAAAGACATTTACGCGCAAGGAGTCGATGAGAACGGAGCGCGACGGGTAACTTACAACCAGGCGTCGAAGCCTTCGGGTACGTGAACAACACCACTCCAGCCTTGCTCTCCTCAACCAGCTGCTTCAACGTCGTCTTCGCGCCATCGTTCGTCTCGACCTCACCGCCGAAGCCCTCGAGATCAATCGTGCCTCCAGCAGCGGGCACGCCGCCGCTCGGCTTCGGCGCAGCTGGCGCAGCGGACTCAGCGGGCGCAGCCTCCGCGCCATTGGCGTCGGCGTGGGTCTCGAGGTCGTCGACCTTCGTCTCTGCAGGCGCTTCCGCGGGCGGCGCGTCGGCGGGCGGCGCGTCGGGGAGGGTCTCTTCGACGGGCTCAGCGGCAGCGGCGGCCTTACCCTTGGCGGCTTTGGGCGCTTTGGTGTTTGCGCCGGAGCCCTTTGCGGGCGCAGCGGACTTCTTCTTGGTTGCCTTTTCGGGCGCCGGCGGGGGCGTCTTGCGCTTGCGGAGTTCGACCATTGCGGTGACGCGGGGGTTTACAGGCTGGGTGAGCGCGTCAGTAAGGACTCGATCGAGACAAGAGGACCAAGGTCGCGCCGACTGAAGTCGCGGAGAATCGGATGGCTCGGGTTTGAAGCTGGAGCTGGAGCTGGAGGAGCTGGGGAACTGGGAACTCGCCCGCGACGCCAACGAGGCTGTCGCAGAGCGCGCTTACTTGCCTTGAACTGTGCGACTGTGAATGCGACTCCGCAAATTCCGTGTGTTGGATCGAAAGCGTAGACCCAGAACTGTGCGCGCGACCGATTCAATCGGATGCGGAGAAGTAAGCACGACGGGCTGGTAAACAAGCAGCCAGAGGAGCTGCCGTCAGGTGAGAGCTTGGAGCTATGGGCCTTCTCCGCCTGGGGGAGCGCCCTAAGGTAGGGGCATCAGCAGCCATTGCTGGGGTCCGCGGTGGAGCTCTCCAGCTCTGTCCAATGTGCTGCACCGCCCGATGGAGCACCGCGTTGCGATTGGCGTGGTTCGCTGGGCTGGCGTGGGCTGCCCCGGTCCGCTGCCGTGCCGCCTGGGCATTCAACTTCACTTCGTCAAGTACAGTCAAAACGTCGATATGGGGCGCAATTGCAAGGCATCTTCCAGATAAACTCCTTTTCTGGCTCTTGGTTGATATGGGAAGGACGGATCTAAGTACGAACGAGAGGAGCACCGTCGCGATAAGCCCTCCATCACGTAGACCGGAAGCCGGCTGACCCATCGCGGCTTCATGGCACATCAAGCCTCACTCACTGGTAGAGCAGATAAACATTCGTTCGGATAAAGTAGAGTTGAGGTGTCACGCGCAGCATGATCTCGCCATCCGCAAAGTACCCCACGGAGGCCCACACAAAAACCAATGCGAACCTTGGTAGCGTGTACCAAACTGTGATTGTCCAGCGGCACTGGAGTCTAGAGATTCCAGTGACCTCGACGACAGGTAAGAGCATAGCATGGGCAAGCATCGTTAAGCAGAGCGAATCAGTATGGTTGACAGGTCCTTCTCGTGTTCTGTCTGTGGTTGCTGCTTCCCGAAGAGATCATCGATAGTTCGCATTCACGCCTTCGTTTTCTGACATCAAATGCATCCACATTGGGTGGAATCCTGGGCTGGACGGGCTTTCTTAGTGCATCCAGCGCCACGGTAATGGAGTTCCGCTCAGACAGCATTCTCGCTTAGATGAAGGTACCGCACAACCGATGAGTGATGCTGTTACTTTGCTGAAGCATATAATCTCGCCCCTTTCCCACACTTTTCCGTCATAGTTCTCATCATCCTCTGTATGCAGAAGCACAAATCAAGTACAGACTCTATACAGCTAAACTATAACTCTTCTCCTCCCCTTCCAAACGTACAAAAGGTAACACATCCAATCTTCATCACTCCTTGCTCACTATCATCAATACCATACCGCCACGTCTGCGACGTCGCTGACAATTTCGAACCTCATCACTAACAAGTCCACGTAGCAAGTATGTCTGATACGTTCAGCAGCGAGCTCGAGCGTGCCGAGAAGCAAGCGTCGCATCCTAAGGATGCTGCATCGCTTGATCCCTTCGGCAGTGAAGTCGGCGCGGCGGTCGCTTATAAAACCTGCTCGTGGTGGTAATTACAGCTGCATATCTCGCTTCAGTTGACTGGCACTGACCTTCATCTAGGCATATTGGCGCACGTAAGATTCCTCAGCCCCTCCACGCATACAATCTATTGATTCGAAACCTAACCCCGATCTCCAGTCATGGTCGCCGAGACGATTTCTCTAGGCGTGCTTGGTCTACCGCACGCTGTGGCGATGCTCGGTTTGGTCCCGTACGTAACCATCACCATAATTCCGTTCTTCTCTGACAGCCGTGCTCCACAGCGGCATCCTCCTCATCGTCATCCTCGGCTTATATGCCACGTACACCGGCTACGTCATCGGCCAATTCCGCAACAAGTATCCAGCCGTTGCCAACTGGGCGGATGCTGCAGGCATCGTCGCTGGCCCATGGGCCTATGAGATCATCGGCCTTGCGTCGATCCTCCTTATCGTCTTCATCATGGCTGCGCACGTCTTGTCATTCTCCATCATGATGAACGTCCTCACGGATCACGCGACATGTTCGATCGCCTTCGCAGTAGTGGGCCTGGTTGTCTGCTTTATCGGAGGGCTCCCCAGGACATGGAAGAACATTTCCTACACCTCCATCGTTTCTTGTCTATCAGTCATCTTCGCCGTCGGCATTGCTCTCGTCGGCATCGCTGTCGCTAAGCTTCCGGATGCTGGCCACATCGATATCATCAATTACGAAAGCAGCCTCCAGACGAAGGTCATGGCCCTCATGACCATTATTCTTGCATACGCTGGCCACGTCGCCTTCTTCTCCTTCATATCCGAGCTCCGCGAACCGCGCGACTTCCCGAAAGCGCTCTTCTTCATGCAAACGGTCAGCACGACCTTCTACTGCTTCATGGGTGCCATCATCTACTACTACGCCGGCCCAACTGTGCTCTCGCCTGCGCTGGGCTCCGCATCACCGATCGTGCGGAAAGTCGCATACGGCATCGCCGCACCGACGATCGTTGTCGCTGGCGTGGTCAACGGCCATGTGGCGTGCAAGCAAATTTACCTGCGCGTGTGGAAGGGCACGGATGTCGTACACCAGAAGAGCTTCAAGGCAATCGGGAGCTGGGTCGGCATTTGTGCGGCGGTGTGGACGCTGAGCTGGGTCATTGCGGAGGCGATCCCTGCGTTTGATGCCATGCTTGCACTGATCGGAGCGTTGTTCTGCGGGTGGTTTAGCTGTAAGTACCTCTTCCTTCGCTCCCGCCCGCCATCGCTCTTGGGGTCTTGGGTGTGCAGGGCTAACAACGTTGGACAGACGGCTTCAGCGGAGTGCTGTGGATCTACATGAACAAGGGGAAGTGGTGGATCAGCAAGAGGAAAGGGTGCTTGACCGTGCTGAACGGTGCTATCTTTCTGTGCGGTGCTTTCATCGTAAGTTCTCTCGGTCATTTTACTGAGAAAGAAAGGGCCGGAACATTGTTGACCTCTTCGATAGTGCGGCGTCGGTCTCTGGGCTACGGGCACGGAGCTTGCGGCTGGCCACAGCGGGAAGTCATTCTCGTGCGCAGATAACTACCATCCTTCCAACTGAAGGTTGGGCAGATGTTGATCCACGGCCATATTCTTAGTGCATGACAGTGGCGAAGGCGTGGATGTTGGCTTGACACCGGTTGGAAGATCACGGCGCTGGTGCGGCGTTTGGGGGCTCTTTATTCTTGGGCGAGGATACCTTCGCAATTTCTACAATGCTCCAACGCAGGAGCGGATGGCGCTTCGGGATGGGTTTATTCGCTGTACATGAAAGCCCGGTTTGCTTGATTCCTTACGTAACTGGTGTCCGAAGACCTACTAGGTAGTAATGAGACATCTTCAAAACATATGGAGCGTTCAACAGGACCGCGTGCTAATGTCCAACAGCCCACCAGTCTGAGGATGCGGCATACAGTGTGGGCGTTGGACCCATCGACCAATCGATATGCTGCTTCCAGACCAGTTTATTAAGCTCCTCGTGTTGCATCATCTTCTCGACCTTGACTGCCTGTCAGGTGCGATGCAATTCACCCTATTCCCGCCGACCGTGATAACGGCTTTACCAATCCGGTCTGGCTCAAAAGTTTACGGAAGGTATAAACCAAACCCACTTTCCCATGATGGCGCAGCCCAGCAACATACCGCAGTTTATTTTGCTTTAACAGGATACAGCCGTTGTACAAACGGAAGACGAAAGTCCTCAGGAAAACATACCAGACCCTCCCAATCTGGTTGCGTCCACGGCAAGGTTCACCAGTCCTGAAAAAAAAAAACCCTCCCGCTCTAATCTGGAGAAGAATCTGGAGAAAGCATGTGCACGAGCAAAGCCGTTGCAACACCCCCACCACCTTCTACGCACTCCTGTCGTGCCTCCCCAAGCACGGGCGCTTGCCCACGAAAGTCCGGCTCCTGCGACAGCAACGTGGCACCGGCCTCTCCACAGCCAGTACGGCAGGTCTCCGCGGGATGGCTAGAGCTGTGACCGGTGTGTGTGTGTGCGTTACCTCGTCATACGAGCTGTAAATAGCACTCGGTGCGGGCCGGGTGTGCAACTACAACGAGGGAGGACTTCACAGAGATGCAGGTGGAGGATGTGAAGGGATGGTGCTACGAGCGCGGGGGTGGGATGTGGGGCGAGTAGAGGTGGGGTGTCGTCTGATTCTCTGGCGGGTTATAGAGGCCGGGATCCGATATAGCATCGTACGAGTTTTTTGCAAAAAACGTCTAAGCAAACATCCTGAAACGCGAGGTCGAATAGAAGCAGTCCCGTTGGAGGGCTTAACCGGCCCTTCAAGCCTCACATACATCGTCACAGCCGCAATGCAGAGTCAGGTATTCGAGTATAACAGCGTATCATATTATACCGCCATCACATTGATAGTCTGAACAAGCTATATGCTACAGCAGACCCTCGGCTACCACCACTGGCCGCTCCGAGGTATTTTGACAATCCAGACCCCGTGGCGGCACCGCCAAAGACTGCCCCATATTGATACAGCAAACGAACAAACACCACTTTTGAGCACCACCAAACACCGCCCGTGGCCTCCGGCTGCGCTTCTCCCGTCCCAGCGCAAAAAAGGTAACTGATGGGGGTATAGCCGCCGCGAACGCTTCACACCGAGCGCGCATGACAAAGGAAAGGTAAAGGTGGCTGGAAGAGCCGCGGACAAGCGTGGTCGCGTGAGGACAAATCGTGCAAGATCCGAAATATAGTCTATGTGGTTCCTGTGCGACCGAGATGCGCCCTCTTTAGGTCTAGAAGGTAGGCAACAAAGGGAAGTCGTGATGAAGGAGAGACGTGGGCTTCGTGTGTGAGCGCTCGGGTGGGTAGTTACGAGATTCGTTGATCATGATCCGTGGAAAAGGTTTTATTTTTACAGCACCGTGAGGAATGGGGTTCGTATGTACAGAGCGTGGGGGGGATGCCGATCACCTCCTTTTGGGGGCGCGAAGACCGAGCGCGGATCGTCCGAGGAGCGCGCCGGGTTGCCTGATGTCGCTGAAGAATCTGATGAAGGCAGCCTTCTTGGACGGCCGGGGTTGAATCTGCGACGCGAGTTGCACCATCGGGCCAACGATGTCTTCGTCGCCGAGTTTGGGGAATTTGCCCTCGCTCTTGGGATCGTGCAGGGCGGGCGTCTTGATGATGGGCGCAGGTTCCACAGACGCGGGAACCGAGGGCCGCTGACCCATCTCAGCCGCCTTCGCAACGGCCAGGTCATGGTTTCTCTTCCACTGAGCGTCCACCTCATCCCATTTCTTTTCCGTCAGCTGGAAGGCTTTCGACGTCTCGCCGTAATGCTCGCCCGTCCGCACTTGGTGCTTCGTGTAGTTGAAGCGCGCAGCTTCCCAGTCAGCAAACAGTTTGTGACAGCTTTCCGCGTTGCAGTTTTCGGGTAAGTAGGGCTCGGGGTAGATGGTGAAGTTTGCGTGCCCCAGCTGGTGCGACCACTTGTCGTCCGGATCCGCAATCATGATCGGTGAAAACTCCGCGGACGCAACTGTGTGCCCGTTGAATGACGCCATCGATGGCTTTGCAGACAGCGCAGGCGTTGACATCCCTGGTATCTGAGGTGTTGGGGTTGCCGAGCAGGAGCCAGCTATGGTTGGGGACTGCAATGGAGATTGTACCGGCTCCTCTTGGGCGGCGCGTAAGTCGACCATGACTGGGGGCAGTAAGGGTGTAGATGCTAGCGCATCGCGGTCAATGGGCTCCTCGACCTTTCCGACCATCTCAATCGGCGAGGAAGGTAGCTGGTCTTCTTGCCGCTCAGAGCTGCTGGTCCTGGAGGGAGACCATTGTCCGTCGAGTTGGTCAATCGCAGGCGCGAGAGAGCCAGTGATGGAGGATGAGCGGCTGGAAGGTGCAAACGAGGGTGTCGGTGATCGTGTACCCTGCGTGATCATTGTGGAGGACCTCTTCCTTTCGGACCATCGCTTGGAGAGCGAGGGGAAACGGTTGCCGAATCTGGTTGCAATACTGTTTGACGGGGATAGCCCCGACCTCCGTTTCTTGGCCATGTGTTGACTGGAGAGGTCGTTCTCAGCGCCGAAGAATCCATCCGAGAAGTCGTACTCTGGGCTCGAGGACAGGACGACCGTTGATCGCTGATCTGCAGGACCGTGGCGCGCGCATACTTCCACGTCGCCTATGAAAAGTCAGTACGAGTCGCCGCAGAGTTTTCTCGAGCATCAAACACCTACAGAGGCAAGGTGAGAGTGGTTCCGGGTGAAGCATGACGGCCTCGGCTTCTTGGTCGACCGGCTCTTCCGTTAACTGCGGAAGCTTGGTTGCGGAGGCGCCCACATCAGGGTGCTCAAAGAGCGGCGGACTGGATGATAGCGAAGAAGTCGAGCTTGGGAACCTTGAGTGGCCGCGCAACGAGAAGGTAGGCGTGAGCGGCGTGGAGCATTCGGAGGCGGTTGCAGAATGGGGCAGGTTGAGCGAATTCGTCGAGGCGGCAAGCTTTGGAGACATATTGCTGTCAGGGTTTTCGAAGTTCGCCGAGTTCCTGACCGCGACCAGTTTTGGGAGCATGAAAGGTCGCATCATTGTCGAAGTCCCGAGTCGCTGTTTTCGCGGACGTCTACCGGGCAGGCATCACCGTTTAAATCTTGCTGTCTGCAGGCGCAGAGGGTCGAGGCAGAGTTCCCACAGTGTATTCCCGTCCAGACTCGGATTTGTGGCGGGGCGCGGTGGGTTTGAAGGGTGCCACGACCTGGAGGTACACGTAGGTACTTTGAACCGCTTAGCAGGTTTTGTTTCGTTGCGAGAAGCTGCCGACGAATTAGCACCGCGGCAAGTCATCCACAACGGGCGAACACGTGAATCGTGGGAGATCGTGGAGAATCATGGGTTGGCGACCACACTGGCAGGTTTCACGCACCTCTGTGCACTTGAATGTTTCGAGCTGAGATAGATGGTCGGGTGAATGAGCGAGGCCAGTGGTGGGTGGACGTAAGAGGAAGTGTTCGAAGGAGTGACGGTCTCACGGGATGGTGCTTGTTGGTTAGAGGCAAAGGGCTGGGGACCGGCACGAATTTTGTGGTCCACCGGCTGTCCCTCTGCGGAGAAGACTGCCCAGGTGCTTTGGGGGGGTTCGACGGCAGAGAGCATGGGTTTACAGGCGCTAGGGGCTCAAGCGCTGTGCTCTACTTGTCCAGGGCGCAGGAAAGTACTCCAGCGAGAGGATGCATGTACTTGCCGGTCACGGCGTGCGACAAACAGGCCCCGACCATGACAGACAGGATTCTCTGAGCGGGCCGCCGCCGCGCATGTTCCGCTCCAACGCCTGCATCCCTGCTGGCTCGCAAGGCCAAAAACTTCCCTTGCAACAGGGAAGGGGGGAAGAGGGGGGGAGGGAACATGGAGGGTTGGGGAAAAGAGGGTGTCGAGGAGCCGACGCCTTAGCATGCGCCCAGGAACGCCTCACAGCAGAAGCCGAACCGCCATGGAGATTCTGGCCATTTCCTGTTCCCCCCAAGCGCTAGCCGTGAAACAGCCGGCGATGCGCTTGCGCAACATGGCCGCGCTCTTTCGCCGTTTAACAGCATCACGCTGGCCTTTCGCGGCTTGAAAAGCAAAGCGTTTCCTGCGTTGGTCGGCTAAGCCGAGGAACAGGAAGCGAAAAGGAAAAAGCGCAGCTCGTTAGAACCTTCCACCGCTCGACAGGCATCCCATGGCCATCACGCCCACTCGTCTCTCCGGCTCGGCGCCCAATCCTTATCGATTCTAGCTGCAGTCCAAAGAAAAGCTGTCCCGCTACACCAATGGTGTTGAGCTTCTGGCCGCGCAAGCGTGGCTTGAGTGTTTCGTAATCATCGCCGTGGGGTCGAAGTTGTCGACGGAGCCAATCCGGCACTGTGAATTCTCGATGATTGCGTGCATGGCGAAAAACTGGACCTCAGACGAAGTATTCCCGTCCTGGTATTCGGATACAGGCCCCCCACACACTCCGTTGTGGACCTGAGGACGGAAAAACACGATGCTGAGGTTTCCTTTTGCACCAATTCTTCAGCGAGGGGAAATTGCTGCAACCGACCCCATCGTGGCGCCTCAAGGCACGGCAGACACCAGCCGTTGAGCGCGATAGATCGGCGCCGCCCTCTGCTGCAAGCACTTTGTCCCACCCGACCTTTCCCTTGTCAGAGTTTCGCTAGCCAGGATTGGCCCTGTTGACGTCAGGCACGAACGACAGGCATCGCCAACCAATCGCGGCAGCCCATCCGCACCATGGCTTCGCGGGTTCCTGCAATGCTGACGCTCCTCGTCTTGCGATGCATCGTTTGTGCTCTCTCGCCGGCTAAGCACTTGGGCACAGTGGCTGCCACTGTGCCCCTTGCTCCGCGATGTCACGGCTCGGCTCTCGACACCGTTTAGTGGCTTCCGAGCGCGCCTGGAAGGATGGAGTGACCCGCGCTAGTAGGACGACCATCTGTTCCGGCCAGCCGCCGACGCGGCACAGAAGCGTGTGACGAAACACTCTGCAACAGGTCAGGTGATTGGCGCTGTTGCTAACATTTAGTCCCTTCTTGCTGTGAATCATTGACCAAGCGCTAGCGGTTAGTTCGTGGGTTATGTAAATATGTTTCAGATGTGAGCTCAGCTCAAGACCACGAACTCTCATGTTCGGCGGAGGAGCAACAGATTGAACGACTACCATGCAATACTGGCATGGTATTGTCGGTGAGAAAGTCCATATCCACACAACGGACGATCGCTTCTGCAGCTGTCAGTCAACGTGGCGTACCATGATTAACCATTCCTTCTGCGAGTTACCGAACTCTTGGCAGTCAAACCACCAACCGCGCGAACATTCGTTAGCTTTGAGCAAGGGGATCGCCGTCATTGCGTCTCTAGCGAAAGTCAATTCCTCGCAGCCCTCTCCACTTTTCGCGTTTTTGACAGTTCCGGCTCCCGGACCAACAAAATGAGATTCCGCTGTCACTTTCGTGCTGGAGGGATGATCGTTGAAGAGCTGGAGCGACATTTGATGCTACAAACACAATTGACCAACGGATACTTCGCGGCTACTCCTCCTGTCCCTGGAGGTACATGCGATAGGCGACCGTCAAACGGCTCGCTTGTGAAGAAGCCGAGCTTTTCTCGCAGGGACCATGCCGTTATCGCGGCTGAGCTGATGTGCAGGGAAGTGCTTGCACGAGTCGGAGAATTTGACCAGTCGCTAAATCCAAAACTTCCTCCAGATGTTCTCTTCTTCTGGTGTTCCCTTGAACTTTGCACAAACAAATAAGAGTCAGTACGGACAGCTTTCCGACGTGCGGGTGTTGGGCACCGCTGGACCTACCGTGAAGTCCACCTTCGTGATGTCCTGAAACCCTTCTTCCAGTTTTGGCTCCCGATACCTTGAGGCGAATCCCGTGAACGCTAGTTTCGGCAACATGGCCCTCTTTTCAGGGTTCATCTGAGGTTGCGTTAGCTCCGTTGTCGTTCACAGGGAAGTACTTATTGACTTTGTTGGGAAAATCCTTGAGGGGAGATTCCCTAAAAATACAAACGTCCGAACACGATTATGGCAGAGTAGCAAACAACATGTTGGGCAACTTACGGTAGCGTTCAGTGATCGGACCACATCGTTGTGTTCGCAAAGCCTTGGGCTTGCTGTAAAATGTATGCATCGAATCGGCACATTGAAGTTTCGCGCCAGCTTTACCCAGTGCGCCCTCGTATCGGGATCAGGATTGGTGTTATCTGCGACGAGGAAAGGTCAGTCAAACAACACTGCGACACAACTGATACTAGAATTTGACATACCCACAACGACCGCAGTTCCTTCCTTGACGAGCTCGGCGGCTTTCTTCAGACATTTCTCGCGCTACAGGACAGGAGGTTACTCACAGCGGAAAGGGACCGCGAAGCACAGGGTGGTTCGACACGGGAAATAGACTTACTGTTTTTAGAATGTCCTGGTTGATCCGCTCATATCCAAGCGGCTTGAGGTAGTTCCAATAGAAAGTGGATTTGCCCGCTCCTGGGCTACCACAAAAAAGGACAACGTCGAGTGGATTTTCCTTTAAAAATATGACCGAAGCTATTGATGCACATCATATTTTAGACAAGTAGCCACAGGCGCTAACTGAATGACGGCAGCTGTACTTACTGGCATCTGCAGAGCTTGTTGCCCCATTGTTGAGGTACTTGGCAGGATCGAACTCTCGGACAAAATCCTTCGGCTCCTCTTCCAGAAAGTATTCCTCAGGTGTCAAAAACTTTATGCCCACGTTTGTCGCAAAGTCTCTTGCGCGGAGTCAGCCCCAGATGCCGAACCAAGCTTCTCCCACATACTCACCTGTCGCAGCATGAATGATCCTTGGACACGCCGCCGCCTGAGTAGCCGGTACGACCTCCGGCGTCGCCCACAAAGAAGGACGCATCGAGATCAATTTGATGCGCCGCTGTCAGATGGAAGTCCTCAAGTAGCTGTTCCCACATGCCCGTGCGCGGCTTGCGGAAACGATCTCGACTGGTTGCAGCGTAGATGCTTATCGGAAGATCGAGTTGGGTGAAGACTGCAGTCACTTTGCGCTTGAAATCCCCGAGTCGTTTAAGGTCACTTTTCAGGGACTTGGAGTCACTCTTGAGGCTAATGCCGCCCTGATTGCTCAAGATGACGACAAGGTAGCTGCATGCACGAGGCGGATGGCTTAGCGGGCTGAAACATTTGACCGGATGCGGATATCTAGGAGGCGTAATCGTACCCATCATGGTGTAAGCTTTGCAGTCGACTCAGCACGCTGGGCTGCCACCACTTCCAGTCTGTTGCATCCCGTGCAAATCGGAGACCCGAAGCGGACGATATGAGCGTCGAGTCCTACAGCGTGTTACGGCAGTAGTTAGTTTCAGCACCGTCAGACGGCTGTCGAGGGCGTGTCAAGGACATGCTGACGGCGTACACACAAAGTCAAATGCTGCGACTTTCCGCCTGCTGTGCTGTGCCGGTCGATTTGTTGGCGCTGGCTCGGTCAGGTAGCGGCCGACGAGAAGGCTGTCATGCACAATGCGCCATGTAATCTTCTCGGGCTCTTTCTGCGATGCTGGCGTGAAGAAACTCGCCACCGCCTTCTCTTGGAGAGCGTCAGCACACTGCAGGAAGAAACATGTCAGAAGAGAGATGCAGCGTACCAGTGATTGATGATTGTGCTTTTCGCTTTACAGGCGGTGGAGAGACGGAACCGTCTTCCGTCGAGCTTCTCTTTAACCCGGTAGACTTTGCAGGAGACATGTGCAGCGAAGCTTGCACTATCGGGTACCAGCGTTTGGAATGAAACGAGGCACAGCTTTTGGGGCTCCGCGATAGTAGTCACAGGGAAGGTGAAAGAACATAGAACGACATCCTTGGGGTGGTGTGCAGGGTGGGAGTTGACCGCGCAGAGCACTGCGGTCACGACTTCACGGTCTCACGTGCAGGCCTAAAACGCGACTACCCGATTCACCGTTGCAGTGCAAAATAAGCGTTCGCAACAAGTGTATTAGACGTCTGGGTCAACAGATCATGGAGAAATCTATTTTAGACCAGCTAAGCGACGCATCAGTGAATTTTTGGAGTTCTCAACGACACCATCCCTATCTATTGGGGTATTCCAGAGAAAGTAAAACATCCTGAGTATCCTTTCATCATAGGTTCATACACTAACGCACAAAACACCAAGACAGCTCCCTAAAATTCCGCTGACTGACACGCAAAGAACCTCAATCAGATCCCGCCCAGCACAGGCAACTGAACAGTCTTCTTCTCCTCGACCTTGTGCTGCAAAAACTTGACCCGCGTATCCAGAGAGAGCCTGTTGGCAGGACTGAGGTCGACAACTCCCTTCATCAACTGCTTGAGGCCCATCAATTCTTCGGTTCCTTTTCTGACCATCTCCGGCTTCGTGCCATCCTGGAGGCGAAAGCACGCCCGCAAGATGTAGGAACCACTTGGGTCAAGGGGGACAAGCGCATCGAACGCCGGAAGAAGGTGTCTCGGAGAGTGGTCCGGTGTGGTTCCGGGAGGTAGACGCAGGATACGGTGCAGTAGAATAACGATGTCCTTATGGAGAAGCCGGTGCCCCTCTAGGATATATTCAGAAACGTAACTGTTCACGATCAGAGAACGTTCCAATGTTCAACGAGGAAGGACTTGGAGATGTACCTGTAGCCGAGTGCTGTCATGTACTCATGCGGATTGCCGTCAACGACGTCAGTCGTGGCTGTATATCTCAACGTAACCGGCCGCTTGTCACCAGGCTCTGGCAGATCGTTGAATTGTATTACCCACGAGCCTTGAACTCGACTCACCTCCCCATCATCAGGGCCACTTCGCCCAACATTCGTATCTCCTGATGATTGTGCATCTTCTTTCGCGCCGCGGAAATCTTGCTCGGTGAGAGTCTGAACGAGCTGCGTGTAGTACAGATCTTTGTTGAGCTGAGTCAGAAGAGCCTGCTGTCTCTTATCCTGCAAGCCCTGACTGCCCCCCGTCTGAGCTTGCTGATACCGGTCTGCTGTGGGTCTGTATGTCACGTGCCGTTCCAGTACGCGCCGCGGTGGCATGGCAGCAACGCCGGTGAGGACACTGAGGACCTGCTCATGGCGCTCACGAGGCACCTGCCCGAAGAGTAGCAGCTCGTGCATCGAGACTGAAAAATTTCCTAGATAATTGGCGGATCTAGACTGGTGGACAACGCTCCTGATGCTGCTCAAGCGCTGTTCATTGCTAGCAGATTAAAGAGTGTGGAGCGGCGATCCGACATCGGCATTGAAACGATAGTTGGAGAAGAAGACTAACGGTGTAGAATTGAAAGGAGAAGCCGAAGCAACCTTCTCTGCCGGCGAAGCAATTCCATGGTTTGCTGTATTGGTGAATTTGGGGATGTTTCAGAGAGCTTCCAGATCACGTGACTGGCATCGAAGAGCGGAAACCATTGGCGAGCCGCATCCCGTCTGCTTCAGAACGCCCCCACTGTCTCCACGGCCGCTGGCGGGCAGGTGCTACCAGAACACGCGAATCTTTTACCAAAGTAGCGACATCGTATCTTCAAGCTCTCTTAATCCGACAGGACGTCTCCACAGCCGCAACAAGCGTCCGCAAGTCCGAGCGGTAACGGAAAACTCCTTGAGCATTGACCTTTTATCGCATCACCGGCTTTTTGAGGGCTCGCACGCCCGCTCGAGCTGGGAACCGTCGCAACTTCTCCAGCTCCTTCGCGCTCCTCCATCTTCATAAATTAGAACACGGAGCTTCGGCCTTCCTGCACCCCAGTTCGACCTTTTCGCCTATCTGACTTTTACATTTATCCGACCAGTAAAAGATCAGTCCCGCACGCAAAACCTCCAGCCCCGGTACTTCCACCGCCATCCCGCTCTCTCGTAACAACTGCCCTCGAACCACACTCACGATGAATGCAACACGCGTCCTCCTCCAGCAGCACCGCCAGCCCATGATCCGCTTCCTCGGCAAGCGGACAGTACCACAAAGTGCGCCTCCCCCCATCCTAATCTCCCTCTGCTCTCCTACTAAATCTGTCCCTCCACAATAGAAGTCGATCACACACCCCACGCGCATCCCGCTTCTCCCACTCACAGCCTCCCCGAATCCTTCGCCAACTACCGCCAGAAAGCGCAGCAGCACGGCCCGTTGAACCCGCAACAACGCACGCAGTACTCGACAGGCCGGGGCGCGGTGGGAAGTCATTCAGGCAAGAGCTTGGGTCCGGTCGAGCCGGCGAAGGGCGAGTTTTTTGATCGGAGTGAGCTGCCGGAGCGGTTTAGGAGGCTTAAGTGGACGATGGCGGAGATTGAGGCGGTGGAGAGCGGGGGAGCGAGTTTGTATGTTTGAGGGGAGGTGTGGGGAAGGGGCTGTTGGGGGAACAGGGAGAAGAAGGTCTATAGCGGGACTGTGAGAGCTGTGCTGAAGAATCTCTTTGTGCATGGGTCAGGATATATCAATACAGTCTGGTAAATATCCAACGAGGAAATGCTACATGTTGAACGCATTTATGCGATTGAGCCGAGAAGAAGGCCACAAGTCGACAGCTACGACAGCTTGGTGCCGATCTTACTACGCCCCGGATGTCACTGTTATTAGCTTTGGCCAAGCACTCGGCTTGATCCGCTGTATACTTTTTTCAGCGATCGATGCTGTTGCCGAATGCGGATAATTGTAGAGAAGAACCCATTGTTGTCGCAACAATCACTTGGCAATACCAAACCGCTTCAGAGACAGCCAGCACGAGACACAGAATAGCAGCTGCAAATGATCACCCCTGCCCATTGCTGGCGGTTGTTTACGTGAGAAGTCCAAGACGTTCTGCATCCTTCCGCAGCTGTCTCGCTTCCCGCACCTGCCTCCCTGCCTTCGACTTTCGTTTCGTCATCCGGCTTTGAGGGACCAACCTCCAGCTTTGTCGCCTGGCAGTCAGTTTTACTTCACCATCATCTTTGCCATTAATCCTCTTACTCTTAGCCAGCCCATAGTACAGCAGCATCAGCACCTTCGCTCGCTGCGACTATCTTGCGTACACCCGTTTATCCGAGGGTACGATACTGACAGCAGGTGCGACTCCTGCATACGAGAGTCTTTGAGACTGTCCTTTTAAACGCATCACGCAATCCAACTTCCGGAACAACTAGGCAACCCCTCCAGAAATTATGATGAGCCACTCCTCAGAGACCGAGGAAGATCTCGCCGCCCTCCCTACCACGGCTGGCATACCCGAAGAATCCGACCCCATGAGCCCCTCCTCAGACGACGCGCCCAATGCACCACCCCCTCGAATCGCCGCACGCTTCTACCGCTACAGCAACAGTCGACGTAAATCCTCCGCCGCTTCCTCCCGCCGCAACTCCATATCTTCCAGTCATTCGCACCTCTCGAACCGTTCGAATCGCGGCAACTGCCAGAGCAACCATGTCGCGCAACACCTTCGCCGCACCTCCATCCTCGAGAATCGCAAAGCGCGACTCGCAGCCCGAGAAGCGCATGCGGAGCAAGTCCGGCTGCGGGCAGCGCTGGCGAAAGCGGCGCCCAGGAACTCGAACAGCGAGGAGAGGGCACAGGCCGCAATGCTAGCACGCGAGAAACACTTGGCGCAGGTTGCTGCGTCATGTGCGGAAGAGGTGCGGAGAGCGAAGAAAGTAGCGGAGGAGATGAAGGAGCGGAAGGCGGCCGAAGAGCAGAGGTATAGACTTGGGATGGAGGAGAAGATGGCTGAAGCCGAGCGGAGACGCGCGGAGTACATGCGGAATGGGCGGAGGCTGAGAACAGACAGCGTTCCGGCTTCAGAGTCGAAAAAGCCCACAGTCGAGGATGCTGGTATGCTCGATGAGGCATCAGCAGCTAGACGGATCCAGCAAGCATGGCGCACTCGGCGAAGGCGTCGCATCGTGGAGGACTACCTGGCTTTGGGCCTCTCCATCGACCGTGTACACGACACGAGTTTCGAAGAGATTGGGACGCTGCTCCAAGAGGAGAAAGTGGTATCGACTACTGGGAGGATCATGGCGTTTTTCGGCTTGCAAATGATAGACGACACCGCCGTTGCGAAGAGAGCAAGCGTGCGGACATTCCTTAGCGCATATCTGATATTGGGCCACCCGGCTCAAGTCCTGAGCAAAGACGGCGACCAGGAGCAAGATCTCATGAACAAGGCCAAGGAACTGATGATCACTTTCGAGTCGGCTTCGTCTAAGCTCTCAGCATCGAATCGCTATCTCCCTACACCCGAGGCATTGGAGACCATATCACTAGTGCACACTGCGTACACCACCGCATTCGATGATTGGAAAGCTCGAGACTCATCCACGCTCATTGAAACTATGGTAGCATCGTTCGTCAACCTCGACGCAATATGGCAGACAGTCAAGGATGACACTACCGGGAGCGTTGCCGACGACTACCGCGAGGGTATCCGCAACAACCAGGCCATCCTTCTTGCCCGGATACGAAAGCTTGCAGGCCAGGACAGGGCAGCAACGCTAATTAAGAAAGCCATTAGGGAAAGCAGGAGGGCGAGACCCAAGCGACGCTCCGCTGCGGAGGTCAGACCGAGGGCTGCAGAAAACTCGGCAGCTTCAAGCCCAGTAGAGGCGACTGAAACCGCATCTGCCGCTGCAGAGGTTGTCGCACGATTAGGCAAAGCGCGAGACGTCAAAACTAAGGACCGTGAATCGAACGCACTGTCGGAGCTCTTTTCCGCTCTACCACCCAACCGCATCTTGGTGCACGAGCTAGCGATTGACAAAGAATACCGGATAGAAACATCGCCGCGGTCACACCTCCGGAACGCTGCCAACCGCGCGGTGTGCGATGGCATGCGCCACGGCTTCGCGCAAGGCGAAGGTGACAAATGGACTGTTGCAATGGCAGACAACATTCGATCAAAGCTTCTTCACATTATGAAGCCAGGTCACTCGCTGCATCGTGTCATTTCGGAGGCCCTGGACCGCGACCACATCATGACTCAGTGCCAGCGAGGGATGTTCTCCTACGAAAAGTTCTTCTCCTTTATGGCCTCCATCCTACCAAAACTGTGCGCTCCATATCGCGACGAGACGGTCAAAGCACTAGCGGAAGAGCTCGAGCAGCCAGGCAACCTTGAAGAGTCGATCGAGAAGCTTTTCAAGCTCCTGCACGTTATCGACCTCATCCACCTGGATTACTCCAACTACATGCTCAAACAATCAGCCCCCCTCCTAATCAGAGAATCCATCGGTTACGAACACAAATGCTTCGGCGACGACCTCTTAAGCGGCAAAATCACCCTCGAGAAAACCAAACGATGGTGGACCAACGCCGCCGTAAACTGCTTCACCGAAGCCGACCGGCGCGACCCCTGGGACAGACCCATGGCGGACCACAACCGTCCGACCTCCCAAAAGATCTACGCCCGCGGCCTCGTCGACCTCGCCACCGCCCCGCCACCCCTCCAGGACTCCGAACTCCCTGAAACGCTCCACCTCGACAAATCCCGCATCTCCCGCATCCGCTTCGATGCCGTGCGCATCGCGACCGTAGGCGCGATCCTCCTGACCGCCAAGAACCTCCTCAAGCGCGACGTGCGATCCCAGTGGAAGGCCGAAGCGAGCCGCATGTGGGAGACGCTCAAGGACGGCTATCTGCGCGACGACGGGACCATGTCCGCGCGCGTGCTGTCGATCATCGAATCTTCGCACGCCATGCCCGCGGCCACGAAAGCGCAGCTCGGCTCCACGATCGCGCGGTTCTTGACGCAGGCGGCTGATGGGCGCCTTGCGGATCCGGTGGTGAAAGTGCTGTTTCAGCGCCTGCGAACGCATGTGTTTGGGCGGGTGGCGGCGAGCACGAGTGGGGAGAGGGTTAGGGCCGCCAGTCAGGCGAGTGAGGGCCTCGCCAGCGCGGGGTTGCCGGAGTTTGTGGCTCAGGTCGGAGAAGTGGTCGAAACTCTTGCGAGGGTTAGTGAGGTTGATCGGAAGAGTCATGGGTTGTGGTATGAGCAGATTGCGAAGGAGGTCGAGGCGATGGGCGATAGGGAGGTGGCGGCTGTGCAAGGGGCTGCGTGAGGGGTTGTGGATGGGTTTCGCTAGTATGTGATTGACGGGTGGAGATGGCGCTGGTGGGCTTTCTGGGTATACCTGCAGGCATGAGCATGAGCACGGCACAGGGCGTTGGCTTTGGCACACTTTGGCTTCCGCGGAGGTCAGCGAGAGGCTGGATCCGGTCAGCGTTCGCTCGAGATGGAATCGATAATTGTCGACATTTATTGGGGGGGTTACAACACTAATTTATACCCCTTATGGTACTTCGCTTAGGCCATTCATTCAATGTATCGAAGACTTGTGCTTGTCTTGAGTAATGTGTCCGCTGAAGACTGCTTCGGGAAGGTCAGCACGTCATGCCTACGGTAGAATCAGAGTCCTGAGAGATGCCAGGGCCGTCAAAACTCACACGCTCAACCCCGTCCTCCTGCCAACCTAGGAGCTCATGAGGCTTCTCGGCGCGATCCGTTAGTGCCCGTGATCCCCAGGCCACTGACGCCATGCTGAAGCTCCGAAGCGCTCGCGACACAACATCCCCAAGCTGAGCATCCAGCTCCGAATTGGATTCCATAAACCTTAGCCAGCCATGGCGCTCATCCAAAACTGGCTCCCGCCCTCGCGCGAGAACTGGGAGCTTATCGCTTGGGGCTGGCAGTTCTTCCCTCTCGTAAGCCCCATGTCTTTTGCTACAGTACACAACACACCCCAAAGCTAACCCAGGTCCCTTAATTAGTTTACAGCAATCCAATGGCTCAACTCGTATTACCCCGCGGGCAAAACCTCGATAAACTCGCGCCTCAACCTCCCCGGAAAATGGGCGTGGGCGACAATGGAGGCGCCGGGGTTCCTCACACTGCTCTATATCATGTGGAGCTTGCCGCAAGAGCTGGGGCTTGAGAGGCTGCCGTGGGAGAACTGGATTATGGCTGCATTGTTTGTGTGTTGCCTGCCCCTTCGCCTCCTGCCTTATCGTCCCTACTGTGCACATTGTCCCCGCGCCGCCGTCGGCCGCTAGTTTTTGACCCGCATCGCAATTGCTTACTCATTGACAGACGACACACTACCTCTACCGCGCCCTCCTGTACCCCTACCTCGCCCTCTCCCTGTCCCCAATCCACATTTCCGTCTGGGCCCTCGCCGTAGCCTGGCAACTTCTCAACGCACTCTCGCTCGGCGGCTGGCTCGGCGGCCACGGTCCCACCACCACTTACGACTGGGCCGGGAAACTGTACGCGATCCAATTTGGCATGATCGTCTGGGTGTGGGGTTTCCTGGGGAACATTTTCCACGACGACGATTTGCGCGAGATTCGGAGAGCGGCGGGACGGCGGCAGGCCAAGGCAGCGCGGCAACAAGGGCAAAGGAAGGGAAAGAATGGGAAGGCAGAGGGCGTGGACAAGGTCTACATGATGCCGAAGAACGGCCTCTTCAGGTGGGTGCTGTATCCGCACTACTTATGCGAGTGGATCGAATGGGCGGGCTTCTGGATCGTGGGGGGCTGGGGGTGTATGCCGGCGAGGAGCTTTTTGGTCAACGAGATCGCGACGATGACGCCCAGGGCTGTGCAGGGCTGGCATTGGTATGTGGAGAGGTTTGGGAGGGAGGAGGTCGGGGGTAGGAAGGCGGTGATTCCAGGGATTCTGTAGGTGGATCGGGAAGCGGGCTGGGTGTTCTGGGGGGTTCTGTATGCAGCGCTTTTTATGGGATACATGAACAGTTTGTATAGAAGGTCCCCGTATTGTGATGTGATGATTGCTTGATCGATGAGACATGGAGCTGCCAGTAAAGAGCTCTGAGACAGCATACAATGGGCATTTTGCGAGCCCGCAGCCAGCAACACGCATCCTACGGCGGTCTGAAGCTACAAGTACTTGGCCTTCAGGACGTCTATGACCATATCTTGCTATCGACAGAGACACAGCCATTATCCCAGCCCAGCATCATCCCAGCATCGAACTTACCTTCACCACCCACACCTTCCATATGTCGCAACCTCCCCCCAGGCCGACCAGGCCCGCTAGGTCCCCTAGAACTTTGGGAAGCGGCCGTAGATACACACTGGCCGACCAGCGGCTTATCTACAGGGTCAACCAGCAAACCACCGTCCTGCGCTACAGAGGGATACCTGTTCCGACGCTCGATGAAGTTGAGGATTTCTATCCGCGTTTTTTTGGAGAGGAGACGTATGAGGAAGTCGCGAAGTAGGGCTGAGGACGGGGGTGTTGTGGAGTGTGTGGATCGGATAGGGGGCTTGGGGTTGGATTCGTGATTCGGGCGGTGTGGGTCTGCATGTGCGGAGGTATTGTCTGGCGTGTGGAGGCTGTGTACGCAGTAGAGGTAGGCTTGGCTGGGTTCGTCGGAGTTGTGTTGAGACTGATTTGATGCGGTTGGCGGTGCTTGTAGCTGGTGTGCCAGATACTTGTGGCTCGTTCTCGGAAGCTAGATATCAGCATCGTGTGCCAGAGTGAGGAAGGAGGAAGCTACTCTGGCTTGAATCAGCATCCATGCGGTTAAGATTTGTCTTGGTGCTCTTTATAGGTACATGAATGGGAGGTGACCAGTGTGACCATGTTGGTCTGCCCCCCGTGAGACCTACGCCATGTATCAAGACTTGTCATTCAAGGGCACCGTCAGCTATCAGTGATATGTTTGTGCGTTTCGAGATAGCGATGAGGGCATCAGTCGTGATGGCGTCTAGCGCCATCACGACCGATGCCCCCATAGCTGACTCCCGCAAGAGGCCAAAATGACGCTGCCACTGATCGTTATGGCCGTACGACGCGCCGGTTTAAGAAGGCAGTGGGAACATGGACGAAGAGGATGGAGCAGGCATCCAATCTCTTGTCGCCAGCATTAGAATCATTTTCAGTAGGCATTTACATCAAGCAAAAGCTCATCCATCGCAAGTCTCTTCTTCAACGTCCCGCACAAGGCGGAAGCATCAATGAAAAGTCGGCGGACCAGCAAAAATTGCGCCGGTGAAGCCCCCGAAGGAGATTCAAACCAGACCACCGCCGCGCTGTGCAATGCAGGGTGTTCTGATTGATCGACCGTCGTCTTGATCACGGTGATCCCAACAAGGTCTGTGAGAATTGTTAGCAAGAGCACATGTTAGGGGGTCGTTTAGGGAGTA